AGGGCCCAAAGCGTTACTGGCCTCGAGAATCGGAGGCCGAAATCGGAGGCAGATCGATGCAATAGGAAGGCACTGCATTGGTCAAGTCTGTACACTAAACGTCGCTTTGACAAAAACAGTTAGGGTAACGTTACCTTGCCATCGGCTAAACTGTCATGTCAGCTTCATGAATGCTCACTGGCTGGTGATTTAATATGGCAGATCATTAGTGGATGCTTAGACTTTATTCGATCTTCCATGTGCCGTTCAGTCCTCATGACTGGCGAATGGTAGTCAGAAGTTAGCATGGGAGTGCAGTGATATGAGTTTCTTCCATGCGTCGCATTCCCGCGGAATTCAAGTCCTGATGAACATTGAAAGTGCTAGGCGTCAACTATCATGCAAGTGTCTTCATGTCCATATGATTGACACAAATCTCACACCACCAAGTGCATGCAGCAATCTCTAAAGAAGGATAAATCCATAATCTCCAAAATTTGATGGAGCGTGTGCTGCCACTCAAAGGTAGGAGAAATAAATCTGGCAGAGTGACGGGATGAAGAGAGAGGAGAGGAGAGGGAGATAGATAACTCATTAGTGAGGGCTGCTGACAAACGGCTGGTCCTCAACTTGTGTTGTATCTCACTTCCAGTCCAATATTAATACCGACACGTGATGAAGAAACTGCGCAAATAAGGTGATGGAGATTGGGAAAATACCCAAAATAATGGGACTCGTGATGATAAAAGTCTGCGTTCCACCGTTTCAAATGTGGTGGAGTGGTACCTCGTACAAGAAAGAAAGATAGAGAATATGCATGCGTGTGATAGCTGCTATCTAACTAAAACCATCTCATCACGAGGACAAACAATGACTCCTAATACATGGATTATCTGATCTAGACCATCGTCGAATCTTACAACAAGCAACGCTAAGAAACGACACTAATCTCAAATGGAGAAAGCCACCAGAAACTGCATGCATGATACATTACCCCAAGAGGAAACTCGATGGAATCGGACTCACCTTCCAGAAGCACGCAGATTCCCGGCCACCCCGGCGCCACAACGCCCGGGATTGTGGTCAAGGGCGCCATCTGCATGCATGGCCTGTCAGTCTCTGATTTGTGACATTCTTGAGGGGGTCGTACACTGACCATTTGGCACTATTGGGTGTAACATTATGTCTGGGGCAAACTGCAGTCTGAATATCAATAGCTTTTAACATCGACATATGATATCGTTTTTTGGAGACATTGGCAGGCTCGAATCTTGTTTTTCTTCCGTGACCCTTGCAGAATGTTGTTGGGATTGCCTCTATCTTGGCACGGTTGAGATGTCAGTGGCAGGACGACAATATCATGAATCCTTGTGGCGCTGTAACACAGATGTCCATACTAGCTTCACCCCGTGCAGCTGTCACTCGGTTAATGAAACGCTTACTTAAGAGAAACCAAAACTAGACGTTGACCGACGTTCGGTTCCCACATTTGATTTGCCGAGTTCTCCAGTTTGTGTGTACATGCTCCGCCCGTGGTCAACATAAATGCAATCGCCACCATGCGCTTACTACATGTGGAAACCTCCGTGCTTACGCCATTTTCAGTTCAGTGAATTGAGCTAAGGAATATGCACATGCGATTGTTCGGCAGCATGTTCCAGAAGAAAAACCTATAGCCCGTGAAATTGTCCGTGCTAGAGCGACATTGGCTAGTTCACCCGGCGCTATTGATTTCGCTACGTAGAACGGTGGGTCCAGCCGTCGATCATCAAATTGATTAATCAAGAGAATTCAATAGTGCGATCCAGCGAGATCCCAAACTTTGACAAGGATGTTCTCCGCAAAACCAGAAAGCGTGTTGTATCGTATTACCTGTACTCCATACCCCCTGGCCGATGCCTAACCAAGCCTGGCTACCTAATCCACCCATGGAAGGAGACAACCTTCAAGGTTACATGATCGACATCTGCGTACAGACCTGAAAAAGAAAGAAACACGTACGATGGAACGCGAGGGTGAAAACGAACATGTCAAATTTATCCCTCCGTGTATTCCGAAACGAAAAAGAAATCAAGATTTAATAGAATAAAGCACGAATAAGCAAGTCACAATGCAATGCGACCCCATTGGCCTACCTAAACTCACCGATGAACACCCTCACGAACGCCTCGATCTGCATCCGATCGTCATAGGTGCGCCGGCACTGACATGAGACAGCTCACATTCCCAAACAAAAAAAAAATATGACAGCTCCAACGCAAACATCCCGGGGATCCCCCAAGAACTTAAATCGAACTTAGAAAAACCAACGTGACGACCTGCATCGCAATGAGCGGCTGTGACACCCCATCGTGCACAAGAACGTCATGGGCTGAAATTCACCGCCATATGACGGGTCATGTACAACACTTTTCTGTCGCCTTGCGCATACATTTGCAAGTAGTGACAGGGATCATAACATAGCCACATGTTGTGATCCGCCCCCCTGTCGTCTCTGCGCGCCAGGAAACTATTTCCCTGCTTGATTTCCTGGTCCTCGGGCTCCTAGTGTGTCTAGGGCTTGCATAACCGCGCCCAATGTTAGGCGTTCACTGACTTCCGTCTTTGGTGTGGACCATTCTCGCCCCTGGGCTTTGATGTATGTGTTTTCCTTTTGCCAGGGTGTACGTATATGCAACAATGTGCTGTCCTTTGCATTAAGATATCCATAACGGGGACGTGGACATGCATCTGGATCCATTTATTTCTAATTTGGGGATCTTTTCTTATACCTCACGTAGATGCAGTACCAATTTGTTGAGTCTATTCCTAATGATCCTCTTTGGGGCTAAGTTCGGGATCTACTTTCATTTGACTTTTTTTGCTTCTGCTCTTTTTTGTCATATCGGGCATATGCCTTATTTGGAATCAAGAATACGGGTCCATCGATCACCAGGGCCTGTGTCAGGAACAGAAGAGGATGCGGAGATCAATAATATATTCCAATTTGGGTTTCCTCATTTTCCTTTTTTCCTTTTTCCCTTTTCTTGTCGGTCAAGGTTCTTAGCGCGTAAAAACCCACGTTTTAAACTAGGAACCCAGCCACAGTCCCAAACTCGATGGCAATTGTCTGAGACATCAGACAAAAGGATAATGGAAAAGAAAAAAAGAATCAAACTATGGCTCAGCGTATCACCGCCACCGACTCCAAATCCACATCGACTAACCTTCCACGATCAAGACAAGCCTCGCACGCCCAAAATGCCCAAGTTCCCCCAACCCCCGAGATTACTCCATGTGGCAGCAGATTGGCTCTTGTGGATGGGATTCTGATCCGGAGGGTTCACATGGCTGGTACAACCCCATAGGGCAACGGGTAACAAGCCTCTAATTTCCTTCGAAATGAAACGACACGAAATAATGAGACAAAAAAATCCTTGTCGAACTTTATCGTTGATGAATGGCGTGCCCCAGGTGCGATGGTGGGACTCGGGCAACCTCACCCAAACAATGGGCGTTTTCTTTCCTTACCCACTTTCGTGCCCGTAAAGTCGTGGTCCAAAAAACAAATCAGACACTGAGAAATGAGACGGCGAGGATATAGACACTCTTTTGACAGATGTCACTCCTACGTTGTACTAAGAGGGCTCGGTAGATGATTTCCGATTGCTGCTGATGCATAACCGCGCGGACGAACCAAACTTTAAACACTGTCACAAAAGGGGTAGATGCTCCGAGTTACTCTAGCTCTTACTTTCTTTAATTTCACTATGAATATAGAGTTAACTTCGACGTCATGGGCGGAACTGGAGAGCAAATGAGCGGGTATGAACTCTCGATCGTGAATGTTAAATTTTTCAGGTTTGGCATCTGGATCCAGTGGGTCGGTCAAGTGGCAGGTCGGATGGAATCTAATATTAATATTTATTAAATATTGAAGACGGAACCATGGGAAAAGTTTCGAAGGACCCAATATTGAGTCGATCCAAGGTCAAATCTTATGAGAAGAAATTTACATTGTGATAGGCTTATTCAGGGTGCAAGTATTTTCCGCTTTGTTTTACATCATTCCGCCTCGCAACAAAGTGAGCGGAATACCCGGGTATTGGGGCAAATTTTTTAAAACAAAAATAAAAATAGGAAAAAGCAAGCCCAGCTGAAAGGAGTCTTGCCTCAGCTCTAAGGGGTCGGCCGAGGTGATCAGCAGCTGGATCCGCTCAACAAAAAGTGGTTCCCCATGCCGCTTAGTCGTAAGGCATGATCCACGTTTCCCGTCATGCGTGCAATAATACGAGATCGTCGAGTATTGTCTGGTGGGGGAAGTGATGTACATCCCGTCCTATCGACATGATTCTCCCCACACCACCTTGAATAAGAGAGAGAAAAAAAAAAAAAAAGAATACATATTTATATATGGAGACAAGTAACTGGAATTAAAGATGATCATTGCTGAAGATGTGTAAAATTGATAGCCGATATACCCGATAGAACACCAAGTAATGCAATTTCAAATGTAAGTCTCATGGTCTGACGCGACACGGGCACCAGGATGTGATGTGCACAGTGCGCCAGGTGTCAAGTCCAATGATAGTAATTTCCCATAAAATCCCAAATACCCCTTTGCCGTAACAACCCGCTTGATAAATAACATATTCCATCAGATAAAAAGGGTATCAAGAAATGATATCTGCAAGGTTCCCCTGCCTCATGGACATGGGGCCTTATGATAAAGCAAAGAATCCCGCAATCCAGCAATCTCGAAACGTGTGAAACAAAAGTAAAAAAAAAAGTAGAGAATAAAAAGACATAGGAGAAGAGTATAATGCCAGTTTATCTCCAGCCCGTGACTCGTGAAAGAAAATGGAAGAAGCTTCCGGTCGTGATGTGATCCGAATGAACGCTTGTGTTGATGCCGTGTATCGTTGCATGCAGTCGGTAATAAAAGTAATAAAGGCCGTAAGTTTGGTAAGGTGATGATGCGATATGCGTAGGACAGTAGAACATGCGCGACACGGCATCTAATGAGCCAATGAGAGAGCAATTTAGACGCCTTCGACGTCGCTGAAAGGCGAGTGCCGCGAGTCGTCACCTCCACGCATCTGATTGCGCAGAGCAGGAAGTTGTCGACGCCGAGCATTGATGAACCAATTACTGATCTAAAAATATTGTGAGTCATGTTTCACGTACGTTCCGAGTTCAAATTGAGGTCTTACCTGACTGATCGAAAGACCAGTGCGGGTCATGAACATCTGCTTATCTTCCTCGCTGGGGTAAGGATGATCCAAATGCTCATGAAACCAAGCGCGCAATATATCAGTAACGGGCTTGGGCAAATTGCCCCGCCGACGTTTACTCTTGGGGTCAATCGCGTCTCCCATGATTCCAAAATTGGCTTGCTGAGGATGTGCCATCATTGGTTGAGCCATTTGCTCTTGTTCTGGGTATCCCATGGGGTGCCCGTACGCCGACTGGCCATGCATCATAGGCGCGTACTGTTCGGTCCTTCGGTCTATCATCTGTGCAGGCATGGGAGCAGGCTGGCCGGCACGGTATTCGTGTGCATAAGGATCGGAGCGTGGCGCCATCCTGCTGTCTGGGTAGGCCTTTCGGTCTGGCATGGATCCCAAATCTCGAATTGGGGGAAGAATAGGACTAGGTCCTCGTGCGGCGCTTTCAGCGAGCCGCATGGAGAAATGGTCCCCCATCGGCCGGGGTGGGTGTTCGCCGGTGCGAGTGGTGTATTCGTGGTGGTGTTCGTAGGTGGCTTTAGGTGACCGGTTGGTGGGATAACCCGGCATAGAGCGAGGATCGGCCATATCATGGCCAGATCCGGGGCGCTCCTGTGATTGGGGCCGCGAGTTATAGTATGTGGATGAATCGATGTCGTCGTGTAGGTGAGGCGGGAGAATCTATACGTATGAGTATTTTTGGTGTTCTGGCGTTGTATTGGCCGTATCTGGGACTCACCTCGCGGAATGATGGAAGTTGCTGAGAATGACCAGCCGGGGACCGGCTTGCATATGAAATGGCCATGTCGGTATCCTCGTCCAACTCACGGGACTGGGACATAGACGGGGTATAGAACAAAGTATGAAGGTACGACAGCTAGACACAAAAAACAAAGGCGTTCAACAGATCGAACCAACTACACCAAGGCGCACGGTCAGCAACGACTTTCCAATGTGGAGGATAATTATGATTATAATCCTGGTCGAGATCCAAAAGGAAAGGAAAAAGAGGAAAGATAAAAGTGAAGAAAGAAACTCACTTGGGAGAACCGGGCTGAATTTACGTTGACATGGCAGAGCCAAGATCATGCAAGGTTGGGGAATGAGGGCGGATGGAAATGGGGTTTTCAGGATCTCCAAATAATGCAGGGCACAGTACATTTTAAAATAAAAGACATGGCACCCAGCTGTTACATGTCCATGGAAAGGAAGAACAGGGGGGGGTCCAGAAAAATGACGATCGTGGGCGCAAGTGGGTACTTGGGAGCCACAAACTACGGAGCACCACTGCTTCCGTGTCAAGGCATGCAGAGCGGAGAAGAGGGGTGCAAATCGCAAGAACCCTATGGAGCATCCTTAAGGTTGTCCTTGACAGATAGCGCCAAGGATCTTTGGTTCCTGTCAACCTGGAAATAGTCTGACTTTAGTGCCAGGATCTATCAGGTGGCGCCAGGAACTGTTCGTTTCTCATTTCCACGCTAGTTTTGATTGGTATTTGGGTATTTGATGGTAATTAATTTTGGGGATGATTTTATTGATTTTTGAGTGAATGGGGAGGGGGTTTTTTTTATTTTCTCGATTTATCATCGTATTAAAAGTCGAATTCGGTCCCCATCCTGTACATATTTGTATACCGGAAAATGCGATCTCAGATTTTGGGCTGTTTGGGTTTGGAACTAGTACTTTTGGGAAATCAGTGAGCAAAAATAGGAAAATTACAGAAATACAGATCAATCGGCAAGGTCCGGAATTCCCATAGATCTCGACACATACCATAGGGGCAGCAGGGGGGGAGGGAAGAAAAAGGAAGTGGAGAGCGGAATTCTGCTAAATGTTCCTGAGTCAAGCTGAACTTAATTAATTCAAATACTGGAAATCCATTGCTTTTTCTAGTGGAGACATGAATTTCCAGCATCGCGAGTGGAGCCCCAACCCAGAAAGCAGTCTCCGAAAAAGTCCAAGGAAAAGATCGCCGCACTCGCTGCCTGGGGGAAGGGTTCCACTTGGTGGTGTCAGACATCGTGGCCTACCACTGGTTACCGATCGCGACTCATCCCGAGGGCTTATCCCGGATGATGGGTTTTTGGGTAATAATTTGAACCAAGAACCCCCCCCTGACTTTGGTTGAACGGTTTCATTTTCTGGTTTTAGTCTCTGGTTCGCTTTTCTGTTGGTTCGGGGAACAGGAAGTGGCATGACGGTACACCTCGGCTCGATCCCACTTACAAGCCTCTGATCGGTGGGCACGGAGATCGATCGAAGGGAGCAGCTAGAGGGGCTGGTATCCGTGGTGTGGTCTTCTTGGCACAATCCGGACAGGGATGGGTAGATCGCCTAGGGGTTCTTCAATCGTCTCCACTTCCTTCGAGATGAACCATACAGAGTGTGGCGCACCAGATCCACCCCATGCTCTCTGTCTTCCGTACGTCAGATCACCCACACTGTGAATCCGCTTGGATCCATCCATGACGCGACGCTTTCGAATGCGAGGAAAAAAAAAGAAAAAAACATAGGATGATGACAAGAAATCTGGAGACGAATCTCATGCTTCTATTTCCATTGGCGCTCCTTTCCATCTCAGGTGAGAATCCATGCAGCTGCTTGTTGAGGGCAAGCATCATGCATATGACATCTCAGGTTCTCTATTTCCTTTTTATTTTCTTTTTTTTTGCCCTTTTCATCATTTTTATGATTTCTGACTTGATCCGCTAGGGGTGGTGGGGAAAACCTAGTGTGGTAGACTAACGTGGTTAGAGAGAGGCGTCCTGTCCCCGGGATTTGATTACCCCTCGATGTGACAGAACTCTCGTGGTGAGCCTTCTTTACCGATCGTGATTTGCGCTCTGATTTGATATGTGATGCGGCTCGCGTGTCGCCTATATCTACTACGATTCACAAACTACTCCGTAAACGAGACAAAAAAAAGAGATCACACCCCCACTGGTCCACATTAGGCTGACAAGAATGGCGAAGTCCAGCTCTGCCATCGGAGATCCTCTAAAGTGGGGTCGGTGGACCACTTGACTTAGGACCGCGAGCTAGTGCTTCACACCCCTCGAAACACATGGAAATACTTTGCGACAAGATCAAACCAGATCAAACACTTCGCAGGATCAGGTTTATGTACCTACGTTTCGGGACGGCTGATGATCCCTGTCAACGCCATTAATGTGACACCCATATCCCGGTAGATGGGTGCACGACATTTCGGACTTGTTCCGTCGTATCGAACTGCACGCCAACAAAACTCTGATCCTCCAAAATCCCCTCGCTGAACAAGGCAATCACCCCGGAGCTTAATCAACATGTACTAGCCATGGGACGCCACACCGCGATTAACCAGGCGTCAAAAGGGCTAAGATTCTGGTGATCCACTTGACCAACCCGATCTACCCCCCTTTTCGGAACCGAAGGTTATGGAATTCGGATCCAGCCTCCACGAGGCCTTGGATCTGGATTGGATCTGTACCTTGTTTCTCGCTTGATTCGCCCATCATTCAAGGGCAACATCGCTCGGATCGGGGGCTTTTGGATCTCCCTGCTGAAGATCTTTTCAAGATCAGATTTCATTCTTTTCTTTTTTTAAAAAAAAAAAAACCTTTTAATACTGCATATGTTGTACAAGATAATTATAAGCAAGAAAAAAGAAAGAAAAATAAAAAGAAAGTAACGAAGAGATTCGCCCGATCCCCACTAGTGGATATTCCTGCCACCCCCAGGCACGGCAAGTCAAAAAGACCAAAAAAAACCATTCGAATATTGACAGATCGTCACATTCGCAAGATCCGAGATCGTGCATATAATGGAGTATGCAGATCATCCAATCGTGCAGGGATTGGAGGAAATACTCCATAGCCGAGGACGTAGTGTAATGCAAGAATTTGTCATGCAACCTGACTTTCCCGGTACTTGGGTCCCAAAGTATGGCCGATCGCATTTTTGAGAGGGAACCTTATTTCCTGTATTCCCTGTCAGTGATCTATTGCTGCGAACTACGCTAAAATACTTAAGAGTGAGATTACGCCAAGATCATCTCCGTCAATAGTGCGCTGGTTCCTAAGCTTGGTTCCTTGGGTCCTGTTCGATCACTTAGGTCTCTTTTTGTGATCTAATTTATCAGTCCCGGTACCTGGGTCGATGTAATATCACCTTCGGTGAGGCGAGATTGAAATCCCAACTGTATCGATCAGCCAATGTCAGTCTGGAATGTGACGAGTGGCGCCCACGCAGGACGTCCAGTAATATGTAAGGAAATGGTGAAGATCAACTCCATCTTGCGGAGGACTTCGGCTTCGGCTACTGCCTGTCACTTCTGGGGGAGTTAATTTACTGTCCCAGCCTCCTGGTTGCTGGGATGATCCGCTCGCAGGAAACCTTATGGGTACAATCAAGCTCCACACTCGATTTTGTGTTTACTTTATGGAAGTATATATTAACATCTAAAATTCGATCAATACTCACGGTCTAGTTAATGTTAACTTTTCATCGCCACCGTAATCAGGTATCTCCGTGGCGTGAGGTCAGGTATGAGGGTATTGTGTGCCCTGCACAGCTGTGGTTACATGACTCAGGCGAGTTGCCTCACTGCGTGCCACTTGTTCTGCAGCGATCTGCCTGATGAAGTGTCAGTCGCACGACCAGGTCGCCAGATCAATGATTCATCAGCCCCTGCAGAACTCAATCAAATCCCCATCCCACTTTCTAGTCTGGTCTTCGTGCTTGGGTATTGTTTGCCTGATATCCCCGCAAGGGTTTCCCAACAATTCGAGGTCGCATCCCTGTCGGCCCGGTAACTCATGGACATATCGGGCCGCGGGTGTGACCTCCGCCCTATGCCCCGTAAAACAGCCCCTGACGTATGTGGTTGTAGTGCATCATTAGATCACATTCCTGTGGCGGATACATATGTCGGTCTGTCCGGAGCATCACTGTTGCAGTCCATGTTACGAGTCATGCTGTCAAAACATGGAACATGTGATTTTGTGCTCGGCGTGGATTCCGTTCGTTTTAATTTCGTCCGGTACTTAACAAAGTTGGTCAAGAGTCGAATCTAGAATCTGTCCCTCATCCCCGCATTTGAATGTCAATGTAGGTCATATAGTTCCGTCTTCTCGCGACAAGCGTGGACTGTGGGCTAATGACTTGCCCTTCCTATTCACCCAGGCGACGCTCTCCTGGCTATTCATTTCGCTTAGGCCAGGCACCGGTGAACTAGTGTCCAGGCAGGTATGTGACCACCTGGACATTAGAATATGGAATTACATGTGGGATCTCCAAGTATGGCCCCTGTAGCTGAATGCAAGGCTATAGAGCGGTATGAAAATGAATGTACAGGCAGACAAAGGGACTGATATCACATCATGGTCAATTCTTCACCACCAGCGTCAGGTTGAATCAAATTTGTAATTTGAATTCTTGGAATGTACTTTGCTAACCTTGGAAGTGCTTCCAAGCCCCATTTCTCTTCACCGCTGAGGGGTACACCGTACGGTAGATATGTTTGAGGAGACCTGCCTTTTTTTGCGGTTGTACTCTCGATTGGTGGATCAGACTGCTGGGCTTGCAACTAGATGGTGCTCAGAGAACATATCAGGTTACGCATATCATTCAGATGGGCACTCTTTAGGTCAGACCGCTCAGAGGCGATTTCAAATCTTCTCAGTAGAGGGGCCGAGCACGAAGCAGAATGGAAAGGGAACCCCCCTCCCTCCCCTGTCTACACATGATACGGGCTTGATCGGCCAGTGGCTGGTGGCAGCTCATAATATGGATATTCATTTCTTTTCATTCCTGTCTAGAATGCTGGTATCTTTTTTCGGGGTTCCCCAGGTCTAGTCTAGTTCTTTCCCAGCTCCGCAGACCGCGAAGTAGCTGCCTGAACAGCCTTGTCAACAATCTCCTTGAAACCCTGTGCCTCGAAGGTCTGCAAAGCAGCATATGTGGTTCCGTTGGGGCTGGTCACATTCTTGCGCAGCTGGCCGGGCTCATCGGATGACTCAACAAGCATTTTGCCAGCACCAAGACAAGTCTGGGTAGCCAAGCGAGTAGCCTGCTCTTGGGGCAAGCCCAGAGCGGTAGCACTAGCAATGAGGTGTTCCACCATAGCGAAAAAGTAGGCAGGTCCCGATCCTGATGCAATGTTAGAATTATCGAATGCAGGCTTCCCCTAGTCAATTGGCTTACCAGAAAGACCAGTCACAACGTCAAGGAGCTCCTCCTTATCAACCCACTCGGTTGCCTTGCTGACACTGCTTAGCAGTGCGTTCACAAGCTCCTTCTCCTCGGAGGTGACCTCGGCGCTAGCGTAAGCACCGGAGGCACCCTCACCGACAAGCGCAGGGGTGTTGGGCATGACGCGAACAACGTGTGCGGAGCGTCCATCGGAAGTACGCGACCACTCTTCCAGGCTGCTGAGTGTGATTCCGGCGGCGATACTGACGACAACGGGGAGAGATGCGCGCTTGGACCAGGAAGCTCCCAGCTCTTCGCAGACACCCTTGGTGACCTGTGGCTTGACAGCGATGATGACAATATCGGCATCGGCGCCAGCCTCGGTGTTATCGGTGGTGGTCTTCACACCCACAGCGGCGAGCTTTTCCCGGTTAACGTCCCACGGCTCGGAAACGGTGATATTCTGCTTGTTAACGCCCTTGGTCACCAGGCCACCGATGATGGCGGAGGCCATGTTGCCTCCGCCAATGAAGGCGAGCTTGCTGTCTTGGAGGGAAGGCATTGTATAGGTGCGGTATGTGTATCGTGGGTTTGGTCGTGAATGTTTAATGTTCTTGATGTTGAAAATCCCCCACTTTGCTTGCTTATCGGAGGTGGGGCAGTGTACAACAAACAATGCCCGATATCGGTTGAAGGGAAGGATGTCGAGGTATTCTATGTCGAAGTACACAGAGATGGGGAATTGGAATATTTATGCTACTTCAAAATGCAATTCGACCCCGCAAAAGCCCTGTCAGTAATGACACATCGTTGACCCCAGACTAGGCACGTGACTGCTTATCGCTCTCCACCGGGCCGGTCAACCGGTACACTTGGGGTTCATTCCTGGTTGGCCTTGGAAAGGATCAGAAACTTGAGATTCGAGAGTACCGAGATCTGTGATAGTATTATGTGTGTTAAGTGTCCAGGTATGTATACAAGTCCAATGTCGTGATTAGTTCGCTGTAGCTTCTGATGTCATATCCATGGATATATATCGGAGGAACTTTCAAGGTTTGCACCAATTCTCAAGGTTTCAAGTGATATCGGCGTGATTGAACTCTAGTTAAGAACAGACCGGGCAAATTTGAAACCATGATTAAGATCTCTTTCGATAAAAACACTCAAAGTGTCAAGTTTCACAATGGACGGCCTATAACTAGTCAAAACCTAAATTTATAAGCAGTGCCTGTGAGCGTTGATCAATAAATTCCATTCAAACCTACCCCAATCACAATTTTAGCATGTGTTCATGCACGGATTCTAATGCTTGATTGGTACGGAGTACATGTGGAGAAATGGAGAAGTGGATGTGTGGTGAATAAAACAAGGCGTATCGTTGGTTCTTGCGTCGATTGCAAGCTTGACCATGCTCCCATCCAATGATCAAATAGGCCGTCAGTCTCATAGTGAATGCTCACATGACAGAATTTGTAAATAATAATGGGGGAAGTTAGGCTTTGTTGGCCAGGGGCGGATGTAAGAGTCGAAGTGGGAGTAGGAACTAAATAGTAATGGCAATAGGGCTGGGGGAAGAGAAGGTTTGGCACGCTGAATATTCTAATCAAATCTAGCTCAATAAATACTCAAATATATGATGAAATACACTAATAACGGCTATGAGGGTCTTCTTGGCTGAAAAAAGTGAGGCTATTCACAATATAACTTTCGTGTACTCGGTGAATAGGCAAAGTTGACACGATCCAGATTCAAACCCAACTCGTCTTGAAAAAGACTTGAAATTTTTACACTATAAGCTTCAAGGCCTTTGTGAATCTTGTGTTGTATATGCCTAAGCTGACTTCACGGACTAGCAGCCCAGGGCCTTAGTCATGGAGATGACAATTCTACTTTGAATGATCAGGCCAAGATTATTGACAAAATCGTGGGTATTCAGTTCAAATTTTTGAGAACGATATATACCATAGTACCACATGCAAGTCAAATGAATTCACATGCTTGGATTTTCATGAAAGACAAGGGGAAAAAAGAACCACCGTATCAAAGCCGAAAGGAAAGATTGAAAAAATGATGACCAGAGGTTGAAACTAAAAGAACCGCCCGCTAAAATGCATGTATCAAGAGCTTGGTAGATGAGTGACTAGGTGGATAACCATGATACAAAACATCCAAATCCATAGTAGAAAGAAAAACGCACAAATCGTGTATGAATGCAAAACCCCAATATGTACAGTGGGTAGTGCCGAATGAAGAGGTTTTGAGATGAAAGTAGGAAATAGGATCAATTGCCTGCACGCATGAGTGCTGGCTTGGCAATTGATTACCAGGTCTCAGCAATGTACTGGCCAGCTTCCTTCTTGCGCTGCCAGAATAGCTCTGCTTCCTGGGAGTTCAAGTTGCCCTTGGCCATGGCGACTTCAATAAGAGCAGCCTCAACACCTTCGCCCATGCCTTTGCCGCTACCGCAAACAAAGACACGGCCATCAAGGGCGTTGATCACGTACCAAACCAAGTCGGCCTGGTGGCGGACCTCCTCCTGGACATAGCGGCTCTCACCACGACGGCTCTGGACGACGGTGCGAACCTTATCTTCATGAACACCCCACTCGCCACTGTAGAGTTCATCAAGTAATGAGTCGCGCACACCCTGGAGGACCCAGACCTTGTTGGCACAGTTTGCAGATTGCAAACGACGCTGAACGAAACCACGGAATGGGGCAATTCCGACACCAGCACCGATGAGAAGCATAGGGCCGTCAGATGCGAAACGAGTGGCAAGTGGATTGGCCATTAGACCGCGGAACATAGGCACGTGGACATCAATCTTCTCACCAGCAGCTTCAGCCTTAATGGCCCGCTGGGCCAGCTGTTCAAGGAAGCCAGATCCCACACCAGTTCGCTTGCCACCTCGCCAGTCGTTCGAATCGGCGACGGTTACAGCAACTTCAACCAATCGGCGACATTCAGTGCCCTTGAACCGACAAGAGATCATGGGATCTTGGGACAAGGAGTAGAATCGAGGCATCAGAGTGTTGAGCACGGAAAGAAGATGATCCAAAGGAGGCTGAGAAGAGGGAAAGGCGTGGAGCAACTGGGAAAGAGTGATGTGAGAGCTGGTACGGAGATCACAGAAAGCACCTTGGCCCTGTGCAGATGAAAGATACTCGAGAATCTTTTTCTCATTTTCCTCGGTGGTGTATTCGGCCAAAAGTCGGAACAGCGCCTTTGTTGGGGCGTAACTCTGAATATCTGAGCACCAGCTCAGCACCTCTCGGCGCGTTGTGATAAGCTCTCGTGGCTTGTCATCACCCCAGATGGTCGGCCAGCGGCCCTTGGTGGTGCGCATGAGAACCTTCTTCTCTCGCATCGACCTCGGTACACACAGAAGGTCAAGAAGATCCTCAACTTCCTCGTCCTTGTTTTTCGGGCACACGCCAATTGCGCCTCCAACCACGAAATCCACCATTCCACTCTCGGCAGGGTAGTCGGTGACGTCAATATCAAAGTGGTAGGTGCGCTTCTCAGCACCGCCCTTGGTCAACTCACGGGCAGAGTGGAGAGGCGCACGGTAAACCTCATATGGGGGATGAGGCTGCACGAATTGCGGGGGGTGATCTGATGGCCCCATCGGCAGATGCCGAGCAGACGCGGGGGCGGACGAGAAAAACACCGTCTTCTCCGGGAGTGGTGCCATGTTGGAAAGCTCACTGTCCAGCGTGAGGAGGTTCAAATTAAGGTTCAAACTAGCAAAAGCCTTGTTGTCTGGGGCAGTGATCGAATTGAACCCGGAGATAGGACCATCCAGCGCCTGCAGTGGCCTACCTCGGCAACAACCCCCACCACAGCACATGGACTGGATCTTCTGTGTGCCCCCTGTACCGACGTTCTCAAGCACTCTTCTCATATCCTCGGAGTTTTGTGAGATCAGGACGGTTGAGGCTCGTCGTCGTCGGCCATTGGGCTTGGAAGCAAGCTCTTCCTCACTCTGGGTATCGGGGGGTGTAAGCGGAGTGGAGGGACAGTCAGAGCCATTGGAGTCGGACTCTGATGAAGCAAAACCATTGAGAGTAAAATCAGTGACCGAGAGGGATCGTACCCCACGCGGCTCTTCTGGGATAGGGTTATCGGGGTGGGAGGTTGAGGAAACGGGAATCTCTTGGAAAGTACCCTTGCGGGGGCGACCCAATGCAACAGTTGCAGTGGGCATGGTGTCGACGGCGTGGACTATGAAAGAAGAGGTTTAGAAGGACATGAGATGTATGAGGGGAACATAGCACATACCCATTAAGAATGGGAAAAGTACCGAGGGCCGTCGCTTGAGGGGTCTGGAATTGCCGCAGAAAGTCGTTGAATGATTGGAGTGGAGGGGACAGAAGTTTTCGGGGACAAGGTTCGCTTTTAATGTAACGTTTGGAAGAAGTGGAATGAGACAGTGGACCCCGAGTTCGGTTCCAGACGGGAAATGAAAAGATTAGGGAAACCAGTCTCAGTTTTAGTGGAAAAGATGAAGTTCAGGGAAATTACGGGAAGCGCAAACCAGAATCGGATATGGAATTATCTGATTTTGCCACATTCTTCGTCACCGGGTATTCGTTAAGTAAAGTTACCGCGGGTGCACGGGGGATAGTCCCGGGGGGATTTTACTACTGAATAAGGTGGTGGTTTTTGTATGGGGATTAGGGAACAGTATCCATTTTTGACCCTCTAACGATCGACCATGCATTCCCAGTTAAACCAGTCGGGGGCGTTGGAGTGGTCATCTTGTAATACAGGGAACTCTCGTAGTCTGCTAGTGGCACCAGATTAGCCGACTTCGGTTCCGACCGGATCTAAACTGGACCGTCCAAGTGCCGGAGCAATAGATCGTACGTTGAATGTTTACTTATGGTACTTTGTGTAAACAAACCTAGTCATGTATTTTTGATCGACGAACATCATCTCGATTTCGAAAAAAGCAAAAAAAGGAGTAAGAACTATGTATAAATTCCCAGCGGAGTGGGCCGACACCGGGTCGTTCTGCCCAACCGATTAAGTAAGACTTTATCAATCAATCAGATAGCGCAGGTCGTACCAGCACGGGAACTCCTCACCTTATCTGATTCGCTGTGCTCCGGAGCCAAGACCATACAATACACCTCCTTTTCTTAATACCTTCGCCAGCTAGTTACACGCAATGGATCAGCTCCACTTCCCGACTGGCCGGTTTTTTCTCGATCTAGCCTTGTCCCTGCCGTCTGGGTCTCGGTACAGCACCATTCCCAACCAGTGGGGGGGGGAAAGCCGTTACTGTGGCAGTGGGTCGTTCTAGAAACACCAAGGGCGCGTTTCTTAGCCCCAAAATGAGAAAATGGGGAAAGCTCCTTTTCTGGAGATAGGATCGTCACAGGCCTGAGCTGAAAGCTCCTCGCTTTACCTCGGGTTCTCGGCATCCTGGTCTTATGAGAGGCCCTCAAAAACAAAACAGGGGTATTTAGATTGAGCCTGTCACACTTTCCCGTCCCAGGCAGTGTTCGGTAAATAACGGCCCCATCTGATAACTTAAATCTACGAAAATCTTCGGCACCAGAGTTGGGCATCCAATCTTGTTCCGTGATTTTTCAAGTGATAGATCCCGTGCACATATGTACAGTATGTATGAAACGGGGGTTTTCGTCATTCTGCAGGGTTCCCTAGTCAGTTTGTGGGGCGGAGATTCAGGGATAAATAGGAGTACATCTGACTCGTGCGCGGGGATATGTGAAATCATTAGTTCATTCCAAGTTTACAGGATCAGACTCGTCGACCTTGGTCGACTCGCCAGCTTTGACCCTAACCACATCTTATATCAACATCACGTCATCACAGCACATGAGTAAAATAGGTACAAGTAACCGAATTAAACAAAAGGAAATAGAAAGACATTATAAGACCACTGGACAGCAGTCAAGCTCATCAAGACTTTCACAGCACGGGCTAGAAGCTCTCTCTCTGGACTAACGCCACAGGTGGAACGAAATGATGCCGCCCCTTGGCCCAATAATAGATCGTCGCCGATCCGATGACGCCAACATACATCACCACGCTCCAGTTCATTGTCTCACGTGTCACAGAGGTCGACAGGGGAAAGAAGGCAAAGACAAAGATGGGCAAGAGGAACGCCATGGCTCCAATGTTGACCGCCATACCAAATCGGCCCAATGACCATCGGTGAGGTGGGAGTGCTTCGCCACGGAGTCGCTTCAAAAGTACACAACCAATCGACACAATATATGCTGACATGAGCGACGTGATTGTCAGAGAGATGATGGCGTTGAGGGCCACTTGAGATCCAACGTTGATCAGCGAGAGGAGAATGGTGACTCCAAGGGAGACCATCACCGAGTTTAGAGGAATGTTCCATCCTGGTGTAACCTGTCCATACAGTCAGCTGGGCTTATTTGAAATATTCGGCTTTTGTGTTGGCTTACATATGCGAAGAAGGACGAGAATGGAATCCCCTCATCCCGAGCGAATGACCATAGCTGTCGCGATGCAGTGGCCACTTCGGTGATGGTGCTGGCTGTCAATGTTACTATAAGGACTGCCGTCATGGCGTTTGTAGCTGCGAGACTGCCGGTCGTGTTGTAGAAGATTTGAATAAATGGGTACCCGGTTGGAGTGTCCAGAACTTTGTCGACCTCGCCCAAAGTGAAACACAAGGTGACCAACATGATGAACCCGAGCACTCCGTTTACTGCCACGGAGGACATCATAGCCTTGGGAAGTGTTTCCGATGCATCTTTGATCTCTTCCGCTAGAGGACGTCAGCTGCATGCATTTCTTATAGATAAGGTCAGACTTACACATATGGACGGAACAGTCGTACCCCAGCATCGATGTTATAGTGGTGGAAAGCCCAACCAGAGTCGCTGTTCCGGAATTATCCCAGCCACCGCCATTGTTGAATTGAGTGAACACAGCATGGACATTGTTGCGCGGTGCCAATACCCATAGTGGGATAATGATCGCGAAGAGGCCAATGACATGGATGATCAAAATCAACCCTTCGACAAATGGCAGATTCTTGGCCAAGAAGGTGTTGAACAAGATAGAAAATGACGAGATGGCAATTACAAGCATCGTTCCATGCCATCGTTGAAAGTCGTACTCTGGGTAATTTAACACAATCAGGCCTTGGATAATTGTGCCGGCTAGATATGCGATGGAGACAATGGCACATTGCCAACCCATTGCAGAGAGCCATCCTGGGAACGTCATCAATGGATCGCACTTCAAGCTGCGAAATATATGAAGTTCCTACCTGTGATATAACTGAGAAACTTTTGTCCACGTCGTGGAGCAAATTCGGAGACCCAGTGGTACTGCCCACCAGCAGTCGGTGCCCTATGTCTATTAGCATCAGCCTGTCAAGACCATGATCACTCCACTTACATCGAGGCCATCTCAGCTATACTGGCATACACGAGAGTAAAGCCGATGGAAACACCAATGAATCCCCAAATCAAGCCCGCCGTGCCACCATCAGTCAACCCCGAGGATAACAATCTAATACAACGTCAGTATTAACTTTATCACTCAGGGCTGACGGAAAACATGTTAACTAACGTCAAGATTACTTCCCAGGTGCAAATGAGAGTGCATCCAAACCCAACAATCGAAATAAATCGAAAATTTCTCTGCTAAATGTTAGCGATGCAACAGTCGCAATTGGCCATACACACAACGCACTCGCAGAACCTGTACGCGCCCTAGCGCACTCATATCCCGTTGATCAGCCACCGTCCCCATATACCGTGGCGCAACAAGGCCCCTCGGGGCTTTTTGCGGAAAATCCTCAACATCATCGATCACACTGTCCGTGACCGAAGAGTCATTCTTGGATCTATGAGAGAGAGGCATCGTTGAGATCAACAAAGTACTATGCCTCTCGAGTCTCAACAAGCAGGGTTCCAATAAAGCCAGACCCCACAAAAGCAAAACGCTCCAATTTAACAACCGGTGAAATTTGAAGAATTGAATTGCCCTATTTACTGCAGGTGCAGTCTGCGACACAATGTCCGGGAATGATATAAGAGACCAAGCAGCCCCTGCTGAAAGAGAGGGGGGGGGGAGGGGGTAATTCAGTCAGACAAAGAAGACCAATACTAATCCGAAAGAAGCAGGTAATGGGAGAAGTATTCTTCAATTTTCCTTCATTTTTGCAGACCTCAGAGCGTTGGACGTCACATCACAAAATTCAAGCGTGGTACCGACGTGGCCGCAAGGCATGGAAACAAATTCTACGCCATGTGGGAATCCTCAAACACCGGTTTCGACACATCTGATGTTTGATCCAATATTGTTGCATTGAGCTTGGGCCGCTGGACATGAATTGAATTGCTATCCCTTGAATTCAAATGGGTCCGGAAGAATGGGCTATGAAGCTATCGGCGCCTTGCATGCCAAGGGGGATGCAGCGGCCCTTAGCAGGCAACTGAGAATTTATTTTTATGCCCAATTGCGCGAGGACTCTTACCAATTTTCCTATAGCTTATTGTTTTTGTTTTTTCTTGCTGTATTTTTCTTTGTCGAGAAAGCTCGTTCGAGAGTTTATGAGTATGTTTGCTTTTGCCCTAATGGGATCGCCCAATGTGGCAGAACCATGTACTTGATCCCTGCATAGATCACCCCTTGATGCTTAAACTTTCCCTAAGCCCTTCTGTCCTAACCCGCAAATACTAGCCGAAAGTACGCTCCCTCGCATGTTTGTCCCAGGGGGTTGAACCACATGGTCCTATCGGAAAGCTATCCGCTGGATCCACGAGTCATAAATCGCATGCTGATCGACGCCTCCACGTCGGAATGGCAGCTGCCGTCTGCACCGAAGAAATGCGCTCGACCGGCGTCTGCGAAGTGAGGGTGTCGCTAGTCCAGTTCATTGTATGATATCAGTAAAATAGTATCCAATTCTCATTTCTCATTCTGTTTGAAGGGATGGGTTAATATTTTTGCCACAAACCTTCCTTGATTGCCAGATTGCTGTGAAGAGGCTTGGGCGGGCTGGCTGGTCATTTGTACCGTGGAATTTATACATTATTGGAGCCCAGGCCCTGGCTCTCTGGTTGTGGTCCTTCACGGCTATCGGCGCATCTACGATCGTCAGGACGATAGATCGATATCCCTGATTATTGTTGGTGCCTTGAGCTTATGCCATTTGCCTTGCGAGGCTGGTTATATCTCGTGTCACCTCGTGGTCTTGGTCCCTGGGAGTGCTCTTTTCCCCATACCCATGGCTAGAGTGAAGCATCAGGTTGACCATATCCATCGCTTTTGCCATGGGCCCCTATGTGCCCCCAGGCCAATCGCCCCCATTCGAAGTAGTCGACGACTTTCACCATGGTGCATGGATTATCATAACAGTGGCCTTAGGATTGGTTGTTTCACTCGTCTGCTTCTTAATTCGACTATACGTCCGGTTAATGCTGATGCCGCCATTCGCGCGAGATGATATTGTCCTCTTGGGTGCCACAGTGAGTTTCTGAGTTCCTGTGCAGTCATACTGTCAATCAATTTAAGGGACAGAGCCTTGGAAAATTTTGGAACAACAAGCTGAACAATCATTAGGCCATTGGTATCATCCAATCAATCCTAGTCTTCTACGCCTGCTCTCGTGGCTTTGGCACATCACTCACCTTACTAAACGAATCATTACTCGACCAGATCCAAACAGTATGTGAGCTCTTCACCTCGCACGATTATCTATCAATAATGACTAACAATGAGTTAGTTAATTACGACAAGCGATGTCTTTGCACTGATAGTAATTTACCTCTCGAAATGCTGCGTCGTTGCTATTTATCTCCGACTCACACCTCAAAAACCACACAATTTGGCTTCATGGGCGACATTCGCATTATGTACAGCTTGGGTTATACCTGCTGTTTTCATTCTGTTGGTGAATTGTGAGCTAAACGGACCATGGCGGATACAAGGTGGGCAGTGTCGAAATTTGGTAAGGTCAATCAATGTTCCTACAGGAGAGAGAGTTATGCTAATCGTTTAACTTACTTCCAGTACCGAAGATGGCAATTCATAGCTGTTGTCGACATCATTACGGAAATCATCCTTTTCTCACTAGCTGTCGCTCTTCTCAAAGGACTGTTCATGTCAGTCAAACGCAAGCTTGGGATAGGCTTTGCTTTTATTTTCCGCTTCCCGTATGTAGCAACTTGAACCAGGGGCATCATACACACCCCAACGCGGATATGAGCAGAGATCTGATACCTCTGATAGTCTAATAGCATTCGCCTTCCTCCACTTGTCAGCCCTTCACTCCGCCCTCGCCGACAACGACGTCACTCTCGCAGCGGTCGAACCTACCCTCTGGCTCCAGGTCGAAGTCCACTATGCCCTCGTCGCGTGCAGCGTCTTCTGTCTCCGCCCGTTTATGGCTGCTGTGAGTACGAATTACGGAACTGCAGGGGACTCTAGCTTGGAGAATAGTGGCTATGCGTCACGGTCGAGGGGAACAAAGGGGAGTTCGAAATCTGGATCTGGGTCCGGCTCGAATGCAGATTCCAGATCTAGGTCTTTGTCTCGTGTTCGGAGGAAGAGGGCAGGGACGGCGACGGGGGCGTTGCCGAGGTCTTCTTCGAAGGAGGCGCTGTGTCGAGATGGGTGTGTTAATGCTGATGCGGGTCGCTTGGAGAATCGACAAAAGCATCAATATGTGAAGATGCATGGTGCCAATAATGGTGGGACGCCGCGAGTACCTGTTCGCCGATCTATGTTCCCCCTGGGGAGTTCCAATAAGCCTGCCAAAGTTGATAAAGGCAAAGGTGGGGTTCGGGATCAGGGAGGCTCTGCTTTAGAGTTTGAGTCCGATGCTCTGGAGCTCATGCCTCAGTTACATAGACAGTATGGTCGCAAGGATGAAGAGCCTGGTGAGAGCGATGATCCGGATAAGATGGTCATTCGGAAAGAGGTTGGATATTCCGTTCAGTTTGAACGAGGGGAGAGCTCGAAGCAGGTCTCGACTGATGCGACGGCCTATGTGTAGATGTACAGCTAATGCAGTGTTTTGGTATATAGAGACATAAGCTGAGCAGTTTTATGTTAATAAACAAGAATAGACAATCTGTGTATTATGATCGATTGTGTGTGATCATGGTTGGAATAAATTTCTATGCACATTTTCCAGAATGTATATGAAGATCCCGAACGCCGCTTCCCGCTAATGATGAATGTTGTGTGAATGAAAGTATGCAAGTACTAGACAAATCCAGTAGGTCGCTTAAAAGGATGTGCCTCGGTGCTCCTTTTTAAAAACCGTGTTAGCTGGAAACACCAAGCAAAAGGAACACATATCAACTTACAGGACGTACTCATCCAAGCTGACATGGTCCGGCTCAGAAAAAATGAGATACAAGTATTTGAGAGTCTCAGCGAGCCAGTAACTTTCCATCTTGTCGGCCTTTTTCGAGCCTGGGTCACGGACGTCATTAATGGCTGAGTGGCCGAAATTGGTATGCGTCATCTTCTCAATGTTTTGGAACATGCGCCAAGCCGCATCTTGAAGCGACTTGTCGCCAGTAATCCGGTACATAATGAAAACAGACTCAACAGCCTCGGGTCTAGATGGAAGTTAATACGCCAGACATTCCTATTTTAAGCCCTGGTTGAAGACTGGAATCTTACCTCAGCTTGTATGAACCATCTCTAGTCCCGACCATTCCTGGTGGAATCACTTCCGCGGCGACAATTTTCTGTGCTTCCCTGCGGTGCCGTTGGAGCCGGATGGGCTGTCTGAGGACAGACTCATACCACTGAGTCTCATCCCATGGGCAATCTTCCAGATCTTCACAAGGAGTGAATTGGAAGGTTTCGGGCATGACACCTGTCGGCATCGAATCGTACGCCCAGATACATCCATCTGTAAGGCCCCGAGCGATGGATAGGTCTTGGGGACGGTTGAAGATTTTCGCAGCGATGCCTACCGTACCACCAATGAAGCACTTCAGATGGTCTGAGGTGTGTTGAACACGGCTTACGTCTTCCGTAACTTTCATGTTGGAGGTGAAGAGAATTTGTTTTTCTTCTTCTTTGGTCACAGCACGGAAAAGTATATTTTTCTTGATTGCCTCAATTGATCGCTCCCACATCTTTTCGTACTGATCTGTCTGCGCACCGAGAAGAATGTGCTCCTTGGGCAGGTACTCATAGGTAGAATCAGCACCACCACCAAGCGAAAAGTCTGAACCGTTGAAGTCAAGACGGAATGCATCAACAAAGTTGGGCCACAATCCTGGAACTTTGGTTCGCATCTGGACCTTGTCTAGCTCATTCGTGATACGCTGGACGGCATCGAAGTACTTCGGGTTCCCGGTTAACTGGGTCAGACGAGTGAATTCAACTGTCAAAGAACCCATTTCTGCCAGGCTGGTATGTGAGTCTGCCTCGATCTCTTGGCCGATGGCTGAACGGCCCCATTTCCAGCGCATCTGTGGCATGTGGTTTTTTGTGTCGAAGGCATAGAAAATCATGTTGCCGAGTTCCTCTGCTTTCTTGAGCAGGATCGGATGTTTTCCGTTGGTCAGGTCATGGGCAGCGATCAACCCTCCCATGTACCTGATCACGATCTCAAAAACATTGACTTCTTTGCTGAATGTCGTGGTGAAGTCAATCTGATCGAGTGCTTCCAATGCGAGCTTCAGCTCACCATCGAGGCCCATGATAATTAATGTATCCAACGAATCAACTAGGGTGGCACCCCAGCCGCTGAAAGAGTCTTCATACTTCCCACTCACAGGTGAGACCTCGTCTCGCAGCCAAGCATGATTTTTGTACCCATTCCAAGCATGAAGAAACGTTTTCTTTACAGCCTTCTGTCTTTGAGTTCTCCTTTTGCGCTCCGACCAGCCTTCTGGTTCAAACTCATGTTGGATGCGGGGAAGAGGTGTTGGATTTGTTGGCAAAGGAATGTATGATTCGATAGGGTGTATCTGACGTGCGTGCTCTAGGTGAATAGCGTCTGGTCGGATCTTTTCGTTTTTTACCGGTGTCGGTCTCCGGTGATAATTCCATGGCGATAAAATGAAGGGTAATTGTAATAAAAAGAAATATCCTAAGGCTAGGAGGAGGAGTGCGGTGGTCAATGACCGGCCCCTGCGATTCGGGACCATAATGAAGGGTGGCTCGCGAAAGCACTGGATTTGAAAAGCGATTTGAATGCTATAGAGAAGTAAAGTCGAGAGGCGAATGAATGTGGAGAAAAAGCAAAAATAAAGAGTGGATGACAATGAGCGACAAGAAGCATAAACAAGGAATGATAATCAGAATGGGGGCATGTGGGAGGCTTCTACCATTTTGTGGCAGAATGTCAATTGAAGTTGACTTGGGATCCAGGGGTGTTTGGAGTTAAGAAATGTCACATCGAGGAAAATCACGTCAGTGGGGGGAACAAAAGGACAATATCATGATAGGGTCAGGAGCAAGGCTGGGTCCATCGATCGTCGAGATCTCCGTTCGATATCTGCGTAATCTACGAGATTGGATATTACACGCGTCAGAAGGCGAACACGAATGCTGTTCGGACTAATAATATGTGATTGATACTTTAGGAGCTTAAAGAATGCATTCCAAGACAATTACGCATTCAAGCTTCACAGATACTTTGTGGCTTGCCTAGACCCTGCATTGGTATATCGTAGAATTAAGTAAGGATTGATAGTTTGGCCTAGACCAATTTCCATGGCACAGCCCGCCTTGTCGCGTGTGGTTTTCTGTCTGCCTAGGAGGCTAAAGGAGAAAAAGCATCACACAGGTCCCACTTGGCCCCTGAAGGTGTCTCAGTTAGGAAGAGAGACAGTCGATCACGTCAAACTTGGTTTAGTGAATTAGTGTGGCGGAGGCAACCTATGCGGACCTGGGTTTGGTTGTTCAAAGTTTGAACTGTCGTGACTCGTTGTCGCCTTGTAGGTGTGGGCAAGAGATGGCTAGCTCAAGAGTAGAGCAATGCCTTTTTTTGGTAGCAAATTTTGAAGTCAATGAAACCCTAGTTTCCGAGAGCCTTGGCATAGCGTAAGTGTGTGTATCGCATCTATTTCGGGGCCGAAGCCCTTGAATGGAGCCGCGACCGCCACTGCCAGCCGTGTTTTCGCCAGCATGTCTCGAATTGCAAAAGCACGAATTGAAAATGCTGAAGCCGACTCCAACTGGAATCACAAGCAATGGCATTCGAAGAGAAGAAATAAATTAGCTGCCAACTGTAACAAAGTTGTAAGAAAGACTACCGTTGTCGATAAAACAAAGCGTATGTGTTTGCATTGTTTGCACCTGCAACGTCTGCCATGAATCGAGCTCTGAACAATTGGTGCTCAAATCGACGCAAATTATATACAACACCCTTAAAAGAAGGTGAGTCTACCCTCAATCTGATGCTTATAATAGATGCTAATCTAGCCGCTAGATTAAGGACTTAACACTCCCTTCCCTTGTCATAAGGCATAGCTTCCTCGAGCTCTAATCTCATTCACTGGCAATGCTTCAGTGAATCAAGCAGCCACGCCGTATACTATCCCGGGGACCCAACATAGACCCCAAAGAGACATCTTCATTGAAGCAGCGCGACTCTATCAATCTTCGTGTCTCATTTCTGATCATTCAAACATCAAGCCCCTGCTCAATAAGCAGGCCAGAAAAACCATCATGCCAATCACAGGGTACCCATCCCACGCATCAAGAAGCTCAAACCTCCAACTAACCTCCCCCAAGTGTCTACTTTATACCCTCACACCCAAATTCCTCAACAGCTCTGGGAACAATCACCGAGCGCCTCCGCTCCGCCTACCCAGATGAAGAACTCATCCCCTTGGGCCGCTGGGCCCTAGAACAAAAACTAATGAGAGACACCCCAAGTCTCATTCCCGCATCAGCAAATCCCTCAGCAGAAAAGCCGCGCTATATGCAATTCCTCTCGTTAACCCATTACCCCACCCACGGCTTCATCTATACATCCGAACCACCAGAGAAGCCTTTCCATCCCCCACATGCACCGGCCGGTGCAAGCCCAAGCCCTGTACCAAGCTCGGCGCCCATGGCTCAATCTCCATCCCAACCTTTATCGCAGTCAACTAGTAATAGCAATAGCTTCACCGCGTCGTCGGACTCACCGCCTATGATCATGACTGTTCTCCCAATGTCGTCTTTCGGTATGCTCTTCCAGCATTTTACTTATGCGTGTCAGCCCTTCTGGGCGCATCGGTTGACCGTCGCTGTGCCCAATGGTGTTATTTATGACGTGGGTGATTTCCGGGTGCGATTGGGTGATGTGCGGCAAACGTTCCCGATCGCGCGGCCGCGTGGTACAGTTATTGAGATTGAGTGGCGGGGTCCGACTGTCGTGGACTCTGTTGCTTCTGCTCATTTGGGTGCTCAGAGTGCTCAGAGTACAGATGAGCAGGATTCAGACTCTGGGATTGATGTGGATTTCTTGGTTGAGGAGTCGGATGTGGATGCGGAATATGCAGCTACCGCGGCTTTGATTCGTGAATTCTGGGGGAGACTTGGTGTTGAGGGGGCAAGAGAGGCTATTCTTGTTCCTGGGGTTGGAAAGGAAATTAAGGATCGGCTGAAGAAGCGGAGGGCTGCGAAGATGAAGAATGATCAGGGCTCCGGGGCTGTTGGAGAGAATGAAGCGGATATGAATGGAGCGGATGTTGCGAGGCAATATATGGAGGTTTTGCGGTTTAATCGGTAGATTGAGGATGAACCAAACATTTGACGGCTGTTATGTGCAAGACCTTCGAGGGTCGGATAGGATCTACGTCATTCTAACTTTCAAAGTACTTTTGAGAAGTACTGCTGCATTCCGGGAGGCATGCATCACTGTAGAGCAGTGGAAAACAAAATCAAGTTCATTGCCTACATTATGATATCTCAACGCACGAACTCTTCCACCAAATCCAGAACGTGTTATCTGCATTCAAGTTGCACGCTTGATCATGAATCATTCAAGCTGGAGCCTAACATCGGAAAGTATAGACTACAAAAGATCGGTATCGGGGAAACTGAGAAGAGAAAAAGAAACATCCTCATTGAAAATCACGACTTCAGCTGAATGTGAAACAAAAACATGGCGACATGAGTGGTTTATTTTTGCATCATGAGCTGGACGAACTCGTTGTCTGATAGAAGTTAGCATGCGAATTTACCGCAAAATGGCGTTTGAAATAGACTGGGGCAACGAACAGTCAATCCGGCCATCACCATCCTGATCCGCCTCACGGATCATCTCATCAACCTCATCATCGGTGAGCTTCTCGCCGATGGAAGTCATGACGTGGCGCAGCTCAGCAGCAGAGATGAAGCCGTTGTTGTCGCGATCGAACACCTTGAACGCCTCACGGATCTCCTCCTCGGAGTCGGTGTCCTTCATCTTACGGGCCATCATGGTGAGGAACTCTGTCACATGTCAATATGGATTCGGGCTGGAGGGCTTCAAGACTCGGGGGCAATCGTACCAGGGAAGTCAATGGTACCGTTGTTGTCGGCATCGACCTCGTTGATCATGTCCTGCAACTCAGACTCGGAGGGGTTCTGGCCGAGCGAGCGCATGACGGTGCCCAGCTCCTTGGTGGTGATTTGTCCTATTCAATTCATTCGTCTCAATTATATGTTCGCGTAATGGACACCGTAATATCGTATTGTCGTATTATTGGGCGTGAAGGTATTGCAGACGGTCGCACTTACCATCGCCATCCTTGTCCTAATACGGGAAAGCATCCATTAGTTTCCGGTTCAGGCAGCAGTCGTCAATCGCAGATGTAATTACTCACAAACAGGGAGAATGCCTCCTTGTACTCAGAGACTTGCTCTTCGGTCAGAGAATCAGCCTATACACGGTGCGATGTCGCGATCAGTCACGGTATCTTAAATGGCTGTTATCTCACTGCCCCGCAAAGCGGGGAGTCATTCTCCAACCCATCCAGTTTTGGAGGGAGGGAGGGGGGAACGAGATAATAAATAGTATAGCGGTCTGAAATCATACCATGGTGAAAATGTGGTGGGAAAGTGAGGAATGCAGAAAGGTTGGAGGGGGGGTGATGAAGGTGGGGAGAGAAGAAGTTAAGGGGAAAAGGGCCAGCCTTACGAGCGAGGTACATCGTACCGTACACAAAAATAGTGTGCCTGACAAGTACACCAGTCACGGTCTCGTATTTACTGGGCGGTCAGCATCGAAACTGGCAGAAAACAATAACAGTGAAATGTTTAGATTGAACAGGGCTGAAACTCTCTTTCTCAGCTGAAATATACTGTGGGCCTTGGACATCTGCAGATGGCTCCAATGGGGCCTCAATTAGGCTGACTCTGCCCAGGCTCGGGTGCTCCGTATTAGGTGAATTCTTGGCGTGTGGGCGGATGACCGCAAGCTAGAAAGAAAGCTTGTACCGCTCCCGATTGCCTCCCCAGAGCTCCAGATGGTGTAATCCTCACCCCCGCACTTGACACCGGGCAAGGTTACTCCGGTAGACCAGGGATTCAAGGGTAATGGCACAGGTAGATGTGGGTTATTGATACTAATACTCTAGACTAGATGCAAAAAAGGAATACCCAGCCATATCCTCCAAAGGTTGTTTAGATAAGGCAAAAGGCTGAGTTGGATAGTCATGACATAAATCAAGCATTCCTGATTGGATCCACTACAAATCAGCCTTTGGAACTATGGTGCATATTTTGAGGCAAAATGGTTTGCTACGTGTCTGTAGCTGACATTGCCACGTGAACGAGTTCACATCGATCGGACAAGCTCACCCTGATGAATTATACCAAGTCAAGGATGAAGAACCTTAAAAACTTGTGAATGCCATTGTTTAAAAGATGCTCAGGTAAGTTTCAAATCCCTCTCGTCGGGTTTTCGTCATGCTCTGGGTAAATTATTGGTGGAAGTACGATAAGTCAGCCTCATCTCCCAACCTCGCCCCGTGAACTGTTGATCTGGTATTCATACCCGAGGCCATAATCCATGATAACTTCTTTTTCTTCTCCTCGATTCGATAGTGGGCTTTCTCATAGCAATAGTTCAAAAGTTATATCTGTGCATTGAATAGTTGATACCTGCGGTAGACCATTCAATCTTTCGCTGCAATGTCGACTGGTTAGGGCAGTATATGAATCCCCGCTAATGCGTCTACTATGATGACTAGCACAGAGTAATCGTATACCTGGTATGGGTTGCATCTGTGATAATGCAGAAACCGTCGTTCTAGATGACATGGTTGAGTGAGACCCTGCTATGTCTTACACAAATGTAGTAAAATGTAGTGAAATAGAAGTGAATAGACAACACATTTTCATATGTCTTAGGTTAGTGTCTGATTGCTTCCAAAGTTCAATCTTCCCTTCTTCACGCCTTATCGCTTCAGTCTTTGCCATTTTGAACTGCACAGCCTCTCCCACTATATCTGGGACAACTACCCCTGGTCCCCGTGAATACCTCACGCTCCACCGGCTGAATTGGTGGTGACGAAATCAGTCTAAGAAGAAATGCGAGTCAGCTGGCCCAGAAGCCCGGCTACACTGGAACTCCTACAAAGGAAGATTGGCAAGAGTTATCTCGATTTTACTAACATGGTGGTACTTAGGCTGTTAATTATCTTGATATTTGACGGTTTCAACATGACTGCCCACCTGCAAATTGTTCCTTCAAGACTCTATATTTTAAAAGAGAAATTGCAAGTAGGATATAATAATCGTCTACAGTCATCAAACGAGTAGGGCCACTTAAGAAGTATATCATAACAGAATGGGTAATCAACAAAGTTTAGTCGTATTGGAGGTATAAGTTGGCAGTTTCTAATTAAAACTACGTAGAAATATTGAGTGCACAATATCGTCTGGTATATTTCTTGAACAAGATTACGAGATAAGATAGTATCTCAAAGCACTGTGAAGTAAAAGAATATACTCGAAATCGCCAATGTACCGAGTGGGGCTGCGCCCTGGAGACTGGGCGAATTGCCGGCCTCCTGCGCAGTGGAGAGAGCTTCCCGGGACCGTCAACTCCGCTGCTACATACTTGACACCAATACCACCCTCAGGAACATACACTAATTCTCGACGACTGATCATGATCTCCGCGATTATACTACTCTCACCATAATCTACACGCGACAACCCCCCATCCCCAGCCACGATGTGGCGGGATCGGACCAACCTGTACGCCTACCCCCTCCCAAACCAGCTACGTCAACCTTCGCAGAAACACAAAACTAACCAACTGTGCCCACCACGATAGCTACATATCCTACCGTCAATCCTTTGCACACCATCCCGCTAAGAAACCGCGTTTCGCAGGTTCCTCCAATGGCTTTGACTCACCCTCCCAGCCGGAGGAAAGCCGGCGACTGATCTCCGAGACAGGTGGCTTCGAAGAAGATGGTGATATGGTTATCGAGATGGATCTACTGCCTCCGCGCTGGGTGGATATTCAGGAGGAAGTCTCGGAGTACCTCGCCGATATCGCGCAGAAGGCTGCGGAGCTGGATAAACTACACCAGAAGCATTTGCTTCCTGGGTTCGGGGATGAGGATGTCCGGAGGCAGGACGAAAGTATGATTGAGCGGTTAACGCAAGATATCACGCGCAGCTTCCATGACTGCCAGAAGGCCATTAAGAGGATCGAGAGGATGGTCCACGAGTCCAAAGAGCAGGGCGGCGTGACCAGTGGTGAGGAAACCATGGCCAAGAACATTCAGATTTCTTTGGCCTCGAGGGTTCAGGAGGCGAGTGCGAGGTTTCGGAAAAAGCAGAGCACATATCTGAGGAGTAAGATTTGTGCCTACCTTGCTTTCATCGTGAGCACGTGAAACTAATTTGTATGCACTCGCAGAATTACGAGATATAGAGGGCTTTGCTACGCCGTTTGATCGCGCTCCTACCCCCGTTCAGAACCCCTACACCGATCCTTCTTTGATGGAGTCCGATGCCGACAAGTCTTTCTCACAGACCATGCTGATGCAGACCCAACAACGGGCGACGGGTCAGAACGATGCAGTCATTGCACAGCGCGAGCGCGAGATCAACGATATCGCGAAGGGTATTATTGAGCTTTCGGATATTTTCCGTGAATTGCAGACTATGGTGATCGACCAAGGCACTATGCTCGATCGCATTGATTATAACGTTGAGAGAATGGGGACCGAGGTCAGGGGTGCGGAGAAAGAACTCAAAGTGGTACGTTGTTTGTCTCTACCAAATGGCATAGGAAATGGCTGACTGATATCGCCAGGCTACGAATTATCAACGACGAACCACCAAACGCAAGGTCATGCTTCTGTTAGCCCTGGTGGTGGTGGGACTGATCATCATTCTCGTCGTGAAACCGAAAAATCACGGTTCAGCACCACCACCTCCACCACCTGCTGATGAATCATCTAATAATATCCGGTCAGTGTTGTTATCGACGCGGGAAAGGCGACATCCCTCATCGAGTCGTTTTGGTCGAGACCGCTGGATGGATCCGGACATACTTCGATAATGGTCTCTACATCCTGTGCAAATAGTTTCGAATTAGCACTTAGCGGGAAGGTCACTTGAATAATATTTTTATATGTTCCCGTTCAATATTGGCTAAATCCGAGCTGAACTGGGCAGTCTTGAAACTAGCGAAGAAGTATGTTGACCGAAATTCAAATAGTATTGACAAGTGTCGCAGATGGACGGACCTATTAAAACAGTTGAATGAACAGCTACCAGATTCAATGAAGGAAGAAAGGCTCAGGATAAATAACAATCCCCAAATCATTACTTCCCTTGCTGTGCAATCAGGGCAGCAACATCGTCATCGAGCTCCCCACCCGCAAACTGAGCGTAATCCTCCTCCCCATGGGTCACTTTGCGCCGCTTTGCCCCCGCCCCGTTTGCACTTAGATCGAAATCATTGCCCCCTGGAGAGAGTTCCGCCGGGTCAAGTGAAATTCCACTACCTGATTCCATATCAGGGATGACCAGTCCATCGGAGAGCTCCATTTGCGGCTCCTCGGTGAAAGGGCCATGGCTAGCCTGCTGTTGCTCGGGCTGGGGTGATCCGACAGGCGTTAACTCTTCAACAGGGGGAGGGGTCAGAGCTTCGGCTTCGGGACGAGGGACCTCTCCTTCAAAGTAATGAGGACCGGTATCGTCGGACATGTTTTGCATTATCGCATCCTCGACTTCACGCTTTTTCGAATCTGTCTGGGTCTTCCTCTCCGAGAGCTGTGCCACCAAAGCCTCTTCTTTCGCCAGTTCAGACCGGTTGTTTGCAAGAAGTTTCTCAAGCCCGTCGATCAACGCACGCCGGGATTTGATGACCTCCGAAACAGAACTCTCGGCATTGGCAAGAGATTTGAGGAGCTGACTCAGACGCGCTGCATGGACCGGAGGAGTAGGCTGTGGCTCCTTGTTATCCTGCATCTTGCTGTACTCGGAATCGGCATTTGCGGCAGAGGTCGTCGCGGTGATGGCAGCTTTATTAAGGGCGACTTGCAGTGGAACCAGCGGCTGGATTTCGGAGGGAGCAGACCCAGTGGAAGGCTCCTTGTTAAAGAGTGAGCCTCCGAGGGGCTGTTTCTTGGTGGTAGAGCGGGTTTTGTCGATTTCTAGAAACATAACTGCGTTAGAAAGACTGGCGCAGGAAGCCAAAGCGGCGTGCGACTGAGCTAGCTTACCGTTCACGCGAGCATCCACCGCATCGAGAATGGGTCCCTCGAATACATTTCGTGCTCTCCACACCTCCACGACACGGCGTAGCTTCTGCTGGATATCGTTTGATGAGCCTTTATAGGCGGTTGCTGTAGCCTCCGCGACGATCTGAGTCATGGTTAGTCCTGGGAGTTGGTTGAAGAAGATGTGTTTGATGACGAACTGGCGCAAAGGCAGTGAGAAACTCTTCTCTACCTCGAGCCTTTGATTGTTGGGAGACCTCTGTACGAATATTAGTCGATGAAGATGAGGCAAGGTGGGACGTTTTGTACCGTTGGCTAAGTAAACCAGGTTGAGGCGCTTGAGGGGCTGAGAGTCGCGAATCTTCTGTAGCCAGATCTGCGCAGTCTTATCGGCATGCCGTCTACATAAACAAAGCCAGGTTAGTATGTTTCCAGTAGGACACATGCTGTGTTGTTGTCATACCTATGAAACATGACCCACTGAGCGACAGTGACAATACTCTCCTGGGTCTCATTCAGAGCAGAAAGCTTTGCCTTGACGGCATCATCTGTGTAAGCCATTCTTGCAGGTCTTTACACGGATCCTTGAAAAGATAGGAGAAGCTAGGAAAGAGTCGGGGCGTTGAGAGGTTGAGTGTCGCGACAGTAACGGACTGGACCAAATGACGATGCGCGGTCAGAATTGAGAGCAATTGAGACTCGTGGAAGTAAGAGGAAGGAAAATCAATACGAGTAAGATCGTTCGAGCAAGCAACTGCAGGCAATCGTCGGCACTATGAATGCAGTTCTCCTTTGCGCAATCTTCAATACAGCAAGAAAATGTGAATGAAGCAGCTCTTTATTCCACTGACAACCCAAGCTCACTGACCGCCCTGGTCAAGTACGGGGTCCCGAGCGATTCGCCGACAACCTGTCAACTTACCTACTTCGAATCCTCATCTTCTCTTCAACTGTTTCTTACATTTCCTTTTCAACACCTTTTGTACCTTACAAAGCCACCTCTAAATCACAATGACCGATAAAGACCTTCCCGGCTTCCCTGCACTGGAGGGGTTTGATGGTATGTCCATCCACCGCACCCGGTGCCCCCATCCGTGTAAACAGTGCTAACTTCCTAATGTCTAGCCCCATCCGGAGCTGCTGAGATCGAGGAAACCGATGGTCTTGACTTCGAGCAACGTGAGGCCAATGCAGGCCTGGCCGGCGATTTTTCGGGGCAGGTCCCAACGAATGCCGATGACGACGATGACCTACTGGGCGGTGTTAACAGCGAACACGCTCAACAAGTAGCCAAATTCGAGGGTTCTTTCCCCGGCGCGGACACATACGGACAGAATGAGGTATGTCTTGGAGAATTGTGGTGCAGGACCTCCAAGGTTGGAGTTGCGCTGACATGACGGTGTCATCTAGAATGTCGCCCCTGGAGGAACAATTACCGGCTCCGGTTCCCCCTTCCCCCCGACTGGATACCAAAGCCCTCCCCAAGCTGAAGACGAGGGTGATGCTGTTCGGTAGGTTAAATTGGCCCCACCACGGCAAGCGGGCGCATGACGTCTGCAGCCTGCATCACCTAGCTAACCATTGGATGTTCCTACGTATAGTGAATGGCGTGAGAAGCGCGACGCTGAGATCGCCCGCCGCGCCGAGGTCTCAGCAGAGAAGAAGGAAGCTACCGTGCAAAAGGCTCGTGAGAACATCGACGACTTCTACGTTTCATACAACAACAAGGCCGAAAAGCACCGTGCCCAGACCAAAGCTGAAGCTGAGCAGTTCATAAACAGCCGTGAAGACACCTCTGCTGGTGGTACCAGCTGGGAGCGCATTGCCAAGCTGGTTGATGTCTCCGGAAAGGGCAATACCGGTGGTGCCAGTGGCTCTGGTAAGGAGCGCTTCCGTGAGCTGTTGATCGACTTGCGGAAAGACCAGGAGGCTCCGGGCGCCAGCGGGATCTAGGCTGCTTCTCTTTTGGCTCTGTTTTTTTCTCGTTTCAACAAGGGGACAAGTGAGGGACCACGGCTACAGGAGTTGCTTCGGGACTGGGGAGCGAGTGCTACTTATCATTGACACCCTGGAACGTGCGAGGTACTTGGTTCCCTGTACTGTTTCTTAGCTTACACACATTATCTAGAGAGCTTTATTTTCCCCCTACTATATTTCCCATTCTTTTCCTCTCTATGCAGCGACGTCTTCAGGGAAATTCGTGTAATTTAAGTATTTCAGACTGGTGGCATCGTTAATACCAAGGTTTTTCTTTTTATGATGCCCATGGCTTATTAAACATCGATGAATTCACAAAGATAACACATTTGATCAATAGCAGACCAGCGCACTCATTTGAGCCATTTCGAGTAATTAGTGACTTTTTGGGGGGTTCAATCCAGTTCTGTAATGTCACCAGCAGGCTCTCCGACCTCTTCCCGCTTACCCTCGGCCTCGAGCTCCGCCAGCTTCTTCTTGCCCTCTTCAGTGGTACCATCGATAATGCCTTCTTCCATACTGAGCATACCACTCTCACCCAACTGCTCCACAACCACTTCAGCCTCTTCCACGGACATCTTGCCAAGGACCTTGTTCACCTCGTCCAAAGATTCCGATTCTAGTGCCTTTTGAAGCTCCGGGGAGAAGGCATCAAAGATCTTGCGGGCCTCAATCTCAATGGGCTCCTGACTGTTCGGTTGAGGGAGGTTGATGGTGATCTTTGTGTTGGGGTCAACGGCATGCAGCTGGATTTGCTCAACACCCGCTGGGTCGTTAGAGGCGGAGCCATCCTTCTTCAACTCAGCTGCACGGCTCTTAATGCGGTGGTATGTCTCATTCACATCGTTGCTGAACAGGCCTGATGCGCGGTGGTCCTTGGTTGTAATGCTGTCACGATGATTTGTTAGTTAGATCCGCGGAATCGCATACTCTGCGCAACTTACCGGTTGAAAAAGAGCTTGATGCCATCCGGACCCAGGGAGCGGCAGTACTGCAGCAGTAGAGCCTGATGAACACACTGTCGAGCATAGTCTTCTTGGCCCTTCATCTGGCTGTTGAAAGCCTCGACAAGCAGACCATCAGTCTCCTTCTCGGCGACAATCTGGGGATGTGCGCTGATGAACTGCAGATAGGCAGCATAGTCATTAGGACGAAGTCGGGCAAACTTCCTGCCAAGTTCACTAATCTCAACGTCGGCGGGGTCATCATCGTCATCATTCTCGGCCGCGCCACCGGAAACCTGGCTGCCCGCACCAGGGTTCAACAGCTGAACCTCAGTGGACTTGGACGAGGTAGCTTGTGACTTATCGGTGGCCTTGGCGACATGGGATGTATTGAAGCCATCGTGCAATTTATCACTGGTAATCTTGCTGCCCTCCTCCTTCTCAAGCGTCGCAAGCTTCGTCAACAATTCCTTCTGCAGATTCTGCACCTTAGTCTGGTGACCCTCGACGCCTTTGATATATGCATCGATCATATTGTCGGGCTTCGAATCCTCGAACTCCTTCTTCACCATATCTAGCAGCGAGCTCATCATCTGAGAGTATTTGGGCTGCTCCTTTTCGTGCGTGTAGACGCCCTCTGGTGGTGGCGGGGCTTGATCGTCTGCGGGGTTGCTGGCAAACTCCATGATCGTTTGAAAGATAGGCTGCTCGGGGGAGGTAGTGGTTCCTTCGTGCTGCTTGAGCGCGGAGAGAAGCTTGTCGATGCGCGAGAGGAGGCCATCGTTGATAATGCGCTCGTATTTTAGGGTCTTAATGTCATGGCGGCGCTGTTCTCGTTGCTGATGGATTTGGTTCTGCTTGGCTCGAATAAACGAGCGCTTGTCAACATTAGGGTGAACCTCGATATCCGAATCATCGGACAGCTCGAGGGCATCCCATTTGCTGTAGTCAAGAACCATTTTGGCGTGTTGTGAATTTAGCTTGGATGAGGCGGGGTATGAACGTGGTGTAAGATATGTAGTAGGAAGAGTTGCAAGCCAGGAGTACCTGAAATTAAAACAATCACAGATATTCCAAGACACAGTCTCTAGAAGAGATATGCGAATAGTCCTGCAGGTGCACAGTTAAATAGAACCAGAACCAAAACATCCAAAAGCATCTACAGCTCTCGATTAGCTTCGATGGGCGGTGAATAATTCTGCCCATTGGACTTGCCGACAACGGGGGTTTTGCGATCTTACATCTCCACATGCTTTCGGGGAATGCTCTCAATGGTCATGGACCGTGCGGAATTGCTGTTTCTCCCATGAAAAGTACCAATAATGGCCTCACCTGTTTCCCTTTAGTGACTTCACAGCCTGATATTCTGCTGAGATCTTGAATTTACTGCCACTCCGAAAGATGCGCGGTCTCCGGCTGCCGGCCTGCGCTCCGGGCATCAGCTCTCGGTCGGTATTGAGACCGCAGAGCACTGTACTCCGAGAGTTGCTTTCCCAGTCAAATCGACCTTCCGTGCGATCCACCGGCTTCAATTATATCAACCGATCTTATTCAACCCCCTCCGAAGCTCTTCGCGACAGGCCCGGTCGTCTTTTCCGGTCGGCCGAAGCCCCCCTGTTAATTCACCAAAATGGCCTCCAAAATACCCCGTCGACGTCCAGTATGATTTCACAATCTCGATCGTTCTGTTCCACCCCTCGACATCTTGAAAAAAAAGCGCCTGTGCCCTCCAATCCCACCACTTCTCCCGGCCGCTCGGTTCCGGAAAAGGAAGAAGATGATTTTGACAAAGGATTCGAGCTCTCGGAACGAGCAGCACAAGCCGCACAAGTTAATCTGAGTGCTAGGCTGGCTAAAGATGGTGCTTCGGGCAAGAAATCTGGCTTCTCTGAAATTTGGCGACTGTTGAAGGTTGCACAGCCCGAATCCAAGAAGCTCGGACTTGCATTCTTCTTTTTGCTGATCTCTTCGGGTATTACTATGTCGATTCCCTTGTCGATTGGAAAGATTATGGATACGGCTACCAAGAGCGTGACAGAGGGCGGTGGTGAGCTTTTTGGCTTGAGTATGCCGATGTTCTACAGCGCTCTGGCAGGTGTACTGGTCATCGGCGCCGCTGCCAACTATGGCCGCATCATCATCCTTCGCATCGTTGGTGAGCGCATCGTCTCTAGACTTCGTTCCAAGCTCTTCCGTCAAACTTTCATCCAAGACGCTGAGTTCTTTGATGCCAACCGTGTTGGTGATCTGATTTCTCGACTGGGCTCTGATACCATTATCGTGGGTAAGAGTATCACCCAGAATTTGTCCGACGGATTACGTGCCGCGGTAAGCGGTGCAGCTGGTTTCAGTCTGATGGCCTACACTAGCTTGAAGTTGTCCAGTATCTTATTCTTGTTGCTTCCGCCAATCGGTCTGGGTGCTCTCTTCTATGGTCGTGCCATTCGGAACCTCAGTCGACAGATGCAGAAGAACCTGGGTACATTGACCAAGATTGCCGAGGAACGCTTGGGCAATGTGAAGACAAGTCAGTCCTTTGCGGGCGAAATTCTTGAGGTGAATCGATACAACAAACAGGTCCGCAAAATATTCCAAACCGGCAAGCGGGAATCTCTGATTAGTGCGGCTTTCTTCAGCTCGGTAAGCACCAAGCTCTAATGTAGACATCTAAACAGGTTGGCTAACGATTGATAGACGGGTCTTATGGGCAACATGACGGTTCTGTGTCTTCTCTACGTTGGAGGTGGAATGGTCCAATCTGGAGCCATCACCATCGGAGAATTGACCTCCTTCCTGATGTATACAGCGTACGCTGGTTCCAGCATGATTGGTCTTTCCAGTTTCTACTCCGAGCTCATGAAAGGTGTCGGTGCAGCAAGTCGACTCTTCGAGCTACAGGATCGACACCCGACCATCCACCCGACCAAGGGCAGGAGGGTGGACTCGGCACGTGGGCCTATTCGCTTTGAGAATGTCACTTTCAGCTACCCCACTCGTCCTGCAGTGACCATCTTCAAGAATTTGGATTTCGAGATCCCACAAGGAACTAATGTTGCCATTGTCGGACCTTCTGGAGGTGGCAAGTCAACCATCGCATCTCTTCTACTCCGCTTCTACAGCCCTACTGCTGGTAGAGTTTTGATTAATGGGACGGACATTAGTGGAATGAACGCCAAATCCCTTCGACGAAAGGTTGGCGTTGTTTCCCAAGAACCTGTTCTCTTCTCCGGCACCATTGCCGAGAACATTTCATATGGTCTGCCAGACGCAACTCGATCAGAGATTGTTGCTGCGGCCCGAAAGGCCAACTGCCAGTTCATCAGTGACTTCGTGAGTACCAAACATAAAAAAGACTCGTAGCCTACACATACTAACTATGCCATAGCCCGATGGCCTTGACACACATGTTGGAGCCCGCGGTGCGCAATTGTCCGGTGGACAGAAACAACGCATTGCCATTGCCCGCGCACTAATCAAGAACCCCGATATTTTGATTCTTGACGAGGCCACATCGGCGCTTGATGCCGAGTCGGAGACCCTGGTCAACAGTGCATTGGCCGCTTTGCTCCGGGGCAACAACACGACCATCAGTATTGCCCACCGTCTTTCAACAATCAAACGCTCTGACACTATTATTGTTCTTGCACCCGATGGCACAGTTGCCGAGCAAGGCTCCTACACGGAGCTTAGCGCTCGTCCAGATGGAGCTTTCACCAAGCTCATGGAGTGGCAAATGAGTGGTGGAGAAGCCACACAGTCTCCCAAACGGCCTGCGGAACCTGAAGAGCTTTGGGAGCTGCAGAGGGAGGCGGAGGCGGAGCCAGAGCTCTCGGACGAGGAGGTTGTTGAACATCCGCCCCACAAAAAGGATTAGACAAGGTGTCTTCTCATCCCTTTCTCTTTTGATCCTGTCATATTCATCTAGCGGAGTCTGGTGAGGGCTTGTAAGTCTTGCACACTCAAATGTTCTGAGGATCCTCTCTTCTCATACAGAATACTTTTTCTTTCGGCTCCTCGTTTTTTTTTTTTTGGCGATAGATATTACACGAACCTGGAACTATGTATAAACAACCAATATATTGGACTACACCACTTCAACTTTGACTAATCTTCGAGTATGTATGACAGTATGACGATATGTACCACATGGTCGCGGTCATTTGCGCCCGCATTCTTTCTCCGCTTTGGGTCACGTGGTCCCGTCCGAGGTCCCCGCTGATTCATCGGAGCTGTAACGTCCCCTCACGAGCTCTTTTACAAGATCATTGTCCTTTCTACGCTTCAAATCCTATTCAAATAGAATAGGAACATACAACCTTCAGTCATGGAGCGAGCCCGCAGGCTCATCTCAGACTCTGTGGCATACGAGCGTCTGGAAGACTCCGTGGAGGATGATACTGATATAGAACACCCTCAGTCTCAGCCGCAGTCACGCTTTTCGCGACTTGAATATGGTGTGTTCTTTCTATTGGGAATAAGCATGCTATGGGCGTGGTAAGTCAGATCTGGGGGATCATTTTCGTAGACTATGGAGTTCCCGATAAGCTCATGGATCTGACCTTCGTGACGTGATAGGAATATGTTATTAGCTGCTGCACCTTATTTCCACCAACGCTTCGAGTCAAATGAATGGACTTCGACCCACTACCAGCCCTCCATCTTGTCCGTCTCGACGGTCACCAACCTTATTTCGGCATATACCCTCGCCAGAGTGCAGAAGAACGTCTCTTACCCTTGGCGGGTGACGCTCGCGCTGTTAATGAATTGCTTTTTCTTCACGCTTCTTGCATTTTCTACGATCGTGTTCACAGGCGTTTCGGCTAAGGGATACTTTGCCTTCTTGATGGTGATGGTCTGGGGTGCCAGCCTGGCCACGGGTATCAACCAGAATGGAGTCTTTGCATACGCTTCGAGCTTTGGCAGGGAAGAATATACGCAGGCAATCATGAGTGGCCAAGGTGTGGCCGGAGTATTACCTTGCATTGTCCAGATTATCTCTGTGCTGGTAGTACCCAAAAAGGCCAACGGTGATCACGGGTCTCAGGCATTGTCATCAAAGTCTGCCTTCATCTACTTTATAACTGCCACAGGTGTGTCAGTGATGACATTACTCGCGTTTCTTCATCTACTCCGAAAACGCCCTGATCTGCAACCTAAGTCTACGCAGGAAGAGAATGCAGCGCTAGTCGACGATAGCCGTGTGCATGATAAGACCGTGAGCTTGTGGACACTCTTCAAGAAGCTTCGATATCTAGCCATTGCGGTTTTCCTATGCTTCACAATCACCATGCTGGCATTCCCGGTCTACACCTCTACAATCTTGTCAGTCAATGACCCGGAGAAATCACGGATATTTAGCTCGGCCGTCTTCATCCCATTGGCATTTTTGTTCTGGAATTTAGGAGACCTTGGTGGAAGGTTGCTCGTGGTAATCCCAGGGCTCTCTCTTGGCCATCGTCCGTGGGTCGCTTTTGTTTTCTCCGTTGCACGTATTGGATTTATTCCGCTTTATCTGTTCTGCAATGTGAAAGGCAATGGGGCTCTTGTGTCCAGCGACTTTTTCTACCTTTTCGTTGTGCAGCTTCTCTTCGGAGTTACGAACGGGTATTTGGTTTCCAGCTGCATGATGGGTGCGGGCCATTGGGTGTCTCCCCACGAGCGGGAAGCTGCAGGTGGATTTATGAGCATGATTCTGGTCGGTGGTTTGACGGCTGGTAGCTTATTGAGCTTCTTGGTGGCCAATTAATATCGTCTCGGCCACGGGTACTTCACAAATCTCAAATTGTTGGTTTTAATGACTTACGATAATATATTTCGGGTTTATAGAAAGTGCATATAAGATATTAGATGCCATCCCATTCTCAGTTATATTCATCCGGTTGTTGGTTTGAACCAAAACTTAGTGATATAATCTACGTATAGACATCGATTTCCACAAACTTTGTTGTTTCAAAGGACTAGCCCTGGAGAAACCCTAGTCGTTGTTCAGATGAGTTCTTGACAGCAAGCACATCTCACTATGCCTCCTCACCAGGTTACTACGTGAAATCACTCGCAAAGCTCCAAGACATGTTCACGGCGGTCATCAATAGTCCCTGTTTACTGGTGGGTGACGCTTTAGCCATGGCGTCAAACCTGGAGGCTGACACCATCGGTTTGTCTCTCAAAGGAAAACAAGGGTTGAAATTCAAGCGTCGATGGATAACAAACGGCAGTCCAATGGCGAAAGTTTAGGCTGAATCTGAGCAGCCTTACCGGATGTTTCCCACTAATTTTTCTACTTTTGGATTCGGACCACGAGCGCCTTCGCGTCTTCCGAATGGTAGAAATGTTACCAGGCCATCTCGTGCTCTAGATGATCCCTCATCACTCAACAAGAACCTCTCTCCGTTCCTCTATCTCCTGGCTTTCTTCACTCATATCCCGCCATATCTTTCACCAGGGCCCTGGTAACCGGAACTCGTTATCAGTCTTTCGCGCAGGATTCTAGCTCTTCGCTTATGAATTCCGGTTCAACCATGGTTTCCGCTTGGTCAATCATTTTGACTCTGCTCATAGTAGTAAGTGCAAAAGTTCTCCCCGATTCGTATATAATGAGCATATCATCTAATACAGATCACTTCCAGACGTTGGTTTATTTGTCGGGATGGATGGTGTATGCATTGTACTGGCATCCGCTGAGCCGATACCCAGGTCCCACACTTGCGGCCATTTCGCCGTTCTGTCACCTTCTCTGGGACATTCAAGGAAGACAGCACTCTGTTATCAAAGATCTACACGATCAATATGGAGATGTGGTTCGCATTTCTCCTAATTCGTTGGTCTACCGAGCCTCCTCTGCTTGGAAAGATATCTACGGTCATCGAAAGAAGGGACAGAAGACTTTTCTCAAAGATCCTTCTCTGTACGCACCGACGCCAAATGGTGTCAATGCTATTATCACCGCAAATGAGCATGATCATCAACGTATGCGTCGTCTTCTGGCACATGCATTCTCCAGCAAAGCCCTCAATGAGCAAGAGAGTATCCTTCATACCTACGCTGACATGCTGGTCAACAAGCTGGGGGACATACTATGCAAACCATCACCTGCCGTCATTGATTTGACTCGTTGGTTCGACTTTACTACCTTCGATTTGATCGGTGACCTAGCTTTTGGTGAGCCATTTGACTGCCTTGCCAATAGCACGTATCATTGGTGGGTCCTTATCATCTTGGATGCTGTCAAGGCAAGTGCGTATCTTAAAGTCTTCTGGTTTTACCCGCTGTTACTTCCGTTATTAGCTCTGCTAGTTCCAAAGCATCTTCTCGAGAAGCGTACCGCAAGTTTTAATTTGAGTGTGGAGAAAATGCGCCGCCGTCTCAACAGCAATACTACCAGACCCGACTTTACCTCATACATCCTCAAGCACAGCAAGGGCGGCATGGGGCTCTCGCCGTCCGAGATAGATGCCAATGCCGCTGTTTTTGTGCTTGCCGGTAGCGAAACAACTGCCGCTCTGCTATCGGGCTGCATGTTTTATCTGCTTTGCCATCGTGACAAGTACAAGCGACTTGTTCGGGAAATTCGCGGCGCTTTTAAAAACCCTTCCGACATCAGACTGGCACGGATTTCCGTGCTTCCATACCTCAATGCCGTCTTGACTGAGACTCTTCGCATCTACCCTCCTATTCCTGCTATGCTACCGCGTCTTGTACCGGAGGGCGGAGCCTTTATCAACGAAGCATATGTGCCTGCTGGGGTAAGTGCGGGTCGATCACTGCACCTTCTCGTCAGATGTATCGATCTCGATTCGTTGACTGCCGTTTCTATACTAACTACGCCCAGGTCTCTGTCTCGATCTCTTTGTACTCCAGCTTCCACGCATCCACTCACTTCAAACAAGCCCACTGCTTCATCCCGGAGCGCTGGCTCACTGGTGAGGAGTCCAAGGACTTTGCTTCTGACAACAAAGAAGCTTTCTACCCATTCTCACATGGACCACGGAATTGTCTGGGACAGCAGTAAGCAAATTTTACAGAATTATTGGCATATCGCGGTCAAGAAACTAACAGCTCGAATAGCCTTGCTAATGCGGAAATGCGCCTGATTCTCACAAAGCTTCTATGGCACTTCGATTTTGAGCTCCAACCCGAGTCTCTGGCCTGGTCCCAGCAGCGATCATTCTCTCTCTGGTCTCGCCCCGCTCTTATGGTGAAACTTGCCCGGGCTGGAGGTGAATTCTGACCTCGTTTCGGCATTGTGCATGAGCAATCGCTCGACATCATTATCATTCCCTGCTTTCATCTGTCATTTGACTTGGCTTTGCTTTCGGCGGTAGCTCTAGTTTTCTGAGGTTGTAGCCATCTGCCCCGCATGAGGTGCGAATTGATTCCATTTTTAGTTGCATATTGGAGCTTTGTCTTTTCTTTTGCTCTTTGTTATTTCGGGCCCTGATCATGTGAAGACCTTTAAGTCTGATAGCAATATCATCTGTGCACGTATCAATCGATCTCTCTCTCTCTCTCTCTCTCTCTCTCTCTCTCTCTCTTTGCTCCCATGCCCATCTGGAGTTCTACATCAATATTTTCCCGCCAATTTGCATTCGAAGATGTATCTTCGATGAACCCCAGTTATTGGTTGATCGCTCCACCACTAGCGCTACTTATCTCACAGTAAGACATTGTGGATACAGTAAATCGCCTCAGGATCTCATGGATGTTCTAGGCAGGGCTTGCGAGCAGGGCGGGGACGATGTGAGAGATATTACAGGTAGAACGCATTTCGGAGACCCGACCGGAGTTTGCAATCACTGTATTTACTCTTGGGGTCTATGCCTTCTTCCATCTGGGCATTCATTAGTGTCATCACAAGGTATTGGCTTGAGATATTAGCCAACTTTATCAAAATCAGGCAGATAGTGTATTAAGTCACATAGACCTCAATGACCTTGGAATGCATGCATTCATGCAGATTCTATATGCAACTTAAGCCCAAAGAGTAAAAATCGCAAACTCCTCGCCGTGATGATATCCAAATAATAAATATGGCCAATCCATACATCCCAGGATTAAGACTCCGTAAATATGCACAGAATGAAAGGAAAATGCTACCACAAAAAGCACCCAAGAGGAAACCTAGCTCAGAAAAAATCCTCCTCAGCGAGCCATTGTGAATCCATGGCATAAGCAACAAGATCGGCCGCACAACACATATCTTCATGACCATGTTCCAGGTCCAAAAGACTGAGCACCGAGTCGAGTCTTCCCTCGAGAGTCTGCTTGAGTTGTGCAACACGGGTTTGTAGATCTTTGGTCTGTCGTTCCTTTATGACGATACTAGCCACGCTTTGATCCTTGGGTTTGCTTGTTTTGCCCGTTGCTGATTGTCTTTCCATTACCCTGTTGGGTGAGCAGGGAGCCAAAGCCTTCCTTTGCGGCTGCGCTGCTGGTTGTTGAGAAGCTTCGGGCTTTCTGTTCTTCAACAGATTTTTCAAAATGAAAAGCAGCCAGACCAAATTGGTTCGCGGTGCATACTCTGCCCAGATACCGGGGATATTAGGTGTCTTCTCGGTTTCAGAAGGGTTTCCTGTGTAGACAGTTGCGCGCATACTGCATAGAAGCGTTAGTTAAAAAAAAATTCTTGCACGTCAGACGATGGAATTACCAACTTACTGTCTATAAGTGTCTCTCAACAAGATCTCGTCCTCATCCTGGCCAATAGCATCAAATATTTGCTTTTTATCCAAGTCTGACGAGGCATTCTCAATAATGCCTTCAGGATCATCGGGAAGATCAGCCAAGTGCAAGTCAGCGCGAGAGAGGGAGTAATCAATGATAGTAGTCTCCAATGCACTAATGCCAAATCCACTAGGGGATTGCTGGCGAGCAATCTCCATATCGGTGGGTGGTTCCATCGAACCATCTGGTCTAGTAGACCGAATGCATACATTCCCCAAATGAAGATCTCGGTGCTGAAAATAACTGCTATTAGCCAAACAACGCACCAACTTTCTCCAGTCCACAACTCACCTCAAAGAGAGCGTACTCCTCAGCACGAGCTAAAGCCATAGCTACGCCCCAGAAAATATCATAGATCTGGAAGGTCGATGTCCAGGAAAATTTCTCTAATTCACACCCCGCATCATCCATCTCTATAATTGCCCACAACTGGGAATCTGGGTACGCCTTTTTGTTCGCCGGGTTCGGGTTCATGCAGTCATCCTTAGTCTTCTTGTAATGATCCCAAGCAGCTTGAAAAGTTTCCGGGAAGCGGCCTTGCACCACATGAATCTCTCGGAAGCGGGCAAATCCAGGGATTGGATCTAGATATTTGAGCATTTTGACTTCGGAGACGATTTCGTCAATGCTGGTGAATTTCTTCGATCCCGGACCGCTTTGCGCTCGGAGTGGTACCACTTTAAACACACCATCTCCATACGCTCTCAGTTTCGCCAGTTTGGACTTTGAGACTGCTGGTCTACTGCCTTCTTCGTGTAAATGCAGTTTGTAAACCTCTCCGTATGAGCCTTCGGCTAGCTTCGCGACGTGGAACATGGTGGCAGACCGTGAGGCCCAGGTGCTGAAAATTTGGATGCTTTGTGATGATATTGATGATAGTGCTTCGTTCAGAATTGGGCGAACGTAGGCGTTCGCTTTGGTGTCGTGAACAAATCCAGATGATCTTCGCGCTGTGGGTGTCTTCCTCCGTGCTGCTCTTTCCCTTGAGGGTACAGTATCGGTCTCCTCTTGGGTCATTGTGGTTTCCGGCTGGGCCGCCTTGGGATCAATCCTCACCTCCACTATCGATTGGTAGTTCTTTTTCTTGGGGGCCTTGACCGAAGGTCCCTTGGGTGGGGTGTGCGCATGTTGTGGAGAGGCTGAAGTTGTCGGCTCGTCACGATCCTGGGCTCTTGGATTGATTGTCTGTTCTCCCTGGCTCTCTGGTAGTGGTAGAGTGCTGGCCTCCTGGACAGGATCTAGCTTCTCGGTAATGGACACCTTGGCCAATTTTTCCTGAATGGCTTCTACTGCCACATCTGATCGTTGAGGGTAATCGACTACCTTTGCTGGGCTCTTTTGATCGAACACAGCTCTGGGGGCATTGTTTCTCTTCTTCCCGTAGACTTTTCGCTGAGCAACTGTTCTGGTGGAAGGTTTTCGAGGGGGTGTAGGTGTCGCGTGACCCAATGGCGAGGTCGACTGGGTCTTCATGGTGGTTGCAGTCGCTATAGTGAGTTTTGATTCAGGGTACTATCATACATGAGCGAGGAAAGTCGACAATGGTGAGAGCAAAGGCTGTAAGGGAAAATCCCAGACCAATGATGATGCGTTTGTCCAGAGCGCGAAAGTATTGATCTTTATCCAAATATGGCTTAGCGCAACCGTTGCTCTGGTGAAGCATTCTTCTTATGTCAGCCAATCACAGCTCGGCTTTCTACGTCATATGGGGAATAGATCAGTTGATTAATGATGAAGTTGCTTTTGAAAATGTACATATTAGGATACATTTATTTTCGTGAGTATTGAGAAGATCCCTAAGATTCTTGCGGGTGATGAACTTAAGCTCAAGGGAGAATGAAACAACCTTAGTTTCTAGGTCCGCCTACAGGGGATAGCTGGAGTGTAACGCTACCTGATCTGATATATATTATCCAAATTGAGGCATCCGTACGAAATGGCCGACGACAGCTAAACAATAGCAGCATATCAAGACATTTCTATACAAACCAAGATAGAGAGAGTTGACAAAGCACTGCGGCAGAGTTTAGATCTTATTCAAGCTAAGAGACCGTTAGTAGAGAAGAACGGAGGATGTGCGAATGTGACCCAAAAGCTATTTGGCGAATGACTTCCTGAATCTTGTTTTTTTTTTTTTTTTTTTTTTGATTAATTGGCGATATGATAGATCTGTCAGATTGCAAAGAGGAGTCTCCCGACCACTCCAGTCTTCGATACAGATGTATAGCTACAGCATTGATATGCAGCTTGGACCAATCAGAGACTTTCCGTATTGCGGCGCATCTGACCCCGAGTACGGAGTACGGGGAGACTATAAGACACAAAAGACCCGAACGTGCGGGCTGGACTCAGGCCCTCGTGAGATCGGCGTAGGTCATGCCTGTTTTTGGCCCGCGTAAAACTTCGACCATCGCGTTTCAATGTTTTGTTTCCCCCCTTTCCCCAGTCCTATTCTCGGATTGGTGGCGCCGGATCAAAAGAAGACTTATGCATCCCACACTGTTTCGTAGAAGCTAAAGGAAACGTGAATGGTCCAATGAAGCCCCAAGTGGGAATGTCTTCGGGGCTGGTCGGAAAGAGTGGGACCGGCTGCACAAAGTCGAAGATGTGACGTACCCGGACTTGTTCTGGATTCTGGATTCTCAACCGTCATGCCAAAGGATCAAATCAAGTAGAAACAAGTAAAGTACTGAAAGATAGGAAACTGAAACAGGAGTAGGAATCTGATTTAAATTAGAAAGAAAATGATGTTGTAAAGGCAGGCAAGGTCAGAGCCTGTGACTTGTGACCTGTGACCTCGGGATCTTCTTTTTCCTTTTTTTTTTTTTCATTGCGCCTTTCCTCCTTAATTCGCCTCCACTTCCCCGGCGCGCTTTTTTCGTTACTTTCCAGTCCTCTACTCGTTTCATTTCCTTCTCAATGCGAGGGCATGGCGTTCAACTTCAACTGGTCGCCTTTGATGGCAGACGCGGGTTTTTACACTCGTGCCCAAGAACTGCTTACAGCCGCCCTCAATAAATCGCCGAAACCTCCCATCATCGTCGATGACATTATCGTGACCGAACTCAACTTGGGGTCTATGCCCCCTGATTTAGAAATTCTGGAGATCGGAGACCTTGCAGAGGATCGCTTTCGCGGCATTTTTAAGATGTCTTATTCCGGAGACGCCTTTTTGACCCTCAAGACCAGAGTCCAAGCGAACCCACTCAACACCTACTTGATCACGCGCCCTTCTTTTGCATCGCCGAAACCACTGGCAGCTGCGTAAGTGCCTCCGCAACTTGCGCGCCACGTAGCGGTCGTAGCGCTATGCTAACCTGTATCGCAATTTAGTACCCCGCTCACCATCCCTCTCCAAATCACACTCTCCGATTTCAAGCTCTCCGGCTTCGTCATACTAGTTTTCTCGAAGCAAAAGGGCATAACTGTCGTCTTTCGCAATGATCCCCTTGAATCGCTCAAAGTCTCGTCAACATTCGACTCTATTCCATTCGTGCGCGACTTCCTCCAGAAAGCGATCGAAGCTCAATTACGCATACTGTTTATGGATGAACTGCCCGCAATCATTCATCGGTTGTCGCTTCGCCTATGGGTTCCGGAATATCGCGCAGGGGAGGATGCACAGAACCAGACTGAGAATACCATCCAAGCGACCACCGAAGGTCCCGGCCAAGACCCGCTGGCGAGCCCACCACAGGACCCTGTCGACTCGCTTGGAAATGCGCTGAACGAATCCGAAATTGCGTCTCTGTCCCTAGACTCAGTCGAGACCCATTCCCTGTTCTCACAGAAAAACCTATTGCGCCTCGCCGCCCTGACAGATTCCCAACGCACCCTGTCGCTTTTCACACCTTCCATTAATGAGGTGGTGTACCGCGCCTGGACATCTCCTTCTGATCCCAGCGAGTTTCCTGCTAGCATAGCATCGCCTTTGAGTCCAACTCTGTCTCGAACCCATTCGCAGGTCGGTAGCATGTCGTCATCTGTACATGAGACCGGTAGCACCGTCTCCCTGCAAAGCCGACCATCTATATCAAGCCATTCGCTCAGTAGTTATGGTCTCAGCTTGGGCGCGGGACGCCATTCCAAGGCTCACTCTCGTAGACGAAAGAAGCGTGTGGTGGATTTGCGTCGTCCCAAGACGACCGATGACGCCATGAGTGTTAGTGACGATGGCAGCCATGCCGAGTCCACCGGTCCTCAATCAATCGCCTCTGCGCCCTTGCCAGTTGTGAATGAGCAGTCTGACGACCCTGTGACCCCACCATTATCTCCCGAGTCAGACTTCCACCTCCAGACAATCCCCGAACGGGATCGAATGAGCATTTCCCGACCAGCGCATCCTCGGGCTACCATGACACACGAGGAACCATACGGCCAAGAGACAATCCGCGCCTCCCAGGTCCAGGATGTAGATGCTACCCCTCGGCCCCTGCGACCCAGCTTCCACGACGAGAAGGCTGAAGCCGGTCCCTCCTCAGGTGCTGCTCGCCACCCTTTGCCTGCCACCGTGCTTCCATTCACCAAAGAAGACGAGGAAGCCAAGGGAGACTCTGTTGACCCTCTTCTTGTTGAGCGACTAGCGGGTGAAATTGCCCGTCGAATGCGCGAAGACAAGCTGATGAACAACACCTGCAGCAACTTCTGGGCTCGCTCTCAGGATGATGCACCCCCGGCCTATGGCCATTGAACACCGCAACTCTTTCCAACTTCTCTCTCCCCTCGAGCAAGACTCGCTTTTAATGACTGCTACGACTTTATTTTGTTTTTCATTTTGTTTTTTTCCTTTGTTGATTTGGATTTGGTTTACTTGGAAGCGGGATTGTACAAAATTGGGTTTCTGTGTGGACTTTTGGCGTGGCATTTTCTTTTCGAGGCTTGCTTTACTGGTTATTCTTTCTTCTTTTTGGATACCACACTCACTCGAGTTTATTTTTTGTATTATCTTCGGTTTCAGGGATACAAGGGGATATACAGGAAACAGGAATCTGAATTATGGACTTGGTTTTGGATGTCATGTGTCGATTGTAGTAAAAAAAAACTGGAGAATTGCGTGGGGGCGCTAGTGCCGGCGCAGCTTAGCTCCGCACTTCATTTCTCTCAACCTCCTTTCCCTTCCACCCACCCTCGAGTCTCCATTCAACCATGGCGGGTGTGTTCAAGAACGTATTTGGCAGCCAGCCATCTGGCGCCGGCTCTGATGATGGTAAGCCTTCTTATGCGCAATTGCATCTCCCGAGGAATCTCAATCTGACCGCAGTTCTTCCGTAGATTTCGCCGACTTTGTCGAAGCCCCGAATCCATCGCCTGCGTCCATTATCGCTGACTCGACCACCATCGCGGCTGCTAATACGCTTGGAGCCACTGCTCCTTATACAGCATGGTACCGGATATGGGAACGGACCTCTCCCAAGGATTTCATGCAGGAGGCTATGATCATGCCTTTCGTCCTACTCCTAGTTCTCTTCCATGTCTGGGGTACGCGGAAGAACCGCCGCAAGGCGCGTGAGTGGGCCCAAGCTCACATCCCTTCCCTCCAGAAGGAGTTTGCTGTCGTTGGATTTGATGGCATTGCCCGCACCAGCGATGATGAGACCATCACCGTGCAATTGGCCAACCCGGAGAAGAGCCTGAAGGAGAAGTCAGCCCACGAGTTCTCTACTTATGCGACTGGTCGCCAGAATGTTGCTTTCCTCGACATTTCCCTGAAGATGCCCAAGCGCTACAACCCCATTACCTACCTTATGGAGTACGCCTTCAGCTTCTTCTTTGAGAGCTGGGAGGCCCCTAGTGAGAAGTACGAGGCTCTGATGTACGCGTTTGATGGCAAGGAGAAGGATTTGGTTCCGGTCTTCGCCAAGGATACTCCCCCTGAAAGTGAACAACTCGACCTACGACGGATTCATCTGGGCAGTGGTTCACAAGAGCCACATGCGCAAGTTTCGTACTGATCGCTACGATGCCTCGATTACCTTCTCCAAGGACCACCCCAAGCTTCCCTCTTGGGTTACTGTGATGTCCGAGAGCGCTGAGATCACTGAAACTCTTCTCACCAAGGAGCTCATCCAGGCCATCGAGCAGGCTGGCAATGACTTTGAGTTTTTGATCGTGACTGACCAGCCCGTCGATAAGCCTACCAAGTAAGTCGATCATACCGAATAGCTCTCTAATTCACCGGCTAATGTCACCCTTAGGATTGATGAGACCGTTCCCAAGAAGCGTGTTCAGCTTTCGGTCAACCTTTCGTCCGCCGCCGGTTATGCCGCTACCGTTCCCCTCTTCAACCAATTCTTGCGCTTCGGAGATAAGCTTGTCGCAGCTGCCCACTTCCGTGGTGAGGTCCTGCGCAAGGTTCGCAATGTTCGCGAGGACGAAATTAAGAAGCTGCGCCGTGTTGAGGAGGAAGAGAAGGCCGAGGAGCGCAAGTTGGCTGCTGAAAAGATCAAGAAGGAAGAGCGCGAGCGTCTTCTGCGTGGTATGACTGCCGATGAGCAACGAAAGTATCTGGACCGTGAGAGTCAGAAGGAGCAGCGTCGGTCGTCGAAGCGCATGACCCGTAAGGGTTAAACGGTCCGCGGATTGAAAATCTGGGGATTATTCACTTTCTTTTCCTCTTGTATAAACTGCAACCGAGGTTGGAGCCAAATGGCAAAGGGGAAACTGTTTTAATCTGCCTTTAACCACACTTATCTGTCCCCAGATGTATTCATATCTTTTTATGGGCGATCGGAGGTTCAATGTCTTTGATATGAGGGGATTCAATATGAAATTTAATTGTTCATAACGTAAAACGAATGAGCTTATCCCAGTAATGGCAACTACGATGTCGGTGCTTACCTTTTGCTTAACACATAAACACTCAAACATGCACTCCCATGTTCCTTCGTCCTCTCCAATTATTAAAATTCTATGCTGTCTACATCATACATCGTACATCGTTAGCCGCACTCGCTCATCATGCATCTTCGCGGCCTTCTCGCTGCTGTATCTCTTCTCATCGGCCTATCCTCAGCAATTGTGATACCACACTCCTCCACTCCGTTCGTCCCGGCAGACCACTTTCTCAATGCTACAAAGCGACAAGGGTCCCAGCTCCCATATGGACTTATCATCACCCACTGTAACGTCCCAAACACTGTTGCACTCACCTTCGACGACGGGCCGTTCATTTACACCGGACAGATGCTCGACACCCTCACCAAACATAATGCCCGCGCGACCTTTTTCCTGAATGGCGTCAACAAAGGCAACATCGATTCATTCCCCGAGTTAGTACAACGTACTTTGGCTGAAGGACACCAGCTTGGTTCCCATACGTGCGTTATCTTCCCAACCCACAGCATCCCACAAACTAGACCAGGAACCAGATGAAACCTGGCACCCTAATACTTAAGCCAATCACCTTCCATTTAGATGGGGCCACCTTTCTCTTGACACTCTAAGCTACAACGAAATCATCACCCAAATGACAGACCTCGAAGACGCCTTCATGCGAATCTTGGGCTTTTTCCCAACCTACATGCGTGCTCCCTACCTGATGGTCACAGCCGATGTGTTAAATGCCATGAAAGAACTGAAGTACCATGTCATCGGAGCCAGTATTGATACAAAGGACTACGAGAATGATCATCCCGACGATAGCTGGCGAAGCTTTGAGAAGTTCCGGGCGGAATTGGATGCTGGCGGTACTATTGTGCTGGCGCATGATACTCATCAGACCACCGTGGAGATTTTGTTGGATAATATGTTGACGGAGATTGCATTGCGGGGACATGAGAGTGTGACTTCCCTTTCCTGAGTTGGGATGAAATCTGAAAGTGATTTTCTTTGCTAACCTGAGGTCTTTTGGAATAGCTGTTACTGTTGGCGAATGTCTTGCTGACGCTCCTGAGTACTGGTACCGTACGAGCCGGTAGATCTCCCTTCATACGTGGGGTTCTGGGCTTATAGCGGTGCTTTCGAAATTGGATAAGTGTGTTGGTTTCACTGAGTTTCGGGCGGAGCATTTCTTTCATCCCAGAATTGTACATCAAATATTCTTATGACCCGTGAGATGACTGTTAGACATGAAATGGAGTAGAAACTCATCGTTGCAGTTTTGCAATATTGCGAGTCCATTGGCCCTGGATGTAGATGCGAATGCAATAGTTCTCTATTCAATATGGCTGTTTAGTGCCTTCGTGGACAACTTATTTCCCAATCTAGACTGAAACAATACCTCACCAGGCGTAACCTTATTGTGCAACTTATGCACTTTAATTTCCGTAAGCCGAAAATTAAGGCTACAGTAGGTATGAGAGGAACTAAGTTCGACTGTGGACAAGATTAAGTTTGATGTGACACGGACTGCTCTCTATGGGGAAGAGATCTACATTGAAAAAAGAATATAGAACAAGAAATTGGTCTCAGCATCAACACAAGTGCATAGAATCTTCTATTTTGTTCTACTCTATATTCCGCATGCTCAAATAATTCAAATATGTGCTCGCGAAGATATAAAATGACACAACAGCGTCAGATGCCAAACAAAGGAAATTCATTCAAGACATAAAGGGGGGCAGAATCGCCTACTGCTTGCCGAAGATCTTGACCCGCTCCTCAATGGGCTTCTGAGCCTTGTCGCCAGCAGGAGCCTCGGGGCTACCGAAGACCATCTGGGCAACCAGACGCCACTCGGTGGGCAGGTTCCACTGCTTAGCAACGGGCTCGTTGATGAGAGGGTTGTAGTGCTGGAGGTTGGCGCCGAAGCCGAGGGACTCGAGGGCGGTCCAGACTGATTTGTTTGTTAGTATTGGTATTCATTGGCATTGAGGAAGATATGGGTGAGAACATACGGAAGTACTGGTGCATGGCGTTGGAGTGGTCAGCCCAGGGCTCGAAGTGGTCCTTGAAAGAAGCGAACTTCTCCTGGAAGACCTTGATGTGGGCGGGGTCCTCGTAGAAGAGGATCTAAATAAAGTTAGTATGTTTTGACTGATTTGCGGTGAAGGTGGGACGTACGGTTCCGTAGGCGGCCTTGAACATCTGCAGCTTGGGCAGAGTCTGGTTCTTGTAGGTCTCCTCGGGGACGGCGCCGGAAGCGACGAGGCCCTCGAAGGTGGAGGCAGCGATGTCCCACAGACGCTCGTGCTCCTCCTTCAGGAGGACAACCAGGCGAGTAGACTGGGTGTTGAACGAGCTGGGGACGTTCAGGATAGCAGCATTGACAAGCTCCTCGATCTTAGCATCGGGGACGGGGCTGTTCTTGCCCAGCTTGTAGATAGTGCGGCGGTTCTGGGCCGCTTGGATGAGAGCGTCGATAGACATGGCTGAAGAGTATATAGGGCTGGAGGACTGGAATTGGGAAGTGGGAGAAGTTGAGAAAGGACGGAGGGGCAAGGACACCTTTGATTGCGGGGCTTGGGCAGATAATAAAGTCGTTCGTCGTGTAGTGGATCCCAAGGTGCGGCAGATGGAGTGGAGATTGGAAGCCGGTCGAAGTGCGCGGGTTGCCATTGCTTTTATACGTTGAATCTGTTCTGTTCTGCTGATAGGAAGTACAATGACAACTTTTCTCGGTGAGATTCCGCGGTTTTAAGAACAAATAGTAAGCAATGGCTAATGAGACTTTTTTTTAGTGAGCCGTGTTATATCCGGGACCCCTGGCAACAGCGGCGAAATCGCGGAATTACGGCCTTCGGCTGATTAATAGCGGCGAAGCTTGATCATCATGACCAACCACGAGGGAATCCATTTGTGAGTGTCCCGTGGATCGGGCTTCTCGGAAATACATTTAGTAACCTTTTTCCTACATACAATTTTCCAGTGAAGTCTTGGACCAGGGAAAGAGTCAGGTCGGGAATGACATGTCGGGGCCAGGCCATTTGCTGATGCAGCCCTCCCGTCAAAGCGGCTTACCGATTGCCGATCTCGTAATCGCGGGGCATCAGGCGCATTCTTACTCTCTATACACCTCCCCGAAACTTACGATTAAGAATATCCAGGAAATGGAACAATGGAGAACAAAACGCTCTACGATTTCTATAACATTAATATACGAACAAATAAATCAGCCAAATATTGGGGAAATTGGGGTTTGGCTAGACCCTCATGGATTCGAGCCCGGGAAGTCACCAAACCACAACTTGAATCAAGTGAGCACGAGACATAAGATAAAAGAGCTTATGACCCACTCATGAAACGGTACCTGATTTCCACGACTACTACTATTTTATTGGCTTCCAATAGTTGCGTTCGTGAGAATAATTGCTCTACGAGTGGTGGCCACACTTAATAGTCTCAAGAAAGGTCCCTCTGGATATATGATAAATAGCGGTAGCGATGTCTTTTGTGAAATTTTTAATAACTTATATTTGTTTCATAGAATAAGTCTATTCAATTTCCAATTCAGATTGCGACGGCAACTCAGAGACCAATTTAAAACAATGTATATGTAGATAGACAAGGTTTCCTCAGGATTCTTTGCAGAAAGGGAAGTGGTCAATCATCATAGAAGCCGTGTGTCGCGTATCCAATGAAATCTTATATGAAATCGGACAAAGGGAGGGCAAAGATTATGCGATGTTGAGCGATAACAGAAAATCAATTCGATTAGTCCGAGCATTCGTGGACTTGGAATGAAAATTAATCTAATCAAAAACACAATTAGCCAGAAATCACTAGAAGACCGGGTGTAAAATTCAATTGCGTTGGCTTTGCAGTCAGAGACCCGTCTTGAAACATATTAGGATGTACAATTTTCTCCAAGATCTTTGCAGAGATTGGAAGTAGGTCATCATCACCGAAGCCGGGGGTGGACAGGTGTGCGGGAAACGATTGAACGGGGACTGCGTACCTGGACCAGTCGGGGCGCCCCCGCTAGTGGGGAGTGGCGTATATGGCGGCAACTTTGATTCCGGAGACATTATCCAGGAATCGATAACCCTCCATATCTTGTCTTCTATAGGTAAAATAATTTCTTAAAACGATCCATCGGTCGATCGATCTGATCAATATTTGTTAGTTGTAGGTTAGGGGAGGAAGAAACCCTCTTTTCCCAGGTCAAACAGGTCGGAAAATGGCTTAAAATGGCCCTTTCGACATTCTGACGGTTTCTCACTCCATTTTGGGGGTTGCAAAGATTAAATAATAGTTCCCCTGGACGATCTTAAATATTCGTTCCTGTGTAGGGGCTAGGGCATCGGCCCTATCCCTTGCCCCCTGTTTTGGGATATGCCGAATGGATCATAACGTCATTGATGGAACCGGGCGAGATGAGACCGGGTCGGGTTCAGCCCGTGTGGATCTAATTCGGGTCTCATTCATCCTGGTTAACTATAGTACGGGTGTTTCAAGAGCTTTGAGCATTTATTCATTCGCTATGAGAATGATTGAGGCATTAATTATACATTGTTGCTGGATATGGACGATGAAGATTCTTCAAAGCTCTTGGCAAGCCAGAGTCGGGTAGACGGCGCAGGAGAATATGCACGGTTCAAGTGACTCCTCGTAAGCACACGTGCATTTATCTGAAAGTTGTTCATGAGAATAATATTTAATTTGGAAAATTTTATCTTATAGATCTTTTGAGCCTCATCTCAAGGTTCGGGAAAAGAGATCCAACTCCTGTGAATGGCGTTTCAATCTGGTGACCTAAACCGCTTCAGGTAATTGTTCGTCTGATGATATCATCGATCGCCGTTGAGATCTATGAACCCTTCCTAGGGCCTAGCATCCCCTATCTCGACCTATTTCTTGTTCATCTTCTATTATATTAGAATTTCTCGGTCACGAAAGTCAGAGGTATTAACTCTACGAAGTGTATATTCGAAGCAAACTCATCACGAATTAGTCATAATTAGAACAAAAACCGCCTGATCATGTGCACATCTCATGACCTGAACGTCCACCAACACAAGACCTTGTCTAAGCTTGCGACTGACCCTCCTCACCCGATACCGTCTTCTGCACATTATTTCCCCAATCACCCATTCGAACAGCAATAACCTTATCTCGCTGAATTTTGCGCTGGTGTCGACCCCATAAGAGGAACAAACCACCCGCAATCAGAGCAGCACCCACAACACACCCGACAACAATACCAGCAATCTGACCCCCAGACAGACCACCGGACTTAGCTGTACTGGTGCTTGTAGCTGTGGGGGTGGCAGTTGAAGTAGCAACCGACACATTGAAGCAAAGAACGTCAGTGGTGAAATCGGCCAGGGCGACATATGTAATATCTGCGCAAGCATAGTACGTCTTGTTTGTATCGGTGTCAAATGTGGATTGGTACTTCAGCTGCAGTGTGGCGTTGTCACCCGAGGACGTGTTTGAAGGTGCGTCTGGAATGGAATAACATTCATGTCCGGGGTAGAGGTCGGGGAAATTTGTGCCGGAGACATCGGTTACGAAGTCATTGTTGGAAGTTGGATCTGGATTATGACGAAGAGTTTAGTTTACATGATTCTTTCTCACCGATAGTGTTGAAGTACTTACTGCTGTGGTAGGAGATGGCGAGATTGACATTGTAAGACTCGTCCTGCAGGACCAGTGATACCTCGCCATTGGCTGTAGGTAGATGTTAGATATGCTCATGGGTTTTCATGGGAGGTAGGTTCTCACTGAGAGGGAACTCGGTCCGATTGCCAATATCTGCATTGGACCCGCATGGGGCGGTATTATCGGCAGCGCTCGACCAAGCCCGATCAGGAGGCCACAGGAAGGCCGCTGGACCCATGTCTGTGGCAGCTTGGCATGGTGTGAAGGAAAGACTGGCAAGAACCAGGAGAGCTGTATAACCGCGCATGACTGTGTATAATATCTATCCGTGTCTGATGTAAACAAGAATGCAGCTGCCAGAGCTTGACCTTAAAGAAGAAGTAAGCTTGGTTCGATGAAAGAAAGATCGGCAGCTACATTAAATAGTCTCAAGCCCAAAGCTCCGAGATCAAAACTTAGTGACAGACGGTGTCGGTAGCACGAACCGAGCTCCCAGGGACAAAAAATGTGGATGCGATCCACAACTCCGAGCTTCTTCCATGGGAGCGGAGATATAGTCGGACATGCAGTCTGAGGTTCCGAGTACCACCTAACTACTGCATGTCCAGGTCAAGCAGGCATGTGATAGCCACTCGCATGCCCTAAACAGGGAAATGAGCAGCGGACAACGGGAGAACGGTGTAAATGACACATGGGTGTGGATGAATCCAGCCATCATTGGTTTGGTGGTCTGACGGATTGAGCTAGATGAAATTTTAGCTTCATCTTGGCGGCAAATTCTAGTCTAGTTTAGCATGGTTCTATGGGATGATGCTACTCGGATGGGTATTCGCCGGGGCAGATTAGATTGATAAGATCAAGCGGGGCCTGTGATTGGGGCCAGATGCCCCTCTTTTCCCTCGCTTCCTTCCAATTTTCGGATTGTTCCGATGAAGAATGAAGAGGTACTGGGGACTTTAGCAATAGCGTTTCCCGGAGGAAAGTTGCCCCCGAAGTCTTTGAGGTTGATCCTTCGTTGGGCTAAGATGGGTGGATGTGTCAGGTTTTCATCGACATGAGCCTCGACTGAATTGTGAACAGTTCATTGACCACTCAAATTCCATGACGATGTAGACTTAATCTCTAATTTATGGTTTCATTCATGTGTTCACGGCTCACTTCGCTTATTCTCTATCTAAGTTGTACCATCGGCCCCGGCTAAAGAGCGCGACGAGTCGTGCGGTACCTTACCGAGATGTCCCAAGTGGGGCAGACAGAATTGGCATCCTTGATCAGACTAAGAGCTAAGATGGAATTGACCTAGTGGATAATCTAGGTGGCATTGACAAGAAAGCCGTTTGTCCTAGTCTCCGAGCCAGTGCGACAGCTATAAAAGTATCGAATTGATCCGACTTTTCTTTACTGGACAATCACTACCCAAAGCATCCACATAAGCCATTCATTAATTTTACCTTGATACTTCATCTTCAGGATGGTCCGCCTGTGCTTCTCCGCTATCTGTGTAGCCGCGCTGGCATCTTCAGCGCTGGCGACCCAGCACGATGCCTTCGGAAAACGGGAAACTATCGAAAATGGCTCTCCTCTGTATGACTGCCATGAAGCATGCGGTATTTCAATTCTATCCGATCTCTAGGAGACATATCGCTAACCACTAATTTTGCACGTCAGGTGAGGTCATTTTGATGGCTCAGGAGGGCAGTTACTGCTCCAACTCCAACTACAGTTCGGACCTCAGCACCTGTCTGAAGTGTGCCGAAACTTGTGAGATTTGGCAATACTACGGTACTGATGTCAAGTACGCTGCTGGAAATTGTAGCGACTCTGCGACGCCCAGCTCTTCCTCGTCGGCGAGCTCGTGTGCGTCTCTTACTAGTACATCAACTGCGACTAATATGGCTGCAACGACTACTGCTACTGGTACTACTACGGTATGTCACTTTGTCTTAGTTCGCTTATCTGGAGATTTACGTGCTGATACTATGTTTTTTCTAGGGCACTTCTACTACGGCATCTACTGCAACCTCTAGCACAGGGGCTGGATCTGTCATTCAGCAAAATATGGCTCTTGTCGGAGCTATGGGTCTTTTACTCTGGGCTCTGACCGCATAAGCAACCGGTACTTACGTTGGACGAAGATTACTCGGTTCTAAATATGAGTGATCTATTCATTAGCGAAGGCTTCTTCGAGCCTTCGACATGTACGCTAGATGCAACTCAATCTTAATTTCTGTCAGTTTAACTAGTTTCAATCAAGCATAATTGGACACCCTATAATAGAGTTAGCCATATCATCTTTAGAAAGGATATTCGTGGAACATACTCAATAAGATTCCCATCCGGATCTCTCACATAAACACTCCTAAGCCTTCCAGCAGCACCCGTCCGATCCACAATCTTGGCCCCTTCGAGAACCTGCAATTGATCAGTGCATATTCATGTTAATAGACAGGCGTTGCCATACCTCCATTTTAGCCGCTTTGAAAGCTTGCAGCACTTTTTCCACCTTTTCGTCCGTCAAAAAGCACAGATCGGCACTTCCGGGCATGACGTTTTGTGCTTTCGGCTCGAACTCTTTCCCTGACTGGTGAATATTGATTTTTTGGCTTCCAAAAATAAGAGCATGCCTACGTATATTAATAAATGTCCAGCGGATGATTTGGAAGGCAATTTCCTCTATACCTCTGAACTGCGGGGTTGGCTGGTGAGGCGAAAACCTCATGTCGCATGCCTAGGTGGGTCGTGTAGAACGCTACCGTCTCCGGGACGGAGCGGACGGTCAGGACGAGGTGATCGAGCGATTTGACTGCAAATTTAGCCATTGTTCAGTTGTAAATGCCTTTGATTCTTCAAATGAAAGTGCCAAGGTTGTGGGGAGATGCACCTCAGAATGACCCGGGAAGATGCGACGGCGAACTGACAAGTCGCCGAACTTGCTGGTCGGCTGCATCAAGATGTACCTGAGCCACATATTTATAACTGGACAGCATTATAATGGGATGGTACAGTTCGTCATTCTCTGGAATTCGCTGGAATTAACACATATTACGATATCTCTATGAAAAGGTATAATATCTACATATGGATCAATTCTTGGTAGGGAATTTGATCCACTTCTTCATGAAGCTCTTGCGCTGACCATCTTCCTCATCTTTCGGAGCATAAAATCTCCGGGGCCCATCGAGGTCGATCTCTAAGAGGTCATTCCACCGTCGACCGCGGTAATAGATCTTTGCCCCGATGTACAAGATCACAATGGCCACAACGGAAAGGTAGTTCGCGAAGAAGTTCTTCGCACTAGGCTTGTCACCAAGCGGCCATACAGCCAGATAAAACTCAACAACGATGAGCAGGCAACACCAGAACAGACCCCAATAGGCAGACCATGGGAAGGCCCATGATTTCCATGGAAGTTCGGCGACACTACGACCTTGGGCTTTCCAAGCGGCGCGCATGCGGATGTTGGATAGACAGATCATGCCCCAGCCGAAGAGAGTAAACAGCGAGGTCAAGTTAGAGAACCAACCAAACACAGTTGAGCCGCTGTCGCTGACGTTGAGGTAGGCTAGGCCTCCTCCGATGACGAGGGTAGGGACCAGGCCCCACCAAGGACGACCCCAGCTGTCGGTGTTCTGCATCACCTATGTTTTGAAAGGTTGATCCTTGTTAGCAAGGTGTAGATGAAGTGGAGAAGCGGACTAACCTTTGGAGCCATGCTGAGCTGTGACAGTCCAACTAGGATACGAGATCCACCGTATCCGGAGATACCACCAGTGGAGAGCACTGAGATGAGAATGACAGCGTTCATGATGTGAGCGAGGGGTTGCACTCCAGCATTTCTGTACATAATGACAAAAGGACTCGCATTCGTGCCGGATGCGCCAAACAGGTTCTCATCCGTGGGGCTAACGTTGATAGTGACGATCAAACTGCCAAGAATATAGAACAGACTCAACCGGATCCACATTGACTTCACTGCCTTGGGGACCGATCGTAGAGGATTGCTCGTCTCAGCAGCGACGAGACCGGCATTCTCGGATCCAGATAGCGCGAAGATACACGTTGGCATAACGGAGAGAAATCCTTTGAACCCATTGATGAAGGGCATTTCGTTCCAGAACTGGAAGCCGGTGGTACCTCCTGGCCTTGCTGGGTAACCTCCTTTAGGACCACCACCAGCTGATAGGACAATGCCGGAGATGATAACGATAAAAATGAAGCCGAACTTGATGGTGGCAGCGACGACTTCGATCTCGGCGAACCATTTTACGGCACCGACGTTCATGGCGACGATGACGAGCCAGAAAATTGTAATCAAGGCAGCTGTCGGGACGGCACTTGTCCAGAAGCCGATAACTGTCACGACACCTTGGAGTTCATTGGCGATTGTGATCCAGAATGAAAGCCAGTAAGCCCAGCCTAGAGCAAAACCCGCAGATTGATCGACGAAGGTATTGGTCCATTGAACAAACTAATTTGACACCGCGTCAGCCAAGACCGATAGATCGATAGGAAAAGAAAACGTAGACCGGAATACTTACAGCGCTAGGAAGAGGGTACATAATTGCCATCTCCCCAATACTATGGCTGACACTCCAAATGATACTTCCAGATAGCAGGTAGCCGATAAAGATACCGGCAGGTCCGGCATTCATCAATGAGGTTCCCGATCCTAACCAGAGACCCATGCCAATGGAGGACGCGAGACCAATCATACTGATATGACGGGATCCCAACTGACGCTTCAGCTGGGAATCTGCACCATGGTCGGTCACATCATAGATCTCGCCTGCAATAGCTACCTCGGCATCATTGCTCGGGGCAGCCTTAGTGTCTCCATGCTTTTCAAAAGATGGGTCCGACATGCCGTAGGTCAGCGGGTGCGAGACCCGACTTGACTGATCAAAAGATGAAAATAATAAGCGAAAGGACCTTCGAAAGGGCTCTCAACGCGACTGCTACAAGGGAGGAAGACTGGGGGAAAGAGTAGTTTATATTCACCTTATCACAGCTCCAGCTTAAAGATTCCGGTGGAGTATAGATCGTAGCACCTGGCAAAAATACCCCGAGGATATACATCGCATGGCTTTGATTGGTTTGAAGAGGGGGTCTTAGCGCCTGGGCTTCCTTATCAGTGGAATGCACTGATGATGCGTGACCGGGCCCAAAGATGTCAATATCTCGGCCTTTCTCTTTGAATTGATTGGCCCCACTAGGTTAGATAGCCATGAAACGAGTGGTGTGGCCACGCGAATCATGATAATCTAGAGGGTTATCATGCGGGCCAAGAACCCCACTTGATATACTTGAAGGTTAAACCATCCGTGTTTGATAGCAATTGCCCTCTTTAATTCAGTTTAGAGTACCAAGAGTAACATTTCACAAGGGTTTCAGAGAATATGCTAGTATTATGCAAAATAAAAGACGCTAGATGTTAGCAAAGGTGGCATATCGAACCCTTTGGTCCAGAAGCCTTTGAACTTCACTTGGTAGAGATAAGAGACCACGCGGCACATACTTTCTTGGCCACTCATTCAGCTCGAGGCCAAGTCCGCATTCTGGAAGATTTCGCCAAGTCTCAAATGAAGACGCAGGCAATAATAACCTTGTCGTGCCCTTATCAGTGAGACGAGCAGGATCCCACTTTGCCCCAGATAACCGTAACTTATTTTTGGCTTATCGCGCGAACACCATTAAGAAGGCCTCCCATCTGAATTCAGCAGCTGTCCATGATCTGGGTCGAGCCCCAGTTCCCTATGAATTACGCCGAGGATCCTCCTACATGTGGATACAACCATTCCAAGCTCTTGCGATGGCATCGGTGAAATTTCCCCTGAACGATTGAGGGTCCCCACAGACAGGACCAAAGAGGCAGAGATGTACTTTGCCTAGAAAGGTAATGGGTGCTTTGAATCAGATGATTCTGACCGTGCCAGTAAGAGAGGATTTGCATTGGCATATCCGGATTGAAGCAGCTGGGGCGTGAATTTGCCACATTCATGTTGAATCTGGGGGTAATAGGGGAATCAAACCCGAGGCGAAACCGGTTATCTTGCCGGGCAACCTGCACTCCAGAATTGCCTGGAAAACTCCTTGGGGTTCGCGCAAGGCTCGTGCCAGGGTCTTCTCGGCTGGTCCGATTGGTGAAAGCCGATACGCAGGGGAAAGGGCATTCCCGTAGTGAGGTTCATCCCTGTAGAGTTTTCCTGCAGGCTTGAGTGTACAGTATATTGATTGCCAGTATTGGCCAGTAGAGTGTCGGTGAGCAGAATCAGGCGTCATGAATAGTGACCGGGCTTGGAGGGACTTGACACGTTCACGGGCACCGGCGATTAAGGGCTTTGAGCCAGCATTGGTGTTTTAATATCCTTGGGCTCCTGTTCCCAATGTCACCCCATATGTGTTCAGCCGCAAATCATACACAGAGCCAATCAACAGACGAGTATTAGTAGCACATGCTGCCTTCCACCTGTATTATGGTTCATGAATGGCATAGTAATTATAACCACCTAGTTAATTGATGTGTTCACAGACGCAATAATTCCCACCTAGATGGGCTTATATAGACTATGTATGGTTTCGTGGTAAGGTACCCAGTTGTAAACCTTGCCCACAACTTAAACCATGGATAGATGTCAAATCATGACTCTCCCTCATGTCTTCCTTGCCGCTGCCGCCCATAATTTTGACGACCAAACAAAGACAACATATTGTTTTTCAGAGCATAAGGTATTGACTTGAAAGACGATTGAGTTTAAACACAGCTCACAGACTTGCCACTTCCTATTTTTCAATGACGAATTTAGAAATGAAAAATTCCCGCCGCAGTGGGCCCTTGAAAGTGGTCATCGTTGGCGGGTCTGTCGCCGGCCTAACTCTCGCTCACTGTCTCGACCGCGCTAGTATTGACTATGTCATCCTAGAAAAGCGTCGAGAGATTGCTCCACAAGAAGGAGCTTCAATCGGGATCATGCCCAATGGCGCACGTATCTTAGAGCAGTTGGGGCTCTATGCAAACTTAGAGGCGGTTGTTCACCCATTGGAGACGGCATATATTACCTATCCTGACAGTTTCTCCTACCGCAGTCATTTCCCTGACCTTCTCCGCAAGCGGTATGTCTGACCCTCTTCTTCCTTTTATTGGACTGCATAGTCCATGTCAGATGGCCAGATGACCTTCCAGTGCTCCTAGCTTCAGAGAAGAGCTTCTCTCATCTACTCTATGTCCTCTTCCTCCCTTGATCCAACCTCTAATGGCTAATTGTATGGCGGTCACATAGATTTGGATTTCCCTTGGCCTTCTTGGACCGTCAAGCAGTCTTCCAGCATTTGAGCGCCTCTCTTCCAGCCGCCGATCGACTTTACTGTGGTAAAACAGTCCACCATGTTGAATCATTTGAAAGTCATGTCCGAGTGCATGTTTCAGATGGAACATGTTTTGATGGCGATGTTGTCGTGGGGGCAGACAGCGTCCATAGCACAATCCGCACCGAGATGCTGTGATTGACCGAGGCGGACAAGAGTTCAACACAAATCCCTGACTCCATGACAGCAGACTACGGCTGTGTGTTTGGTATCTCAAGGCCACACCTGAAGCTCGTGGCTGGACAACAAATTCCTTGCTACAATGATGGCTGGAGTATTTTGAGTGTGATTGGCAAGAACGGCCGTATCTACTGGTTCCTTTTCTTCCGTCTTGATCAACGCTATACCTACACCAATGCTACACGTTTCTCGTCCGATGAAGGAGCTCAGCGATGTGCGAAATTTGGTAGTGAGCCCTACTGGCAGGATATCACCTTTGGCGAGGTGTGGGAGCGACGCGAAACCTTCAACACGACTGTTCTGGAGGAATATCTCCTTTCCCAATGGCATTGGGGCAGGATTGTCTGTCTGGGCGATAGCGTGCACAAGATCGCTCCCCATACGGGGCAAGGCGCCAACTGTACTGGAAGATGCCGCTGCGCTGTGTAACATCTTACAACCCTACGCCAAATCTGGCCTGCCATCCCAGCTGGATCTTGTTGGCCTTCTACAGGCTTTCGTTTCTGATCGTCGGAGTCGAATGAAACTCGTCTCGGGGCCCGGATGGCCATGCGATTTCAGGCTCGCGAAGGTCTTGTCAAACGGATTGTGGGCCGGTATGTCTTTCCTTACGCTGGTGATATACCTGCCAACAAGGCCTCTCAGGGAATTGCCGATGCCCCCATGATGACCTTTCTGGCAATTTCTCGGCGCTCCGGTACTGGGTGGGTGGAATTTAGAAGCAAAGAGAGTGGGAAAAGGGAATTCTTCATTACCTTGACTATGCTACTACTTGGGGTTGTGCTGCGTTTCAAGTTCTGGTAGGGAGTAAACATCTGAATGAGATCATCAACCTTATCAGATTGCAGCATTTAGTTTCTTTGAATTCGGACATCAGGTTAAGATGAATCCCAGTGTCTCACTTGTATCGGACCAGATTACTCTGTTCACAGCTTTACGACCATATTTATCAATTGTTTTTTTTTTCGGTATTTTTCTCAGCTATATATTCCATGTGAATCATCAAAGGCCTTTAATACCAGGGCAGTTCTTCGTATTGTCTTTCCAATGTTTCTCATAGCTAGAATACTTGCCCAAGTGACACACTCGGGTAGTAGTATTCCGACTGAATATTACGGTTTCATGTTTTGGGCATAAATTTATACAAGGAACATGGACCGTAACGTGAATCAACTGATTCACACATACAGAAATAACGGGCCCTTGAGATCAAAAGGAATCAGAATGACTACAGACTTGAAATACGATTCAAGTGCCCAAAAGTGAAGCCACGTACACCCTAGGTAGACAGTGACCTGCAGTTTCAAAATGCCGCGCAGCCCCGAGATCCACGTTGCCAGATCATATTATTCACATATAGACAAGGTTGGCTTGCTATAATAAGTTGTTCCAGCGGAATCCAATTTGGGTAACCAATAGGGACTGGTGGGATCGTGCGATACTCTATCCATTGCCATACTTCAATATCTGCAAAGTGGCTCGATTATTGACGTCCACTAATATTTAAATTGATCCACGATGTATCCTATACATGTCAGGGTATCTGCCATGGCTGTATAAATGTGGGTATGCATTTCAAAGCGATGGTTTTTTCCCAATAGTGCAGCATCTTATCAGCAGCAGCGCGGGGGCTCGGAACGAGCGGGAATTGTGATATGCTCCATTGCTGATAAACAGACACAGATTAGCTGATAATCATATTTGGTATTAACAAGGCTGAGCAGATCCAGGTTCTCTGAAAAAATTTCACAAACTGGACTGTGGAGACGAATACCTAGGACACACAAAGCGTTTCTGGAAAGCATGTCGATTCCAGTGGATTGTACGGTACTTGTCGTCGGTGATGGCCCGTGGGGTTCCTATGCTGCATCGATATTGGCTAGAGAGGGCATCAAACTGCATTGCTAGAGGCAGACATATTCCAAAGGTAAATAATCATTAAATTTTGTGCTTGTGTTGAAAGATGACTTGACTGGCTTGATAGATACCATATTGGTGAAAGCTTGCTGCTAACAACGCGCCACTACCTGGATCTGATTGACCTAACGCCGGACTTTGAGGACCACGGCTTCATGCATAAGGTAAGTCTATTTCAGGTAAGCAAAATACATTCTCAACTTATATTTTATCCACAGAACGGCGCCGCATTCCGGTTCAATAGTAAGCCAGCCGCATGTAAGTCAATTTATGACTCCCGCTCTCAGAGATCTGCTAATAGAAAACCAGACACGGATTTCCTAGCTGCCGGGGGACCGAAAAATCACTCGTGGAACGTCATTCGTTCCGAAGCAGATAACATTATCTTCCAGCATGCAGGAAAATCCGGTGCAAAGGTATTCGACGGAGTGAAAGTTCATTCTCTTCACTTCATCTCCTATGGCGATCAAGAAGCATCCGACATAAATCCAGGGAAGCCTATTTCTGCATCGTGGTCTGCTAAAGATGGAACAACGGGCATTATTCGATTTGGATATCTCGTGGATGCATCCGGGCGAGCCGGATTGGTTAGTACGAAGTATTTGAAGAACCGTTCTTTTAACCCGGGGCTCAAGAATGTGACAAGTTGGGGATACTTTCGCAATGCTGGAAGATATGGAGCAGGTACTTGTGCTGAAGGTGCTCCCTATTTCCATGTGCTTGAAGGTGAGCCTGTCTACAATGTCCGGAAGCGCTCTGTGTGTCTGACTCGGATTTGCTTCAGATGGAATGGGATGGGCTTGGTTTATCCCTCTTCACAACAGAACCACATCAGTTGGTGTGGTAACGCAGCAGAGCTGCGTCGCCTCAAAGAAGGCAATGATAGGATCCCCGTCCTCTAAGGATTTTTTTCTTGCCAATGTCAAAGACGTGACCGGCCTTCATGATCTGCTGGGGCATGCTGAGCTTGTCTCGGATGTGAAGTCAGCTTCTGATTGGTCTTACAGTGCCTCGTCATATGCTAGCCCCTATATCCACATTGTTGGCGATGCGGTATGCTTCATTGATCCCTTGTTTTCCTCGGGTGTTCATCTTGCTCTAACGAGGTGGGGGGGGGGGGGGGGCTATCTGCGGCGGTCACGATATGTGCCTCGCTGAAGGGTCAATGTGGCGAAGCCTCTGCGGCAAATTGGCATTCGCAGAAGATACGCGAGGCATATACTAGGTTCTTGTTGGCCGTGGGAAGCTCTTACAATCAGATGATGGGGAAAGAGAGACCTGTCCTCAGCGAGATTGATGAGCATAACTTTGACCGAGCATTTGATATATTCCGACCTAGTCAGTACGATTTCCTCAGTGTTCTCACTTTTGCTGATATCATTCGCAGTAATTCAAGGCACAGTTGAAATTGGCGGAAAGCTCAGCCAGCAAGAGCTTGCTGAATCTGTCAAGTTTTGCATTCACGTAATACAGAAGATGGATGAAACAAAGGAAAGCCATGTGAAAGTGGACCTTGACAGGCCTACCATCGGGCGAAGTCCTGTGATGGCCAAAATAATCACTGCAAATGGAACTCAGAGCCCGGAGGCATTCCAGTCTGATGTTATTGATGGGATGGCAGCCGATGTTTCCCGGAGTAATCTGGGGCTTGTTCACGTGGAGAAGCAATGACGAATGTATCAAGGCAACATTTTTCTGTTTGAAGTTTTTCGGGGTATCTGAAGTTTTGTCCTGTGGAAGCTGTACGATCTTCAGTCCCTCCCCCCGGTGCACCCAGATTCGGCAATTTGACACCTGAGATAATTGGCATTCGTTGGCAACTTTTCCAGCAGATTTCGACCTTCAGGCACTGGAATATTCACAGTGTTTTCTAAATTTCCCTCTGTAAAATATCCATTCGCGCTAATCCACCATCATATTCTCTTCCCAGTGTCTCAGAGGGTGCGTTGGTTTCCCGCATTTTGACAAGGATTCTCAGTGGATGCACGTCGACGGATAGAACAGGGGTCTGCCCATACAAAGACTTCAAATCGAAAGAAAAGTCTGCCTAGCAATAACGTGTTTGAAATCCCGATCGTCACTTTGTGCGACTGGTGCCTGGTGCCTACAGTAGATAAGCCCCAGCCATGAGGTCTAAGCCACAAGGCGGATTTTGATCAAGGCGCAATGTCTAGAGTTGGATGTGGTATTGGCGCTAAGAGTTATTTATGAGCTCTTTCTATCTCTAGCTAATTTTGCCTTCTACACTTCCTTAGTCTTGTCCGCCTCTCTATCTTGGAATCTTGGGTGAGAGCTTTGCTTTTTTTGAACCCCGCTCGGCACGCCCCACAGTGCTCACCCCTTGCAGTGAAGACCCAATAGATTTCTCTGCCGCACAACAAAATCGTCGATCTCAACATCATGGATCCCAGAGTCGGTGTCGGAGTTTTTGTGGTGAATACGGAGGGCAAGTTTATCATCGGCAAAAGAAAAGGGAGCCATGGAGCAGGTTAGTCCAAATGGAACCATCGATCAACCTCCGCTAAACTTCCTGGGATTCATTCAGGAACATGGGCTCTTCCAGGAGGCCATCTGGAGTTTGGCGAATCCTTCGAAGACTGTGCGGCACGAGAAATACTTGAAGAAACTGGCCTGGAAGTTCTCAAGTTGGAGTTCCTGACTGCCACAAACGATGTCATGGAGGCTGAAGGGAAACACTACATCACCATTTTCATGCAAGGCATCGTCAGCAATGCATCCCTTCAGCCGCAGGTGAGTTAATCACATTTTACTTTTTATTTACCCCTGCGTCTTGCATGTAGCTAAAATGTGGCAAATCAAGCTTTTGGAACCGGAGAAATGTGACGCCTGGAAATGGATCTCGTGGGACGAACTTCGAGCTCAGGGAGAAACCCAGATATCCGTGGGCCCAGAGTCTCAAGGGCCGAAGTTGTTCTCACCTCTGATCGCTTTATTCCAGCAACGGCCAAATGTTCGTGTTTAGTGCGGGACAGATCTGCAGTCCTGATGACCAGAAGCGAGCATTCAAGGTCAATAAAGTATTTGAGATAAACATGGTTACACCTTGAATGTCTTGCCTGCGCGTTTCATCGCATGACTCAAATACTACTTGAAGGGAGTCTTCCGTAGAGTCAACTTTGGAAATGATAAGCATTTGTACCACCTTTCTTCATTCCTCGGATATATTATCTTTCACGTTGCAAGCGCAGCCTGTCGATCTCAAATGCCTTGAGACTAGTTTATGACGATCAAGGTGGAAAAAAGGGGCAAATGCAAAAGGTCCAAGCCCAATATGTGCTTCTTCAAAAACAAAGTATACGTAATCTGAGCAGCACTAGCGGCATGATCAGCATCATTGAGCCCCGAGTTGACCCTCTCCTGTGCAGATCAATATTAAGGTCCACATCGTGGGTACTCATCAATAGAATCTATGGTGTTGCAATAAAAGCAAATATGATCTTGCGCACATATATGAAGGCTAATGTCCCCAAAGATATTAGGTGTCATTCATTTTCATACACTCTTCTGGGATTCCTTTTTTTTTTTACCAACCTTACCCTTATTTGACCCTTATATTCACTCATTTGTGCAAACAATGCATTTCAAACACATTCTCTTGGCTTCAAGCCTAGCCCTCTGGAGTAGCCCCGTGGCTGCCACTCCCGGGAATCTGAATGGACTCGGCCCTTTGGATTCCTCTAGCCTGTCTGTGAAGCGGTTTGAGAAGCTCGCTAGACGAGCTGATACCGCCGCATCTGATCCGCTGGCAGGCTTGGAGGACCTTCGTGCTCGAGAGGATCCTGAGGATCCTGAGGAACGACCCTTCTCTGACTACTTTGAATTTCCTGAACCTACGCCAACTCCGACCCCTTCCTCATCTGATCCATTAGAAGGCTTGGGCGGCCTCCTTCGTGCTCGAGAGGATCCTGAGGATCCTGAGGAACTACCCTTCTCTGACTACTTTGAATTTCCTGAACCTACGCCAACTCCGACCCCTTCCTCATCTGATCCATTAGAAGGCTTGGGCGGCCTCCTTCGTGCTCGAGAGGATCCTGAGGATCCTGAGGAACTACCCTTCTCTGACTACTTTGAATTTCCTGAACCTACGCCAACTCCGACCCCTTCCTCATCTGATCCATTAGAAGGCTTGGGCGGCCTCCTTCGTGCTCGAGAGGATCCTGAGGATCCTGAGGAACTACCCTTCTCTGACTACTTTGAATTTCCTGAACCTACGCCAACTCCGACCCCTTCCTCATCTGATCCATTAGAAGGCTTGGGCGGCCTCCTTCGTGCTCGAGAGGATCCTGAGGATCCCGAGGAACTACCCTACTCTGACTACTTTGAATTTCCTGAACCTACGCCAGCTCCGACCCCTTCCTCATCTGATCCGTTAGAAGGCTTGGGCGGCCTCCTTCGTGCTCGAGAGATTCTTGAGAAAAATGGTTATCAGGTGCCATCTACATTTGAAAGACGCCTGGCTCCCACGAAGTCTGCATGAATCGGCGCATCAATCAGACATTTGAACGATTCGTGATGTGTATACCTTCAAGTTTTATTCTGTCGGTCTTGTTTTCATTCGGGGTTGAAGCACTTAATTCGTATATTTATATTTAATATGTTGACTGCTTCATTGGAATAATTTTATATGCTCGAAATTAACATGAGCTTCGAAGCCTTGAATCATGTCCTTTGCTGTAGTTGCGTTTCTACATCAAGTGTGGGGCGACCGTTCTGCCTCGAATGCCCAAAATGGGCTAGCGCGCACTGCAAGCCATTCGCGAGCTCAACGGAGTTGATTCTCCGTTCTTTCTCTTCCAATGGGCTTATCAACTCCAATCGGTGCTGACACACGTTCAAGTTGATCAGCTCTTGACAAGTTCGGATGGGAACTTGTTTGAAGTTTCAGATGCCTCCCCGATTGCCGCGCTTCAACTGATATGATCGGCCCTAGAGCCAGCGCCACTGATGCTGATAACCCCCACATAAGGAACTAACCCCTGCACGCTATTCCCCCTAGTTCACCTCTCTGGGGCTTTTCGATCTATCACGCACGGCCGCGTGCGTGCTTTCCTCTCCGCCTTTTCCTCCCTGGTTGTTAGCTTCGTTGATCATTCCTTTCTTTTTTTCTTTTTGTGATCCCGGGGTGCATCCCTCGACCCACACGACATTTGTTTTCGAATGACCAACCCCAGTCTCCTAGAGCTACCTCAAGGGGTTCAGCTCGTCTATCTCGCCGAGGGCGGAGCCAATGTCATCTATCGCTTTGTGGCCGCCCCAATAAAATCGTCACTCGTCGTTAGGGAACCCAAGAGACCGGTCTCCCCCATGATTGACGAACCTAGATTGCCTGCCGGGTTTCAGGGAAAATTGCTCCGCCTACGCAAGAAGACTGCCGGCAATATATCATATAAAGAAATCAATCGCAATTTCAATACTATTGTGCGTCCCTTATTCAGACCAGAAGAATTAGTGGATCAGTCCCTCATTCTGCTTCCCGGGGGTCTCATTCAGCGCTGTAATGAGCAGCTTGTCGCTACTGAACTTAGTGGGCAGCGACCCAAAAAGCGACATGGCGGGTATCTTTGCGCTGATGAGCCATTTGGCTTACTTATTACCGACATGACGACCTTTGATACACCAGGCGCTATGCTAGCGGAACTCAAGCCGAAGTGGCTCACGCAGTCTCCTTCTGCACCCCCTATGGCGCGGCGGTGTCGAACTTGTGCTTTAAGGGAGATGAAGAATTGTGATGCGCGATCATCGGGCTCAAAGGAGCAGCGGTCGTTTTGTCCTTTGGATCTTGTGTCTGGGCGCTTTGAAGACGTCCTGCGTGCTACGACTCTCGTCAAGGGTTGTAATGATCGGACGCGACTGGCGCACATTCTGTTTCATAATCCGATCCTTCAAAGACTACGATCCCAGCAGACCTCGTGGGCAAAGGTCGGCCTACTTGGTCCGCCCGCTTTATCTCAAAAAACATCACTCGACATGACTCTGCGGGACTGTACAATGTTTATCAAGGTGTGTGATACTCAGGGGGCTGTTCTTCATTTTCATTCCTCTACTAACACTCATAGATCCCACGCGATCGGGAAACACCCGTCGAGATCCGCCTGGGGGACTTGGATTTGAAAACAGGCGCGGGAGGAAAATCCACCTATTGGAGAAAAATCGAACTTCAGCTCCTTGATGGTGGCTGGTATGCCGGGTCCAACAGCAGTCAAGAACCCAGCGATTGTGCACTTCAGTACTTAACACATTAATTCCCGGCTTGAGCCATCATAGTCCGGTGCATTTGGACTTGACCCCGGCTTGCATAATGAATGCATTTTCACCGTCTCTTATGGGAGAGATTTATGATGCACGATTTTATGACTAATGGGCGACTTTAATATCTACCCCATTCTTCTATGGTTATTTAATTAATTTTCAACTCTTGTCTTCTCAATCAATCCACTTCATCTTCATAGAAAAAGCCCGGGATACCTAGCTTGATCCTCCGAGCTCCCAAAGCACACGTGTAGCTTTGTCCCATCGGACTAGCCAGATTTAAAACAAACATATATCTGCAATAAAGCCCGTCAGACGAAACGACATGCTTGAGTTTGTGTAGCTCATTCGCTGGACCCAAGCGGGTTGTACCTCGAACACAAAGATAACCTCCGCTCCACCCCACCATTCCAAACTCCCCACATCAACTCCCTCACAATGGACTATAAGTCTCTCCCCACTCCTGCCCACTGCGTTGCAGACTTCTGCTTGATTCCGGTTAGTAAAACACTCCTGTGCTACGCTATGCCATTTGTTGGTGATTGGTGTTTCGCCGGGCTGACAGACTCTATTAGATCGGCACCGCGTCGGCTTCAGTCTCGGCCCAAATCGCTGATGTCCAACGACTGATTCAGCAATCCGGTGTGAAATATGTGATGCATTCTGCCGGGACTACGCTCGGTGCGTTCTCTTTTTCTCCGATTGGCTATCGCTGTTTGCAAAGCCTGTTGCGTAACTTTCTCGTGTTTGGGCTGGTAGAATGATTATTCAGTACTATATCTGACTGTGACTCTTTTAGAGGGATCTTGGGACCGTGTCCATGAGGTTATTGGACAGGCGCATATGATGCTCCACCAACAGGGCGTTGTCCGAATCCAGACCGACATCCGGGTTGGCTCGAGGTATGTTTGGTCTTTGCTCTTGTCCGGGGTCCGGGAACTCATTTTTGGTTGGATACTGGGGCTTCCCCCGATGGTGTGTTATGTTAATCAAGCTGACGACTGGTTCGATTGGATATAGGACGGATAAGGTGCAGTCTCCTGAGGATAAGGTGAACAAGGTACGGGAGTTATTAGGAAAACAGTAGATTCTAGATTATTTCCTATTCGACTCGGAATACGGGTTACAATAGACAGAATCATAGTTTGTCAATCGTTTCGCTCTAAATATAATAGTTCACATAACGATGCCACAATATCTTGTACAAAAGTACGGTTCTGTTCATCCAATCGTTGCAATCAAGCCAAAGCCAAAACCAATAACGCCTTTACCTTTTGCATGGGCGTGTTGCGCCATGCTGTCCCATACCCGAATACCGTACCCTCCTATATCCATGCTCTATATACCGGGCGAGACACTGAGTACTGAGTACCCTCAAGAAATGTTTGACAACAGAACGCTATACAGTCATAAACATGCGTGGAAATCCAAAATGCAATAGCCGGGGTATAAAGAGGCAATCAAAGGCTGATACCACCTCCGAGAATGCTACCCCAGTTGCCACCAACCCAGACCCAGTTACCCATAGAGGGTGTAGAGCCTGACCGAGCGGACTCGGCGAGGTTGACTAGGCTAGTGAGAACGCCGTTCACGGTCGAGCCATCGTTGCTCGAGGTCATCGCAGATGTCGAGACGGAGGTTCTGCCCACGGCATTGGTGACATTGTTCAAACTATCAACGGTGTCGATGGCCGGGCCACGGTTGAAAAAGTCCACGAGGATGAATGTGGGCTGGCGACCGTTGTACGCTGACTTGCACTTTGTCGCCGTTGATCCCAAGTTACCCGTACCACCGGACGGGGCGTTCGTCGTCGCGACATAGCTGGCATTCGGGTACTCGATATCGATAACCGAGATGGTAGAGTAGAGGAAATGGTTCATCAAGGGGAGAAAGTTGGACGCGAGCGCGGAGGAAAGATCATTTTCGTAGGTGGAGGGTCGGTTGGGAGTGCAGGTGAAGTTGGAGGCATCGGTCACATCGTAGTTGTTCTCCCAGACAAAATCCCACTCGTCCAGCAAGTAGGGGTAGCTGGAGCTTGCATCGAGGGATGCGACAAAGTTCACGAGCCGGGTGCCGTTGTTGATCATTTCTTGAAGGGTTGGCCAGGAGGATGGTGCGGTGGTGAGGGAGCTGGGCTCGTAGGCGTAGCTAGTGATGTTGGCATCCTCGTAGATGGCGCCGAGTTCGGCGGCCGTTGCCGAGTCAGAGTTCACAAGAAGAATGGTGACGACTATAGAGAATATGGCCCGTTAGTGAGTGTTGCATGCTTTCGCACCGAGTACCGTTGCGCACCTTCGTTGGGGTTGTCATCGAGCCAGGTCTTAATCTTGCCCAGCCAAGTTTTCAACAATCCTGCGTCAAGCAGATCACAGCTGCTGTGGCACAAGTGCCATGCGGAGTCGCTCTTGTGGACTTGGGCGGTTACTAGTCGCACGCCAGCATCGAGTTGGGTAGTAGTGTCGTAATATCTATAAGAAGAGGTTAGATTGCCGATTTTTAATCTCCGATTGCATTGACATACTGATCGCCGGCAATAGATTCATCGGTGCTAGAGTCGCGGACGAAGGGACTATCGTGGGCACCCAGGTGTGTGATCTCGCCGTAACTCTTATCGCAGAGATCGGGAGAGTTGTTGCAGGCGGTGGTGCGGACATTCAACGGATTGCCAAGTACCAGCGGCAGTAATGCTAGGATATTAAATGATCGCATATTGTGTAGTTCTATCAAAGATAATGGAATGAGCAGAAGAGTGTCAAGAGTGTCAATAATAAATAATGAACCTGGGGATATTCATGGAGAATGTTTATGTGACGCCGATCCATACTAAGCGGGTCCAGGCCGCGTTGCCGTCTCAACTATTCTTAGATCTTCACAGCCACATCCATTTATTGGCCGCTTTATACTCAGCCCCTAGTCTTGGCTGGAAATTCCACTTTGCCTAGACTCGTCCACGATTGCTGGGCATTAGGCGGGCGAAGCGCTGACGACAAAGGTGACACGGCCTTTAAAGTATAGACGCGACCATGAATGGTCTCCAGTGATCGCTTGCCTCCTTGCACTTTATGCATGGGGTCAATTTTTGATTATGTACAATTGTTGATACATCCTAATTAAATGCTGCATCCGCTTCACCGAGGTGGTCTTCGTGACAATAAGACACTGCCTGACTTCCTCCGCGACATGTTTGTGCGAGTAGGATTCAGGAGCTTCTCCGGTTGCAAATGTTCCTCACCCTGGAACAGGGAATTACCCCAGGCAAGGTTGATATCTTTAAACACTCGATCTTGACTGTAGGGATTGACCCGCCGCAACATACGGTTAAAGCGCACTGCGGAATGGCAGTAAGCTCCAAATATTATGTTCAACCGTATCTGAGTCGCACGTCGGATTGGGCCCGGCTGAAGAGTAAGACCAGCTTCCTCCAGCTCTCGAAGAAGTATGAGGCCTCGAGTCCAAGGAATAAGCTTGTCACCTGTGGCAGGGTGTACACAATAATTTTTAGCTTCTGTGTCACAAGTCACACGAAACTTGAAGCCCCAGGAAACGATGGCTTGTTGCATCTGCTCGGCAAAAATGAGATCAAGCACCCGACTATCCGATCGGATCAGAGACCTTTGCTGGGGAGGGAAAATTCCCCGGAGTTTCCCACTCTCTTCCGGCCGATGACTGTACTGACTGACAAGCCACAAAGAGCATTCTCGCAGTTCATCCCAATGGTTGCCCATGCCCAGCCGCTTCAGAAGTTCCACCCAGAAATCCGGGCTTACATAGCATCCGGTGGGAACAACACGCTGGAGAACCCTGAATACAAACATCAATGCGTCATGGGTAATCGGGGCAGGTGAGCATTCTCCCACGTGCGGTCTATGGTGCCCCCGGCGACGTGGTAGGAGCTTTTCAGCCATGAAGTCCACGCTATCTTCGCTCAAGGTCTTGCCAAGCAAGGTAAGCTCATCCACCACTTTGGAAGCTGCAGTAAGCTCCCCGGTGGCCATGTGTTTGCGGAAATGAATATCTAGTAAGCCTGGAGAATCCGAAAAATGCTCTCCCAGGATAGCTAGTGATACATTGTACTGGCGCCAATCGCGAGCCATGTAGTATGATACCAAGAGTGATTCTTGCAGCTTTACATTCTCCAAAACATCAGGGTGTTGGTCACTTTGAAGCAAGTCAGAAAGCAGGAACTCGCGATTCTGGGCTGCGAGTTTCGGCACCAGCCTTGCAAAGACACTGTCGGCGGCGGTAATACCAGACTGGCGGAGCAATTTGAGGTTTTCTAGGATTTCCTGACTATCATGAGCTCGCACGGCCATCTCCCGTAAAGTTCTAGGGCCAATTTTGGATATTCCGAGCATCCTCAGGCCCCCTATAACCATGTCGAAATTGAGAGCACGAGTAGCAAACAGTCTAGCGGCGATGTTGTCTTTGTATTGATGTTTCCCAGAGCGGCTGGACTTTGTATATCCCTGATCTCCTTCATCGGCCTCTTTTGCTGGTGGTTTTTGTGGCAGGTCTTGTTCGGGCGAGAATGACGGAAATCTATTCTGGGCATAGTCTTGAAGGCTGTCATATTCTTGCCAAGATGCATACTTCCTCGTGTATTCCAATAAGGGCTGTAGTTCCTGCAATGATCGAGGGTGGTCTTGTCGAGCAACCAGCCAGCCATGCATTGCTAAGGCGTCTTCCCCCCAGCCTTGCTCCAGGAGTTTCAAAATGACCGGGCCGTAGATGTGATGGTCAATTCCACGACATAGAGCCTTCAGGATCTTGAGCCGCATGTATGATGGCTTGGAACGTAGCCGAGGACGGGGATTGGCAAATAAGAGCAAATCATTGACGGGAGGTAGAGATGGTGGTGAAATGGCATATGGAATAATCCGTACGAGATCACTAGGGTTCGCAAGGTGTGAATCCTGGAGCTTTCGATGCCATTCGATTGCCTGTTTACTCATACCTCGGTCCAGAAGACCACCAACAGCCTGCTCATAAAGCCGCGGCCAGCAATAGCCATCACTGCCACCAAGGATTATTGCGTAATCTAGGACATCCTTCAGGAATATCTCCCGTGTCAGTCCTAGGTCCACGAAACTTTGCCAGAAGAAATCTGCCTGATTCCCCGTAAGCGGCAATTTCACTCCACCTGCACGGTTCGTCAATCCTTCCCAAATCACTTGAGTACCCTGGTCTCCGTGGTGGCGCTGGCGGTATCGAAGAAGTTCTTCCCAAAGCTCAAAATTGTTCCTGTATTCCGGGAGGTCCACCAATCGTGTTCCTAGGTCATTGGTGTGGCCAATATCCGATTCAAATTCCAATTTGTCTGGATTGAGTCGTAGTGATTTGACGAAGCATTCCGAATCCTGGCCTGGAGTGGAGTCGTTTTCGCAAAAGGAAGGTTCTTCGGATCGAGGATTGGGTTCAATATCGTGGACAGAGAAACTGAGCGACTTTTTCTTCAATTTGGACGGCCAGGGAGCCTTCGTTTTCTTGTAAGAGACGCTAGAGTCATTGCCGTCGACTACTGAGGATTGATTGGCACATTGTGATTGACATCGGAGGCGCGCGTATCGGGACTCCAACTGCTCGATTCCGATTGAAGATGCGGCGAGGCTGTCGATTATCGAGAGCGCGGAGGGCCTCTTCAACAATCGAGTCAAGGCCGGTCGCATGGGTACAGGGAATGAGATGGCATCCAATGCTGGATCATGCTGGAATCACACCCAAAGAAAAGATAGAACAAGCAACAAGACAGCATCCGCGCGGAGGAACTAATGACGCTTTCCCCTTTCGAGAGATTGACCTTAGTAAGCACACGAGTTTGATTGGCAAAAAGCAGGCGGAGGAAAGAGGGAAATCATGTGACCTGCGAAGCTCGATCCTAGACATCGTGAACATCACCCCATTCCCACCCTCCCATTGTCTAACCCCTCTCTCCCTTCCAACCGCCAAAATGTTCCGCACTGTGCCTCGCATGGCTGGGTATGTCTGCATCGATTCCTGCTCCTGCTACCCTCAATCCCTCACAATCCCACCCTGGACCGCGTGTCCGTGTGCGCCCGAATTTCATTCCGCAGCTCCTCGGGACGCAATGGCCTGTCGCCAAGGATATCAATCTCAGAACAGGCAATGGACTCAGGTTTGATAACAATGACTAACGTGTGCTTTCCAACTATAGGTTCGTGTTCCGCGAGAACCGTGTCCCCTACTACCAGCGTCTGTTCCAGAACCACGACGGCAAGCGTCAATGGTGGAAGGTTAGTTCGGTCCGCATAGGCCATTGTGCATTGACAACAATCTGACTCGGTCTTTTTCCACAGACTTCCCGTTCCGGCTGGGTCATGTACCCCTACCTGATCTCCGTCTACGGTCTCGGTGCTGGTAAGTTGACCTCTTGTTGAACTGGAAGCAAATCTATGTGCTGTAGATTGACATTATAATAGCTACCGTCTACGCCTCGTGCCGTATGGTTCTCGTGAGTTCCTCTTTATCTATTCCCTCTACGCCTCGGACTATGAACCATGTCTTAGCGCTTCATCTCAGTGAATCCCCGCTAACCTTTTTGACAGGGCCACAAGACTTGGATCTAAATCAAGTCAACGATAATAGGTGATGCCATCTGCAATTGGCAGGATCGTTGAAGATGCAGTGTTTCAAGGAGAACTCGATTTGGTGTATTTCTATTCCGGTGATGGTTAGATTGGTTTGCAGGCACACTGGTTTGGGGCTGTATATACCACCAATTCAAGTGCCAATTAAGTTACTTTTGCTTTTCTCAATATTGAAGATCACAGCTGTTTCAGTGCCCCAAGGTAGCCAAAATTTTGCATGCTTATTACCAACACCATGCCATTGGCCGAATATCGCTTCAAGGGATCAGTCCATTTTCGTCACCAATAGTCTCTTTTATACCCACCGGATGCATCTTAGTAAAACATCACGATCACTATCCCTAATTCCCCAATAGTCCAATGCACGGAAAGCTATAGCTCCTGTTTCCTTCTCTACTCCGTGTTCCGCTCCATCTCCGGTCCGGATCCAGTATTGATTAGTCATCTGATTAAGGGTGTTTCATGTCTGCCAAGCTCCAACCGGTGTAGGATTTACCTACAATGCGTTCTAGAGTCCATGAAATAGCGAAGGTTCTAGGTGATCTACATTTAGATCAACTTGCTCTCTAAAATCTCATTTCTGAGTCGATTATGCACACCCTTGGCGGGACATTCATGACAAACAAAAACATACCACAGCGAAACATTGTGCATCCGTGGATTTTGAAGACCATGAGCTTTGAGTCGTATACCACCATTTTTTGATCAGATGGATTCGTCATATTCAGAACGCGCTGCCAAGCGGGTTCGACAAGCCTGTGAGCCCTGCAGGTAAGTCCATGGCACCCATCATTCCAGATATTATGCTCACGTGTTGCTTAGGAGGAAAAAAGCGAAATGCCCTGGAGAGCAGCCGGTTTGCTCATTGTGTGCTAGATTACGGCAACAGTGCGTATACGCGGAATTAAGACGCCGTCATGCGCCACCGGAGGATCATTCGAGGTCAAGTGCTCCGCCCTCGTCCTCCTCTCAAACACTTGTAAGTGCTGGGGTTCGGGAGATATAGTTTTTCGCGCTAACATTTGGCCTAGGAGGATAGGTTGCGTAGCTTAGAAGGCAAGCTGGGGGCGGTTCTTGAACATCTGGGGTATGGATCCTGAATGCCCCCAGAAACGTTCCATGCTGATATATCGTGTCACCAGGACTAGAGCTGAGCCTCCAGGATCAAATGAAGTGCCTACAACAACACCATCAGGGATTAGCTCATCCACCATTCTCCCGCCATGGGAAGAGGTCATTCCAATTGCAGAGCTTTACCTGCTGTATTGCGAATCTCAGCCCTTGCCTTTGTTCCATAGAAGCAGCTTCATTGCTAATCTCAAGAGGCGCGATGTTGAGATTGTATATGCAGTACTGGCTCTGAGTCTCCGTTTTTCAGATTCGTACCGTAACTATCCTGACTTGACGGGATTGGTGAACGGCTATGCTGAAGTGGCGCGCGGTCTGGTTATGAAGCGAGTCTCGGAGGGGCCAGTCGAAATTTCAACTCTACAGTGCCTGTGTCTTTTGAGTTTGGTTGATTTCACAAGTGGGTATACTATCATATACTTTGCTTTGTTGGTCGCTAATATGTTTTAGATGGCAATACGCACCGCTCCAGCATCCACAGCAGTCTGGCAATGAACCTTGCACGGTGCGCCAACCTTGGAGTCGAGTCCCGTGCATTAACAAATAACGTCATTCGCGAAGAACGAAGGCGATGTTTTTGGAGTATATGTCTCCTGAAACGACTTCATGGTGACGATTTCTCAATTCTAGACCTTCCAGATATAGGAGGTCCGCCATTTCCCCAGAGCCCGACTCGGCCATCCGCTATCTCTCCAGCTCCACCAACCCCAGGGGCCCGACGAAGCGAGCTACAGGACCAAGGAATAGTTGCATATGTCATCATGCTGAGTGAAGCATTTGGGAGGACTGCGCGATATGTACGGCATCGAGGACGACCGGGGAATGTACCGCCATGGTCTCCGGACTCGGAGTATTCCAAGATCATTGCGCTGCAAATGGAAATGGAGACCTGCATGCCACTTATACACCGCTTCAAACCCGCAAACCTCAGCGATAGGTCTTTAGAGGAACTGCAGGCTCATAGAGAGTACTGGGGCCCATGGTTTTTAAACCAATTCATGTACCATACCATTCTCTGCCTCCTCAACCATCCCCTCCTCTTGTCTCTGAGTTTGCGTACGTTTCGGAATACCATCCCCGAAATATTTTTACAACATACTTCGGATCTGATCTCCTCGCATACAACTTGGATCATCCATTTCATCAACTATTTTGAGGAAAGATCCTTCCTGGTATCAGATCCCTTGCTGGGATACAGCGCTGCTGTTGTGGCCACCATCGAGCTTCAATTAAGCTTCACAGAGAACCCAGCCATTAGGGAGCAGAAGCGAGACAGATTCACAAAATGCGTCAATTTTGTACAACAAATCGGCGAGAGATGGCCCCATATGGCTCGCTTAGTACGTAAACGTGACAAGTTTCCGAAATTGATACTCTGCTAAACATCATCTTCTCTATATCTAGGCAGAAAGACTACAACACCTGGAGAACGCTGTTTCAGCCACCTACCAATGCGACCTAGGTATTCAAAACCAAAGTCTCCTGATCGATCTCTCCCGCTTCTGGGAAATTCTTGAGTATTCATCCAACAGCGACGTCGATTCCGCTAGGCGCCTTTTCGGAGATTCGTTGTATAACGGACCTCCATCCGTGGCAACAGAAGTTTCACAGACTTCGCCTTTACCAGCACCGACTCGTTTGAATGAACAGGAAGAGTCCTCTTCGACTCTCCAATCTCCAAACTTCAATACCAATACCGTCTTTCCCAATGGCCCAGATTATCCTACAAATACACTGGTGGCGCCGCAACAACTGGCTTTGTCGAACGATGACTTTTCTATCCTTGCTACGAACTTCTTTTCTCAGGGACAAGAGTTCCTTCGAGGTGGTGATAGCTGGGAAAATATTGGGAACTTTTGATTGCCTCTAAATGATAGATATTTCATTTCTTTGATAATGATCAATAAGATCGTAATAAAACTAAAATAGTTGCCACGTTTGATACGTAGACATCTTTTTTCTGATATGAGATCACATAAATTCATACATATGAGCAGGCTATGCACTCAAAGCCCCACGAAATGTTTCCACGAAAGTGTATACCTCAGAGAAGGTGTTGTAAAGAGGCACAGGCGCCACACGAACAACATCCGGCTCACGCTTATCGCAAATAATGCCCGCATCTTGCAGCTTTTCAGCAACCTTATGCAGAAGTCCAGGCTTAAGCAAGAGACTTAGCTGTGCACCACGAGAATGGGGATCTGAGGGTGTGATGATCTTAAACTGACGAGTCTCATCGGTAGTATCCTTCAAAAGAAGGAACTCCAGGTATGCAGTCAGCTTCAGCGATTTCTGACGCAAGTCAGACATTGAAGTTTGATCGAAGACAGACAATGCAGCGCAGAGAGTTGTCAAATCGATAACTGAAGGGTTGGAGATGACAAAGCCGTTAGCTCCAGGAATGGGCTTGAATTCTAAACATCAATATTAGCAGATGTTTGAGGAACATATCCTCCGTAACAACTTACTGTTATCCATCTTAAATCGGACAGACCGGTCACCACCGTACCAGCCAGTCAATCTGTGGCGAAACTTAGGCGCATCCTCGCCCTCGCTGTAATCCACCTGGCCATGGCGCTCGTGCACGAAGAGACCACCCATCGCTCCGGGTCCGGCATTGCCATACTTGTATGTGCACCAAGCAGCGAAATCGACGTTCCAGTCGTGCAGCTTGATCTCAACATTACCATATGCGTGCGCCAGATCCCAACCCACAATCAGACCGCGAGATTGGGCGTACGAAGTAATGCGGGGAATGTCAAACAATTGCCCAGTGTAGTACTGGATACCGGGCAGCAGAAGAACGGCAGCATCTTCGGCGTGCTTATCAATGTATGAGAGAATCTTTTCAGTCGGGATCTCATATTGGCCCTCATCAGGACCGATCAGGACCATGTTTTCCTTGGCATCGAGACCGTGCCAGGCGATATGAGATTCAATCGCATACTGGTTAAGATTAGTTCGGGGTCTTTTACGAAGCATGGCAGTCATTTGATACTCACATGGTCGCTGGGGAATGCCTTCCAGTCCATAAGAATCTTCTGTCGCTTCTCTGTTGGCTTGTAGAAACTTGCGAGGAGGAGGTGCAGGTTCATAGTGAGAGTACCCATAGCGGCGACCTCCTCAGGGGCGGCGCCGACAACCTTGCACATGGAAGCCGAAGCTTGCTCCGAAAGCAGTTGCCATTGCTTCAAAGGCGAGTCCTCGAGACTGGTGAAGTGCCCGCAGACACCAATAGACGACCATGTGTCGAGCTGGGCTTCCATGTACTTGGCAACGGCCTTAGGCTGGATTCCCAGCGAATTACCACAGAAGTAAATGCTTGGCTCTTTGGAAAGGCCTGTAGTACCATGATCAGTCCTCTCACCCCAATGTTTAGTTTAATAATTCAGGACTTACCTGGTTTCGCCAGCTTCTTGGAAGATAGATTGGCCTTGGAAGGGATGATAAACAAATCTCGCAGCTCTCGGAGAGTATCTGCAGCATCCAGGGAAGCTGCATATTCTTTACACGCGGCTTCGGCGGGGAAGACATGCTTCGGCGCCTTGACTCCATTTGGGGTGTTTCCTCCGCCCATATTGATAGATGGTAGGGCAGTAGGGCTGTGAGATGAGGTAATGACTGGGGGGTGTTGCACAGGAACAACTGGATCGGACAGAGGATCTGAATGATTCAGGCTGAGACCGAGCTCAGATCAATAACCCAGCTGCGTTTTATAAATGCAGTGATGAGGGGGATGCAGTTGCATCCGGGTGTTAGCTCCGCTTCCGCCTCCAGATCCGTCCCCACAGTTTTGAGCTGATTCTATCGCGTTATGTCTCTGCTGATATACATTGATCAAGTTTTTACAATTCGATATTAATACAAAGATCGAAAGTTGATAGAGTTTAGATTTTCGGACTGGTTCATTTTATCATATCCGGTGTAACGCGCATCGGTGGGGGGTTCGACGCTAAGTCATTGTCATCGGTCCTGTGCGGGCAGGAGATGCAGGTTTGCTTTTTAGCGGAAGGATCACATTTCCTGGGAAAGTCACTTAAAAACCCCGAAACTATTGAACTATACCTATTTCCCGTGATCAATAGATTTGTAAACGATATGCACCGTATCCAAGGCAGCTACATCATACTACGCAACCAAGACGGAACACGGATAGATATGCGGATGAGAGATCCGTGTTTTATAGATAGCAGAAGCAAATCAGTGGCCGACGCCAGCCGCTATGGCCTTTCTACGTATATTACCCTGCCTTATTGACTGTGATCCTATTCTTTAAATGCCAACTAGGTAGACCTGCGATGGGAAGATTTCTCCCGATTCATTTACATAACGACCACGCCCCTCTCATTGTTCCTCTCTACTTTTCATCCTGACCTCGGCATTTTCCATTTGTTTTGTCTTAATTTCATCAATATGCTCCAATCTCCGATCATCAGACTAGAGGACTACGCTGTTTCCGACAGGAATGGCTTCCTCCCCACCAGTCCTCCTCTTGCGAAACTTCCCGCCTACTATGAGCCTTGGGAAGCCCTCGCCGGTCGGTTATCTACTCTTATCAAAGAGGGGAGTATCAGATCATTGATTGATGACCTTCCGATACTCGATGCCTTCTGGCTAAAGACAGAGCCTGAAAAGCGTCGTGCCTACTCAGTATTAGGGTTTCTGACCCATGCTTATATCTGGGGGGGCGAGAAGCCGAAAGATGTATGCCCCCGAGTTACTTTTAGGTTTCTGCCAGCTCTAATCACATGTGATACCTATAGACGATTCCTCCTTGTATCACAAAGCCTTTCCTCGAAGTCTGCCAACATCTCGGACTCCCACCCTGTGCAACATATGCAGGGCTCACTCTGTGGAACTACACGGCGCCAGAGGGGGCAGATATCTCCGATCCTGACAATCTATCGCTCTTGACTTCGTTCACTGATACCGTCGATGAAGAATGGTTCCTACTTATCTCAGTGGCTATTGAAGCCAAGGGTGGCAAGCTGGTCTCCTTAATGCTCGATGCCATTGCAGCAGCCACTGCCAACAATGTGCCACGACTGGCTGCACTGCTGTGCAGATTTACAGATGGTCTGCGAGACTTTGATTGCACACTCCAGCGCATGCATGAGAGATGTGACCCTGATGTGTTCTTCTACCAACTCCGCCCATTCCTGGCTGGTAGCAAGAACATGGCTAGTGCCGGCCTGCCTAAAGGTGTTTTCTATGACGAGGGCAATGGCCAGGGACAATGGCATCAATACAGTGGAGGGAGTAATGGTCAGAGCTCACTGATTCAGACCTTTGATATCTTTCTGGGTGTGAATCACTCGGCGACCGGGGGAATCAGTGGCCCTTCTGGATATCTTCAAGTAAGGCTCTTGGCCCCAGGATCCCTTACCATGGATACCGAGCTAACCTGGGATCGTACCAACTAGGAAATGAGGGACTACATGCCCGGACTTCACAAGCAGTTCCTACAGGCTTTGACATACCATTCCAATATCCGTTCCTTTGTGATGTCCTCGCCGAATGAACAATCCTTGAAAGAGGCATATAATGCCGCATGCTTGACCCTCGCCGAATTCAGAGGCACTCACATGAAGGTTGTCTCCCGATACATCGTCCTAGCAGCCAAACGAGGTGCGCCAACGACACAGTCATCCGAAAATGTTAACCTCGCAACTGCGAGTGCTCAGGTGGACGGATTGAATGACGAGAACCCGTCTGGGTTATATGGAACCGGGGGAACTGCATTGATGCCTTTCCTGAAGCACACAAGAGATACCACCAAGGATGCGACTATCTAGACTTTTTAACTGTATATGTTTTTACGGGGATATTAATATTAGTCGTGACCACTTATAAGTCAGACTGTCCGAAAATAAATGCCATCTGCCCTAAAGTAAGACATTGGATACTCCCCTCTAGCATCTACCGGTACACCTTAACCTTATATTTCACTACTGCCCTTTAAGCATATTTAATATTCTGTGCAATTTTCCGTACTTTAAGTAGTCTCTATGCCTGATACAATACTTTGCTAGACGTCTCACACAAGATCAAATCAAATATGGGTGGGTGCCTCGCCAATCAACCCTGGAAACAGATAGATGTAGCGTATCAATCGATATCTTTGTTTAGCATTGGAATCTGATCAAGGTGATTGAGAAAGTGACATCGTTTTGGAGATCAGTGATACATCGACAAACCGTGATGCGTGTATTGATCATGTCACCCTATTGTGCTTTCCTGCTAAGATAGAAATACGGCTGCGTAGACACGACCAAAAGCTGTCTCGATATGAATTCTGGCTGCTATTGGATTCTCCATGGTACAACAATTATCAAATATATAAATGTAAATTGATGTTGAAATTGAACTTCTGTAAGAATTGGAGTTCAAATACCCTCACGCTGTCCAGTAACTTCAGTCGAACCGGGCACTGGTAAAAATGTAACCATGGCACGATTGTCAGGTTCAAACAGGACTTTCTAGCCTTAGAGCCTTGACATGACGCCGAGTGCTAGTCCCATTGGCCATATTCAACAGTCCCCTTGGTGAAAGTCGGCTGTTCCAAATGGCTCTATTCTTGAAGACCATTCTAAGGGTTGCGTGTTGCGTTGCTGTGGGACCAGCCAAGTTTGCTTCTCAAATGAATAGCATTTGCAGGCATGGCCCCAAGGTGACAGTTGTCATGTGAGATAGATGTTTGTTGTGGTTGATGTGGATATCACAGCGCATATCGGAGTTGCGACGGATTCCCCAGAATTCCAGAGACCAGACACAATAGCCTGGAATTGCAGACTACTGGGAAGGATATAGCTTGCAGGCGATCATCTCTTTTTGGTATTAGCGGGAACCCCCTCGCTCTCCCGTAATTCTGCAAGTGTTTTCTCCCGCTCAACCAAGCGGTCCTTCTCCTCTTTGATCATCGCATCAACTGTCTTCATAGCCTCCGACATCCGATCAAGCTCTTTATTCTCAGTCGCCCGACTGTATGGATTCTTCGGTGCATCATTAATCGGAATCTCCGCCGTCCGTCCCGCACCTTGCTTGGCGTTCTTGCCCTTGGCCCGGGGCGGAGCAGTACCGGCAGGGCCTCCAGTGAGAATTTCGTAGAAAGGCTCAACGGGCTCATTGAAAATGACCTCCTCGTAATTCTGGCTCACAACCACCTCCCGGCGCTCCTTCATTCCCTCTGCATCTGGACCGTAGGGGTGAAGCTTCAGGCTGTGCCAGAGTGTCTGCGGTTTCTCGTTTGACTCGGGGACGAAGTACAATTTGATTTGGATCTCGAATTCACCCCACCCAGTCTCTACGACTTCGAAAGGAGGCGCCTCAATTGTGCGAACATTCTGTGCGTATGTCTCGTGAAGTTTGAATTGGACCTTTTTCAGCCAGTAGGAGATATCTTCATCATTGACGCCCTTTACGAAGATGCGCCATTGATGGGTGTGATCGACGGGTGCATTTGCGGGCTTCTTCTCGGGGTCAAATAGCTGGGCTTCGCTGCCAAATACTAAAATTTTGCGCGTTAGTGCTGATTATATCAGTGGGTTTGTTGTTCAGACATACTGAATGGGCGGAATACTGAGACTCCCTAAGGAAGGGATTAGCTTGCTTTCTTGATTTCGGGAGTTCGTGCCAGGGGCGAGTGTACTCACTCTGACGCGCTTGTTTGCTGGTGTAGATGGCATAATGAGGTGCTGGTCCGGTTGAAGGATGTAGAGAGTGTAGATGAACTGTTTGTGTTCAAGCCTTAAATGAAGCTGGTGAACGGGCGCGACGGAAAAAGGCAGTCACGACACACGTGACCTGGTGACGGCATGCGGGAGCTTTCGCATAGCTTCCAAGATTGAATTCTTGTGAGCTGTTTCTGTGTTACATCTTAACTCATTCTGCATATTTCCACATTCTTGATCTTGACATATATTTTCCAATACACAATGGCTACCAAAAGACTTGTTGTCGCCGGTGGAAGCGGCTTTTTAGGTTTGCGATACATGCAAATGGGCCGACTCACGATGGATGCTGATCTATGGTTCCAGGATCCAGGATATGCAAATCAGCTGCAGCGCGGGGCTGGTCGGTAACCTCGTTAAGGTAAGTTGGAGGTTTCTTTTCCCTCGCGCTCCGTCTATCCTGCTTAATGGAGGCTGATCTCTTCTCTAGCCGATCTGGCGAACCGCGGTGGGACACGGTCACAGATTCCTCGACACGCCCAAGCTGGGCGAGTTCAGTCGAATGGGCCAAAGCCGATCTTCTAAAGCCAGAAAGCTACAAGCCTTTCTTGAGTGGTGCTACTGCGGTTGTTCACTCCATGGGAATTCTTCTAGAGGCCGACTACAAGGGTGTCGTACAAGGAAGAGAACCCATTATTGGAGGTCTTCAGCGGGCATTCAGCTCGTCCAAGCTTGGAAGCCAAGACCCACTAACACGCAAAGAGGGCGAGGCCCTTAAGCCCAAAGAAAAAGATGGCCAATTGACTTATGAACTTATGAACAGAGATTCAGGTGTGTGTTGATCGACTCAGGATATCTAGCGAACGAAACTAGGGCGCCTGAAATCTGACCACATCTTGTGTAACAGCTATCGCATTAGCCCAAGAATCCCTGACCGAACATGTCCCAGCATTTGTATACATCTCCGCGGCGGCCGGTGCACCTATCCTTCCTGCCCGATACATCACCACTAAGAGGGAGGCTGAAGACACAATCGCCTCCACTCTTCCGGAACTGCGGAGTATCTTCATTCGACCCGCTTTCATGTTCGATTCCAGCCGAAAATTCACATTACCGATCGCCCTGGGCGGCTTTCTCGCTTCGGAGGTCAATACTTTCCTGGGAAACAAGCTTGGGTTCCTTGGGTCTATGGCTGAGAAGCCTCTGAAAGTCGATACCGTGGGTGAGGCCGTAGTCGAGGCTTTGGAGGACGAGTCAATAAGAGGGGCAGTAGGAACCAAACAGATTGAGGCTTTGGCCACAAAGGCCTGGCGGAAATCAATGCTGTGAGGCAGCCCCATTCGCATCTGATGTTTGGAATTTCGTGCAGGGACCCATCTTCCGGTTGAAATAAAGCACACGATAGTTTGCGGGTTGACGGCTAGTGTCTTGTTCCAAATTTGACTCAGAAAAGTGCCCAGCACATGTATATTATTTCTATTTTGTTTTCATGGCGCATTAGATCATCGTTCCTCGCTCGAAACTGTCCCGAATCTCGGTCGTGTACTAAAGAGAGTCAGATAAAATTCCCATGTAAAAGAAGATGAAAGGAGCATACCTTGTTGTAGAACCGGGCAAGCTTCTGGTTGAACTGCTTGTTCTTCTCATTGATGTATGTCACATCCGCCTCCTCATCACCACGGCGCTCCTTGCGTTTCTTCAGGCGCACTTCTTCGGCCTTGTGAATATCACCGACAAGTCGGTCTATGGCGGCACGGTCTGGTTTGTTGTCGGTAAAGCCAACGCTGTCCGCAGTGGAATAGAAACTGCCATTCTTGTCGACAGCGATCATTTCCCCATCAGCGGTCTCCACAATTTCGAGGTCGCCATTAGCCGCGGCCTTCTCGATTGCAGCGAGCTTCTCCTTTTCGTATGCTTCAAGGTTCGGGGGAAGTTCTCGCATTTGTCGCTTGTACACCTTGTTAGCGTCCTGAGTGTAATCTTGGAACGCAACATTGTCGCGGTGGCGCTGCTTTTTTTCCATTCGTCGATCCCATTTCTCAGATTCGTCCACGGTCCAATCCCAGGCTCGCTTGCGCTCGAAATCTTCGCCGGTCGCTTCGGTGTCTGCTTTTAGGAGGTTGTGTGAGGCAAAGGCGTGTTTGCGGGCAAGTGACGTGGCCAAATTCGGGTCAGTGGCAAGTCGCTGGGTTTCTGCTGCTGTTTCTTTCAGGTTGCGTTCATTGGCAGATTTCTAGGACGATCGTCAGTAATGTGATCAATGGAGCTTTGTGAATTCAAAGCTTGATTCTGAATCCGGCTTCTTACCGCTCTAGCCTGGAGCGCCTTGAATCTCTGCAGCCTATCGTTTGCCTTGCTAGCCGCGCCATCCTCTTGCTTGTCGGTATTTGGCTCCACTGTGCTAGGTGTGTCGGTGGGATTTACATCTGATGTGTCCTCCGTCTGGTCCGGCTTTTTGGCGTCCTCAGCAGACGAATTCTGGCTTCGTGTCTTCGGCGTGGCGTAAACCTTCGGCATGGCGTAAATACACAATCACTTGGAAGGCTTGTGACAGTTCGTGACAGTTCGTTGGGGGTGTTGAAGAGGGTGGGAAGAGAGGTCCGCGACTGCAGTTTTCGACGAGATGACATCAGCCTCACCGCCTTTCTCTACCGCCCTGGGCTCGACCAAAACTGCCACCCCAGACTTTCCGTGCGGGTCAGTTTCCATCTCCACCCGTGGGTCGTCTGCCCGCATTGTTTCTCTGAACAAATTCGCCCAACATGAGATGCATGACTCCCTGGAGTCCAAAACCTAGATGTTTTCTTTGTGGGCCCCTGGCTGTCCGGTCATTCCCTCGCTATTATTCATCCATTGATACTCTTAGTAGCTCCAAAGCCAATACTGAGTTTATTATCCCATCTACCTCACAACTGCTTCGGTTCAGTATCACCGCCTCGAATGGGGAAGCTCCTAATGATGACCACAGTAAAGCCTTACGCAGACGGGTGACTGGGCTTCTTGATGCGGAGTGGGAATTGGGCAATCCTCCCGCGGCCTTGTGGTTACCCCTCAAAGGTGTCCAATCGATAAACCAGCGGCAAGGTACATTGTTGCTACATTCGGTGGCCGATGTACCGGGTCTGAAAGCCGTTGTCGAATTGATGGTCATTGATCCGGAGGGAGCTGCCCGGTTACAAGTCAACAACTGTTTTGTTCTGGCGAAGGCGCTACAGCGCTGCCAATCTCACAACACATATTCAGAGATTGTTGCAGTATTGAGCGATATTATTGCAAGGCTTGAAAGGCTCAAATTGCCTATTTACTCCCAGCTCTGTGAGCTTGGCATCTACTATGCGGCGTTAGACTTGTCCACTTCGGCCCTGCAGCAGTTTCTCCGCGCATGGCAACGGAAGACTGCGAAGCGATTGACCTATGGGGATCGAATTGTTCAAGCACTAACATCAGCTGTCAATAAAAAGATGTTCGAGGTTCCGAGCTACGACCCTTCAGCCTTACTCGCAGAAATCACAAGAGAAGAGGGCGTTTCTTCCGATCTGCAAACTATCTTATACAAGTCGCTTTGCGAAGATCAGCATGGATTCGCTGCATTTCTCCGCCTTCTGGCTGGAATCGGTAGTGACGAGTCATTATATGAGTTCTGGGCTGCCTTCTTGCAGAAGTTCGATAGCGAGGACCCAGAAGTTTGCCGCTCTGCTTACAGTGTGGTTTTGACCCTGATCAAAGCTGGGCGTTCAGAAACAGCCCTGGATTTTCTGGAAGACATCTCTAAGCAATGCAATGGTACTTTGCCCCATATCGAGACATCACACGATCTACAAGCTCTATCTCAAGACCCTGTTCTCGGAAAGTCACTGGCCAACTTGGTCAATGATGAGTGTTACAAAAAGCTGCTGGAAGCAGGATTCACTAGCATGGAACAGAGGCTGGGCATCAAATGGCAAGAGGCTGGAGGAGAATCAAGCAGCAAGGCACATTTTGGTGTAACCCTGGATTCATTTTGGACCGGCTTCACGGACCAGCCGCTAGTGACGATCGATGGCGATTGTGCGGGATACGACGATATCTCCCGACTTTATCCTGAGCTCCAAGCCCATGGGTGCTCCAAATCACGTCAGGAGCTCGGGCAAGTTCTTGATCTGCTAAATGATTTCGATGGCGATGTATACAATGTAGTCGTGCAGCTCAACCTAAGCGAGGAACAGTGGAAATCCTTCCAATCTGAATTTTCTTCGGCCGAGTTTCGGTGGTGTCCTCAACGGTCACCAATAGAGTTCTCAGACTCCCCACTCCCCACTTTGGCAGATCAGTCTGAGCAATGGACATCGGCTTCACTCGGTTTGATGCGGGCTCGCCCCTATGTGAATGGAGAGCCCCAAGCGGGGGCTAATGGCTTGCATTTGATGCAATTGGGGTACCTGGAAATGCGGCGTGGCCCAAGCGAGCCGTGGCAACCATCCGGATATATTGTGGCGTGGGATCGTCAGTACGGTGAAACCATTGCTCTTTTTGTTGGGAAACATTCGGCAGTCATCGGCCGTGGCCCAGTATCGTCAAATGCTCCATTCGGTGCTGTGATGTATATTCGGCCCTTTGACAAGCCCCATGTATTACCACTGTCTCCTGATCGGCACCCTCGCGAATTCGCTGGTCACTATTACTTGGACATTGACCCCAGTCCAGATTTGGATCCGTGATGTGTTCGGAAATCACTGAACTAGTCCTCAGGCACAGGGAAGATCGTTCGAGAAATCGCATGTGGAGACGATCTCACATGTAATGGGATTGCAATGATTCAGCGGTGTATCTATTTGAGAATTTCCTTTTTTTTTTTTTTTTTTTTTTTTTTTCTAGCACATGAGAATTGTAAAAGACCCGCTTTTGAGAGTGTTCGATGTCTCGGGTTGCTCCGTTTCTCTGCCCCTACAATCTCTGTACTGTACATCTCGAGAAACTAACGAAAGAAAGCCCACTTTCTATTCCCCACAATGCTCCACCAGTGTCACTTGAGTCCAGACCCCAATCAGCGACCGTTCCCTTTCGCTTTGGTCTTGGCCCCAGCAGCTCTGATCGACATATGCTATGAACCTATCTGATTTACCTTCCCTGCACGTTTGACCAATCCATCGCAGCTCGTAAGCAAACAACCGAGAGGTTCCACCATGTGACCCAGAGGCCAGGGCTGAGAAGGGAGGGATCGACGGTAAGGGTTAGCAAGCCACTCATCGGGTGCATTGTTTCAACATTGCAGGGATCGTGTCGGCTTTCCGTCTGTACGTTGAACGTACATTTCTTGAAGCGGTAGCGTGATCTTCACCTCCAGGGCTTTCTTCGAACGGCTGCATCACTGGTCGCAACGTGGCCAATATTCTACATCTGACTTGATTCAGCAACTTTCAGTGGACGACCTCGCCAGGCTCGTCTGTGGCACAGCCAAATTCGTTATCAACGTGCCATACGGGCATTGTGGGGATCACGCGTAGTAGCGCCCCTCTCTCGCCAACGATCCAGAGCCTTGGGATTTTGGCGCTTGTCACGCGAATCTAGTTCACAGTGTGATGGCGAATTGTGACGCCGCTAATTGCCGACGGATACTTGAGCCCCATCAGGATCGTTTCTTATTCGTAGAATTGACAAGAGTCCACATTTGGTGTTGGTTCGTCGAGCACCCCACGCAGGATTTGACCACTCGACCCTCAATAGACCTTGAGGGGCTTGCGCCTTTTTTTAGATCAATACACTATGGTGTGACTGATCGATACGACGTTTGCCTACATTGCCTCGGCGCTTGGGCCCATGAGACCCATCTATCGTGAATCACGCTCCAGGAAAGTGGTCCGCTTTTTCTCCAACACGTTAACGGCTGCCTTTTTTTTACGATCGGATCTCATCATGACGACAAACTATGCCAAGCTGCCATGCGAGGGATAGCCGGAGTCCTCTGCCGTGAAACGCTAATATACCTCCAATTCCTGGAAATACATGAGCTTACCGAACTCTTCCCGGAAAGCTTGCCACTTTCGTCATGGGAGCAATGACCGGGTCAGTTCCCCACTATCACGGCGAGCCTGGCGAGCTTGGCTACGACCCGGTTCTAAGATTCCCACTGTGGGGTGGAGGAAGATCTACTCACTAAAATGTGGTGCCAAGCCCCTGGGTTTACCTAGTTCCAACACGGTCGAAAGTTACGCTGTCCGAAAGAATTAGTCGGTCAGCATGCGATCGGTGTGCCCGCGCCATATCTGCTTGTTTATACGATTATCCTATAAAGCGGAGATCAAAGTTTTTCCAGGGTTTTTATTTGATATGGGATCCCGTCCCCGTTCCATGGGACGCCGCCCCTAACCAGCACAGCTTAATCTAATAGTACTTCGCCGGACAAGGGCTTTGCCATGTTTTTTTTTCCCTATTCTGGGATGGTCTGCTTCTCACTTTTCCGGTTTGTTTGAAATTCCATTTGATCCGGTCCTTGCCGGCCCTGGGCACATTCAGGCGACTATGAGCAAGCCACACCCAGGTTCCCGAGTTCCAGGAAACTTTCCCAGCAACCTCCGTGCATGGCATATTTCCTTGACCCTCATGCTCATCACAAACTCCGGTCCAGCCCCGCTGACCGTCGTTTCACAATGGCAACCAGCTCAGGAACCAAACTCCGCTTAGTAGTTCGTCGACTCATGCCCACGCACGGACTAAATGAAAATTCACACCCACACAGCCCACTCCTGCACCACCCTGTGGCGAAACCAATGCCTGCTCGGCCCGTTCCCCCGGCTCTTCCCTTTTTCATCTCTGCTCAGTGGAGCTCCAACCGTAGTCCCGTAGGGGCGGGCCTTGCCTAAGCACAAAAATAAAAGTTTAAAAAAGGGAGAAAAAGACAAAAGTAAAAAAGAAAGAAAGGGAAAACCCAGATACAGATGACAGGCCACAGCCTGGGTACTTCCTTGTCCCAATCAACTGAACTGATTGGACTAGCTAGGGAAAAGCGGAGCAGAAGGGGGGCATTGGTTTGTAAATCCAGTGCAAGTTGACATGGTTTTTCCTGAAGCTGCAAAATACTGGAAAAATGGAAAATGGAAAATAAAATAAAAAAAAAATTTAAAATGAAAAAAAAAACCAGTATTATTTCGGGATAGATACCATAAAAAGAAAAAGAAAAAAAACAGCTGAATAAAACTCACCCCTCGCAGGTTCTCCATACTCATTCCACTGACAGCGGCCACACCGAGACCGCCCCATAATTGTGACAAGCTGCAGTGGTTTTTATCAGATGTCTTGGGCCGCACAAAGATCCGGGATATGCAACCTGGTCTTGCGTGATTGCCTGCACAACTTCAGTCCTTACATATCAAAGAGAAATCTACATCTGAGACATCGCATTTGTCCCGCGCGGGTGTGGCTGACTGACCGCTTTGTGGATCGTATCCAATGCCTATTTCTATGCTGAAAGTCCACCGTTAGTTCTACTTAAGGTAGCGCAACGGCCGCCCAACGGCGCCTGCGCCTTTCAGTCTTGAATAGATGTCGAGGACCCCGTCGCAGCAATGTGGGCATCCCACCGACAGGCCTCGTGTCGACCCTGCATTTCAACACCCTGGCCTTGTGCCCATGACATATCAGCCCTATCCGCATCATGAGCCTCGTCATTTTCGTCCGCCAGATGTGGGTTATGAACGACCTGTTCTGTCCCCGCCAGAGGCTCCTCGATTACCGCCTCTAGGACGGATGACGAGGACTCCAGATCCGAGATATATGCTTTCTGCGGATAGTAACTACTTGAATCGTTCGCCTTTGCCGCAGACACTGCCCCTGCGAATGCATCATCCGGTCCCTACGGTCGTGCATTCACAAGACTATAATGCGCCATATCCAGAAGGGTCGAATCCTATGATCGACCATGGCCACGAGTATCCTAGTCATCGGTTACGGACGAACGACCAGGAATCCCAGTAAAGTTCCTTTTCTTTTCACTTTTCTTTCGAATCACCGCTATCTGTCAGTCGCCCGTCCTTGTGTGGTGCACAGTCTCTATGAGCAGCTCTACTTTGAAAGTACTGCTGTCCGCGGAAACAGTTTCTCAAAGAACCTTCTTTCTGACTCCTGGATCTCTCTAGATATAGCAGCAGCTCTATAGCTATACCTAGCCCCATACACTCGGAAAGAAGCTCAATATCCTTCGTGGGCAATCAGGTCCCCGCAAGCACCCCCCAAGAGAAAGAGCCTCAGCGAATTCGTACACCACCCTACAGTATGCCCCATGGCTTCGACAAGCTTCTACACCATGAACCCGAATCATCCCCTCCCGCACCACCTCGCCGGACGTCAACCTTACCTCGATACCATCTTCATGTCCGCCAACAGCCTATTGCCGCACGAGCATGCGGCGCCGGTGACCGAGATCGACGTCCCGTTGACCCGCCACCAATCGTACAGATTCTTCTCACAGACTTCGACTCAGAATCCCAAGACGACAAAGACACCCTTCAAGATCCTCGTTTTACAGTCGGCTGTCTACTCTTTCCCTTCTCAGACTCATCCACCTGGACCCAGCTGGATCCAGAAGCAGATCGAGACCAAGAGAAAGAGAAAGAATCCGACGGCGTCGCTCGCGCAGATGACGATTTTTCCACCCCCCTCCTCTCAGGAAAAGCTTTCATGTCCCCTTTTTACGTGGAAGCTGATCCAGATCCTAACTCTGCCCCTACTCATCCCTCCTCCGATGATATCAATCCCCCTCTATCTTCCCACCCTCCTAGTCTGCGCAATGCCTCCAAACTTCATCAACCTGCTACCTTTTTCATTTTTGCCGATCTCTCTATTCGCACGGCGGGCTTATATCGCCTACAGTTTCGGCTTATGAATTGGGGTTCTGTCGAGGATACCGGTCAATCTATGCCTATTCTTGCGGAGGCCTGGTCTGATCCGTTCCGCGTGTATCCTGCAAAGGATTTTCCGGGAATGCGCGATTCGTCTATTCTAGCAGAAGGTTTGAAGGAACTTGGGTTTGTGGAGTTGAAAACTCGTGGAAATGGGAAGGGGAAGGGGAGGAAGAGGTTTTGAGAGCATCTTTCCTGCTCCTTTTTCTCCTCCTTATATATCCGTCTCGGTTGCCTTCTTTCATACTTTCTTCTTTACTACTTTGGCTTGTTTTTTGGGTGTCGGTGTCTGTTCTTCGGGCCGGATGGGGATAAGGGGAATGAAGGGGCGTTTTTCTTTTTTCGTTATGGGTTGTTTTTGGTGCATATCATTCAGTTTATGCGTTTGATATGAGATATGAATGATGAGGCGAGATGACGAATCTCTTTTGTATGACCATTTGTTGGGATTTCAGCTTTCGACTGGAGTTTCTCGGGTTCAATATAGGAGTAGATCATAAAGAATAAGACAGCAGATCACATAGATTTTTCCCCTAATTTTACGTTTAGTTCTAAAGTGGGCAACTTCAAACATCAAAGATCAAAATATACTCCAGGCTGTAGATGGAACTGACTGCCCAATTTAGAATCATAGGCCAATATATTGGAAATAAAAACTGACATCATCTTCCATTCTGACTTAAAAATCACTGGATAAACTATAAACTACAGGCACACCCTATGTCAAGGAAAGATAAAAAAATAACTTTAATATCCACCTCGCTGATTCCCTGCCAGGTTCTGCTGCTCGTTCGCTCGAGTAACCCTAGGATCAAGTTTATTCATAGGATCAGCATTCTGAGCTTGCCCGGATCGTCCAGCACCGGTACCACCAAGGCTACTACCACCAGCAGCAGCATCCCCACCGAAATTTGGCTGAGCATTACCACCCATACCGCCTGTCTGGCCACCTACATTCGTCTGGCAGGGTGCGGCATGGCTAGTGGATGAGTGAGACTTGTTCTCTTGCGTGGAGGTGTTGTAGTCATCTTGGCTGCTCATCTGGTCGGATGTGGGCTGGGAATGAGAACTGTGTTCCTGGGTAGATTTGGAGTAGTTCTCTTCGCTGGATTTGTGGTTGTCGAAGCCTTGCATACCGGGCTGTTGCATGCCCTGCTGGTTACCGGACTGTTGCATGGGCTGCTGCATACTAGACTGCTGTTGTGGCTGTTGCTGTTGCTGCTGCTGTCTGAGAGATGATGTGTTGCTAGGATTGAAGCCTTGGGCCTGAGCAACGTTTGGACGGTCTCCTTCCGTCCTGGCTTGGTTGGCGCGGTTATCTAAGTATTATTTTCAGTCAGCTTTGGTTCTTTGATATAGGGTATGTGTATATGTATGGTTAGCTTACCCATGTCACTATCCACGCGAGGATCCATCTTGTTGGCCATTGCTGAATCATGGGGTCCGGCATTAGTTGCACCCCCTGTTCTGGTCGATGCGTAGGGGTCGGAGCCAGAGCCACCGATGTTTTGGCTGCCCATTCCGGTATTGGTTGGCTCACCTACATTCTGGGGCTCTATGGCTAGTCAATATAGTGTAAAGGGTAAAATGGAAATGGATCGGAACAAACTCACCATTGAATCTAGTGTGACGAGTGGCCCCATCGCCAGAATGGGTCGAGCCAAATGGGTTCGTCTTACCAGAGGGGTTGGTGTTAGTATTCGTAGGAGCATTGGATGAGCCGTAGCTTTCCTGGCCGGGCTCGTTGAAGCGGTCTGCGTCCTTGTCGCGATCGGTCATGGCATCCTTGACTTTGTGCATGAAGTTGGACATGATCAGTGAAGATGTAAAGAATAGGTTAGCTATACTGGTTGTGTACTGTGGTTAGATAATATGGAAGTATATCTCCAATGCTATCGTGTTGCGGATACGATGGTCTTTATATGCCACCCGCCATGTTTTGCCTCACAAAGCTTCTCTTACGACCCCTTGTGACGCAATGTCAAGGCTCATACGAGAGTAAAAATTAAGATTGCATATGAATCAGGACCTATGACGATCTTACTTTCACGTTCATGACGCGTCAAACAGGTTCAAGCCACCGAAGTGGCTAATTTTGCTGGAGACGAGGTTAGCCGTCAATGTCATCGATCTCGTGGCTCGGGTTTCATGACATCAAAACATAGTTTCTGGGGAACTTGGCCAGTGGGAAGGTAGTTATTCTAATGATGCGATGATCTGGGTACACGAGCTTACCCCAGTTTGGTTCCATGGGCAGCGAGAGGAACCATGGTTCTGTATTCAGGTTTTAGAGAACATCAATCTCGGTATGGCCACGTCAGGGCTACTGGCTATTTGAGATGTTTTATGATTTGTGAATCTTGATCGATAAAGAATGGGTGCCTACTGTCTCGGCTAGTATGCTACTGTGGTGTCAGGTCCCGGTTCGGAGATGGACCTGGAAACCGACCCCTAGAATTTAGTTGGCAGATTATCAGTTGGTCTAAGTGACGTGAACTGCTCTAGTCTCCTAGGGTGAATGCAGAGCGCTGGAAATGAACTGCAAAGGCCGGATTCGACAGTTATATGCATGAGTAGAAACCTCCAAAAGAATAGTCACAGTATAAATACACAGTATACACGTTTCCACTGACCAAATAGATCAGTCTCACATTCACACTACCGTACAGGCAACATTTTCTTCGGCACTGATGGCTCATAGTCCTTATTGTACCAATTATTCTTCAGCTCCGCCATTTTCTTCGCATAGATGGGATCATGATCCATGTCCGAAGCCTCCAACAGAAGCCGCCCATCATGCATCATGTCCAATTCCCGCGATAAAAGAGCACACATGAAGGTCCCCTTAGATTCGCCGTGGCCGGTGGCGAGATGATACCACTCGTACGCAAGCAGGTGGTAATCAGCGCGGCTCATGGAACGATTCAATGAGCTTTTCACATTTCTCATGATCGACTGCCAACTGCTAAGCTGGGCGATTTCAGCCTTAGAATCGATCTCGATCGGTTTCCAATTCGCTGCAGGATTGGGATTGGCTTGTGTGGGTTTTTGTTCGCCGCGTGTTGGGTATACGCCTTGATAGGTGAGGTAGTAGAAGTTGGCCAGATATAAACAGGCTTTTCCGAGGCCCGCGGTTGCGGCTTTGGACATGCATTCTTCGTACATCTCCAGGTTGTTCTGGTTCATCATGAGAGACGCGTATTCGACTAGCGCGGTGGGGTCGTTGTACTCCAGTGCTGCGATCCGGATGGCTTCGTCTGATTTGTTGCGGTGTTCCTGGGAGTTGTGCATTTCGCCCAGTGTTGCCTGGATTAGCGCGTATAACCTATACGGTTCATCCAGTAGGCCGCCTAGGATAATATCCTCAAATGGTATGGGTTTCCGTGCCGTTGGGGAGAGAAACGGGAACATTTTTTCCTCTAGAAGCTTAGCAGCGGCCTCGTACTCTCCTCGCATGTACATGATCTTCGCTTGCAATAGGATAGCTGGGGGATACCCCGTCTTCGCAAGATCGAACAGCGCATCAAGCTGGCTGTTGTTCTTTGCCGGTGCATACGTATCGGTGATGGTACTCCGTGCACTAATCACGCACGGAAGAGCAGCGCCAGCCAACCCACACGCCGTAATATGCCAACCGCGGAGGAATTGGTGATCAGCGCTGACCATCCACCCAATACGAAAAACAGCATCGACATCTGCATTTCGTTAGTAAAGAACTCCCCTTCTTATTTCCCGAGACTCCATCGAAATCGATGTCTTTCCGTAACCAAGACTCACCGGTTGAGATTTTCCGTATAACATGCCTATCCGGCTCCATCGCATACGCCGCTTTGATCAATTGCGTACCCACATCTCTGTATGTACTCTCACTAATCGCACTGGGAATCAAACCATCCCTAATGGCAGCTGCATATGCCCATCTTGACTCCTTTTCATGCTTTTGTAGCATCCATTCGACAGGCCCGACAAGTCCCTCCTTGACATCGCTCAAACATCCAAAGAACATGCCTCCATGATTAACATCTTTCTCCGTCCGCCGTCCTGCACTCCAGTTAACACGAAAAGATTCGTGTTGTCTCTTCTTGTCTCTGGCTCGGTTCGCGGCGGGTGCGGGGCGTGGCTTCGCTTGCTTCGATGAGGTACTGTGGAATGGTCGCGCGCTGTGTACTGCAAGGTCTCCAGCTTGGAGTAGGTTTGCGAACGGTGTGAGGCCGTTTGTACGGCCCTGGATAATTGTCGTGTGGCTGGATGCGAGGGCTTTCCGTAGGTAAAGCCATTTTCCGAGGGCTGCCTGTGTTCTTGCCATGGTAGCTAGTGGGAACAGGGAGGAGCGTAGGAGGTTGGTGGGTTGAGGTTGAAAATCCGCGGAGGTCGGGATTGATCCGCAATTGACAGGATTTCGGCGTTTGGCAACATCACGAGATCAACGTTTCTACTAAGGTATGTACTGAAGTATATTTGTCTAGGTCTCAAGATTCAAGGAAAGGAATTGCTGAAATGCTCAATGCAGTCAATTAAACAAAAAGGAGCCCTTTGTACGCGACGGGTCCGTAACAATGCGTATAATATACATTTGCCCTCAACCAGGGCCAACGCTCCAGGATATCCTCGAAGCCCTAAATCCTCGTACATACCCAAGTCTTATAAAAAACAAGGAGAGAGCAAAGTGTCAAACAAAAACAGCTCTATCCAATCCCATCTCCGATCGGAACCACCAGTCCCTGATTCACTTGTGCTTTTTTTTTTACTCCATGACAACCTTGGCACCAAGGGCCTTGAGGGTCTCAATGATCTTCTCGGCCTCCTCCTTGGGCACAGACTCCTTCATGACCTTCGGCACGGACTCGACGAACTTCTTGCTGTCCACCAGTGACAGACCGAGCATGTTTTTAACCTCCTTGATGACCTTGGGCTTGGAAGCAGCCTCGAACGATTCAAGCTTCAGGTTGAAGAGGGTCTTCTCGGCGGCAGCGGGAGCGGCCTCCTCCTCCTCAACGGCAGCAGCAGCTCCGGGGGCACCGGCGCCGGGGGCCATAGCGAAGCCGCCGACGGGGAGGTCGGGGATATTCAGGCGGGTCTGATGAATCGATATTAGCTTCTAGTCTTTCTCTTCCGGCCATCACATGCAGGAATATCGCAATTATATTCCCATTGACGCAATTAAAGACAGCATTGCGCTCAATCAATCAGGGAAACCGGTGACCAACCTTCAAGCTCGAAACGAGATCGGCGGTCTCCAAAAGGGTCAATGTGCTGATCTGATCAACAATCTGGGCAATCTTGGGGTTGACAGGGGCAGCGGCGGCCTCGGTAGACTCCCATCGTCGGCTGGCGGGTGTGCGGGTTGTGGGCAGGTATGTAGACGCGATGCGCAGAGAGGACGGGCGGACGGAGCCGGAGAGCTGGCGGTAGGCGCGGACTGAGAGAGACATGGCGGAGATCAGATGGGGAACGAGGAGAAAATCAAGGAAATTTTCAATTGAGGAGACGCTCCGTGGTAGAGGAATGGGGGAGATAACTAGCTTCGCCGCGTTTCAGGACGAAAAGTGAGTGATGGGTTTCGGGGAAAATCTGGGTGTCACGTGGCATGTATTATGTCAGCTTTGCGATAGGCCAACAACCTTGGGCCGATTTGTATACATTATTCCTTTTTAGTGCAATTGCTGTCTAATTTACTTCGGAATCTATACCATAATGTATGGATGTATTATCATACTCGGCTATACACACCAGGCGACTTTTTTTTCGTGATATCGTACGGAAATCTATCAGCGTCCCAACGGTCTCGAAGCCAACAGAAATGAAAGAACCTCAAGTAAAATGCACGTAAACCACGTTATCAAACGTTACATTTAATCCTCATCCCAGTTGGGGTTGGGGCCAGGCGGCTTAGGTCCACCGGCCTGGCGAGCCACGATGATCTGATCGACACTCAGCACAGTCCGAGCAGCCTCACTGGCCAGACGGATAGCCCAGCTCTTTGAGGCCAACAGGTCAAGGATACCCTCGTCCACTGCATCGAGAGTACCGTTGGAATCACCACCAATCTCGAGGTCCACACCAGTAGTCCAGTAGGGGTCTTCCTCCTCGGATGAGCTGCCCTCCTCTTCCTCTGTGGCGGGAGTGGTGCGGTGGTGTGCGGTGTACAGGCGGGAGAGAACCTCGGTGGCATCCAGACCGGCCGACTCGGCAAGAGTGCGAGGGATGACCTCGAAGGCCTCTGCGTATTTGCGGATAGCGTGCTGGGGCAGACCAGGGGTCTTGTCAGCAAAGTTAGAGATCCGCTCAACGAGCTGAATCTCAGTGGCACCAGCACCGGGAACCAGACGCGGGTCCTTAGTGATGGCCTTGACAACGTTCACACCATCATCAATGGCGCGCTCGACGTCCTCGAGGTGGTTCTGGGTAGCGCCACGGAGCACAATGGTGGAAGTGCGAGTAACGGCGTTGGCATCCTCTTGACGGAAGACAGTGACGCGGTCACCGCCAATCTCAATAGTCTCGATGACATCGACTTGACCCATCTCATCGGGCATGGGGGCACCCAGGCGAGCCAAGGGGGTGGCGCCAACCACACGGCACAGGCGGCGGAGCTCGAACTTGGACAGAATCTTGATGACCAAGATGTTGAAACGATTAAGGTAGTGAAGAGCCAGCTCGCCGACGGTGGAACCAGCAACAACGACACGCAGACCAGAGTCATACAACTCCTTAATAGCAGATTCCAGACGCTCCTCTTCGCCCTTGGTGTAGTCCATCATCTCCTGAGCGTTCTTCAGCAGAACCGTACCCTTGGTCTCGGTTTGGGAGACATCAATGGGGCAGCTGAACACGCCGACCTTGGCCCTCTTGGCCGACTTGACAACTCCATCCGGCTCACGTCCAAACACCATACCCTTAACAACCTTAGATTGCTCCAAGCTACCACCCATAATCTTAACGACCCGAACGTTGTCGACGTTGAAGTTAGCGGGGTTCTTGGGCAGGACCGCGAGGACCGCCTCCGCTACCAAACCAGCCAGGATATCCTCAGTGCCAGACTGCTTGCTAGCCACGACGGTGCGAAGGGCCTTGCTGAGCTCCGCTGCTGAGCGCATGTCCTGCAGACGGTCGACCTCGAGATCTATTCACATTTAAAAAACCAGTCAGTAATCGTACATCTATGTACCCCTGCAAGAACACCGAAATTCAATAACATACCCTCTAAGACCTTCAGAGCATAGTTCTGTGCCTTTTCGTAACCCGAAACAATATCGCTGGTCTTCAATCCCAACCGAATGAGCTCCTCTGCCTTCTTGAGCAACTCGCCGGCCAGAACAATAACCAAGTTGGTACCATCACCCATCTCCGAATCCTGCTGCTGGCTGGCCATAACAAGCAGCTTAGCAGCGGGGTGGACAACATCAAGCTCGCGCAGAATAGTAGCGGCGTCGGAGGTGAGGATCATCTTCTGCAGGTGGTTGATGACGATCTTGTTGCGGCCATAAGGGCCCAGGGAGGTCTGCACGGTCTGCGAGATGGCCTGGCAGGCCTCGATGTTACGAATGACAGCTCCATCTTCGGCGTCGTGGCTGCATTGACAGTGCAGTTAGTACATTGTGGTGCTGGTACCATGCTTTGCGGGCGGGACAGATAAGGAGGTGTGGTGGTGCGGCGGTGGGATGAAGTTGAGAATGGTGTTTTTCTCTGCTTACCTCTGGTATCCGGCCTTGAAAAGACCCGCTTGGGAGGGCCCAGGAATTGATAGCGACATTATGAGAGGTCGCGTCCGTGAAAGATGCGACTGAGGGGGATATGACGGGGGGGATGTCGATGCTGGGTCGAGTTGTGCCGGGGATTTTTTGGGAGCTCGGGGACGGTGGGTTTGCTCCGTTTGCACGAGGGGGGATTCACCAGTTGACTTTGTAGTTTACAATTGCATCATAGTAATTTTTAGGATATCTTTATTGGGGATATTTCATAATCTAATATTACAATAATAAAGCTTCGTTCCCTGTCCTTTTCGGTTTATTCATAGACCCATTCACCATCGAAACGAACTGGTTTGCGAACGCAGCGCACTTTGAAACTGGGGCACTAATGGAAACTGCAGTCAGTAATTGGACCAAAATGATTTGACGAAGACAGTCTTACTATAACTTCCAAGGGAGCTGCAGCCATTTTCAGCATATATATGCTCCGCTTTTTCAAGCCTGCAACTGGTTAGCCAAGAAGCAAAACATCAAGGAGACGAGTGCTTCATCTTACCAACCACGAATGGCTTCTTCACGATTATAGCTCTACAAATGGTGTTAGAATAAATGAATTCCAAACACCTAACTTATTACACTGGGTAGGAGAACTTACTGAAGGGTGGGTAGACAAAAATTCTGGTGGCGCCTCCCTCTCTAGTTTCTGCATCCGCTGCCATCTAGAACAATGTTAGTCGAGATATCCTATGAGACTAGTAGTATGGAAAGACTTACAGCTTGACAGCGGCTTCAGGATTGAAGCAAGCCTTGGACATCATCACTGATGGTCATAGTCAGCACATAGTAGGCAGTTTGTTCACCGCTATACATACATAATCCAATGTGATCCGCTTCAGCCTGAATTGACCCCAGTTAGTTAAATAAATCATATTTCCATTCAAAGCTTCGACTAACCTCTTGTGTCCGTGAGTTTGGCAGACTATACATGTAATTCATGACAAGCGAGCTCGCCTGTCCGGAGAAATCGAGTAAGAGCGCAACAAACAGAGCAACTCCCGTAGTGATGAAGCTGTTACTTGCACGCTCTGCCGGGTGATGCGCCACAACATGCGCAATCTCATGTCCTAAAACAGCCGCAAGGCCGTCATCATCTTCGCAAATGGGCAAGATACCAGTGGCAACGAATACTTTTCCTCTAGATAAAAATAATTCCCGAGTCAGCAAGCAATTGTTTCTCAGGCTCGAGCTAGGCCGGTCAGCCTTTGCAGGGAGTCTACTTACCCCGGAAGCACAAATGCGTTCGTCATGTGAGGGTCCGCGATAACGTGGACCTTCCAATCAGCACTTTCAATGGGTGCAAGGGGAATTAAACGCTGTAAGACTCGATCCACACGTTGCGTTACAGGGTGATTATCAGGAAGAATTTTGCCGCGCTCTTCGTTGAGAACCTGGCGGTAGGTCTGTTCGCCCATCTCCAGTTCCATTTGCGCAGAGACCATGTTAAAGCGGCGACGACCGGTCACCTTCAAGAATGTTAGATCCACCTTCTGGTGCGCCATATGAGCTGTGACTTACCTCCACTACATCCGTGTTGTATAGGTACACGCCTGATAACCCCAGTCCAATCATAACGTAGTGTTGGGGTTTCAGATATCGAACCACATTGTATATTAGTGGTTGGCGCCGGCCTCCTCCTGCGAAGCGATTATAGGTGTTGCGTGGGTAGCTGAATCGTGGGCCCGAGGAAAATACTCGGCAAGAGGGCTTTTGGAGCGATCGGTATGTAAATGCTGTTTGAGCTGTGCGCGACAACTGGGGTCCTGACAAATGAGAAGCGCGGAGTAGTGGTGGTTGCGCCCACGCCATGAGGAGCGGGCGAGCACTATGGGTAGTGCGCAACATTAATCTGTTCAACATGACTTCAGCGAGGAATAACCATGGTTTGCTTGAGTTGGATGTAGAAGAGTTCGATTTGAAGTGACTTCGAAAGTTGGAGGTGCTCAGACGCGGAAGCGGAGCCATCGGCGATAAGCCACGCTTCCGGCGTTTAGCCATGGAAGGATCTAGTGGCCGCAGCACTGTCCAGGAATCTTCCTATATGCCTTCCCTGCATGCTCGGTACTTTATATAGAAACTACAATGAAAGTTCTTCCAGGGCTTACAATACAAGAAGTTTAGTCATTAATCACAATAGGAATCAATTATGCAAGGGCTATATCAGTCCAGGAGATCGTCACGAAATTTCAAACAATAATCAGAACAAATGTTAAAAGAACCTATCCCATCCTCACACCATAACCAAGACCGTTAAGAGCATTGTAAAAAGATGTATATCCAAAGCGGCACCAATCCACAGGAAAAGCGCAAACACACCAAAACGAAAGCCCCTGGTATCATGCTGCACAGTCATGGCGGGAACAAAAGTGGTATCATATGGCAAAAGGGAAAAATAAGAGGGAAATATTCAAGTCATGAGCCGACTCCCCGAGGAACGCACGTATCAACCCAAGATAGAAAAAAAGACAAACAGGGGGGTAGTATCAACAGTATGAAAAAGATGAGGAAATTAATTATGAAAGAATGAAACCTTTTACTCTTCGGTCAATGCATCGTCGCCCATCTCACGCCAGTCTTTTGATCGGTCTGTCAACCGACGGACGCCAGCAATCCGTTGTGCCCAGTGAGCTTCGGACGGCGTGCGGTAAGTGTAGGCGCGCTGTGATGATATGACGCCGATACTCTGCAGCACCGCCTTGCGAGAATCGCGGCCGAAGACAGCGGGGTGGTTGATCCATTCCAAAGCAGAATCCAAATCCGCGTTGAGGGCGTTCATGGTCTGACTGTCAACAGAAGAGGACGGTGTGATAGTGGCGGTTTCGGATGCGGAAGAGGCATGGCTCTCTGCAAAAGTGGAAGACTTGGGCGAGGAGGAGCTTGGGGTGTGGTCGCCTCGGCTGCCCGAATCGCTCGTGCCCGAAGGCCGCGAAGCGACTGGGGGAAGTGGAGGCAGGCCACCCTTACCGAGACCCTTGAGGATGCTTCGAGTCTCATTCAGAAGATGCTGCCCCCGGTCATGTTGGCCGCGAGAAACAAGAGTGAGAGCGCGGGTCAACATATCAGAGGTAAGCAGCTCCATACGCCGCTGCACAATTGAGGGGTGAGGGGGGATGGGAGGAGTCATGGGTCGCTGGTTCTTGGCCTTGGGATTTGGTGGGAGCATGGTAATGGCGAGCAACGATGGGCGAGGGGAATGAGTGAGATGGCCATCCCGAAGAAGGTCCCCATAGGTCAGATCAGCCTGGATCAATGGAACCTCTTCCACACTGAGTACCCGCTGCTCGTCCCCATCTAGGCCACCGCCCAGCGCCTCCAATCCGGAGACCAAGCTCTCCCAGGGGTCCTGAGGCATGTTGTCTTGTGTGGCATTATCGGGGGAGATGACCAGTTGCACTAAGACATCGCGTTTGTCACCGAATCGGAGGTCTCCCAAAGCCGCTTCGGCATCCTTGCCTGTAGCGCGTTTGGTGGTGTGAAGGGCACCGCTAATCTTCACAAACTTGGCCGGGGATCCTTCAGGCAGGCGAAGCTTGAGCTTGACATTTTGGTGGGATGTGGTCTGCAAGGCACCCAAGCAGCCGGCAACACATTCCCGCAGCATCATCCAGTCCTTCACGTAGAGATAGGAGCCCTTGGTACGTGTGGAGAGCTCAATCATCGTGTCCGGTTTGTGGGTCAGGCCAAGTCCAAATGAGTGGATGTTGATCTTGGCAGCCTCGGCGCGCGAGACCACGAAATCAACGCTTTCGGGATCTGAGGTAGATGAATCACTGATCAACAAGATGGTCGAAACGGGATTGTTCAACTTGCGCTGCATCAGGAGATCCATGGCCACATTCGCACCCTCGACCACATCAGCTCGAAGACTCTTCTGGCCCACGGGCCGAATCGAATCAAGGATCTTGTTCCATCCACTCCAGTTCTTGGTGGTCATGCCTACCAAAGGCACTCCACCACCACTCGAGCCGAATGTCACCAAACCCATCCGGTCTCGGGCTCCAAGGTTCATAACAAGGAACTTAAGGGCATCGCGCAACAGGGTAATCTTAAGACCCTGCATGGACGAGGATACAGGAATAACCACCACGATATCGATAGGCACGTGGAACGAGTCGATGGACAGTTTATCCATATCGGGATTGCTGTAATCAGTGATAGCGGTATTATTTGACTTGCCCGCACCGTAGGACGAGTTGATGGATGCTTGTCGTTGGATGCGGCTGGTCCGGTAGTCATCGTCTTCCGCACCAGAGTGATCAAGTTCATATTCCTGAGCACGCGACAGGTTCTCCACCGGGTGTAGATCCATCAAGGCCCGGCGCCACATCTCCAGTTGCTGACGAGACTGGAAGCGCAAATAGAAGTAAGGGAGTTCGCTGACCGACAGGTTAAGAGAGAGAATGGGCTCGTCGACGCCCGCCTCCAGGGATTTCAAGTGCTTCTTAATGAGGATCGAACCCTTGAGAGTGCAGCGTGGCCGCTTGCGCTTTTCCGGTTCTTCGTATTGCTGAGAGCTGGATGGCTTCTTTTCCTTGACGCAGATGAGCATCTCAGCGAACAAGTAACATTCCAACTCTTGCCATGATTCTCGGTCCTTGCCAACGCGCATTTGTCCGTGCAGACGCAGCTTGCCAAAGCGGTTGAACTCCAGGCCATGCCAGTTGTCGACCCGGCTTTTAAGCTCCTCGGCGATTTCATCCAAATTCTCCGCCGGTTCCTGTTGGATGGAGCGGGCATCCTGCGAACCTCCAAATCGGGCAGAATATGGCTCATCCAGTTGCTGTTGGGTGGCCTGGCTGTGTCGCAGGTCTTCCACATTCGGGCGCCAATTTCCTTCGGGCACTTCCACGGTGATCAGGCATGTCAGAGACTGTTGCTGCCGAGATCGGTTCATGGTGGGGAATTCGCTGCGCACGGTGACAATCGGGGCCGGGATGGGGTTCTTGGTAACCCCTTGCCGCGGACTCAAGTCCGATTCCATGGCTTGCACGTCGTAGTCATGTCGCCGTCCACTGCTGGGATGTTGACCCTCATTGTAATTCTCCGAAGAGCCCGCCGCGCTACCGTTGCGTGAGTGGGGTTGACGAGGTTGCGATGCGGTGGTCAGGCGCTCGACACGCTCCCGCTGGCCGGTAGTATCACGGCTGTCGCGGCGCGTTCCAAATGACGGGTCCCGGTTGTTCGAGCGACTTCCACTGTCACTAGGTGGTCGACGGATCGACTGCTGTTCCCATGCGTTCGGGCCCGTCAAGCCACTCCGCGTAGTGGCGGCATCGCTCATGGTCACCGAGCGCACAATATTGCTGATTTTCTCTGTTGGTCGGAGTATCGGTTAGCCTCACATGGATCTCCACTCTTGTCGGGAATACGCACCGATATCCAAAACATTGCCTCCGCGGCTCGTGTCGAGGCCGAGGGGTGCATTGCAGGTTGGGCAGTATTGTGATTCAAATTCGCGAATGAATTCATAGAAGCATGCTTCATGAGACACGTGGCTGCAGGAAAACTGGAGAATCCGTTCTCCCCGCAGGGTGTGTTCGAGCGGCTCCTCGCAGACAGCACATTCGCTGCCAATGAACGTCCTCTCTCTCCGAGTGCGAGTGCGGTCAACCTCCATCGGGCCGGTTGGGTGTCTGCCCGATCTAGAATTAAACGACACGCGAGATCTGTTGGAGTGCGAAATCAAAGGGTCCGGGTAGTCTGAACGAATGGAACTGGCTGCTGTCGAAGGCGCACGCGGCCGGCTCGTGTGGCTATCGACGTGAGAGAGAACACTCCCGGATCGGTCTGTATCAGTCTTGCGACCGAATGAACGTAATGAGCGGAAGCGGGACGGTGATTCTGGTCGCGATTGAAATTCTGTACGTCACCCCATTAGCTCTGCGGGGGCAGATTGGAAAAAGAAATGACCCTGCTGACTTGGAATTTGACCAAGACTGGAATGGGTCGGGAATGTGGTGAAAGGAGAGAAGAAAAAAAGATAAAGTAAAGTACAAAAAAAAGAAGAAGAAAAGGAATGTTATGGGATGTAGTCAGGGGAGGTGGTGGTTTAGGAGCATCTAGAACAGGCACGGGGGGGGGGCAACACAGTCTCAGATTCCCGGGTTCTCCGATCTGAACTCACCGGGTAATAGGGATCTTCTCTTAGATCGACTGAGAAAGCCTTCAGGTAAAGAATGATTTGAATCACTCCCAGACTTAGAATCCGATCTGGGAGAAAGTCGAGGTTTCCACATGGGGGTCTCTCTTAACAAAAAAGAGGAACTACCAGAGGTGGGGGGGGGAGGAAAGAGAAGAGGAGAGCGCAAAAAATAATAAATTCAAAAAGACCGAAACTTAAAAAAAAACGGGATTTAGCGTTTTTTTTTTTTTTTTTTTTTAATCAAGAGAAATATTAACAGGGGGGAAAGAGTGTCAAGGTCAAGAGGGATTTAACCAGAGAGATCGGACTATCGCAAAGCGGCTTAGTTGGACCCAAGTTCTCCGTACCTCGTAACCTACAATTGTATATCCATTCAATCAGGGGCTGTAAGGACCAAAGGTTATTGGTGGAGAGGACCAGGATTCATTTCGCCTGGCGCTAGCTGAACCCACGCGAGTCTTCGTTTCGGTTTTCCGAATCCATAAAATAGGATAATAAATTCATGAAATAAAATAAAATAAAATCAATTCCCACAAAAAAGGAGAAAAGTGACGATCGTGGGTTATAGTCCAGCAGTGCCTGGTATCTGGAGAATGCGATCGGGTCCACCTGCTGCCGAAGTTGGACTAGCGAATAATGAGCCATGGGTGACTAGCTTAGCTTCGTGGGTCGGGGATTTTTCCTTTTTTTCTTTTTTTTTCCTTTTTCCTCTTTCCGTACCCTTATTTCTACATTTCCTCTTTTTTCGGTGGACCGATCCATAGATTAGAGGGTTGGAGATTGGAATTGGGGATTTCATTCGTTGAACCATTTCTCGGGATGGAAGGGAAATGGAAGATTCCATCCCGCATGGCAAAAGAAAGAGAAAAAACGTGGTGCACCCCCCTTACACAAAATCCTGCAGGACTATACATTAGTGACGGAGTCACCCGCCACACTACGTATGGCCCCCATTCTATACACCTACCGTACACTAAGAATGCAATACACCCTCGAGTGGTTCATGTATGAAAGTGGGAACCAGGGCACCGGGTCCTGTTCTGTTGCAAATGCGGAACATCGCGTGGAGCTCATACTTCCCACTGGAGGGTTGTGAGAGAAACATATCCAATTCCTAGCCCTGACTGGTTTGAGAGTACGCGTTCATTAATCTGAACAGTGTTGCCCCCTTTCTTATTTTATTTTATTTTTGTTTAATCTGTTCCTATACATCTGTTGGTTTATGTGTCCATGGTTGTATAGTTGGGGCGAATATTGTACTGGAAATCTTGATCGGAGTCCAGCCGGCACTGATGTAACCCTTGTAAGCCCTAGACACTTTAAGCCCTGGGCTTTCTAGACCTTCCACTACTGTATAACTGATACTAGGAATTTGTCACATGCTTGTATAGGGCTAGATCTCTTTTAGCTTTTGACTAGGATTTCTCTCATTTTGCCTTGATATGTGATCGGGTATATAGTCCGTCAGTCCCTCGTCATCATCCCTGGGCATCTCTGTTTCCTTGACTCCAATTCTCTCCAATTTCATCATTCCCAGGGCCTTGGGATCGCCCGTCATGGTTAATCTATCCATGGATTCATCGGTTCCTGAAGAACCCCTTCCCCAGAACTTAGATGCTCGGCAAGATACCCGTTCCTCTCATCCGAGGCCAAAATTTTAAAGTACAAGGGCTAACCTTGGAACCAACAGCTGCGATGGCAAGATCTTGGCGGATGACCTAAGCCGGGTAAACTCCCAAATGAGCCCAGTGGAGACACATGGGGAAGCTGCGGCATCTCTGATTGGTGATGCACTTGCCGACCGTCGATCCTCCCAAACGTTTTCTGTCAATGGCACTGCACTGCAGACTTTCCCAAGGTTCATTTCAGATCATGCGCTTAAGCTTTCGCCTCATTTTTGCATTTGAACGTCATTCTTTGATCAACTGACTATGTCTTCGGCAAATGGTTGAATTGGTGTTTCCGGCATCTGTGTCTTCGTGTCGGCCGACTAATTCCAACCTGCCCGGTGGCGGATCTCCAGTCTGTCATTCTCCGCGCCTCCGGCCAACCTGCCCACTCGCGGAGATTTCCTGACCCAGATCTCTTACCAGTGCACTGCAAACATCCACTCTGCGCCTTGACCCCTTAATCGTCTGCCGCGCTTGCTTGTCCTTGGGAACGCCATGGCAAGTCCACCATTCTCCACAAAACAACTTGTTTCCGTCCCCTAGTGGCCCGGTTAACATGAGCAGCACGAGCTAAGCGAAATTATTTGCACATCGGCTCCATTCTCCGTCCGTGCTGTTCTGCCGCGGGGTGGACTCTCCCCAATATCGCGTGCACAAGTGATCGGCCCAGGCTCTGCTTTTTGGGTCCTCTCTGGTCCAAATGACGATCATGACCGTCGATCTGCTGGATTTGGCCACTGGTTGTCGTCCTGTCATAAACTCTGGCCCCGTAGGCGAGTCTAGCCTGCTTAGGCTGCATGCGTACTGCGTCGGCGAAGGCTAACCGGGCCGCCACTATTGGACGTGTCCACAGCAACGGAGATCCTAGATACAAGCACTTTGTAACTGATCATCGGCGAATTGATTCATCTACATGTGTGGACTTGTCATTTGACGTGTACGTGCTGGTCGGCCTCGTGCGAGATGTATCATTTGCATATCCCTTGAGACCTGTCAACTTGGAGCCCTACTGAAATTAAATGCTCCATCGGAACCCTCTGATCTGCCCTACTATTGCCGAACTAATATGACAGCTCCCGGTGGCCCCCCTTTTTTTCAAAACCGGTAATTGGGATTTACATTTAGAGTCTCCTATCCTTGTGCACCAAAAATAAGAACATAAACTCAACGTACAAACTATTGCTCTGATTGTTACTGCGGAGATACAGTTTACATAGATCATGCAAGTGCAAACCCAAATAAAACTCAAAATCACCTAGCTATAGTCCCGAAATTCAGTCCCCTGCTTACGCGCTCTTTTGGGACTTGCATGATGATCTTCGCCGTTGAAAGTCTCGCAAAGCGGGGATATGCACATCCTCCTTTTCTCTAATCCGGATCTCCACCGGGGTTAATACCCCTAATACTACCTACCGTACAATGGGTATGGTTATCAAACATCATTACTGATTTTCCCTTATCGTGGTCCTGGGCCTTGTGCTTGTCCCACTTATTTGCTTAGTCTAACGTTGAACGTTGGACGTTGGAGTCCGTAGGGGATTGATCGTTTTCTGCGCCCGCTCTCGTCCGTGCTCAGGGGAGATCATGAAGCCAGCGTTTCAGAACGTGAGCATGAACACAGCCTCCAACGAGAACAGGTCGGACTGTGCAAGCGCACGTCAAACCTGTTGGCTTGATGCTGTTGTGATGTCCATTGCTTAGCCAGATGCAGAAATCACTGTTTAAGGTTTAGTGGTGAAACGCCTTCCGCCAGTCTGATGCAAATTCTATTCGTCGGGGCTGATCCCGGTGGTCCAGGAACTACGTAGAACTAGATGCATATGGGACTCGGGCGGGCTTTCCGCTGTCATGGACGACCGTTTGAGCTTGAGGTATTTGAAGGTGCAGCTTGGGATTGTCGATACATCGCGCATATTGAGGTACCCAATGCGAGCTTGTATTGGCTGTGGTAAAGAATTCTTCCTGCCCAGGTGTGCTACTGCATGCAGAGGACTTTGGAACCCTGTATAGGTTCGATTTCTCGTTTAGGATGGTCGACCCGACCGTATTTTTTTTTTTTTGAGCCAATCTCTTCAGCAGGGATCAGGGTTTCTGGCTTCCACGGATCAGAGCCATTGAAGAACGGGTGGCAAGGAGGAGCATGTTTCATGATCGTAGTCACTTCTAGATCCAGTTCCACTATCAGCGTCACTGCTGTATATTGTACGTACAAATCAATTAGATCTGTAACAAGGAAAATTCTCCGACTTCTCAATCGCTTGGTAACCTCCTTGTTCACGCCCCACTAGATACAGTGTCAAGCTCCTTCCGCAAAGAGACTGATCAACAATCGAAACTACTTAGGGCCAACATGAAACACGTACAAGATTTTACTAGTCAATCACCGGCAGCAGAGAGACGAGCTATTGAAAGCGAGTCTCCAGCTGAGATTGGGAATAGAGACTAGAGAGCCCAGACCAAGGTCTTGGTTGCCCTGGTCAGCTATTCAACTCCGCTGGGCAATGTGGACCGATATTCTACTAGTTTGCGTGATGTTTCAGGTCGGATTTATGATTTGCGGCTCTAGATCGCATTCGTCTTTTTTTATTTTTATTTTTTTTTCTATCATTCTATCCACATTGAAAACCAACATGTAAGCACCATGAACCTTCATCAGTGCCCCTATCCGGCTAGTTGAATTCATGACCCAGTTTGGTTTGCGCCCCGGAGCCCTATTAGAAGTGGAGCGTCAACATTCGGAATACATCCGTGACCCGCTCTTTATTTATCCAGGACAATGAAGCCGAACTGAGCACCGAACCACGGAACTGGGACATGAGAATTTTGACTATTTGGAAAACATCTCTAGGCCTGCACCATAAATTGATTGGCTGATTCAACGGGCACTTATAGTTCACGATTGTCCAAGTTTTTCTGATGCCGAGACACGTGAAGCCAAAGTATATCCTGCATCGCGGCACGCAATGACATTCCCCGGCGGAAATGCGACGGGTCGAATTGACAAAATGTAGCGTTGCAGTTCTACGTCTCTTGGTATTCTCACGTGCCAAAGCTTTGAGGGTTGCTGTATCTCCTCATATCAATGCGGGGAAGTTGGTACCTCGTGTTTCTGTGACAAGAATTGACTGATCAATTGAGGAGCTGTCGATTTAGCCTATGAGAGATTGATGTGATTGATACACAAGGCCTCTTTGGCCTTCATGATTTGAGCTGTTGACGTCTTTGCACAAGGAGATGATTGGTCGTTGAAGTGATGCGTTGTGGCTGCAATCCGACTGGTTCAAGGTCAGCGTGATAAGGGGAATCAGCATGTCCACGACTTGAATCAGATATGTCCACGAGTACCAACACGCGTGCTTTATACCAACTGGTGAATCAACCGGACAGGCTCCGGAGTATTCGGAGAACGTTCGGACTTGGAGGTCCTTATAATCGAACCTCTATGTGCTATTTGGTGTTCATCAATAAGTCATGGAAGATTTTCCCATCACATCCAAAGAAGTGTTGTAGCTGTTAAACATTGTGTGGATATTCGTTGAGCAAAGGAAGTAAGTACATCTAGGATTTTTCCGAGCTCGGACAGATGAACCATTTGACTCAAGCACAATGTGTTCTGACCCAACATTTATAACAGAGCAAGCCGTCACTTTCCTTCTTTAACCGGCATCTTTTATTTCACTTTTTCAAGCATCTTGGATGGAAAAGTGAGTTGATATGTACAAGGCCAGCTCCGGGTTTGGTCTGTTTGCAGGTGTCTACACCGGCGGCCCCCGAAGGGGAAGCGCTTAAGTAATCGGGAAAGTTTGTTCCCAACATCTCATCGGAAAAGTATCGCTATCTCCCTCCCCATCCCTTCTCCCATATACAATTGGGCTCTACCTGCATCATGCTCTTCCGTACTGCGGCCCGCCAGGCTGCGCCTCTGCGCCGTCAGGCTTTCGCCCCTTTGACCCGTCGCTCCGTCACCACCGACGCCGCCTCTGCGCACGCCGAGAACATCCCGCAGGTTTGTTGAGCCCCGTTCGGAAAACTGGAAATGCCCCTCCAGGCGCTGTCGGACCCAATGCTAATCGTAGCGATTGCGCTGTAAAGGAGGATGACAAGCCGTTCACCGTCCGCCTCTCCGATGAGAGCTTCGAGACCTACGAGATCGACCCGCCCCCGTACACTTTGGAGACCACCAAGAAGGAGCTGAAGACCATGTACCACGACATGGTCTCCATCAGGTAAGCGACTACTACGGAGAAATCTATTCATATATGCGCACATATGCTAATCGCTTGATTCCTTTAGACGTATGGAGATGGCTGCCGACCGCTTGTACAAGGAGAAGAAGATCCGGGGTTTCTGCCACCTGTCGACCGGTCAGGAGGCCGTCGCTGTCGGCATCGAGCACGCTATCAACCGTCAGGATAAGATTATCACTGCTTACCGTTGCCACGGTTTCGCTTTGATGCGTGGTGGTACCGTCAAGTCCATCATTGGTGAGCTGCTGGGCCGTCGCGAGGGTATCGCGTACGGAAAGGGTGGTTCCATGCACATGTTCGCTGAGAACTTCTACGGTGGTAACGGTATTGTCGGTGCCCAAGTGCCCGTCGGTGCTGGTCTCGCTTTCGCTCAGCAGTACAATGAGCAGCCCAACACCTCCATCATCCTCTACGGTGATGGTGCCTCCAACCAGGGTCAGGTCTTCGAGGCTTTCAACATGGCCAAGCTGTGGAATCTCCCCGCCCTGTTCGGTTGTGAGAGTATGTTCACCCCACCTTTCCAAGCCGTGAGTGTAACTCGAAAAACTAACCCAACCAAATAGACAACAAGTACGGTATGGGTACCTCCGCCGCCCGCTCCTCCGCCTTGACCGAGTACTACAAGCGTGGTCAGTACATCCCCGGTATCAAGGTCAACGGTATGGACGTCCTGGCCACCAAGGCCGCCGTTGAGTACGGTAAGAACTTCGCCATCTCCGGCAACGGTCCTCTCGTCTTCGAGTATGTCACCTACCGTTACGGTGGTCACTCCATGTCCGACCCCGGCACCACCTACCGTAGCCGTGAGGAGATCCAGCGCATGCGCAGCACCAACGACCCCATTGCCGGACTCAAGCAGAAGATGCTCGAGTGGGGCGTTACCTCCGAGGAGGAGCTCAAGAGCATCGACAAGGCTGCCCGTGCCTACGTCGACGCCGAGGTCGCCGAGGCCGAGCAGATGGCCGTTCCTGAGAACACCTCCCGCAACCTCTTCGAGGACATCTACGTCCGTGGCTCCGAGCCCAAGTGGATGCGTGGTCGTACCGTCGATGAGACTTTCTACTACTAGATGTCTTTTTCCCCACCGAAAGCTGCATGACGGTACCGGTCTAGGTCTTGGGTTTGCCTAGATCTAAAAGAGTTAATGCTTTGGGTATTTATTCCCCTCTGGGTCGAGGATGACGCGCTGTGCATCCGCGTTCCTATCTATCACTATTCTGTAATTTAGCCGATGACTACTCTTTTCTTTGTTTTTGTCCGTGCCTTTGTCTTTCTAGAGTAGAGCAATTGTCATCATCTTGGTTCAGCCATCGATTTTTGTAGAAGGTATTACCTAATGCCAACTTCCATGACATTGCCTCTATGAAATTTAATCTGCGGCTCGCAACACAAATTGTTATGCCGTTCCCTGTCAACTTGGTCCTTAACGCCTATGCTTGTGTAATGGGTATCATACTAAAGACATAAAAGATCATAGCCTTGAATCCAGAGGCCATTCCCACAAATAAAAAGCAAAGAAACAAAGAACGTTTCCCACCTAAACGGAATCCTGCTGCAACATCTGAAGAATCATCTCCTGAGTCCTCTGCACAGAATCCAGCTTCTCCTTGAAGATAGCACGGTCCCGATCCAGTTCCCTTCGTAACTCAAATTGCATCTCTTGACGTAGTTCTTCCTTGATACGCTCGATATCCACAGACACGGAACCGTATGCGTTTGCCTGGTGTCCTGTACCAGAGGAGAGATCAGCACTCGACTCAGAAGCAGCTTGCACCAAAGCAGAGAGCACAGGCGAATCTCGGTGATCTGGACTTCCGTGAACAGACGTCGTGTCAAGATGTTTGTTAAGTTTGCCCAGCGTGTCCAGAACAGCGTTCATCATCCGATCGTTCGGCGGGCTTTTCTCTGTTTGCGTCTGCATCACCGGCGTACATTGTGTAGAAGTGTGACCGGAAAACATAGATTCATACCCAGGAGGTAGCTTGACACCAACAGGCAAAGACACAGACGATTGGACGTCATACGGTGCAATAGCAAGCGGAGCAGCCCCCATCTCCTGCCCAAACATCTCATCATAACCAGAAGATCGAACCCGCTCCTCATTAACCTGCGTCTGCGAAATCGTTCGCCGTCGAATCATCTCATCTCGCTTCTCAATCCGCCTCGCCTCGGACTCCTGCCACCGAACCCATGTCGGAATCCACATATCCAACACAGCACACCACTGCGGATTCATCGAGTCCTCGGACAGCTGCGCACCGGATATCGCTCGCTGCTGTCGCTGATCTTCTAGGAACTTGACTCGCTGTTTCGTGACAAGTTCCACCTTCCTTCGAACAGAGTGCCACGAATATGGCCTTCCATGCGCGCGTGTGAATTCCTCTGCTACACCGCGCCACCAGTTACAGATATCGCTTCGCTTGCCGAAACTTTCGGCATGGCGGTTGCATATCTCGAATAGTGAGACCTCTTCCCGGGTTGTGAGTCTTTTACCGTGTTTGCGGTTTGCGTCGCCGTCGGAGTCTATAGAGCGTTGACGCTTGGTACCACGGTGCTGGTTTGTATTTGGTTCTGAGGTTTGGAGTGTTGATGTCAGGTCGACTGGACTCATTTGTAGATTACTTTGCGACGGTCTGTTGCGGATTATTACCGCTACCGATGGTGATTGCGGGTTTTGGTCTTGGAGGCTTGTTGTCCCTGTTGAGATATTTGTCTCGCGTGGTAAGGGAGATCGGTAGGGCGACTGAGAATATTCTGGTGCTATTTGCATTGATGAGGGTGTGACGGTATTGACTTCAAGGTTGGTTCAAATGTGGTAGGTACGAGGTTGAAAGGGGGACATGCGCCTGTAGGGATATGGTTTATTTAAGTTGATTGCGAAAGTCAGAGTAGAGGTGAAGCATGAAGGTAAATTATTTGTATAGTTGAGCAGCTGTTTGATCGGCCTTATCAAGCTGGTCTAGACGTGGGGAAACGAGAGAAGTGCAAATCGGTCGGGAGGTTTGCAATTTTAAGAGCGGTAATTTTCAGCGGTAATTTTGGTCCACTGGCCACGGAGGCACATTATGGTCCTTTCGACCTGAAATTGGATTCTTAGGCAGATAGATATTTTTCGCTCAAAATATGGACTATTAAATGACGCAGTTCATGACAATAAATTGAGAATCCATATTTGCTTTCTAGTTCTCTTGTTCGTAGCATTAATGGTATTAACAAGCCTTGAAACCCTGGCAATCGCCATCATTCAACGGCGTAAAGTGATGCATTAGCATATAATAATGGGAGCTCGCTTGTTCGTCAACGGATCACAATCACGGGAAACTCCATTCGGGTCGAACTGCAGCTTGCTGATCGTATCATCATAAATCATGAGCCACTTACAAAATCGCTCAAGCCACCGGCGATACTTCAGAGCCACCGCTAGGCCCACGCTTCATCATTTCGTAACTACGATCAGTCTCGCGGTTCTTGCGACCAACAAAAAGCCAGCGAAATCCTCGTGCAGTAGCCTTGATCAAGTCCCATGGATTCATGGCATCGAGGAAGGCCTTGATGCCCAAGAATCCTCCATAGTATCGTTGGTCAGTGCCGTTGCTCATAATATCGCCCTTGTTGAGCATGTATGGACCCCATGGGAAACCCCAGAAATGCAAGATAGCGAACAGGAACATCTCAATGCAGATGAGGAGATTGGGCAACCCATTGTTCCAGTCGAAAAGCTGAACTTTGGCGGATGATTTAATCGTTCCCGATGAGGTTAGGAAGTCGATGATCGTCTTTTCTAGCATTAGAGGATTTCCAAAAAATAGGAAAGGGTGAATGTGACTATTTACCGATTGCCAGAAAGAAAGGAAAATCACAAGCTTGATGCAAAGAATCTTGAGGAAAGGCCGATGGTGCGCGATGTCGTCCTTGATCTGGATGTAAAACTGGATCAAGCAGTACATAGCAACGGTGACCGCAATTGACTCGATAACTAGAACCTGAAACTTGTCAGCAAGACTGGAATTTAGTGAATTGACAGAAAGTGGACCTACCCAAACATGGGCATAGTAGGGACTATCCGAGTCCTCGCAATAGCGGCCGTCAGCCTCGGCTGCAACAGCGATGACTGTCATGATCACTCGCAAGAAGCAGTATTGGAAAACACCGATCCAGATGACCTGTGTCAAGTCAGCTTCGATTTTTCTCCTTTTGGCGGGGCGATCATACATTGAACCAGGTGAGTCCGCTGCGAGGCCTCCGCAGTTTGCCTTTATCGCGGTTTCCACAGAAGCATTTCTGCATCCAATTCATGGGCCAAACCCAGTTGACTGGCTCGATGCCACGGAAGTACTCTTTCTGGGTGTGTAGGTCGGGTGCAATGTAAGAGCAAAGCAGAGTGAAAAAGGAGGCAATCGCAAATGGCTCATAGCAGTCGCCAATCAGCTCAAAGTATACAGTGTGTCTGTAGAAGTAGACACAGAGAAATGAAGTGATGGCATAGATGGGAATCATGAACAGGATACGGAGGATGCTGGGAGGAATTAGACAAAATACTGGTCGGGTACTAGACGACTTACTATCGCTGTTCAGTGGGGTTGCTGTAATGAGTGGCATGGCCGATCATAATAATACTGGCGAGGATGAAAGCCAGTACTGTGAAGATGGCACAGAGAATCCAACATAGCTCGTGGAAGGTGATGCCACCATCCCAGAGGTTGACCTCATGGACTTGAGAGAATTAGATGACGAAATAAGGGGGAAGAGACTTGAGCTTTAGACTCACTTGAGATGTCCTCCTCGGTGGAATTACACTTGGGCCAAGTCATGGCGGCGTACGTGCTTCGATGAAGTTTGGAAAACCTCACGATTATAAACAGTTGCTTGCAGCCGCTGACGTACGAAAAAACTGGAATGTCGAGAAATTCCGCCGATTCAATGAAATGCTTAGGCTCCACTAGTCCCAATCATGATCGGCGTAAGGCTTGTCTTTTTCGCGCCGGTGCGGGACGCCGCGTAACAGGTGGGTCAGCCTTTATCCTTACGCCGGTGCCTTATGAAGTGCATATTCCAGGTGAAGATGAGGAACCCTGAAGTCATCAGTGGATTCTGCAATTTGAATATGTTGTCATGCTCTTTTGTTTATATTGTATGTTGCTTAAGTTGGGTACTAATATGGGACCTTAGTAAGCCCAAAAACAAGCATCACGATGTTGATTCAGAAAGCTTGGCATTGTATTGTTTTTGAGGTCGAAATTAACCTGAGATAGCTATAATTTCTTTTTCTTTCTAAGGACTATAGTCAAACCATCTGTCGAATTTATCTATCGTCGCATGTAATAGGCAGCATTGAAGGTTCTGAGGTTGTGAGGGACTTGGGGATCAATATATATCCGGAATCGATATGCATACAACATTTGACGACCCGTTCACCACCTATAGCACTCTACTCAGTTGTCTATGACAGTATTCATTCCAAGACTTGTTGGCTTACAGTCAAAAGACAAGCTCCAATGTCCACTTTGATAACTAGTAACACATTGACTATTGATCTTGTTCGGTACACTCATTTCGACATCAATTTGGCAGTTGCCGGAGATGAAACCATTCACCACCATCAATGAGTCGTTCATATGGCATAAACTGCTAGCTGGAGGAAAGAAGAGCTGCACAGAACGGGTGAGAATGAGTGTGAATTAGAATGAAACCTCTAATGAAGCTACTCCTCAGCTTCTCCGGCGCCATGTTTTACCTTCTTACGCTCTACAAACGCTATGTCTTCGCCAACTGGCAGTCCAACTCTAAAGGTTCTCTTGCTACCTTATCTTGTATCTTCAAGCTCTGTAAAGATGACGATATCACCTCCGACAACACTAGGAAACTCATTGGACCAGCCAAACCCTCTAAATCTCGTACTTCACGTCCCTTATTCAAAGTATAACATTAGAGAAAGCCAACAATTACTCTCGGTCCAACGTTAACAGTTGGAAGAAGAAATTCCAACAAGTCTACTCTTTCTATTAATTTGTAAAAACACTATGATGACGATAATTGGTCTCTTTCTGATAGCATTACCTGGGACCTCAGACCAACGAGTCCCCGTGTGCTGGCAGATTTCGGCTTTGACAAACTCGCCACGCGCAGGGAGAAGAGTCAGCTTGTGGGGGAGAATCAGGATCTACGCTTATCTAGGATTTCAGCCCATGAGTTTTAGATATGGCACGAAGAAGGTTCGTTGATTGTCAATACCGCACAAGCATACTGCCAGGTGCCCGAGAGCCGTCGAGGAGTCTATTTTGAGTGGTTTTTCGCGCATGTTTGGGTGCTGGAGAAATGATTATGGGAGGAGATGGTGGAGACATGTGTTCATAGGGACACGGTTTTGTAAATTCCATTGACTTATCTTTTCGCAAGGTGAAAGTAATATGGAATGTGTTTATCAAATGATACTGAACTACTGGGAGCATTGAAGAACAATTGTTTCATGTATGAGGATTTAAGCATTGATATATCCATTTACAAACCATCGTGGCTATGGTGGTACAGAGGGCCAGGAAACCCTGAAAATCAAAAGTAAAAAAGGCACCAACACCATGGTCAACATGAGCACCAGAGGAGATATGCAGCGGGGGGTGAATATGAAAGAGACCCAGTAATACACTCGAGAGAAATGGGTGGGGGAACAATAATAGAAACAGGAAGGTATGGCTGAGTAGAGGTGCTTATAATAATATCATGAGTGCTCCTCTACCAACGTCTCTTCAGGTACCAGCCATAGGCCGGAGTGCTAACTGACTCTCCGAAGGGAGTGGGCACTTCGGCGGAGCCGGGGCGGGCAACGGGGTGACGCAGGTATACAGCGGCGCAAATATTCTGGTTGACCTCGAGGTAGCGGGGAATGAAGGCGAAGACAGACATGTAGTCCCGTGGACGCCAGGGAGTGGCGTATGGCTTAGAGTGATCGATGGGATTGTCACGCATCTGAGTAAGAGCGCGGCGGAGAACATCGAACTCCTCCTCAGACAATTCCGATGCGTCGACCTCACCACCCTCGGCAGCTTTCTGGAAGGCCTCCGATAGCTTGTTACCGGCCTCGTCTGATGTCTTGGGAGCGGCAGCGGTCTCCTCACTAGCCTCACTAGTTGACTGATCCTTGGACTTCTTGGCGTCCTTGGGCTTCTTCTCAGCACGTGTCGCCTTCAGCATCAGGGTGAGCTCGGAGAACTGCGATTCAAGACTGTCTGTGAGGATGGTGCTGGTCTCGGAGCGGGACAACACACGGCGCACGGCCTTCTGGAAGCCGCGCAGCTCTTGCTTGCGCTTCGCCGGGAGCACATCCTTGTCTGTGGACATGATCGTCTTGGCTTGGGCCATCAAGGCCTTGAGAGTATCCTTGGCGCTTTCCTTTTCTTCCTTCTCCGCGGGCTCCGGCTTGGTCTCGGCTTCGGTCTCGGCCTCTTCTTCAATCTCACTCTTCGACTTCAGCTGGCGGGCCTCTCGTCGCTCAAATTTTGTCTTGGGGGCACCGGTGGCAAACATAACACGCTCAGGATCGACCTGGAACAGATCTCCGGGGTTGAGGAGATAGCTGGGGTGTCTCATCTAGGAGCGAAATCGATATTAGTATCAAGAGACTGGTTCACATGGACTCAATTGCCATAACACACCTTCTGACCGTTCACGGTAACCGCGCCATGGATGACAAACTGCCTCGCTTGCCGGGCACTACTAGCAAACAGTGCTCGGAATATGGCAACATCCAACCGGCGCTCCAGGGGAGCGAATGCCATCTGGGTATAGGGGACCAGACGCGGATTGCTGGGCTTCCCCTCCGTCTCCACTTCCAGACCGGAGCCTCGACCGGCAGATGCCTTGGATCCATCGTCCATCGCGAGATCTTGCGTGTTCATGGGGTAAACGCTGCGGATACGCTTCGAGAACATGCGCTTCCATTGGCCCTCACGGACCTGCTCACCGTGGTAGGCGCGAGAAACGGCCTTGGCAGTCCATTTTTGCTGGAAGAATGTGCGGTTGATAGTGGACGGGGAACGGAATCGTTGCAGGTTATACAAGTTGTACTTGCTCCATGATTGACGGATTTTCTAGACGGAGAACATCGTTAGCGGCTTGTCCACTTGGGGTCCGGGCAATTGACATACTCCCTTGGACAAGGTGTTGCTGGCCCTGTTCCTCATTTTGGCGACGGCAATAATTGAACGCGACGCGGGGAAAAGAGTGTGGTGTGATCGAGGCAATCGTGGATGCACGACTTGATCGACCTGAGCACCCAAAACTTCCATGGCACGTGACCTTTCGTCAATTGCCAGTTTGTTACGCCTGAGAAAGCAGGCAGAAAGTCAGCTTAGTCCTGATTGGTTGAATTCTGCCTCGCTTACGGTCAGATGGGCCACCGCCTGGGTGCAGGGTATAAATACATCCCGTCTCTTCCACCTTTCCTCCTCTTTTTCTTTTCTTCTTCATACTTACCTTGTTTGGGTGGCTGCGATCATGAAGGCGGTCCACCACAGATTGGTCCCTGCATTGCACAGCGCGGCGGACTGGTTTGTTCAACGGCCTTCGGGTCATTGACAGGCGTATTCTTTGGCACTCTCCACTTGTGGAACTTATCTCTTTTCATCAATCCTTGAGTCAGCGACTCGAGCTTGGAGAAGAGAGGGTCGGCAAATCAGTAAAAGTAAATTTGTAAATGTCCCTAGATCGCTTCGCTTCTACAAACTTCTGGATGTTCAGTGACTTGTTCCAGGTCATTATAGGTCCCCCCCCCCCCCCTTGACTACATCTTGGCCGCTATTACATGTCTTGATTCTCAACCGCACCGATACCAATAATCAGTTCGCCCTACCTGTCCATGAAAGATAACTGCATAACTACACTTGAGGTTTCGATTCGAGTCCCAGGAAGTAAGGCGACGTCTGAGCGACCGTGACTTGATTCTTTGTTTGGAATTTATTTATCCACAGGAGTCAATAATACATTTCTTCACTTCTCTGTCTTCCTCCACACAGCTAGACACTGTCGAGGGTTGCGTCAATGTACAGTGTGTCCCGAAACTGTTGCGATTGCTTACACTCTTCGATTCTTTCCAGTCCCTAGGCCAAGATGCATTCGTCTACTTTGGGAGTTTTTCCGGAGTATTCCTGTCAAATGGACTTGTCTTGTTTCTTACTGATATTACGAATTCATTACACTCACGAGTTCACTTGTAAATTCAAAACATCTGACATCTCTGTACCGTATGTACCAACAACATGTAGGGACCTCAACTGAAAACGGGACAACGACAATCAACCAATCTATCTGTCATCAGATCACGTACAGCAACTTATACTCTGGCATAACCAGGCACCATCGAGGAAAAGAGAAACCACGATCATGCTCAGTGAGCAAGAGCATGATCCGCCCTGATCAGACCCACCTGGCAGAGGTTTCATGGTACATAAATACAAAGTTTAGAAACATCAGGGTAGCTTTTAAGACGAATCTTGTCTTCAAAACAAGTTTGTAGAATAGACCTTAGCCTAGTCGTCAACACTATGTGTCGGTTTCCACAACAGGTCTTCGTTATCGTCTGGATCCTCCACATCCTCGGAATTGGGAATGATTTCCTCAATTCCTGTGATCTCCTTGATCGCCGATGAGCCTGAGATAAATGACGCGACCAAGGCATCAATATGTGCATCCCACGTCTTGCACTTCCCTTTCTCGTACCCCCGAATGCAAAGATATTCCAGACTCTCCGGGAGAGCCTCCGGCAGCAGGAATGGTTGTCTTGGCTCGTTGTTTTCCCTGACACCCATGGCAAAATATACTAAAAACCCGATGCCCACACTCAATCGCTTCAAGGCCCGAAACTCCTTCAGTGACCCGCTGTTACTCGAGAGAGAGCGGAGCATTTGGCGTTCGTCATCATCGTCATCATCACTTTCGAGCGCTCTTTGATTGATTTCTTGGTCAACCCGACCCTCATCGAAACAGGAGGGGTGGAAATAGTGCATGTTGTGCTCGGCATCGATATCCAGGACTTCCAGAGTGTCTTTGTGCGGACAAATTGATTTGATGAAGATCCTGGCATTGAACGGCGCAAACCAACCTCCTAAAACGCACCGGCCACCGATGGTGTACTGGAATTCTCGCAGTACTTTGCAGGACTGAATGATAGAGACAAGAAAGGTTGTTGGGAGGGCAGAGTGGTGGATATGAATTCTGCTAATATTGGACGATCGGGGCTCTAGCACCACGCGCGCCTCGCCATTTTCGTCGTCACAGAGGCCACCGGTGCTAAGGGATTCAATAGACGGGAGGCGGTCGAAAAGCGTTGCGCATTCCAAGAAGTCCATGGCCATGTAGAAACGGTCATCCGAGTTCTCATCGTCGACTATCATGTGTACTTTGCGAAGATTTTGAAGATACGCAGTACTAGTCGGGTTCGCATTGGCCCGACGGAGAAGTTGATTGAGGGGAAAATGAACAATATCGTCTTGAGGCCTCTCTCTACCCCTGTAGAATCTAGAGAATAGACTGAAAGGCTGTGTCATCACTAGGGACTCTAGATTGGGTGACACTGAGATGAGAATCGCGGCTAATGCCTGCGCAATGAAGGTGCCATGAATCTCACCATGGCTGTTCGTCTAGTGAGCGCTCAGCTCAACAACTAACTAGGAATCGACTCTCTTACTCGTATCCATAAGCAGTATCTGGGAACCTGAAAGGCTCCCTGGTTTCACCTGGAGGCTGTGTGGTGGTTTGCATGAGCATATTGAGCACCGCGTTTTCTTGGGAGTTGGCGAAACCCGCCTTTCGCACAGCCGTGCGGAGGAGATCCCTGTCGCCCGCACTGAGCTCGCGCTGCTCTGCTGTCTGGACGTAGTGATGCTCCATGTTGGGCTGTCTAGTCTGCACGATCTCCCGTACATAGTTCCCCAGCTTAGGGTTCTTGAGGATCCCCATTACGAGGTCAAAAGTCTTATTGATGCTGGAGTCTTTCGGGTCGACACGGACCTGGTAGTACGGCTCGCGTGTTTTCATGTCGCACAGGCGATGTATTGATCGACATGACTGCGATAGAGCGGCCAGATCACCAATCGATGATACATGGCGAATGACCATAACTTGTATCTCGAGAGGGAGGGATAGGAATGCCATTGAAGATGTAGAATAAGTGTTCGCCGATCAGGGTCCGGGTTCCAATTTATTTTGGGGCCGCGCCCCACTGAATGCACTAGTCAAGGCATCAGTCAAGGCACCCGTATGCTTGGCTCCGAAGGGTCCCCCGGAAATGGTGTTTTGTTTGTTGGTGTCTTATTTGTTGGTGTCTGTGCTGGATGATAGGGCTGCGGGGGATTCTCATACCAGAGACCTCGTGGCCTGAAATCCAAAGCCAAATCCTTTCTTGTTATTGTATACGGTATCATCATCAATACTCTGGCTGGACAATTATGCCTTCAGGTAAGTTTCCTGAATTGCTTCAGAAAATTCCGGCACTCAGCTACCGCATGACGGAAACCTAACCCGGTCAATGAAGCTCCTTGGAATTTCTAAATCCACCTCCCTATATATTCCCTCGAAATCAAACGCGATGGAGTGCACTGTCTGCCCAATGACTTAGCAGTATCTGACTGCCTCTTGTAACCCTCATCTCCCGTGCTGCGAGGATGGTTGAAGCACATTGCCACGCTCCTTGGTGTTTACATCCGCCCCTTCAGGCAATATTTCCAGGAAATATAGTTATTGATCTTTATAGTTGTGTATTCGATGCGCTATATTGTAAAGTAGATGTTGGTATCTCAGACTCGTCAAACTTCATAAAACAAAAGCAGGTGATCAACTCCCAGACCACATAGCGCCATGTCAATGCAAAATCTTATCCTTACTCCAAATATTTTTCAAATCATTCTCGCCTAGAACTCGGAAACACCTCAGCCAATGAATCAGCTTCTTGGGGATTAGTCCACTCCTCAAGCAGATCGTGCGCCATGTCGACGGTCTCGTCATCAATTCCGGCCTCGAGAACGGATCCGTCGCAAAATGCCAAGCGTGTCAGGACGACTAAGTGCTTCTGCTTGCTACCTGGTACACGTGCCAGCTTCTCTTGCATGTTAATAGAGGACCCGTGGCGGCGGATTACCCCGAACACTAGACGCATCAGTCCATTGACTAGCGCAACTCGCAGCTCTTGCTCAGGGGGCGACGCATATAGCGCATCAAGCTCGTCGTGCATGGACCGGAAGAGTCGCGCCAACGCGTTAGGATGAGCAGCAATGATGGCGCTACCATGCTCCCGAGTTGGCGCAGCTGGATTGAATGCTAAAGACTCCAACAAAAGTAACACCTCCAGACGCATTGCACATACATCATGTGGGGTGTACGGCTCAAGACCCTCGTCCGGTTGGGCACGCTCACTAAACATAAAGGAAAGTCGGTCGACAAGCCATCTTTGTATATCATTCTGTTCTCCTTCTGAAGACATGATCGGCCCGAACGACTCTGGTCGAATGCTGGTTGATAATAGGTGTAAGATCAGCACAATATCCTTTAGTGGCTGTGAAGGATGTAGCATAACGAGAGTGAACGTATGTCGGATCTGCCGCCAAAAGTCTTGTAGTGCATCTTTGACATGTAACAATTCACTTGCGATATGATATAGGAGGCGTAGGGCCTCTGTTGAATCAACCTGCGGTTGCAAGTCTGACTGTGGAGTCGGTATCGATCGGATCACCCTCGCTTTTTCCCGGGCAGCGGGGGAATATCGAAACCGAGGGACTGCGTTAACTTCAACAGAATCTTGTAACACAGAGACCAAAGGACCGATCAACTTTGGAAGTGGAATATCGTTCATCCTCAGGACGTACCGCACAAGGGTCATAAATCGAGGTACAGGTTCATAAAAACGCTCAGTCAGTGCACGTTGCCAAAGTGGCCCAATCGCATGCATGTATTCCACCACATAGCTGCCCATGTCCAACTGAGCCAAACGGTCCAAAACCATACTAGACATTGGTCGTGCTGGTTCCGAAGGAAAGGATATCCTTGCCAGCGCCTCAATATCGGTTTCTTGATCAGGGAGCATGCGATGATTCAACAACCGTTTCATAACCTGCTGATCACGTACAAGTCGCTCGGGCCCTTCCTTGTAATCTGGTTCAAGGCCATCGGCAGGAGCTTCAGCCATCACCAGCTCACCAGCAGGGCTCAATTGTAATGGAACAGGGGTGTCCTGACTTGCCCGTCGCTTTCGTTTTCCTGAGACAGTCGGAGTTACTCGTTTTGACCGGGCAGCCGACTTGCTGGGTGACACTACAGCGATTTCGTCATCGTCGAACCCATCTCGAAACGGTAGGTTTCGAGATTTCTTAGGTGTGACGGGCGGATGCCCCTCTTCCTGTCGATGTTTCGACTTGAAATTGCGCAAATGGTGTGCCTCCTCCGCTAAATCATGCTGAAGGAAGATGTTCTCTGTCGCTAATATGTGCCCTTCAGACATTGCGGCTTCGACAATTTCCTTATGCTTTGTTGTTTCCTCCGCCATGGCCGCGCGCAAAGCTATCAGCTGCTGGTCATAATTCGCGATCATTTGCGCCTGTTTGGATCGGATAATGGCAATCTCGCCCGTCTTCGATTGCACCTGTGCTTTGGCATCGTGCAATTCAATTTGCAGTTGTTCTTTTTCTCGCTCCAGCTGTATATTGACAACGGTCAGTGATGATGAATCAACTTGAGCATGCTCCGAGCCTACCTGTTCTAGACGCGCAATTCCTCCAGATATGTTCCCCGACGTATGATCATCCACCTCCATCGCATCACCCATGCCACTGTGGACGGGCCACTCATGCTCCTTCACTAGCATATGGCCATTGGGAAACACCACAGAGCCATCCGCATTGTCATGTATCTCCGCTCCCAATTCACCCACCTCTAGTGTATCATAGTCATTCGTTAATCCGGTGTGTAAACGAGGTGGTGGTTGCAAGGTCGCGGAGTTCCGGACTGCAGGTTTTACCTGACCATGGAGAGTTGAGTTGTTTGGAATTGTCGGGCTATGCTGATACTGAGTGGCCTGTCCCTGGGTGGCCTGAAAAGCACTTTGTTCTAAATCAAAAAGTGTCCCAGGAGGCAGAGAATCGAACTCGTCAGAGAAGTAGTCATCGTCGTTGTCTTCCATGCCCCCGCGCCATGGATTACAGAAGCCTTGAATGATAATGGAACAGATGGAAACTGAATGGAACAAGAATTCTGAATAATTTAGGAATGCATCAGCATGCTAAGGTTCTGAGCCATTACGATACGAGCCAGCGCCAACTGCTCTCGAAACGCGGAGAATGAGGCTGACCGCTTTCGCGGTGTCACGTGGACCATACTACGGCTGCGATGTACCTCTAGGTACCTTAGGTATCCATGGATGGTAGCATTTAAGACCTCGGGAAACATAATCATGGGGCATTGACTGGCTAGATCCCTCGACCCACCTGGTGATTTTTTTTCTGCCTACCCAAGCTACAAATATTCTTTTAGCAGGAGCATCGATGAATATGTATATATTGTCATTCTTTAATAAATAATTGACTAAGGGAAGATGCACAGTTAATTCTGGGGTATGTGTTATGTACATAAATGGACATGAGAAAACCAGGGCAAATCGCATCGTCACGGACGGCAGACCCACCGCCTCAGCCACCGCTCCCACCTCCGCGCAGGAGCTCTCGAAGTTCTGGTCTCACTGCGCTTCTGCCTCCGGTCACCTCCCCTCTCAACTCCCTTCTTTTTTTTTTTCCTCCCGCCCATCCTCTCCATCACCATGGCCAAGCCCAAGCACACCGCTGTTGGTCGCAAGGGCAATGCTGCCGCGTCTCCCAGCTCCAACAAAAATGAGAAGATTGACTTTGAACAGAATACGGAAGCTGAGGAGGTGAGCTGAAACCAGTCCTAACTGAACTCCTTGACGTTGTTAACGCGCCTTGTTTTGTTCATAGACACCCGTGCAATCCGAAGGCGAGAAGAAACAACAAGACTGGGAGAAGAAACGGCAAACCTTCATTACCCGGACAATATGGACCTTCGTCATGATTGCCGGTTTCTTCATTGCCATGTTCTCTGGACACATTTATATCATTGGCCTGGTTACCGCTATTCAGATTGTTTCATTCAAGGAAGTCATCAACATCGCCAACAAAAAACCTCAGGGTGAAAAGGAGCAAAAACCGGCACCCCGCTTTACCAAGCAGCTGAGCTGGTACTTCCTCGCGACTACCATGTATTTCCTGTATGGAGAAAGCGTAATTTATTATTTCAAGCATATTTTGCTTGTGGATAAGGTTCTTCTGCCCTTGGCAAACCACCACCGCTTTATCAGCTTTACTCTTTATGTCATGGGTGGGTGTGCCTCAACTTTGCAGTTACCGAGTATTTTGCTAACGGACTCTATAGGATTCGTGTTCTTTGTGGGATCGCTGCGCAAAGATACTTACAAGTTGCAATTCGTTCACTTTGCTTGGACTCACATGGCGCTATACTTGATTGTGGTGCAAGCTCACTTCGTTATGAATAACATTTTCGAGGGCATGATCTGGTTCTTCCTCCCTGCATCCCTGGTGATCACCAATGATATCTTTGCCTATGTCTGTGGCATTACATTTGGCCGCACCCAGTTGATCAAGCTATCGCCGAAGAAGACCGTGGAGGGTTTCCTCGGCGCATGGATCTGCACCATCATCTTTGGATATTTCATGACCAATATCCTGATGCGGTACAAGTACTTCATCTGTCCCGTCAATGACTTGGGCTCAAATGTTTTGACCGGTCTAGAGTGTGTTCCAAATTCCGCCTTCATTCCCCAGCCATACTCCCTTGAATTGATCGGCCTGGACAAGACTTTCTATGTCGAGCCCATGCAGCTTCATATTTTGAGCTTCGCTACTTTTGCCTCTCTCATTGCTCCGTTCGGTGGTTTCTTTGCCTCGGGTCTGAAGCGCAGCTTCCAAATCAAGGACTTTGGCGAGTCGATCCCCGGCCACGGTGGTATCACCGATCGTATGGACTGCCAGTTCATCATGGGTTTCTTCGCCTACATGTACTACCACAGCTTCATTGCCGTCTACAAGGCGAACGTTGGTGATATCATTGAGACTGTCATCAACGGTCTCACGGTTGATGAGCAGTTCGAGGTTGTTCGCGGCCTCAGCAAGTACCTGCACAACCAAGGCGTCGTTTCAGATTCGGTACGTTTTTTTACGTGAACCTCTACATTTACTTTGACTAACGCACAGTCTTCGCAGATCCTGGACTGCCTTGTCACCGAACTCAAGCGCTAATGAATTCGAGTCGCCGGCCTCTCCATACAAAAACTTCACGACTTCTATTTACATTTTCCCCTTTTTTGTAATACACCCCGAGGATTACTCCCAACTCTTTCCTTTCTTGCCCTCTAGCCTCCGATGAAGCACGCCTTACCAGTTACTTGCTAACTGGGAATTGATTGGCTTTTCCTGGTATGACATGGATGCATCCGTTGGTTTCCCATGCCTGATGGCTATCACGTCTTCCTCCTCTTCCCACCTTTCAACACAGCATCGGTTTCAGTATTCAAAAGATGAGATGAATTGAAGGATCTTACATGAAATGAGGTCATACATCAACCGTGGTTAAGACAGTGGCGTGATCTTTAATTCGATTCATGGATGTTTTCTGTCTTACATTTTCCTTGGAACAGTACTTTATCTATTTTATGTTTCTGCCTAATTGGCACAGGATCTACTGTTGTCCTGGTCTTGATTATCTTGTTCAAGCCATTCGTGGGTGAAGGCCTGCTAATATCCCTTTGGTGCGTGAGAAAGAATGGGATCTGTCTTGTGTGGTGGGCCAATGGCCTTATTTGCTTCTCGCTGTCCTGCAAATTTTACAGTCTAGATCTCTAGAGCAGTAAATCAGGCAGTTGAATGTGTACATAGCTTTCAATTCACACGTTGAAGCTGACCTCGTTATTTGAATCTGAGGTGCATTGTTTTGTAATGCAATTTCCTGGTTCCTTCAGTGTAACGACACGGAGGTTAAGGAAATGAATATACTCGAAGTAATTGATCAATTCTTTTCATTCATATCAATAGAAGTAGGGTATCACAGAAACAACGAAAATCATGGAGGTGAACAGCCATATCGGCCTGAGCAGCTGGAATCAACACTGATGCCGAAATGCAGCGCCCATACCCACCAGATGGTAAGACCGAGAAGACATCCTGCTCTTCTTACTGTTCAACCTGATACTCTTCAATCTCAAGCTTGAAGTACGCCTCAACTTCCATTTTCTCCTTCTCCGCTTCGGTAGAATCAAGCATAAATCGAACAGCTGCATCCCGCCCCTTATCTGCCCTGTGGCGCTCACCGCTAGCAGCAACAGGTGTCAATGGGTGCAAAGGTCGTTGAGGAGGTTCTGCGGATCTCCTACTACCAGCGCTCAATCTCTGGTCACGGGGTCGGTCTATGAAGAATGCGAATCGAGGAATGCTGTTTTCTGCGGCTTCTTGATTCAGCGGGATGCGGACGGTTAAGAACTGGTCTGCTGGGAAATCCGGTCCCACGGATGTTGAAGATCGGTGATGCGTATAGAGTTCTAGCAGGTCAAAGAGGGTTTCTGGATTTGTAGTTAGTATGACTATATCCATAGGCTGGAATGGCTTGAACTAACCCATTACTTCTTCTCGGCTTGTGTCCCATCGCTCGTATTCCTCTCTGGACTCTAGGGCCTCGGTACGCTGATTCAAGAGTCGACTGGCGAGTTCCAGACAAGCAAAGGCCAAAGGTGACGTCGACTGTTTGAGCGGTGCGAACGTTCGATAGAGATCAAGTGAAATGCGGTAGGCTAAGCTCCAGACTTCCACTGGTATCCCGTGACGACGGGCCAGCTTGAATAAAGTCTTATGAGGGTGGCGGGTGCGAAAGTCAAAGCCAGATGCCTCTAGCATTAATCTCTCCAATCCAATGATTCCCCGAGCATTGGTGTCAAAAATCTGCCGGTTTCCGAGTTAGTATATAGTTCCTAATCATGCTTGATTTCTTCGAATAATGACCTACGGGATCATCTGGTGCCAGGTGGTCTGATGGTGATAGCTTGAGATTGTATGCGGCGCATACAATATCTCTAGACTTTTTGAGCGTATCTTCCGTCTTGCATGCAGTAAATAGTGCCGCTGCGGCCGCATCCTGTTCTCATATTAGATTGGGGCGATCTCCAAGAAAGCGAGAATGACGCTACCACAAAGTTATATTCATTATCAGGATGTACCAACCGAAATCGGTGGTAGTACATCGTAGCGGTATCATAAGTACGCACTGGCCTGCATCATCCGTCAGTGTCATGCTCTGAAGGGAGGTATTTTGGACGCAGGAATCCAATGGAGAACATACAGGTGGAGCACTTTCCGCACATTGTCAATCCATGACACTCCTTGCAAACGCAATGATTCTTCTCGAATGGGATTCATTCCCAGAGCTTGAATACAATCATGAATTGTTTGCTCGAACAAGTACGGCCTGGCTACCTGGATAAATGAAGGATGAATGGCTGGGCGCTCCGGAGCTTGGAGGCCGGGATCAGGGCGAGGGCGAACCCGCTCCATTCTTGATTCGAGTGACATGGCAGATTGAGAAGAAGCCAGTTACCTTTGACAGAAATTACGGCGATGAAAGGCTCTTGAAGCTTGTGCAGATGAAGGTCGACGGCCGTGACTGATATGATATGGTGATCACGTGATCGGAAATTTGTTAATCCGAAGTAAAGCCAATATGCAAAGGTCAGAATAAAAAAGACTAGAAGGAAGTAAAGCAGAAAGACTTTTGAAGTAGGTAGTGAGCGTGTAAATTGGAGTTCCTGGTTCCCTCCGTGGTATGCTACGACTAGACCTAGTAGCTTCATAATTGTGGATTCCGATCCCACCACCTGGGCACCTGACGCGTTTTACTCCTGAGTGATTTTCCAAATATTAGTCTGAGTAGTTTCGACGAACATGACATTTACTCAAAAAACCTTCACAATATCAGAACTAGCAATGACTGCTTTCAACTTGGGAGGTAACGAGTTTCCTTGCCAAGAAGGTCGATGTCGTCCAATGAGTCAATATGATCAGTCATCTATGATTAGATGCTAATGACTTTTAGATCCCCCCTCCACTGGACTGGTGGATGAACCCAGACCAGCTCGGAAACGAGACTGACTGGGCCTCGCAAGGAAAGCTTGGACACATAATCGACGTTTTCAACGAAGTTGGGAAATGTGTACCCGTTATGTGCCACCTAAATGGTGAAGTGATATTCACGGCCGGCGGGAAGTTCTACGAATTCATCTACATTTCCTGCGACCTTTGTCGGATTACTTTCCTGATTACCCTGGAGGAAATCATCGCTGTGATGAAGGACCTGGGATATACGGCCGTGAAGTTCAATGCCTGCCACGGTCTGGCAACGGTACTGTTCCGACCTAATTTGAACAAGACGAAAACCCAGAGAGTAAGTTTTTTATTGCTGTTACATACAGGGGATGAAGCCCAGAAAAGCAATGTCAACGACCTTTCCCATATCTTCGCTTACTTTCAATGTGTTCAAACATGAGCCCTGGCCTAGTGGCTGAAGTCCCTGAACGGCGATCGTATCTAGTCATCTTTCCCGTACTTGCGAACCAGCTTTTGCATAATTGACATTGCACCCGAGCGATACCCACCACCAAAAATAGCATGGTGATTCAAATGATGATATCTAACAAGGAAGTTAGCGTCTTAAAAGCAAAAGCAGATGGAAAAGATCGACTTACAGCTCATACAATCGCACTCGGTCGTTATATTCCTCCACCGGTGCAGTCTTTGGCACAATCCGATGATACTGGTCAAAGAATCGAGTCCCAAATCCACCAAACATGTGCATAATCCCTAACTCAAACTCATTATGCCCATAGCACACACAAGGGTCATAAACTACATCCCCGGGCTGATCATCACGACCACTACCCACGATGCGGCCACGATCTGCATTTCCACTCCATAGATCTCCATGCACCACGACCGGCACGATCCCCTCGCCTTCGCCATTGGAATCATATCCCAAATGACCGTCCCCTAGTAGGCGGGGCACCACCGTATAAGCCGTCTTCTCAACCAACTCCCGAAGTCCCTCGTCGCGACCATTCCGGTGTTCAGAGGTAGCGAGAATAGTAAGCAGTCGCTCATGGGCATAGAAGTCAGCCCAGCTATCATGGAACTTATTTGGCTGCTTAGTATCACCACAGAAAGTGGGAACAGGGAATCCGAATCGAGGTCTCCCAGTCTCCGGATCTGCGGGCGCAGGCGTGGAATGTAGTTTACCAAGTCTGTACGCCAGCGTCGTGGGATTGGTTTCATCACCTGAACTGCGTCCCATCGCACCGCCGAGATCAAGATACTCGGTGGCCAGGAAGAAGTTCTTACATTGTCTGCTTTCTTCGTCCACAGGACCCCAGGCTATTGCGCGTGGACAGAATCCTGGTACGGAGCCTGCGATCGCGTTGAGGGACTCGTACTCGCCCCGGAACATTTCTTCGGCGGCTTTGCCATCTGCGGAGGTTTTGACGAAGTATCGTCTTTCTTCTTCGCTCCCATTTCCTTTGGGTATTTTTGCGCGGATTGCGCCTGTGCTTGTGAAGCCTGAACCTAGGCCGGAGGTGGAGAGGCTAACCTTTGACGGGTCGGGTGGAAGAGATAGAGCTCGGAGAATGGGTGCTGGTACGGGTGACATGTTGTTGCTCTTTATTCTTTAAAACAAAAACTATTGGATATGTCATGCAAATGTTAAGAAAGAGACATCGATCAACGGGATAAGCTTGTGTGGTTAATACAGGGATGCGAGACCTGACAGGAACCTGCAGGGCTATGACGTTAGATCTCCGCACAACTAAGAGAACATCGATGCATTCATCCAATCAGTGCAGTATATAGAACAAATATTTGAGACCGCCTACTTAAGAAAGATATGCGCTCTAATGAATTTTGCTTGACATTGCACAAAATGGCCTATGCACATTAATATGACGTTCCATATCCAGTTCTCCATACATATGTCATAATCAAATCGTTCACGGCTACAGGTCGTTCAATAGGTGTATAGCCGTCTTGATACGCTCTTTAACATCCAGCTGCGGATCATTTTCGAGACTAAACACCTGATCAACAATTCCAAGAGCCTTGAGTCTAGTGACACGTTCGCGACATGCTTCACGATCACTCTGGTTCTCAAGGTAGATCAGGTTAATGACCACCCACGCACAGTTGGAGCGTATTTTGTAATTAGAGTGGTTGAAATAGAGGGCCAGGGACCGTAGAAGGTCCGGGTGAGAGAGCAGTAGTTGCCGATGGCGGGTAAGTCCTGCAGCAATATGGATGATAACGGCACTGACGGCGAGCAGAGTTTCTTGCGGTATTTGTAGTTCCCGGTTAGAGTTGTCACGGCGATGCGGCAATTGGATGGTGCGTGGGCGTAGATTATCAGCGAGTGCGTCCAGTAGCTCATTCTGACCGATCTCTTGGAGGAGAAAGTCGATCATTTCGGGTGCACCAGTCCCACACATCATGTTGCGCAGCATATCGAATGTCTGCTCTTGAACAGCGATGTCATCCTGTCTCGACTGAGTGGACTGTTCTAGGTTGCCGTGCATGACAAGCTTGCGCCGACGCCTGGCGTCAGGGAGAAACATATCCAAGCTCATCTTCGATTGGGGCATGCTATCACCCATCTTGAGCTCCTCAGCCGACTCGCCTGTGTCTTCCATGGGGTTGAGGATGTCAACTTGTTCTCCCGCTGAGTTGGCTCGACCCATGGCAATTCCAATAGCATGCTCTGTCTCTTCGTCCATTCCACGTCTAGTCAGGGCACTAATTGGGTCTTGGCTGATGATTTGCCGGATCCAAGCGGGCCCTAGAGCTTCAACTATCTTCATTCTTATATCATTGGATGTGTCAAAAACCACATGTTTAAGAGCCCACAAAGACTCTATCTGTAATTTTGTACTAGATGAGCGCGCGTGCTCGCAAAGCATAGGAATCACCTCGCCCGAGATAATCGCCTGTAAGAAATATTAGTTGGATTATGGCATAGGAATGTTCGAGATGACCCGCGCACTTACCTCCTTCATAGGACTGAAATTTAGTGCTAAGTTGCAGAGCGCCGCAGTTGCCGCAATTTGAACTTCTAGGTCGGGATGTTTAACAAGTGTAAAAAGCGGTTGGGCCACGCCACTATCAATCATACTGGTCCTCAAGGCGCTGACCGACCTAGTGAGCATACGAGCTGCGCCACAGGCAGCTAAAAGTGTTGGTGTCGGGTTACCATCCGCTGCAGTATTCTTTGGTACTGCAGCAGCATCGGCCGGAGCATCACTTGGCCGAGGTTTGAGGGAGTCGATGATATAGGGTACCACTCCATTATCGCAAAGTACCTTGCGGTATTCATCTTTGAACGGCACCAGCGCAGCCAAAGCCTTAAGAATACTTTCCCGATACCTCATGATGTGGCAAAGTGTAGGCGAATATCCAGGGGGCCCAAGTCGACAGTTCGGTGGCATTGTTTCAGGGTCCCGAGCTGGAAGATTGCCCTCTGAGTGCCACATGGGCCGCAATGTCTCTGACACTGGGTTATAAGTCTCTTTGAGAAGCTGAGATAGTCGTTTAAGTACATTTCCATCAACAGCATGCTTTTGTAGCTCTTGATCGTCCATGACCAAATTGGCCAATACGGCTGGAGCTTCTTCTTTCAAAAGTTGCGTCGGAGTGATGAGTCCATCATTCGCACCGGGCTCATCGGGGACCTCGAAATCTTTCTCCAGCATGCGAATGAGAATCGGAACCAAGAGATAACCAAGCATCGGAACTCGATGCTTTTTGGCAAGGCCCAGCCGAAAAAGAACAGTCACCAGTCGAGCCGCCATCAATTGGACCATGCCACCTTCTGAACGAAGGATGCAAAGCAGCCATGGAACGATGGAATTCTCATCCTCTTCGGGGGGAGACGTTTCGGCCAGCGAAAACGGCGTAGAAAAAGAATGGCTCTGGCGACGCTGCGCGCCAGAATTTCCCAGAGGTGGAAAGTTGGCCGAACTCGAGGTTAATTTGGCATGTACCATTGGAACAGAAGGGAGAAGATGATCCACCGGATTTGTGCTGGAATGACGGGGCACCGCCGAGCCAGACAGGTACGTGGTTCCCCAGGGATTTTTCTTAATGTCAGTCGGAGCGAATTCAGGGAGTTGTTTGGGAAATACGGTGACAATTCCCGGCGAGGAAAGGAAATGCTCTGCCCGCCACTTCGACTGCTCGATGATCACGGTGATTGCGCGGAGAATGGGTGCCAACCGCGCCGATGCTGGAGCAGGTGGGGGGAAATCCCCTAGAGCTCCAGGTTCGTGTAGATGGTCTTCTGCACCCGGGAGAACGAACCCTTGGGCTATCACAAAGCTGGCAATCTTGACAGCCAGGGCGTCTAGCACTCCACATTCCGCCAACGTTGTCTTATGAATCTCTTCCGTGCATAGCTTTCCAATCAAGGCAGCCGCCAGCTCAATACTCGCTTGGCTGCCGGTGGGGCCATAATTTTGCGCAACAATCCGTCGGATAGCTCCGACTGTTTCAGGTGCGAAGACGATGTCTGCCAGTCGGGTGTCCCGAGGCCATTGATCTTGGTTTTGCAACGGTAGTCTGTCCGCAATCGTGTTGAGAAGTCGTAGGATGGGAAGACAGAAGCGCTGAGGGCAGTCCGGTGAGGATAGGATAGAGAGAAGAGTCGGGAGAATGTCGCTGGCGAATATCGGGGCAAGGAACGTTGGACCACCTGTTCGACATGTTAAAATCGTCATCAGTGGTTCTAGGTCTTTGGCGCGCAGGTACCTTGCACCAAGCTTCCAATTATCAGGATTGCCTGCAGACAGGCTTCTGATTCTTCCGATATTTCAGGGTTCTGATAGGCTCTAGTCGCCTGGGTCACAGAGCGGTTAGATTCAGTCGCAGATTGGTTCCCTGGCCATCGCGACCCGAGCACCAAGGCCAACGTCGGGATAATTCCTGCGGCAACGTAGACCTCTTTGCGCTGATCATGACCTATCACTTCATTCTTTAGGGCCCGGAGAGATGTGATCTGAGAGGAGATGGAATCCGGGTTTTGGAGTTGTAGCAGAATCGGCGGAACCGTTGCTCGCGTCATCGTCAGAAGACGACCGCCTCCCGACGAGGGTGAAGACGGTTAGCAGACCAAGAGGAGATAGATGCGACAAGGTGGAGCGTCTATTCCTTTGGGCTGCGGGGTTTGTAATAGCTGGTCGGCTTGGGCGAGATGACAAGTATGGGAAGACTTGGCCGAATTCGGCCAGGTTCTGAGGGCGGGGAAGAAGTCGCGTGCAATTGGGCGGTGAGGTGAGACCACTTGTGAAGTTGATATTTTGTCCTTTTCGTCCGTCAATGAATCCTTGAATTGCCTATCAATCTTGAAACAATCGGAATCAATACTACAATAGGGTCCAATTCAACTTCCAGAGCTCAAGGAGGTGTAGTCCGTCATACTCCACTATGTAAGTTGAATGTTTTACGTAAGACTAGTGTAGATCTTGGCACAGAGGAGAGTACTCCGTACAAATTATTCAATGACCTGCATAACTGATTTCATCCGAGTCTTTGTAAGCTAAGATTGTATTTGATGTCCATTAATTGATAAGATATCGCATTCGACAAATTTTGCAGCGCCTATCTAAGAAGCCAATCGTACGTAATAATTAATAATAATATTTGGGTGGTGAGAGCTACTGTAGATAATGCACGTCATGCAGCCCAAATACGGAGTACAGTACAGGTTATATACGAATACGGATGCGAAAGGGGCGCAGTTACAGGTATGACGGCCTGGCCTCAGGCCTCAATCTGATTATACCAATGACGCCAGGTCAGATTTAATTCCCGAAAGAACTATTAGTGCTCCACGAGGGGATTGTTTGCATCCCTAGTCTACTACTAGTGGCCTGATTTACCGCAGGTAGCAAATTATGCCCCTTTAATCGTCCCTTAGTCCGGTTAGAACGGCTCTGAACCATCCAAAAAGGGTTTAGTGGTGATGGGTTTTTGCTCAGGCTCCACCACTTCCACTCTTTGGGCTCATCACCTGATCAGCCCTGTGACTGTGTCACGTATGGTCACGAAAACCCTCAACCCACCAATCAAGGGTCTGACAGCGCCGGGGCGAAGCCGATGGAGTCCTGTAAAACATCAACAATACGCGAAGCTCTTGGTCGATTGGCCGTGAATCGAGATTCGTCGTAATAAATTACCTCATAGCAGAACAGGATTTTACTCCCCAAAAGGGTACCCGTTCTCCGACTCTCCTCCCTTTTCTTCTCTTCTCTACTACGTCTTTCAAATGAGTAAGGGTTGTTGCACCAAGTGCTCTCCACAACCAGAACCCCCGGATTTCCAGTCTACTTCATCCACCTTGCGATCTACGTGAGGATGAGGCCGTGCGCCAATACCATTCAGGTTCCGCAGGTGCCCCATTGACTCGTGCGCCCACGTGGTGCCAGCGTGCCCTCCCATTGCTTTGCCGCAACATTCCTCTCGATCCCTCACTAAGCCATGTTGGCTTCGTCTCCTTCACCCTCGTCGGCTGCGCTACGCTCTGGCTCCGCCCACCCACATTATGAAAGTGCTCCACAGTTTAGTAGTCCACGTTCATCCCGCCTGGCCATTGAGGAGCTCCGTTCGGCCCTGAATCGCCATACCGTCGATCCTGCCTCCCCTGATTCCCCCGCCGCCCTCCAACGTCGACGCGCTTCTGCAGTCGATCCCTCTGCCCCCAGCGCTGCCTTGGCCTCTTCATCCCAGAGCCCATCCGCCACTCCTTCCACTGCCACTCTTCCTACCGCCACACCATCTGGCCCTGTGATCCCGCCACCTGCCCCGTCCGTCTCAATGCCCGCCCCGGACAATTCGGGGGGCTCCAACAAGCGCAACAGCCAGAGTGACCACCACTCGCCGAATGCGCCTTCGGCGGGCACATCTGGTGGTCATGATGTGGAGGTGTCGCAAACTAAGCGTTTGCGCCCGGCCGCGCCCAGCGTCAAGATCCTGCCCGTACAATACGAACTGGCTGATCCCCGTGACCTTGTTGTGCTGATTTCCAGCATGCTTATGGAGCTTATTCGCTTCAATGACAAGATTCCCCTGCATCAAGGGCGTTTGACGCGCTTCCACTCCCGATCGCCCCCTCGAATCTCCGTGCAGGATTACCTGCAGCGTCTGGCAACGCACGCCACCCTCTCGCCACCCATCCTCCTTAGCATGGTCTACTACATTGATCGTCTCTGCGCATTATATCCCTCCTTCACTGTTTCCAGTCTCACCATCCACCGTTTCTTAATTTCCAGTGCCACCGTCGCCAGTAAAGGACTGAGCGACAGCTTCTGGACCAATAAGACGTACGCTCGAGTCGGCGGTATCAGCATGAACGAGTTAGCTATGTTAGAACTTGAGTTCCTCTTCCGAGTCCAGTGGCGCATCGTGCCACAACCCGAGGTCCTGGTCGACTATTACCAGAGCCTGGTAGAACGATGTGAAGGGTTTGAGATTGAGCGCAACGGCAGTGCCACCACCACCGCGACTACGACTCCGGCAGCATGAAAGAATCCTGGAATGTATGGATATCACGATCTGGTCATGAATGTTTCGTTACGGACTATGTTTTCGGGCTGGCCTCGAGTTCCACGAATACGGCCTCATGATCGACTTTACATTGGAATGGATTTCTTTGCCTATCAACCTTTAATATTCGATCTAATTTGCATCTACGGCCTGGCCCATGCATATGCTACAATTAGAGGGCACGCATCGAGGGTTAGCGTGAGATAGCGGGTCTATGTTAGCATACTCCACGCTGAGCGGTGATTTGTAGCATGGTTTCAGCGCTTCATTTCCAGCGGGACTTATCTGGCGTTTTCATGTCAAGGAGGTATTTTATCTATGAACACTATTTTACCACGGATTTTCATTACAAAAATATACATTTTTTTACGCCTATGAGAACATGGTCATCTTGAAGTAGAGATTCAATAAACTAATACAATAAACTAATACTAAATGACGTTAGTTGCTACTTCCTTCCCGGGACTTTAGGGCATAGGGCGCGGGGGTTAGGGCAGCGGATCTGGAAATCTTGAACTTCATGCGTCACCAACGCAACGCGGTTTACAATTTGTTTTCTTTCAATTCCTCTGTTTCTTTCACTTTTCTACACCGAGCTATGAAGCAAAAGCACCCCTTCATGTTTACACGATCCATTTAATCTTCGATTCTCTCCCCTCCTTGAACCTCTCCCTCAACCATCATGGATCTCGCAGAGACAGTCAGAGCGATCCAGCCTTTACAAGGAGAGGTCGTTCCTATTCGCACTGTCCAGGAAACACAGCCAGTTGAGGAATTCGGTATGACTCTGCATGGTATCGATCCCCGCTGGCAACATCATGAACTAATTTGCTTGCAGGCGATGCCTTCGTCGCAGAAATCAATATCAAAGGTGCAGCCAAAGTGATCAAGTGAGTTACATTCTAATATTTTGCGATGATGAAGCAAGCTTATTCTCTTCTTTAGGGTGCTCGACTCCAAGTACCCCCGAGTCCCCTCACTCCCTCTGTCACATCTTCGACGCTTCGCGAAGAGAGATATCCTGCCCCCGCCACTTCGCGCAAGAATTGAAGCCGAAAGTTCGCATGCAATTAGAGAACAACAAACTATCTTTGTTGTGGTTTCGCCTCCACTGCCTCCCGCAGAAGAACTGCAAAACCTACTCGCTCCCTTTGCGCCAGATACTTATGGCTCTGATGCGTCTACACCTGAACCATCGCCATCAAAGATTCACCTCTTCACCATCCAAATCCCTCTCCAGCCACCTTTCAATGTTACCCAAGCTCAACGATGGAGCAAAACCCTTTGGCCAGTTGTTTTCAACCCCGCCGCACCCCGATCCACTGTCGCACCGCCCCTTCAAATCCTGAACCGGGCTCAGGAAAGTATTGAGCCTCGTGCAGGATACTATCTCTCTCTCGCGCGCAAAGTTGCAGAAGAGGCAAAGCAGTCGGGACGTGGCCGCGGCGTTGGAGCAGTCGTTGTCGATCCGGCCATCGAAGCCGCGATCGAGGCCGCTGCAGAAGAAAGTGGCGAGTACACCACTCACAGATGGATGGACGCCGTCCTCGCTGTTGGCGGTGATGTTCGTTTCGCCCGCTCGGAAGCTGGGAAGCCATCTCAGACAGATCTACACCCCGGTGTGGCTCCTAACCCAGCCTGTGCGGTGTTTGATTCAGATTTGGAGGGCGGGCCGGATCTGCATGCCTTGATGCGTGTTGCTGAGCTTGTTGCGCGCAGACGTCGTGAGGATCCCGAACACCAGGAATCTACAGCGGCCGTTTCGACTTCACTGGCTGCTATTGCTACGGATCCCCAGCTTTCTTCACAGCTAAGTCCTCTTGAGTCACACTTCCTCTACCAACCCGGTCCTCCAGAAATCGCCACCAATGCGTCTATTGCTGATTCCAATGAGTTTTGCTCCTCCCCCCTCTCTCCAAAGAAGAGGAAGCATGAAGAGCCAAATCCTGAATCTGCCTCGGCTCCTCTTAACACTATCGGCCTTGACCCATCTATTCAGGTCGCAGTCGCACAAGACCACTCCCAGTCTGCGACGCCTCCCCTTCCAGCTCCCCCGCCATCAACCGTCGCGACTGTTGCTAATCCTACCATTTCACATCCTCTTATTGAGTCAGCAAAGGTTGCTACTACCTCTACCGCCCCAGGCACGACCTCTCGCATTCGCACTCGCTCGCAGGGAGGCTATCTCTGCACGGACCTTGACATTTACATTTCCCACGAGCCGTGTCTCTGTTGCTCTATGGGCTTACTTCTCTCTCGATTCCGGGCTATCATCTTCCCACGTTCGGGTCGGATGAAGAGCGGCGGCATAGCATCTGAGCCCGTTGTGATCCCTACATCGGATCCTGATCCGTGGGTGGATGATGCTGAAACTGGCGATACGGATGAGAAGTTTGGGGAAGATGAGGATGAACGTTTGTATTATGGATTGCATTGGAGAAAGGAGTTAAACTGGCACGCTTTAGGGTTTGAGTTTGTAGAGTACGAGGATGAGGATGAGGAGGTCGATGACGAGAGTGATGATGTGGTTTTCAACGCGTGACGCATCGTGCGATTATGAACCAGTATTGTGTCGATATTATGTATGTTTAGGACGAAATGTTTTAAAACTACGTTTAGAGGAATGAACGTGAGGTAAATCTCGTTTGAAATTTTTTTGGGCTTCTGTAAAGACATGCTTTTTCGAGGTTCTCCATCTTCCTCCTCTTCCTCTTCCATTTATTTTCCAACAACTGCAGCACTTCTCTGCGCATTCACACTTTCTCCAATGGACTATGAAGTATACCCCATTAGATATAAACAACAACGACCTCCATTCAACGGGCAAACGGGCATTCTTCTTCAACAAGTGACTATGAAGCCAAAAGGCCGTAGCATCGGGCAGATGCTATTTGCCCTGCGTCAGCTGACAACACCACCATGGGCACCACTGGTTCTCATCTTCCACGATCTATGGGGGAAAAACAAACAAGGAAATTCATGACGTCGTCACATATCCCCCAATCCACGCCACATGCCCCATGGCGCAGTCAAATACAATAAGGAAAAAGGGGGTGGTAACAACAAATTCTCATCGCCGGTGTCTTCTGCCGACCTGGGACGGTCATGAAGCGACATGGCTAGCCATGAGAACAGGAAAAGATAAAAACAAAGTTAAATACGCAGGGTATGAACCGGATCTGAAATCCCATAAGATACAATCCAGAAAATGGCGGGGGCTAAGAAACAAACAGGTGTTCAAGATGACAAGTAGGGAGGGTCCAGGGGGGAGGGAACCACATACCACCCAGTGGCAGCGGGCAACTGAGATGATCCAATGGTTTGGGCAAAATTGAGATAGAGTCTTTTTGACTAGTGCTTGATGAGACAAGACAACAGACTACAAAAGCTGTCTCAATGACGCTTCCTTGGGATCTTTAAAGGACAAGGATACTGGGTCCGCCTTCCCAGCTATATCACTCAGCCCTGAGTTACCAAGGAAATGTCTTCGAATGTAAAAGGAACTTCGAAAGCAGCTGATAGTCGCAAATCGGCTGGGTGACATTCTTTTGCACAGTCGATGAGACCAAATAGTATGCGAGCCCTGCAAGAGCTCTAAGGCCTGGATGTCATGAAACCAATGAAAATGGCATGGCTCATAGTTTATGCCACCAACCAGGGGGTATGGGTACGATGCTCTCAAAGGGGAAAGATGAAGATGATAATGAGTAAATGACGAGTGAAACGGATCCGGCCGTGAGACACAGCTTTCGGAGATAATAGACTGGAATGTATCAAGTAATAATGGGATCACGCCCAAGATTGCCCAAAAATCAAGCCATTCGCTGGTAAAACAACAGGTAGGCGACACGGTTGTCGCGAGAACCATATCTACCCAGGGGAGTTCGGACACCCGAGGAGGTAGCAGGAGAGGCGGTAATACCGTTGACAGACTTCTTGCTTGCATGGTTGCTAGATCCGTTTCCATTGACTTGGCTCCAGCCTTTGTCGCTGTCCGCCGAATCCATGGCATCCTGGTCAATGTGATCAAAGATATTTCCACGAGGATTCTTGTCGTGTTTGTGTTGTTCTAAGGCGGCTGCGAGCACTTTGGGGTCCTCCTCACCGCCAGCTTCTGCCACATCTTCGCTGCGAACGCGGCGGATGACAGTATCATCCATGCGGATCCACTCACGCCCATCTTGTCGTCTCACATCGACAGTGTAGTGACCGCCGCTAGCATTCATTCCGTGGTGGTAAATGACACCCATAAGACGGTACTGAGGAAGACCACCGGAAGCGGTTAAAGCATTGCGCCGATGGGCAGGGAAAACCTCCCGGGGGATCTCCAAGTCAAGTGGGTAGCCAACCTTCTTCCAAATCTTTTGGGTGGCTCCAGTCAAACTATCATACTGGAAACGCTTAAGATGAAGAATAAGAACCGGGGGCATGGTCTCAATAAAAATCTGCTTAGTCGCGGTGACATTGGGCCCACGAGAAGAATTGAAATCACCCTGGATGCTCTCAGGCTTTGTCAGTCCCTTCAAAGCATCGATGATGTTGTGGACTTCAGGAGATCCAATGTCAAGTTGCAGAGGCTGGTAAGGCTCCATAGTGACCGAGGTCTTGTTACCCGGCACCTTGAACTCGGATCGTAGCTTGCCTCCGAATATTCTTGTGACAGGTGATTCAGATGCGTGAGCCCCAGATGACTGAGTCATGGCTGCTTTTTGCTTATGGCCAACCTCCAGCCATCCATCACCGGACGTGCCATCCATAGCACCTTCAGCACGCTGTGCCTCTTCGGCCTTTCGAGCATGTTGGGCAGCACGGTCACACTCTTCATGAAGCTCTTCAAGGAGAAAGCCCAAAAACTCCTGAGCATCCTGCTGGTGACCGCGCCGCATGTCTCTAAAGCGAGGCAATTGCCGGATCATTTCATACACGAACTCGGGAACAAAAGCGTCACCGTACTTCTCTAATTCATTAGGTTTCAATCGCATCTTCAGCTGCTCTTCCGAAGTGGCCGCATCGATGACACGGAATTCCCGCATGAACATTATCAGGGCATCGATCAAGGGCACATCACTGTGGAAGCTGTGCGCGGATCTGCGACCAACATAGTCAAGGAACTGATGGAAAGGCACGCAGGAGACCAAGATCTGCAGTACTGAATTCATGTAGCACATGTTCCCGGTGTTAACCAATCCACGAGGCTCGAGGAAAGCGATCTTGTCACTGTATTTGGTGACATCTTCACCAAGGCTGGTCAAAATGTCTGCAAGAGTTTCACTCTTCTGTGTAGTCGCATTGTTCGGCTGGGCCGAAGCTGTGGCGCCAGCCGACTTAGCGGCTTGCTGCGACCGAAGAAGCTCCGCCCATGACTTAGGAGCAGCGGCACGGACGGGTGAGGATGGCTTGGATGAATCTTCATCGACGGTTGTGGACTCCACATTGCTGTCTGGGGCAGTCACTGCGTGAGATTTGGGGGTCTCCGCGGTGGCGCTAGGGCTATCTTTAGTCTGTCGACGCGGGGTACCTGGGACATTTGGCACTATTGGGACGACGGGAATGGCAGGCTTGGGGTTTTTCTGCTGGGCATTTGACTTCGCCGCAGATGAAGGAGTGGTAGGCTGAGTTGAGTTTGCATCCGATTGAGGAACTGAGGTCGTTGGGGTCAGAGGCTCAGAGATCAAATGGGTTGCAAAGTCTGTGGGCTTGACCTCCTCCAAGGGCTGCTCGACCTCTCCCTTCCTCGGACCGATTATCCAGCGCCCATCCTTCTTAGGGAATTCCACAGAGTCCCGCATAGGGTTCCTCCTTCGACGGCTTTCAACTCTGGCGGGGAAGGAAACATCAGGCACTGACAGCCAGGGTACCTATATAAACGATTAGATTATGCCCAGGCAAATCGGTCTAGTTTGAAATGAAGCGTACTGGTGCAGCAAAAGCTGGTTTAGGTTCTGGTATGGGATCTGGCACAGACTTGGGGTCCCATCGCGGCGGGGGTGAAGCGACGGGATACTGTTGAAGTTGTTGTGGCGGTAGGGCAGTGTGATCATGCAGCTCGGGTTGAAGTGGTGCTGGAATTGACGGGGACATGCTTGATTGCAGCGGTGTTGATGCCGGGGGTTGCATGGGTAAGGTCTGTGGAGGAAGATGACTCGGTGCCACGACGTGATGTGAGGGCGGGTACATGGATACCATCATCGGGCCATAAGGCTGATGGTAGGGACGTGGGGGAAGCTGTGCCGGACCATATGGATACCACGAAGGAGAGTATTGTTGCGGCATATATGCAGGAGGCATATGGCCATTCATGCCATTCATGCCATTCATATTGTTCATCCCACTCATCCCATTCATGTGTGGCGGATACCCCCCCATATACAGTGGGGAGCGCATGTTGAGCGGACCTGGATTGTAGGGATACTCCTGTTGTCTCCTTGACGGCCCCATGGGTGGCTGCCCATGGGGCATCGCGGGTAACTGGTGGTTCATCTTGACCAGAGCTCAAGAAAGAAAAGAGTTGCCTTCACCGTTTAGCCACGCGTTGCCTCAATGGGAGCCATGCGCGGAGGAAAGCAAGATAAGCCAAAACCGGATGCCTCAACTATGCTTATGCAGCCATGTTGGCCTCTTTCCTGCGGTTGAGAGTGGTTTCGTGAAGGGCGTCCGGGGGAAGGTAAATTAATATAAGGGTTGGAGTATTCCAAATGCTGAAGGCGCAGGAGTTAGGAAACGACCGCAATGCGCGAAAAGAATACCAAACAAGGAGCTCTGTGCCTGGATGCTCACATCAAAGGTTAATATAGATAGATTTGGGGGGCCGGTGGTCAAAGCGGCCAGAGTGGTGAATGGAAAGGTTGGCAGGCGAGTAATAGCCTCTATAATTAATCCGCTCTTTTGCCGAAGCGAAGCTGAAGTGCAGAGTCAAGGTGGTGATTAGTTAAGCCGTGCTGAGTCATAAACACGTGCTGTCCGATGACATGCCCCTCCAATACTTGCCTCTCGGATCTTTGAATCCTCTTGGCTTTTTTGGTCGCTCTCTATATTCTTAGATGGCCTCTTGAGGCTCATTCTATTCTTACAGCTCAGCGTGCTCTGCTACTAGGGCCGCTGTGAATGGCTAGTCCCGTTCATCCTCGTTTGCCCTGATTAGGCGGGTTTGTCCAAAGACCCTGGCCCCTCGTTCGCCCATCCCAAGGATCAAATCACCTTTGATTTGTCGGAGCAATTTTGACCATCTAGCATTTTCTTTCTTCCAAACTGCGCTTCTGGAGAATACCGACTTGGAAATGTCGTCTAATGCAGGACAGAATCCCCCTTCCTCCAAAGCATTAAATATCTCAAATGCCCCAGCCGCGCCTGCAGCATTCCATTCAACAGCTTCAATCGACATCAACACTCAGCGGCGTGTAGGAGGCTCTGGAAGTTTTGGAGCTGGATCGTCTTCAAGGAATCTGCCCACTGCACGGAACACCCAAGGTCGAAAGAATCAACATAAACACCAGAAGAAACCTCGGTTATTGGATGATGACGAATATAGCGAATCGGTGGGTGATCTAGGGTCGTTCACATTCGAGCGTTGCCTACTGACCCTACCAATGCTCAGGCCGTGATGAAATCAACCAATAGCCGCAAAGGACAAACGTCCATAACTCACTTGATGAACTTTTCTCTCCCACCACGCCCACAATATCAACCACCGCCTCGCAATACTCGGCGCTACAATACATGGGGAGCGGGATCCGGGTACCATGCCGTAGACAAGGCACGTTATGTTCATGCCAACTACCGATTTATTGTCTCCCCGGATCGAAATTACCATTCTCAGGCAGCCAATGCCGATGTCCATCTAGACTGGGCGTCGGTTCTTCAGGTGCTAGTGTCCGCGCAGACCCAAGCGGCCAGTTGTCCCATTTGTCTATCAACACCTGTGGCGCCGCGTATGGCTCGATGTGGCCATATATTTTGTCTTCCTTGTCTCATTCGATATATGCACTCGTCAGATGACGACAACTCAGCCCCGGAAAAACGACCTAGGTGGAAGAAATGCCCGATCTGCTGGGACTCTATTTACGCTTCTGAGGTTCGTCCTGTTCGATGGTTCCGCGGACAAGAGGGCGATCTTCCCTTCGAAGGGGGAGATGTTGTTCTAAGGCTAGTAAAACGAGAACCCGGTAGTACTCTTGCCCTACCCCGCGATGGTGCTGAAACCATTGGACGAGGGGAAGATATTCCCTGGTACCACGTAGCGGAGGTTGCGGATTATGCTCGGATAATGAAAGGAGGCGAAGACTACATGAAGTCTCAATACGATTCCGAGGTCGAAGATCTGCGCAGACAAGCAGTTGAGGATGAGCTTCTGTTCGGCGACGAGAATACATGGACCCGAAAGGCCGTTTCCAACATACATGATGCCAAGGAGAAGCTGAAGGGCATTGGTAATCCACCAGATGTTCTACGCCAACTTGCAAACTCTAAGTCGGCCAACGAACCCGCAATGGAGCCTGAGATTAGCGCGACGGGAGCCTCAGATTCCGTCATTTCATTTGCCAGTGGTGTCACTGACTCAGTGCCCGGTCCCGTCACTGATCATCACCAATCCGCAGACTCCGCATCGACGCCAGCAACTTCTGACGAAACAGATCAACTATCAGAGACTATGGATAAAACGCGGTTGAACCCAGACTTCAACTCGAAATCGCGGCCCAAAGCCAGGGGCAAAGAGGCTCAAGGCTCTCATCCGCCAGACGAACCATACTACTTCTATCAAGCCTTGCCGCAGTTCTATCTGTCGTCTCTTGACATTCGAATTTTGAAAGCGGCCTTCAGCGAATATGCTTCTTTCCCTGCAACTATACTGCCTCGGGTAGAACACATTTCAACAGGTCACATTGTTGATGACGAACTTCGCAAGCGAGTCAAATATTTGGGACATCTACCTTACGGGTGTGAGGTTAATTTCCTTGAATGCGACTGGCGAGATGTGGTTGTACCGGAAGTTCTGTCGCGATTCCGTACTGAGACTGAGCGGAGGCGAAAGCGCAATCGCGAGAAAGAAGCCCGCGAAGAAAAAGATCGCATTCGTGCAGAGAAAGAAGAGGATGATAAACGATGGGCCGCAGCACGCCGCAAGCGACCAAGTATTGGAAGTGCCAGCGAAGCGCCCTTCTCTGCCCATGACTTTCAACCGCTGGCCGGCAATGACCCCACCCTTTTTGATACTGGCACTTCCTCCGCCTCTCCGCCCCGCGTTTCCTCTCAATTCGGAGCATTGGCTTCTCCTTCTACTAGCCCCCCTGGCACCCGCACTGTTTGGGGTACAGCAGCTATCGGCTCGCTCTCTCCGAGCTTGGAAGCTCAACACGGGGCGCCAAGTGACGGATGGTTGAATGGATGGGAGGATGAGCTGCTAGCCCAGCAAGAGTCTGAGATAATGGCTCTAACGGCCCCTGATGCTCATCCACCTACATCTGGCCCAGCAAGTGGTGGCAAGAAAAAGAAAAAGAACAAGATCACACTGATGTCCACTAACAGCCACCGAGGTGCATAAGTCGGGCTTTTCGGTCCTCAAATCATTGAATACGCTTATTCTTAATAGAAATCTCGAGTGACTGTGTATCGAAGAACGCCGTGGAGTCTCGTCATCTGTCTTTCCTGGTTTCTCTTGCCACCATTACAATACACTATTTTCATCTGTTATGCTATAGAACATTTGGGATTGTCTGTTGCAATCAGTCTCGGCTCCGGGCCCACATTCCAGTCCCAACATTTTGAATTGATGTCGAATACCTGAAAAGAAAATAAATATACAATAGATATTTGGTCTCGATTGATTACTTGATCAATATTATCCTTTAACAATCCGAGTACATATTTAAGCTAACGTATATGTACATTTATCTATCTAGGGCGTGAAGAGTAAGTACATATAGCTGCAGGTTCATACCCTGAAAGTAAGCGCTAGAAGAAACCCAATTGATGCATTGCCGTAAGGAACGACAAGCTTGGCGCAGGATCGACCCTGCAGGACAACCCCAAAAAGTCAACATTTCGACGATAGATAGTGATAGACTTCGGATTCAAAATTAATTAATTGAATTGCTTGGCCTCCTCCAATAAGTTCCCACCAGAATTGATGTTGACTTTAGCAAAGCTAGGACACTGTGGGGGAACCAAAGGTTCCACGTAGTGCGGAAGAGGCGCGCCGTAATTCTGCAAGTGTATTTTTGCCGTACCGACCGCATACTCCAGTGGGCGGAAAGGTACACGCTAGGTACACCTAAATGTAAACATTCCTGTTTTTCCTTTTCCCACATCTTCTTTTCCATCTTCCCCTTACCCAACTTTCCACCCTCATTTTCCCCTCGGATCTTGGACTTCCGAGTCGGTGATCATGACTGTCACACGTTCCCAGACCGGGAGAACCCCCAAGTGAGTTGCCGTTCCAGGATCTTACTTGCGATCCACCCCCCGTTCAACCCCCTCGTGCGGATTGTTTACATTGTCCATTTGCAATTTCAACCAATTTGATCCTTGGGAACTCCTCATTGACACTGTTGTTTTCGCATCATCTAGGAAGGTGGATCGCCCCGGTTTCATTGAGACCCCTGGCCGGCGTACTCGTCACAGCTCTGCCTTTGATGGGAGCGAAAACGACGCCTCCGACTCAACTGCCAGCAGGTCCAAGTCGGTCACTCGTCGTCGCACCTCTGCTAAGGTCAAGATTGAGCAGGAGAATGATACACCGCTGAAGTCGAAGACCAATGGCAAGGCCGCTGCCCCCAAATCCAAGTCTCGCATCGTGGACGGTTGGGAGGAGGGACTCGATCCCAAGATCGACTACAGCGGACATTATGAGTTCGGCGGTTCCCTGGGTGTCTCGGCCATGATGATCGGTTTCCCCATGCTCATGTACTACATGTGGATTGGTGCGACTTACTATGATGGCAAATTCCCTACCCGGGAGGAGGGGCAGAGTTTCTCTGACTTCTTCAGCCACATGGCGCATTTGGTATACACTGGTGCTTTCCCGTCGCTCAAGGCATGGGTTATCTACTGGGTCTTTTTCATCTTCGAAGGTGCTTGCTACGTGCTGCTTCCTGGTATCTCTGTCACCGGCCGTTCGTTGCCGCATTCGGGCAACAAGCAGCTGCCCTACTACTGCTCAGCTGTGTGGTCTTTCTACACTAGCATTATTCTAGTGCTGGTTCTCCATTTCACCGGTCTCTTCAAGCTCTACACAATTATTGATGAGTTTGGTCCCCTACTCAGCGTTGCTATCTTGTCGGGCTTCTTGGTCTCCATTGTTGCCTACTTCTCGGCTCTGGCTCGCGGCGCCCAGCACCGTATGACTGGGTCCCCGATTTATGACTTTTTCATGGGTGCCGAGCTTAACCCGCGCATGTTTGGCATCCTTGACTTCAAGATGTTCTTTGAGGTTCGTCTGCCGTGGTTCATTCTGCTGTTCCTTTCCATGGGCGCGGCTGCTCGCCAGTACGAGGTCTACGGCTACGTTTCCGGTGAAGTGATGTTCCTTGTCATGGCACACTTTCTGTACGCCAATGCCTGCTCCAAGGGTGAGGAGTGCATTGTGTCCACCTGGTAGGTCCTACTTCTAAACTTACTTGGGATCGTGTAGCTTACTTAAAATTCAGGGACATGTACTACGAGAAGTGGGGTTTCATGCTCATCTTCTGGAATTTGGCCGGCGTGCCTCTGAGCTACTGCCACTGCACTATCTACCTGGCTAACCACGACCCCGCCGAATACCACTGGAACCGCTTCTTCCTTGCCTTCCTCTACATCGCCTATCTCTTTGTTTACTGGGTTTGGGACACTACCAATAGCCAGAAGAACCGATTTCGCCAGCAGGAGCGCGGCACAATGGTCAAGCGTAACACTTTCCCTCAGCTCCCATGGCAAACCGTGGAGAACCCGAAGACTATTACTGCCGACGATGGCTCCAAGATTCTTGTTGATGGGTGGTGTAAGTACAATTTAATTTGCCCGGCGCACAACAATGCCCATACTAATTGCTCCCTTTAGACGGCAAAGCCCGCAAGATCCACTACACTTGCGATCTTTACTTTGCCCTGAACTGGGGCCTGATCACCGGCTTCTCCAGCCCCTTCCCGTGGTTCTACCCGCTCTTCTTCGCCTGCATGATTTCCCACCGTGCTCTGCGTGATATCCAGCGGTGCCGGACCAAGTACGGCGAGGCCTGGCTCCAGTATGAGCGGGAGGTGCCCTACCTCTTCATTCCCGTGAGTACATCCCCATTCAGCTGTTTTGCGAATCAATACTCACAGTATTGTCACAGTACGTCATCTAATTCTAGTCCGCCGACGACGGCATTTCCCTTCCCCTGATCCATAACTTTGTACAGCGGGTCCAAGGGCCATTTTGCTTATGCCCATGGGCCCACGAAAAACGCCGTATACACTTCTAGGAGAATTCACTTGCACACAACTCGGGATACCTTTTTTATAATGCTTGCCTGGTATAGTCGCTCTGGCACTCGGAGCGATTACTTTGGCAGTGACCGTTCAGCCTTCTGTTTCTTGTATAATATTCAATTGATTCCTGGGTTTTCTTTTTCCCTCTCTTTTTTCTGTTCTGTTATCAGTCAGCTTGTAGTGTGATGTTCATTTTTAATTTAGCATCAGGGGCATTTCACAAAATCATGCCCTGCTGATGTAATCGATTTGGCCCCGCGATCTTGGAGCTTATCGATAAGTAGCTTCACTCCATCAATTTACGCTTGCAGCTCCAGATTTCTTAACCAATCTTGAGACAGAAAAAGAACGAAGTAATTCTGAGCAAGCGTCATCATGCTCGTCCAAGAATCATTTCACGAGGTCCCCACCACGGCCGATGGACAGGGGTCCATGGGTATGTGTACTCCCTCCCACCCTACCTGGTTGCCATGAGCTTCACGCTAGTACAGTTGCATATCTGCATATATATTCGCCTACTGACTCCTTGCCAGGGATCTACGTCTTTCACCCCACAATTCCAGGATATCCTAAAGCACGGTTCCCAGGAGTGGTTGTCTTCAGCGAGATTTATCAAGGTAGGCACCGCTAGCCAAGTCCAAGCCATTGTGCTCCAAGAACGAGGATCTCACAAATTATCCTAGTAACGGGACCTGTGGCGCGCTTTGCTCGCCAAATTGCTGGTCAAGGCTACATCTGTGCGGCGCCATCGAGTTACCACGAATTCACGGGCCCCGAGCCCTTGCAGTATAATGCAGAGGACACGGACAAGGGCAACGCGTGGAAGATCAGCAAGGTTAGTCGGATGATATTTTGTGCATTGAATTGGCTTATTTTCGGGTTCCTTGGTCAGGATTGTGGCTGACTCCGTCGCAATAGAAATTGGCTGCCTATGACGAAGACGCTAGTCTGACTGTGGACTACCTCCTCTCGCTGCCCACTTGCAATGGCCGGGTCGGTGCCACTGGCATGTGTCTGGGTGGGCATCTTGCGTACCGCTGTGCACTCGATAGTCGGATCAAAGCGGCTGTGTGTTACTTTGCGACGGATATCCACAGCAAGACCCTCGCTGCGGGCAAGAATGATGACAGCCTTGAGAGAACTGGGGATATCAAGGGCGAGCTTCTGATGGTATATTTCCCTCTTTCTTCAGTCTTTTGTCTTTATCGCCCTGGCGGTGGGCACTATATATGTTAAATGCTAACAATACTTAGATCTTCGGCAAGAATGACACCCATGTCCCTCCCGAGGGCCGTGATTTGATTCGAAAGACGCTTCATGAGAAGGGAGTCTTGTTCAGTTTCTATGAAGTTGCCTGGGCTCAGCGTAAGTTTATTCGTTACTTCTTGTGGAATCAGAACTCGGTGCTGATCATGCATAGATGCTTTTATTCGGGATGAGCTCAGCAAGGGTCGATACGACCCCGCCATTACGAAATCCTGTTTCGAGATGCTTTTGGAGCTATTTGGGCGTACGTTGAAACTGGATCTTGGAGAGCATGATGGCAAAGAGCTAGTAGTTGAGGATGTGTGTTAAGCTAAGCCGCGCTGATCTCCCGTGTGGGACATCTGAGGACATTGATCAAGTTGTGAAGTCAACCGTATTAAGGGGAAAAGGTACCGTAAATTTGATTTTGTACGGTCGCCCCGTCGACCACGTCCGATTAGTTGTAACGCAAGGGCGAAGATATAGATCCAATGGTTTTTATTTTATTTTACGTTTACTACCGAATTCACCTGCAGTTATCCACTTATTCCCCTTCTTCAATGTCGATCGACTCATGGTCTGTGCTAGATGTGCAAATGTCGTAAGCAGACATCCTATTCTTAGAGTCTTCGACCCAAAGATCGTGAACCACCGGTTATGCTGAGTCTTCGCCATGGAATTCATCTTCAATTTTATTAAACGGTTTTAGATAATTATTTAGTCAATATTGTAATTCGCAAATTTCAGTTTCCAAGATTTTCCCAGTCCCAAGCCTTTATTCCACCTTTAGCCTAGTCCACCGACTAGCGCCAATTTCCGAGCCCAAACCTTGGAATCGCCTCATTCACTCTCTCTCACGCATTGACTCTCTCGTTTGTAGCTCGTCCTTCGCTGGAGCCTCTTCTCGACCTCTCTTTCAACACCACTCGTCCCCTCCAATCGCGTCCGATTTCTAAAGCGCGGGTCAGGGGACGCTCCGGTTCCCCGTCCCCATCCACTCAATACGTCCTTTATCGCGACCGGGACCCGTCCGACCGTGATCCTATCATTGTCACCATGGGCTCAACTCAATTCGGCAATTTCAAGGTGAGTTCAACACCTAGGAGTTCGCTCTGGACATTCCATGCTTCGCTCAGTAGATCGCAACCCCCGCTGACCACCCTTGGGTATCACAGGACTTCTGTCGCGACTCGACATTACCCGTCTGCAATGTTCGTGAGACCTTATCCTGAACCACCGCGCCAAACACAGCCAAACTGACCCAAGATTTTCATGGTGTTTAGCTCTTTCTGGTCAATCAGCCGCCCAATAAGAATTTCGATGGATGCGCACTGGAAGGTATCAGTCTGAGTGGGGGTCGATATCTCGCCAACTTGGGTATGAACTGTTGGGATACAATAGGTCTGGAGTGGTGTGTTAACTCGGAATACAGGATCTATTCTGATCGCGTTCATTGCCATCTTGGCATCACTCTTTATGCTATGGAGGTCGGACAAGAAGCATGCCGCCGTCGGGCGTCGGTACGCATACCCCTCCCGGAATTATATTGGCCGCAAGGGAAGAAACTGACGGTGTGGATTGAAAGGGAGATTCAACTGTTTCTGCTAGGATACATAATTATTGAGATCTGTGAGGTCTTCACCGTGGGTGGACTTCCAATCGAAGATTCAGTCCGAAAGGTAAGAGATTGACGGATCCTTCGAAGGCGGTGCTTTTTGTGTTATGATTGGAGACCTGACAGGAGATTTCTAGGGTTTCTCGGCGGTCCACCTTGGAGCAATCACTGCTACTTGCTGGATCCTGCTGTTGAATGCGTTTGTGGGTTTCCAGCTACTCGATGATGGCACGGCGGCCTCGATTGGCCTAATTTCCGCGTCCGCCATTGTGCTCTTCATCGGTACTGGCTATATCGCCCTGGATACGGCATTTAATTGGTCCGGCCATTTCGTGGCGAACAAGGACACTTACCGCAACATTGCTCTCTACGTCTTGTACCAACTGTTCCCGCTGGTCTGTCTTTTTGTGTTCTTTGTCCTCGAAACTATCCTGGTTTTGCGGGTTCTGGGAGAGTACCGGCCTATGCGTAAGTTCTTGACGAAAATCCGCTCGGAGAGTTGTTCGCTAATACCCTTATTCGCAGTTTATCTTACCGGCGCTGCTCTCTTGTTCGCTATTGGCCAGATCTTCCAATACGTGATCAGTGTTCACCTCTGCGAGGCTTCCAGCCATGCAATCAACGGTACCTTGTTTGAGACCTTCTTTACCCTGCTCGCCGTCATTGGCGTCTGGGCCTTCTGGAGCAGTATTACCGAAGACGACTGGCCTCTGCCCGTCGGGAGTGGTTACAATTGATTGTATTGCCATTTCTATCTCGTCATTTTGCAGATTTCGCTGTCTTTTATTCAATACATACAACCCCCGTTCAACTGTCTTCAGACTCTCCGAGGCGTTAGATTCTTTCTCGTGACAAGCCCGTCAATGATGAATAGATCTCTCGACGTTGTGATACCACATTCCTCTGGGTCATGTTTCACGATTAATTGCTTTATTTCTCTTTACGTCTTCGGCGGCTTGCCTGGTCAATTCTCCCCAACTTGGCCCTTGTCTAGGGTTTCCTTGGCCTTGCCGTGGGCATGATTTTGTGTTTCAATTGTCAGATACCTCTCCATCATGTACTTAGGTTATAATTTCCCTGTCCGATAATCAAGTTCTCTTCATATCTATAATGGATACCCTGTAATGATGTTGACGGACAAGACATTTGAATAGACCCTCAATGTGACCCGGTGCGACCATTCATCCCCGTTTGTCTCTCTCCTGGACTTGGTTCCTATGGGTGTGATACCCACAGCTTGGTACATCTCCGGTGCGGAACAAACTGCGAGCTTCCTTTGACAAACTCTAATGTCAAGATATGTATATAGTCGAGCGGGACTGCCCCAGAATCCGCAGTATATGCTTGATCCCATCATTCAAAGTTTCCTTGAAAATCCCCGTTGAACGTCAAAATCCACAGATACCTTGATAATATACTCAGCACTTGAAATGCGGATCAATGTTACGGCCCTTGCCCTCGCCTCTAGCTTAACCACTGGCATGGTAACGCCTCGTGCACCAGACCATCGGATCTATACACACGGTATGTTCAGTATGAGAGCCATTTCATTATTCAAAGTTCATGACTCACATCTCCGGGTCAACAGACTGATATCTTTCCAGTGCCAGTGAATAATGAACTCGCCATCGAACAAGCGCCACCAACATGTAATGCCGTCGCATGTATTGGTCTGACAGGAACACTCACATGTATTCTTTCAGCCATCTCAGGTGGAGATACTACTGCGTTACAGCGTTGCCTCTCAGGAGGACTAGGTGAAGTAAGACTTGTTCACTCCTATTTGTCTTCTTGCCCTCTACTTCCAAGGCTCAGAATGAAGTGGTCTTTCAAACCGATCTTTCGTACTGATGAGATATATTTTAGATTTGTTCTTGCGCTGCCTGCATTCCGCAGGTGAACAACTTTCTTCAAGCTCTAGGTATATGTGTCACTGCTCTTGATACTAATATCACTGCTTCTTCTTTGTCACGTCTCTTTGTGGCTTTGTCGGAGATGAAGCCTAGCGCCATACTAAGTACCAAGTTTGATGCCTCTCAGACAGTTCCTGTGTGCACTAGCTCCAATGCATATATTTGAGATAGCCGAGTGGGCTTCCCATATCCATTTTGCCTTTGAAGCCTTTCTCTGTGACATATCATCATTACCTTCCAAGGTTGGTCGTATAGCATTCAACCGTTCATAGTCCCATTAGATTTTTCTTTCCTGCGATCACCCCATTACCTGTTTATTCTTAGTGGTTTAGATTGCTCCGCTACCTGGCTCTAAAGGAGTGTTGCTTTGGCTTTTAGCTCGCAACTACGACCCTAATGCTGAGTTCATCCGCAGGTCAAAGTCAATGATCTTTTAAGCACTTTCGTTTTAACTAGTCGACTCCCATCAATGTACATTTTCAACAGGCCAATAAGCCACTGAAATTCATGTCAACTAGTATGTATAATCATTTTGCGGGTTCTCATCACACGCGTTCGGAGATAAAAAAGACGACGCCCACAATTCCTTTTCTTCCCTTCCAATGTCATCCGGCATTTCCAGGCCCCAAGCCCTTTATAGTCGGACCTTAACATCAATGCAAGGAAGGGTCCACTCCTGCCGTCCCAGCAAACTGCGCAACCATTCTAACCCAACGCCAGTCCATTCATCGGGCCGCGACTCAATCCCAAGACTTTGCTGCGCACTGTCCATGGCTGCTCCAGCCAGAACCTTCGCAGTGGAGTTGACTGTGTCGAACACAAAGCTGGCAAGGCTATCACCAGGAAGTGGTGCTTCCATTGTGGCGTTTCCGGACATAGGTGCGTATTCTCCGCCAGACTGGGAGCTATAGCGTGGCGCAAACCAGTTGCTTCGTAGATCGAAAATACACCGGTCGGACCAGTGGCAGGATGATGCGAATAGAATGAGCAGGAGCGCGGAACAGTAGATGCATGGCCGGTGAATGGTATATGTTAGCGCCACGAAGGAAATGATGAATAGAGGCGAGGCGTTTGTCGGGATGAAGAGGAGCGGAAGCCAACTAGAAGATATTGAATGTCAGATTCTTGATCCCAGTTTCTGCGCTCTGATGTTGTGCTTTTCTTCTTTCGAGGACCGCAGGTCTTACCTTCGTAGACAGAACATCGTCGCTGAGGTTGTCCGGTGGCTTCGGGCTGGCGGAAACGATGCTTAAAACACGCTATGGCAGTATTGTCAAGTTCGGCCGTGCGCTACCGTTCGACTATCCATCAAACTGTGGCTTGCTACGTGCGTCCGGGTTGAGAGTGTGTAGGATTGAAGATCGATGATGACGAAGGTCAAGCGGCAAGTGGTATCGTAATTACATGTATATTAACCCGCGTAACGAGAGCCACAAGCTGTCCAAGCTTTTCTTGTTCACATCCGAGACTCGAACTTCTTTTCTCACTCCATCTTCCCTTCATCACTCATTAACGCTCTTCACGATCCCCTTTCCTTTTTTGCCCTGTCATCATTGTGAAATTTGATCTCAGCCTGTCACTATATCCTTCAATCCGTTGTCATTCCTTCCTGTGCCTGGTTCACCCGGCACGCTTGAAAGACAAGCTCTAAGGAGCTCTTAACCGCTTTTGTGGATTTTGTTCGGAACTTGTCATAACAGGACGAGAGGCAGACATGTCCACTCCGAACGATCTTCAGGCCCTGCTGGCATCTATACGGCCACGCCCTTCTCCGAATCATGGGTCCGGACAAGACGCTAGCCAGCAGCAGCGGCCTGTTCAGCAGCCTGGGTATGCGCAACCGCAATACCACCACCCTGGCCACCCTGGCATGTTTCCGCATCACCCTCAGTACCCACCCTTTGATGCTCGCGAGTTGCCTCCTGCCATGCATCATCCGGAAATGCACCGGTATCAGGACCCTAGTGTTCACGGATATCATCATCCATCTGTGGCATCGGCCGTTCAGAGTCCTTCGCCGATGAACCCAGTCAACACGCCCCCTCATCATGCATCTGATACCCTTAGTCCGAACGTGCCTTCCCCTCGTCCCGATCATAACCAGTACTCGCAGCCGAACCACAACGATAGTGCTGCTAATTTGCTTAATCTCTTGAGATTTAGTCAGGGCTCTGGTGCTGTGGCTCCGGCGACTGCTGCTGCTATGGCTTCGGAACAATCGCGGTCTCCTCCGGCTCAGGAAGTAGCCTCATCTTTGCAGGGACGGAACATGTCCTCGTCGAACTTGATTGCTTCTTTGTTTGGCGGTGCTCAGGCTCCTGCCCAGAATGCCGTGCCTGAGGTTGCAACCCCGGTTCAGGAAGATGGTGCTCCAAGCGATCAAACTCAGAACATGTTGCTGCGCCTGCTCAATCGATCCCAATTTGTCGATGAGGTGACGGAAGTTCCACTCTCAGTCGCATCAAACCAGGCCAATCCCGAGGCATCTCTTGAAACGAAACCATTGGAGACCAATGACGTTCTGACGGAGCCTGTCGCTTCCTTCGTTGAGGCTGCGAAACCGGAAACGGTCGTATCTCCCTCGGCTTCTAAGGATTCAATGTTCACCTATGTCAACCCATTCGATCAGCTGGCTGCCATCTCGCCCGGCACTAGATCCCCTCAGGCCAAGTCGGACTACGAGCCCTCGGTGCCCTCGGTTGTTGAAGATATGCAGAAGTTGAAGGTCGATCCTTCCGCCGATGCTGAGCCTTCTCCGGCTATTGAATTGGCCGCAACCCAGAAGCCGAAGCGAAGCAAGTCACCCGTTCTTGAGGTGGGACAGAAACAGGCTGTGGATGATGTCGTTAAACGTCTCGTCAGTGAGATTGGGCGCTCGCTCAGCAGTGGGGAAATCCAAGCTGAGAAGGCCCAGGTCGAAGCTCAGCTTGAGGCTGAGGTCGAGGCTGAAGTGGAAGCTGAAGTGGAAGCTGAAGCTCTCGCTGCCGAACCGACCGAAGCAGTGATCTCATCGATCGCTGACCAGCTGCGGGAAACAGCCATGGAGCCCAAAGAGACCGCCGAAATGCCTCAATCGATTGTACCTGAAAAGGGATCGGACATCGACGCCGCTACCACCGCTGTTCATCAGACCCGGAATGAGAATGCCGAGGCTCTGGCTGACAGCTGGGAGAGCGCCGAGGACAGCGCAGAGAAGGAAGAAGTGCGCGTTGTGTGCGTTCGGAATTTCCCTCTACAGCCGTTCATCTCTGTGATTGTCAAACCGCAACCCGGGAAGGTTGTGTCATTCCGTGACGACGCTGTCATGGATATCGCCCGCCTTAAGAAGGATTTCGATCAGCTGGACCGCTCATTGACTGCCGCCACATCTGACTACATCGTATATGCGCTTGCCAAGACTGGTGGAATCCGGATTATTCGCCAGGACGATGGCAGTGATCGACAAGTCTTCCGGTCTACTCGGGACCGTGTCTTTAATGTCTCCTTGTGCTCGTCTCTCTCTGCGGTAGGCCAGTCTGATGTGCAGGCCATTCTCGGAATTGGTGTCAGCGGTGCTGTATACTGGTCCTTGATTTCACGGGAGGGCAAGGATCTGTTTGAGATGGATGCGCTGGAGAGTGAAAGCCTCATATTCCCGCCCTTCCCTGCCTCGGACGAGAATACCTCTGGTGGTCAGCTGAAAACGCGGGCCAAGCAGAGCAGTCGTCATGCGGATCTCATCGCCATTGGGCGGGGCAAGTGTATTTATGTTGTCTCTCCCCAAGCTGCGATGAATGCTAGCTATGGTGTGTCCGGTGCTCAACGCACGGTGAACACGGAGAAATTCTTCAAAGAGCGTGCTCTGAAGATTTCGACTGGTAAAGCCGGGAAAGACTTCGCCTTCAGTGGTGATGACACTGTCATTGCGTCTTTGGACAAGACCGGCCGCTTGCGCTTCTGGGATATTCGTGACCTGCTGGATCGTGACAGCTTCGTCGAGGGACCGGTACCGAGTGAGGTACGAGTTCCTTTGAACACATTCGTGACTGGCTCTCCAGCAGAGAAGTCCTGGCCCACATCGGTGCTCTTCGTGGACAAGTTGCGTCCATACACACGATCAAGTGCCCTTCGGTACGTTCTTGTAGGATTGAAGCAGAACCACACCTTGCAGCTCTGGGATATTGGGCTCGGCAAGGCTGTTGGAGAGGTGAATTTCCCTCATGAGAACGAATCGGATGCAATCTGTAGCGTGGTATTCCATGCCTCGTCGGGTATCATCGTAGTCGGACATCCCACTCGCAATTCGATCTATTTCGTGCATCTGTCGGCGCCAAGATACAACCTGCCTGGTATGTCGCAAGCTGCCTTTATCAAGGCCGCGGGTGACAAGGAAAGCTCTTTGCCCAGGCCAGATTCGACTGCATGCCTCAGTGGTATTCGGGAGATTTCGCTTGGTTCTAAGGGTCAGCTAAGAAGTTTGGAACTGCTACCACTATCCAAGACTGGCACGGAGAAGCGTGCATCGGAAGAGACTGATCTCTTTGAGTTGTATGTGATGCACTCACGTGGAGTGACATGTCTGAATATTAAGAGAGATGATTTGGGGTGGACATCAGACAACAAAGTGATTTGTCCGATTGACGCCTTGGAGGAAGGTTCCATCGAAGTTCGTGAACTTCAATCATTCCCACCATCTATTACTGAAGACCCCTCCGTTAACGGTGATACTCCACCCCCAACGTCACGTATTCCCAAGGACACCGTGAAGAAAAATGACTTCGCCGAGTCCACTGGTATTGCCTCTTCCTCGCGCAACCTCTCCTCCTCTCGCAACCAATCCCCGATCAAATCTTCCCCCAAGAAAAAGCCCGTTGACGAGCAATCTGAACCTGCCAACCTTCTCCATCATGAAAAGCTTGACAAGAAGAAGAAAAAGAAGGCTCCATCCGACGCTGCAGTCAAACTCAAGGATCCTGCTTCTACTGCTGGTGTTGAACCCCTTTCCCTTCCCTCCTCCAAAGAACTTGAACCTCTTGCCACCTCTGCTGCCACCATGAGCAATCCCAGCGCCGCTTATGCAATGGCATCCTCCAACGGTCCTAACGGTGCTCATTCTACTATTGGTCAAATCACTGAGGAGCAAATGACCCGCCAGCTGGAGGAACAAGGCGTTATTTCTCGCGGTGAGATCGTCAAGGAAGTGAACGGAATTTTCAATTCCGGAATGGAGCGCCTCTTTGAGCGCTTCGATGACGAACGCCGCCAATGGGATGCTGCTTCCAATGTCAAACAGGAGAACCTCCTCCGTCTTGTTGCAGAGAAGCTGAGTGACGACCTTGAGAAAAATATCCGACGCTTTTTCCAAGACGCCATCAAAGAAGATGTTGCTCCTGCCCTTGACGAAGGGATCCATCGTGCAATTTCCCGAGATCTACCAAAAGCCTTGAGAGAGCAGCTTCACCAAATTATGCCCCGCCTGGTCGAATCAACAGTGGGGAACCCCCTTGTAATTGACGCGGTTGCAAACTCCATGGTAAAGAAGCTCGAGGCCGTCCAGAAGGCAGTCACCCTTTCTGCTACACAGGCATTCCTGCCCTTCATGGATGACTTCGCGAAGCACACCAAGCAGGCTTCCGATGAAGCCGAAGCACGAATCAAGAGCTTGGAGGAGGCACGCGAGAAGGACCGCGAAATCGCGAACCGAACCCTGGCCAAGCTCGAGCAGATGGAAAACGCGATGCGAGCCATGGCGGCGCAGATGGGTCAGCTCCCTGCCAACAACCGCCCAGCGACCAATGTCGGGCCCACAAATATTGTCCCAGCAGCAAACATCCCTGTGCAGGCTCAAGCCCAGGCTCCAGCCCCTCCAGCCCAGGCTCCGGTCCAGTCCTTGGCCCGGCATTCTTCCTCTCAGGATCCCCGCCTGTTGAACCGCTCGTCGCGCCCCTCTTCAGCTATGGCGAATGCCTCTGTCCCAGATCTCTCGGAGGAGCTTGCCGACATTGACCAGATGCTTTCGGGACTCCAGCCCCAGTATCATGAAGCCATTGTCAAGGTTAGTTGCTACCCTTTAAAGCTATGCGTTTTTAGTTTCCTTTCCTTAAGACCCTTGCATTATCTTGACTTGTTTCTAACTTTCTCGCAGTGGCTTCAATCTGCTCGCCAGGCAGAAATCTTCGACAACTATTTCTGCCACATGAATCCCTCATTCCTCGCTCGGCTTCCTTCGATTGTCGTCCTCTCCGCTGGTGTGGCTGTAACAGCGGCTCTGCAGCAGAATATTTCTGCTCGCCTCCACTGGCTCGAAGTGAGCTTGCGCAACGTGGACTTGCAGGTATGTGCCTCTTTTGTTTCTTTATCTACTAGAATGAATAAACAGTGCTAACTCTTTCCTTAAAGGATCCGGAAGTCGGGGCAGTTGCGGCTCAGATCCTGAGCCTGCTGAGCAACCGACTCAGCGAGCTGTACAACGCGGTCAACTCCCGAAATCCCTCTTCCAGCCTCCTGCAGCAGATCGTCCCGTTGTCCCGGGCGTTGCAGGATATGTACCGCCAACTCCCCGCCAACTAAGCGGGTGAGCGAGGCCGATTCTCGGCGTGTTGAGTGTTTTGACTCTAATTGCCTGTGCGCTCGCGTCCTGTGTTCCCTCTCTCCTTTTGGGTGGTGTGCAGTTTGGCGAAGGACTCTGGAGGCAGTGTCCACGTGCCCCCGATCATCTTGCACCACCCACTTACTCGAGAGGATGAGTGTTTTGAAAAACAAATTTTACAAAAACAAGTGAGAATTTAGCGAATAAACTAAGATTTCTCCAAAAGTTCGCGTCCATTTCTCAACCAGGCTAGATAATCAGTCCGCCACTTTGAAATCTCACGCCTTGCAATCCTTCCGCTCTATCACCTTTCCCTTTGTAGCCCTTTCTGTAGGATTGTCGCCTCTTTTGCGGCACATATATTTCCTTTATCCCTGACCAAATAACTGTCTTGGGTAACATCGCTCACAATAAGTATCTTTCCCACTCTAGCTCCCTTATTTCATCATACTTGCACTGTTGCTATGGGCATGTCTCCACGACGACCATGGCACTTGCACAATTTGAGGCTAGATAGATGACATGAAAAAATGAAAGAGACATCTTATGCTACCAAACAGCGGCAGTCTCCTACAAGATTCAAGAATTTTAAGATTCCGACTAAAGCTTTCATTCTGAACTCACGATATCGGGCATTCCGCCCAGCAATTCGAAATAGGGCTTTATAGCAAGATACAGATCATGTTTCTGAGCATATTATATCCGCCTCCATACACTAATTTCTCGTTATTTTTCCATCTCTTATCTTCCAAGATCTCGTTTTTGGTGTTCTTGCCGATACTAACCTTTGTTTGCTACTTCATTCCTGGCTGCTTGTATCTATATACATGCAATTTGTTACATACAAAGTCCTTCTCTTATTGCGCCAAAAAAAACGACATGTCTTCTAAAAAAAAGTCGGATATACTGAATCAAATCAAACACGCAAAAATAACTGAGCAAAAAGGAAACAGAAGGTCTTGCCCGGGATCGAACCGGGATTGGTGGAATCAGAATCCACAGTGATAACCATTACACTACAAAACCATTGCTTGGAAGCTTCCGACCAAATATTTGCAGGATGAACTTGGAACAAAGTTTACTGCCATACAAACTGAACTACTGTTCAATTGTTCCTGATTTATCTTTACTACTCATCACCATAGTTGAGCATTGGGAGTGGAAGGTCTTGATTCTCTAGACTAGTGATTCATACTGGGTGCATATTAAGAGATATCCATGGCGTCAAGTTTCTGGCTTAGATATAGATAATATTCTAAATCTCTATTCTTCCTATACAACAATCCACGGGCTATATAGATAACTAAGGATATATGCAATTTGCGAGGCCATGAAATAACAGAGGACAAATAACAATGCACTGGTGTGGAAGCAACGTGAGTCGACTGCTCTTCCAGATAAGCAAAATATACAGCGAGTGACAAGGGGTCAGATAACAATATAAACTCAAAAAGTATCTTCAGAAAAGAAGGAAAGGGTAGCCCTCCCTGATGTAAGAAAAAATTGCGCAGGAAGCCAACAGGCAGCAGATCCTAGGACAAAGTTTTTCACGGTCATGTGTTGTCAACAATGTGTCAACAACGTGTTTACCAGGCTAAGCGGAAGCGGACGAATCGTCGTGCCTCACCGCAGTTGTCGTCGGCTCGTGAATGACCAGGTTAACAGGTCTCTCTGGTTCGTCGGTCTGTCCAACGCCAGGCTGAGCCTGGGAAGGCGATGGCGAAGGGATCTTTGAGCGGCCAAGACGGAACAACGGCGGAGTTGGCGAGGAATACTGTCGGCGTCTGCGGCTTCGGAAGCTCGAGGCATCGTTCTCAATGGGTGTCGCAGTGCTGTGAGTGCGGCGAATTGCCTCAATCGGTATCGGGTCAGTTTCAGCGGTACTACTCGCTGTAATGGCGGTTGAGAGGGTCCGGGGAGATGATAGCCGGCTTTGCCGACTGGAACGGATAGTCCGTGTACGATCTGTACTTGTTTAATTGAAGTCCTTCGAGTTCCGTGGATTAAGATGTACTCACAATGCTGCAGATCGCAAGGAACCACACCACAATCGAGGCAGTATCTGCCACCCGTTGGGCATCTTCTCGCACTTGACCATCAACTTTGATCTCCAAGAGGAACTCTCGACAGATCGATAGATAGAAAATGGCACCGACGCCAATTGGGCCGAAGAATCCCACAAAGGCGGCGTGTGAGAGATCTTCAATCTGGTGGATATATTTATGCATGGCGAAGATGATTGGCATCCGACGGACCAGGAGAATGAGAATTCCCAAAAAGATGAGCCGATAGATGGGGATAATGTCATTGTTGAGGAAAGATGACCACGGACAAACCGCACCAAACCACATGAACATGGACAGATTGAGAAGCATATCAATGGTTGGTTGGAGGGAGTCATCTATGGTTTCAAGACGAAACCAATCACTAAATTGGTCAGTCATCGAGTATAATACTTCTGATTCAAAAGAAACTTACTCCTGAGTAAACACATTTCCGGCGATGAAACATGCCAGGAGATCATCGGTACCAATAAGCCCGCAAGTTCCAACAACAAAGAGCTAAATTCGCGGTTAAATTGAGTCTCTTTTCAAGCTGCGGATGTCAACTTACAGCAAGCGCAATAGCGAATACCAGGAAACTCTCCCGATCACAATAGTGCTTCTCTTCAGCCCAGTGGAGCAACTTCCTCGATATCCAGCCAACCACCGCTCCATAGACAATACTTAAAATGATGGTATACACCCAAGTCTCATAGAACCACAGGCCTATGGCTTTTCCAGCTCCGCCGCTGTATCCCTCACCACCCATACCGATGTATTTGAGAAGATAGATGCCAAAGAAGAGGAATGGGTAACCCAGACCATCATTAGCACCGGATTCTGCGACAATGATTCGCTGCAGGGGTCGTGGGACATGCTTATCCGCAAATTTGCCCTTGACAATCGAATTGGACAGGACAGGATCCGTCGGCGTCACACACGCCGCCACAATCAGAGCATGCAGGAATTTGAAATTCGGGACCATGGCCCAAACAATCAGACTGCTACATATCCACATGGCCGCCATGCCGGGGCCAAGCAGCAAGGACAAGCTCCGCCATTCGACGTGCAGGTACCGTTTAGGAAGCTGGACACCGGCTAAAACCAGCTGCACACCCAGCACCAGGCGGGTGAAGTGCAAGGTAATTGCCGCGAGGTTTTCCGAAGAGTGCAATGCATAGTCCTCAGGCCGGATAAAATTGGCTGCATGAGGTGAAAATACGACTCCGGCCAGCAACGAGATCACTGGGCACGATTAGCTACTGCACGATCTGCAGTGAGGGGGTTTACCTACATGCTTCCGAGAGATAAAATCGCTCCTTGCATAGATATGATACTAGGCCGAAGATGGATACAAAGCCTCCAAGCGTAGCACAGACGATATTGAAATTGATCAATGCGAGAGTCGGCATTTTGCCGGGAGGGGGTTCAGCCGAATAGCCGATCCGGAGATCTGGACCTACGAACTGAGATCTTAAGATCTAGCGATCTAGTTCGTTTTTTTATTGCCGTTTGGGTTTCAGAGAGAATATTTAAAAAGATGTATTTCAGGTAACAAGAAGCAAATGTTATCGAATCGTGATTTGAACGCGCTTGATGTAATACAAGGCGACCATCTGGGAGATGAGGAACGACCAGAGAGTAATCACAGTGGAAACTCAGGGATCCGAAGTTGATCCTGCAAAAGGCTTTGCGATGCGATGCGTGGTGTTTGCGGTGTTGCGGGAGGAGAAATCTGGATTTACGGAAAGAGAAAGATGTGGGGGAACGTGGGAAGCGGACTTGGCATTTGCATTTCACCTCTACGCTCGTCAGCCTTGCGATGGCGCATCACTGGATTATTTGAATATATATCTCGTTAATCGAATATTAGAAATCATTCTCGGATTCCTCGTCGGGCAGATCTCGAATCGTTTCCAAGGCTTCGGCCTTCTGTCTAACGCCTTCATGGGCTCCATTCACCGCTAGTCGATCCGCGGCCTCGTTTCCGGGGTCTTGGGCATGTCCCTTGATCCATTGGAATAAGGTCTTGACTTTCAATTCCTGACGCTCCTCGATCTTCACGAGAATCGACTCAACCAAGTCTCGGTTTTCGACCGGTTTCTTGTCTTTCGTCATCCAGTTGTTCCGACGCCAGTTTATAAACCAAACAGTGACACAGTCAATCGCGTATCTACTGTCGGTGAAAATAGTAACGTCTCGGTGGCGAGGCGCAATATCAATTGCTCGCAGAATTGCCGTCAATTCTGCCCGTTGATTTGTCTGCCGACTTCCTTTCAAAGGCTCCGACACGTTCCTACTAGGACAACAAAGTGTGAGTCAGGACTGGTGACATTGAATAAAAAGATTGGGAGACAAACCTTGAATCCCCAGGTCCGAAAAAGACTCCAACCCCAGCAGATGCCAGTGGTGTTCCATTCCGCAAGGAACTCCCATCAGTGTATATCCGTAGCATCCCCGGTATCCCCGCTGCTTGTGTCTTGGTAGCAGCCTTTTCAGGCGCAGTCTTGTAGACCACCTTCCCAGTAGTGGTATCCAGCAGCACATTGGGGTCAAACCCATCCTCCGCGCCTGGCGGTAAAGGGCCTTCCCCGGGCGCATACTCGACGCCTTCTGCGTCTTTGGGATTCTCGCCCGTAATGCCATGCGGTCCAGTGGGTTTCTTTGCACTACCAAAGACAACTGAAGGCCGTACCTGTCCTTCTCTTACAAATTCTTCGGCTTCCTCTCGCGTCGAAAACTTGCGATAGCGCGGGCGCGTGAAGCCCCGGATCTGCTCTTGTGCTTTCGACCAATCTGTGTACACCCCAGGAACACGGCCCCGCTGTATCCCATAATATCTTTCGGCGCTCTCCGCAGCACCACTGGACGGAGGCTTGACACCATTCAGGAACGCGGTGGCATCTTCATGGCTTAGGAATGATTGAACTAGAGCAGAGACACGAATTAGTATTCGGACAAACTGCTTTTAGCCAAGGGATAACTCACAGATAGCTCCCTTGAACCCCGTTATTTGAGCCAAACACTCTGGCCACCCATAGTAGATACCTGGCTTAAAACCTTTCTTAACAGCATAATATTTGGCGGCGGGGACTCGTTTGCGCTTGACCCCTGCGGCGGGAGGCGTGGATTTCGGGGCGGGTGAAGCTTTCGGTCCGGGCGCCGGACTGGGGGATGGCGTGGTGCCCTTCATGGAGTTGACGTAGTAATATATCGAATGGGGTGATCGCAAGGTTCCAGAGGTTGGATGGGTATAAAGGGAGGGATCCGGAAATTGCTTATCGGAGCTTGACGTCTGGTGCAAATCTGCACGGGTTATCCAACGCGGAGTGAAACGCGAGCGCGGATAACTCAAAACCAACCACGACCCCAACTTCGGAGCCGAGGACGATATGTACCGGTGAATTGTGAATTCCCCGAAAGACCACGGGGTGAATGACAGGAATTCGTAGGACCGTTGAGAAATTTAGAACTTCAGAGGTTAGAAAAGAGGTGAGGGAGGGGGGGGGGGGGGGTCTCCCAGGGTGTGAGGGGGGAACCTTGCCTGATTCGGACAGTAGGAACAGTGATCGTGAAACTTGACATTTTAGATCTCTATATAATCGATACATTGGACGCGCGATTCTAACTTCGAATTACTTTCTTCGGTATTTTGATGCTAATCCACCCATTCATTCGTTGGTCATATTTAGCCAGGAATATTGAATGCGTACGTACTAAGGCGAACACTTACTCTGTGAACAATAATATTTCATATTTGACATTCTTGGAATAAAACCCTACAGAATGTATTGGCTGATGCTTCTTTGGCTCCAACGAGCCATTATCACTGTATGCTCTGATTGAGTCGGTCCATAACGGACTTGACCTCTTGCTGGACGCCCTTGATCAGATCAGGCACGGATAGCTCTCGTGTGATCACACCGATGCTTGCACCACTGGATAATTTGTTAGTATGAATCATACGTAAGTGCCATCTCATGAGATTTAAGAAACTTACGCCCATACTGTCCGCCGATAATCCTCTCCATTCTTGATGGCATCATTGTACCGCTGAATGATTTCCTCGTCGCTAGCACCCGCTTTAGATTCATCATAGCTGATTCCAATAACAGCTCTTCCGTCATATTGCCTTGGAAAAACATCGGTGGACTGGAATACGTCATGTCGAGTGGACTTGATGGTCGACGCAGCGCCGTCATTGCCAGACAAAATCGCTTGTTTGATAAGAGATGGAGCTGGGCATTCCTCGGTGGCGACAAACTATATTTGGTAAGCTCATTGTACTGATCAAGGGAAGATATCAAATATCTCACTCTGGTCCCCATAGCTACTCCATCAGCGCCTATTATCAGAGCATTGTTAGTTATCACTTCATAGATTTGGATTTGATGAATTACCAAGTCCAAGTGCTGCAACACATCCCCTGCCATCCACAATACCACCAGCTGCCAAGACTGCAGTATGAGATGCTGCTCCGCTTTCTGTAAGGGCATCGCGTACTTCGGGCAAAAGCGAGATCAGACTGGCGCCCTGTGCCCATTGATGCCCTCCGGCATCGGAGCCTTGCACAACAACAACATCGGCACCTTGCTTAACAGCCTCCATAGATGCCTGAACAGTCCCTGCTTGCACGAAAATCTTGACATCCCAGTCACTCTTTGTCCGGACCTGACAAATCCCTTCGATGAGCGGCAGGTGATCGGCGTCAGACTTGGGGAAAGACAGCCAGACTGCCGCAACTCGATGTTTCTGCAGCAGTGGAATCACATTCTCAATAAATCCTGCGGGCTTGAATGTAATGAATCCGACACCAATGGGTAGATTGTTGGAAGAGCTGTCTCCAATCTCTGCACGTGCTTTCTCCAACTGATCATTGAGCTTCGTGAGTTGGCTTGAATCTGTAGTAAAGTCGAAACCTCCGCCAATGAATCCTACCAAATCATCCCCGGATGTCCGTTAGTGAATGGTATGGAGTGAATCGCAAAATTGAAAATATGAGGTGACTTTAGGTTGGGTGGGCCCAAAGTCAAAGTTCAGCGGGGGAAAAACTGTCCACATACCAAAACCGCCGGCTTTGGTCACTGTAGCTGCCATTTTATAGTCCGCAAACCCGAACATAGGTGCATTGGCGATAAATGGAGTGGTCGTATGGGAGAACCACTTTTGGAGGAGGTGCTTTGACTGGGCCATGGCTGTCAGTCGGTGATGTGATTCCTGTGTGGATTCTCGGTTTTGAAACGTTGAGTTTTCTCACGAATGGGAGCTTGATTGCAAAGTGGAAGCCTGGAATTGGAAGTCGAGATGTTGTGATCGTAGATATGAGCTGATGTAAGATGTGGGACAGTCACCCCGCACTATAGAAATTGTCTCCCACGAAAAGCATCTTACAATGCCAACGGCAGTGAAGGTTTCTCTTGTGTCCGCTTGGAATGTGCAAAAGCTCTATGTTTGACTTCTTGTTATTTTGGACTGTCTACTTGTAACGCATTACCAGAATTTCTTATACAAATTGGCCGGATGAAGTAATTGGTTATCACATATTCACATAACGAGGCCTTATAACAATCAAAGTCAGCTACAGGGTTAAACCTTCCAAGAAGAGTTCTAATAAAATTCCCATACATGTTTCAACAAAATGAGACGTCCACACAGCAGCTCCGTGAGCCCCGCCACGTGCAATTGAGAATGTAGCTAGATAATGTGATCTTGGATGTCACTAATAGAGTGATACTATACCTAAGTGAGGCCAAATTTGAGAAGCGAATGGGCAATATCAACTTCCCCGCATGCCTGGTATTTGAAAATTTTTGATCCTGTGCTAGAAACAACGTCCAACGCCTGAAGTGAGATTCTTGATTAACTGATAGTCAAGCTCTCTATATTGGTAACTCCAGTATTCTATAAAAACCAGGCCAAAACGCTATATTCGTCATCCGACCTCTAGGCCGCTTTCCGTCGCCATACCCGTGGCCATGGCTTAGGTTCTCAGGTTGATCCTCTTGTACATCTGTTTGCCAATTCTTCGACGACCTTTTACTAGTTCGCAAAGACGCCATGTGTACCTCTGGCAACTGTACGTGTTCAAGACCATTTAATATCATGGTCTGGCTGTATTAACTCGGAAGTTCAATTAATTGCGCTTCTAGCTCGGGACTTACTACGTGCTAATTTTCGATCGGTGAAAAGGGGTGTAATTACTTAAAATCCCGGTGCCCAATCCTTGATGCAATCTAGATAGCCCTTATTTGGCCAGTAATGATCTAGAGTTTTGAGTACTTTCACATTCTGAAATGCTCGTAAAAATTTATATCTAATTCGGCCATGACGCTCATTATTCTAGAGGAGCTGAAAAATAATAGGACATAATGTTAAATGAGCGTTTATTACCTTCGAAGAGAATGATCATTGCGCTATTCTATACAACTAGAGAATGTAACGATATTTAGCGTAAACGAGAAATCGTTGGAGGATGACGATAGATAACCTGCGGCCACAGGAAACTTGCTAGCAACGAATGCAATCTAGGATAAAGCATATGAGCCGAAACCCTCGTCCACCCGACTTCCGATCCAATTCCATTATTTGGCTCATCCTGTACATCAAACCATTGCATATCAAGCACATTCACATAGGCCATCGTCCTAAGATAATCACCATCCGTCCATGCATCTGGTGAAGGGGCTTCTATAACAGAGTCCAGGGCATCTTTGTCCACAACAATAGGGTATCCTTGTCGGACAAAGGCGGGACAGTATTCCCCGTAAAGAGATTTCATAAGATCCCGGTGGCGGCTAAGGAGATGGGGAAAAAAAATCAGCACTTTGAGTTAGGAAGAGATCATGATCCATACCGCCAGACTTCCTCATATGAACAATTATCCAGCGATGGGTCCGATTGAATATTCCATTCAAGTTGCCCCAAAAGAACTTCTCCGTCGCCATTCTCGTTCTCCGAATTGGGATCAAGCAGCACCATTTCTGCAAATGCTTTCATCCGCTCAAGGAAACTCTCCCATCGTGCATCATCGTCGTAGTAGCATGTACGATAGAAGAAGAAGCCCCATGTATTTTGGCGGTCCGCTGCCATATCATCGCGGACGCAGGTAGCATCCGTTCTTGTAGTGGCCATTTTGGTGATGGATTAAGAAACAAAAAGGACTGGCGTTGGAGATATATGCTATATTTCACGTGATCAGCGCTGGAGACTTCTATAAAACCTAACTTAACCTGGGCCTAACCTAGGCCTAACCTAGGCCTAACCTAGGCCTAACCTACACTAGGTTGGGGTTCAGGTTGAAGACTCTTTGGAACCTACTAGTGATAAAAGCCCTGGAGGTGGTGAAGGGGTACCTAAAAGTCTGCCTTACTATGTACCTATTTTCACAAAACCCTGGATTGATAGAAGAATATTCGACGGAGCTCAGGCTTCTACAGTATGCGCAATTCCAAATGCTTCGTATATATATTGAACCCCGACAAGGATCTTCTTTGAGAAAGCGGCAACTTCAGAAAGTCGTAGGCGTCCAAGAGGGGTCCATCGCAAGATGGGTTCTAACGGGAGAGGCAGGCCTGCCTGGGATAGCTTGGAGAGGAGGAAAACTGAGGTCCATCGTAGGATGAGGCAGGCTTGCTTACGACGACTCGACTTATCATAATGACTGTTCATCATCCATGTTGTCCTCTTTGTCCGTCGCACACACCACAATATTGGTCCCGCTTTTCATGGTTCTAGCAAGCTCTATCGCAGCATGTACCGCATAGCCACACTCTGCTGCAAGATGGATCCCCTCTGTCTCTGCAAGCTCCTGCAGACCAAGCAATTTGTCCGTATCAGTGCAAGTCATAAACTGTACTCTGCCGCTATCCTTCCAGTTACTCAGCTCAGGCCCGAGAGCTGGGTAGGCAAGTCGCCCTGTCGTTGATGGCCACGGTAGAATTTGGCCATGGTCGTCTTGATGTACATATGTCCGCGCTCCATGGTAGATGCCTGGGGTCATAAGAGAAAGATCTCCCATAGTGCTCGACCCATAACCTTGAGGTCCGACAGCCACGAGATCGATGCTAGCGTCTTTAGAGAAGGAGTGAAAGAAGCCAACCGCGTTGTCCACACTCGAAACCACCACATCTGGAAGATGGGCTGTAGCCTCTATCATTTGAGCTCTTGCCTGCTCTCCAACCAGGGACTGGAAAGAGCGAACAATGAGTGGGAAAGGGTGTGGGCCGATTGCAGAACCAAGAACATAGTGAGAGGTTGGTAATTTACCAATCCATGCCCGTAATGCTTCATTGATGGCATCCTTCACTGTCTGTGAATCAGAGCCCACACACACTACAGTGGCTCCCAAGAGCTTCATCTCTGACACCTTTTTCTTATGCTGGCGAAAATCCCGAGCACCCATGTAGACAACACATTCCATGTCGAACTGAGCACACAGAGCTGCTGTTATAACACCATGATTTCCTGACGCAGATTCGGCCAGAACATGAGTTTTCCCAAGCCTCTTTGCCAGTAAAATCTGGCCAAGGCTATTATGTACTTTGTGGCTTCCTGTGTGGTTGAGGTCTTCTCGTTTGAGCCAGATGCTTGCGCCGCCATGTTTCCGCGTAAGATTACTGGCCATGTGAAGAGAGCTTGGGCGTTCGCCACGTGGGAAGTAAGCCCAATATTCTGTCCAAAACACAGGATCCTTGTGAGAATCCACAAAGATCTGTTCTAGCTCCATTAGACAGTCCATGAGTAATTCTGGGATGTATTGCCCCCCGTACTCTTCAAACGTGCTTGGAAGGACAGTGTTTCCGGCTGTGGAAGGGTCCGCTAGACGAGGAACATTTAGCCTTGGTTCAGGTGGTATCCGCTTAAAAGCTGTTTTAACACAGAGTCGGCCAGTGAGATGAGAACAAAGTTCTTGGATCCGCTGTGCTCGTCGACCTGGCGGTGCCTGACCGAGAACAGCAATGACTTGGGACCCAAATACCACCCCTTCAGCAAGATCTTGCATTGTGAGAAAATCCTGTCGTGTGCTAACTCCGAGCCCTAGCGCAAGCGGAGTCTCTTTAGAGAACTTTCTCAATCGCTGTATAAACTGACAAAGGTCGACGCTGTTCTTTTCCCCATTGGGACCAGTCACCCCCATTCTTGAGATGACGTAAAGATAAGAATCAGCACTCTCGCAGACCATTTGAAGGCCAAAGTCTGACATATTGGGTGCTATGACAGGGATGAGCGATAATCTGCCACATGATCAGCTGGGAAGTAAAAGTAGCCCCGGTGTTCCCTCTTTTGGTAAATGGCCAGTTCCACAGGTCCATCAGACCATAAAATACATACCCAGCTTTCACGCATAACTCACGAAATCCGACAGATTCCATGCAAGGAAGGTCGGCAATCAAGAATCCATCCACTCCTGCCCGTGCTGCATCCATAATAAATCTTGGTGCCCCATAGTGCATGACTGGAGCGCAGTAGCCCATAAGCACAATCGGAACGTGCAGTCCTCGAGTGCGAGCGGTCTGAACTACCTCTAAAATCGTGGAGACAGATGTACCATTTTGCAAGGCGACAGCGTGTGCGTCTTGAATTATAGGGCCATCACCAACCGGATCGCTGAATGGGATACCCAGCTCGATGATATCTGGGTATCCGTCACAGTGAGTAAACAATGGGTAGGTAAATAGGTCTCATGAGACTGCTCACTCACCAATTCCTCCTGATTGCATTCCTAGGAGAACATCGATGCCCTCGCTTATGGTGGGGTAGTTCGCCATTGTGAAAGCGATCCCGGCCGCTCGAGCTTCCTTTCTGGCTATGCAGAAAGCCCGCCGAATATTCTCCATCCTATATTTGTGACCCCAGAATGATGACGAGACAACGACCAGATCCTATGTTTTCCGGCCACGTCACTTGCTTTCCTCCTGTCATGCTTTTCACTTCAAGGTATCTCTTAAGGCCCACTTAGGAAACTCGTATTCAGTCTCACGTTGCATTTTGGAAACTGGTTGACTCGGCTCACGGAATCACAGCCTCGCCCCGCTCTAACACTGCCCGTTGACAGGAAACGCCAAGTAAACTAGGAGAATTGGGTGAACTCTGAATCATCCAGTGCTGATGGTAAAACACTACCCCTCAGTTTGACGAAATGCCCTGAGTTCCCGGAGTGAAAATAGTCTTCCACCGACAGATTGAAATGACCGCTACGACAATGGGAGACAGAAACACTCTTTCTACCGGGATGGGACATTCGGAGCCCGATCTCGGTCACTTTGTACGTGATTTATCCTCATAGAAAATCGAAGCTAATCGAACCCATAGATAGCACCCTCCAATGGGTCCGATACTGGGCCAAAATGTCCTGAATGTCCCGAGAGCTGGAACGATATCCTCATGCCCTACCTGAGGGACACGTTGGCCTTTCATGGCTGCTATACCACGGAAGACATGAACCGCCATTTGGAGTTTTTCAGCAACCATGTTACCCGCTGGCTGGGGCCTGGTCCTTCATATAATCCAGATACGGGTCTAGCTGTTATGAAATATCCCTCATCGCTCACCAACGACCACACGCCTTTCGAGGTCAGTTGTTGCTGGAAAAGCAAACTTCAAAGTGGAAAGCCAATTGTTCGTTACGTGACCGATGTAATTCCGTTTCATCTCGAAGTGTCCAGGATGGCTGGCTTCAAGAGTGCCATTGAGGTTATTGCAACCCTTGAACGTGTGGCCAAATGCCCTAAAGGCGAGTTCCTTTTGCGTGCCTTCCCAAAGCTATGGTCCCATATTACCGACAAAATGATAGAGTATGAGCAACAGACTCATTCGGAGCCGTGTAAAAAATGCTCGCCATCTGGGGTTTTTGTCGGGTTTGACCTTGTCGATTCGGTGTCATTCGCCAAACTGTACTGGTTGTTTCCGGCCTGTCAAAAGACGCCGGAACTTGTTCAAGGTGTACGCTCCATGCTCGCCTCGTGTGTGGACCATAGCCCTACGAACTTTCCGAGACTTATTCAAAACTGGGCCAAGATTGAAAATCATTTCAATAGTTACCCAGACATCCTGCAGCCCAGAATGCTATCGGTGGACGCGACCAAGTTCCCGGAACCCCGGGTGAAAGTTTATGCTCGGCGGATTTTCTCTGGGACCAACGACTTCAGCGATATTGAGCCCCATCTGAGCTTAAACGGCACAATACCTCTACCTGGGGCATTTCGGGACACGTGCAAAGGCCTGTGGGGCTCTCTGATAGGAGCTGAAGACTCACAGCCAGGAAAAGGGCCCAAATACTGTCTTCTCCTTTACGAGATTGGGACAGGATCATCCTCGAAGTCCCCTGCCGAGGAAGTTTCTGCAAAGCTATATGTCATGTGTCAAGAGATTCCTCGTGTGGACTCCTTTGTTGCGCAGTGTCTGTATCAGAATTGTGATGTTCTGCAGGATGCAGATTTGATCAAGTATGAACTTCGTCTTCGTGAATTGGTCAGAGATGACTTGAATGCTGATACTTAGCTGCCAGGGAGTTTTCTCAATGCCCGGACCCCACTGCCTTTATATGCGAGTAAGTGAGGTCTTTTTCTGCACGGCTATCTAAGTGCTGACCGAAAATATAGGGTTGGATTGGCACCGAGAGGCTCAGAAACCGAGGTATCCATATATTGCAGTCCTTGCTGGTCATCGAGGAAGACATGGCAAGACTGTGTTGAAGACGATGGGCGCCTGAAGAAAACCCGAAGGGTTCTTACTTCCCAATAGAGCTGTTATATAGCTTGCTAACCAATCGTTGCTATTGATTTACAATGGAAAGATTATTCAAAAAGGAGGACTGAAGGGCTAATGGCGAGTCCTTCAGCTATTGCCACACTGTCTCGAAATATCTCCAGCCTTGGAGGGTGTAGATACACAAATTTCATTCACATAAGACTTTCCGGCCATGAGCTTACTGGCGACTTCCTTATCGTGTCCAAAGACCAATTACGCGTTATAAGATCATCTAGTGGATGGTATTTTGCTTATCGCTCGTAATGTCTAATAGAGAAAGATAGAAGATTGGAAAACTAGAGCCACAAAAGTTGTCATAGCTGAGGCAGTACCAACTACTTCAGCCATTGTGGGTTGGTAATAAACAGAAATTAGCGTAGTGTCTTTCAGTGAAGAGGATAGTTATTATAGTTATAGACAACGGTATGGAAAGTACCTAAACTGGGTGGGAAAGGGTCAAAAAATGATATATATATATATGTGAACGCTTACGAGATAGCCAAGGTGCATATCGCTCTTGTTTGCGAGGGGTCAGGGTAAGGGTTGATTATATATTCTCATACCGAGCTTGATATCTCGCTGGATGAGCGGGTTGGAATTACGTACGATCCAATATGGATATTATTGGGGATTTGAATAAATAAAAGCCACGAATTGGCTCTTTTAACAGAGATTCATATTTTGAAAATTAGGAAAATATCCAACAAGTATGGCCGGATGGTGTAGTTGGTTATCGCATCTCGTTGGCACCCTTGCGAATTACAAGATTGGGTTTAGCGGCTGATGATTCTTGCCCACCAAGCTCACGCTTTTATGTGGGCATACTTGTAGTCCATATCTGGAGTTCCATATATCAATTGGCCGGATGGTGTAGTTGGTTATCACGTATCGTTAACACCGATAAGGTCCTGGGATCGAGCCCCAGTCTGGTCATTTCTTTTTGCTTTTTCCGTGAGGCATTTTTACTACATACGCAAATTTTTGCGTGGCAGTAAATTAGTTAGTTACATACTCCTTACTGCTTGCATAATGTGGCTGGCTGAATAACGATCTATTTATGGCATTTCTCAGGTCGTCTTCTGAGCCCCTTTCTCAAGGACATTGATAGGCGCTACGTGGTGTAGTGGGGAACCTCGTCCACTCTATGATACAGAGCTGTACCGGAGCAGGTTTTTCCGATCGAGTTCCGTGACTGCGGTTTTACGGTATACTGGTATCATGTATGCTACAACCAGGGGTAAATCTAGCTTGCAGAAACTAGGATACAGTAGAATATTACGCTTCTACACACCTCTCAACCTGTCCATATGGGTGCATACCCTAGATCTCTCATATAGAACTGTTGTTGTGCTGGATCGACCCGTGTGCCTCGAGTACACTGCCAACGAGCGTTCCCCTCTTCACTAGGTAGCTCACAGAGCAATTCTAGATGTGTGCCAGGGCTTGAGATAATGCGGCGGCTTTGGTGACTGAAGCTTCGTGATCCTATCTCTGATAGTTGGTTGCACCCTGAACAGCTAGGGTGATAAGAGATAGTGGAGAAATTGTTTTATTCCGACCGTAGCGATTCGAACTGTACTTGATTGTAACTGATTCAAAACAACAATTTACCACTGCCATGTTTCTGGGCGATAGATCGAGTCTCTCTCTGTGCCTAGCTTCGCCAATTTAAACTCGACATAACGAGCCTCTGACCATTCAAGTTTACCTAGAATTGGCCATCCCATTCGGAACCCCGAAATGTGAGTGTAATTCGTTAGTTTATATTTCTAACGCATTCGATAGTATGCCAGACGTACAGATTGCCTGTGGACTGCTCAAAGATGATCTTCGAAATTCTGGACTGGCCTGGTGCTACCCCGCAAGCAAGTATCTGTCTTTTGATTATATCAATATCCCGTCTATCTGGCAAGGATTGATTTGCACGGACTTACTTATAGGCAGCACGGAACTGAGAACGGATGTCTTTGCGCGCGGTGTCATCTAGGCCCTAGAAGAATTCCGCTGTAAGCGGCTCCCCGGGCACCTTTTCCCACACAAGGTATCTAATGTAGCCCTTAGGAACAAGATTATGGTCTCCTTGTGTACTTTCTGCGTGGCCAAGAAAGCGAGGAACAGCGCTACAGCATTCACTCTGTAGCTGTTTGAAAGCCCCTAGCTCGCCACACACTCCAGGAGGAACGGCCTGTCTAGCCAATGTGTCGTTATCAGCGTCCTCCGTTCCAGTGATAGGAATCTGTTTATAGATACGCATGAACGCTACTTGATTTGGGTCCTCTGTAAGATGACACAGAAACTTGCCAACAGTCTGAGGTGACCTACGGCCCATATTGACATTATGATCGGTCATGGTAGCTGCTCTCTCCGAGAGTTTCTCCTTAAGGACCCGCGTTCGGGAGATCCCTAACGAGGCAGCTGTCTCTGGAGAAGCCGCCAGAGCAGAAGGCGTGACGAAGGAGGGCGTATCGCGAGAGGACTTGCTGGAAAGGGCAAGGGAAGTAGATTCGGGGGATGCGCCATCTGAGACAAGGTCATATGTGGTGATCGTAGTGCCTACGAGGCCTCGGATTAATCGGGCATCAAAGCAGATCGTTCGGGTATGAGGTGCCATGATAATAGTTGCGTGAAGGGATGCCATCGCCGTCACTGTCCGCTCTTGTTTGTCTCCTTTGTTTCTGTACGCTTTTTCGAGGGCCGTTGGTTTGGCTTTGACCGATCTTTTCTTTCGTCTCCAGACATACTGCTTCTTCCTCCTTAGATAGCTTCAAGTTATCTACTCAACTCCCTATCATTGTTCTAGCTCTCTCTTTTGTCCCAACTCCCCATTGCCTCGCATATGCTGACGTCTTGCATCAATAGTAATACCCACCTACTCTCTATATTAGGGTGTGCCAGGCTACCCCATGGTGTGGGTCTTAACACCGATAAGGTCCCCCAGTCTGGTCATTCTTTTTACTGCCTTTTGTATTTTTCCTTTATTATTTTCCCACTCGCCTCAAAATGCCATTTCGTTTTTATCTTATTATCATTCTTGAAAATCAATTCAATTCATCAGGTTTCTCACACTATGGCCAATTCTAAGCCTTGTCTTGTCGAGGATGCTTGGCATGTAGATCCTCGACTGGGGCATCGACTCCATAATTCATAACACTCTTCACATCGCCCAAGAAGATACAAGCAATGATAGCTACAACGCCAAAGGGTGCTGCTATAATAAACACAACCCTAATTCCATCTGCATAAGCCTGCTTGAGGGCCATGGCTCCCGCCTCGATGATGCCAGAATTGACGCCAGCCACCTTCTGTATCGCCGCGGTATCTGCAGATGTAAGAGCTTTGATAAATTCAGCGAGAGAAGACTTTGGGAGTCCTGCCTCGAGGGCCGCTTTGGCTGTATATGTGGGGATATATTCATCCAGACGACTGGTCATTGCCGCAGAAGCAATGGCTGTGAAGACTGCCGCTGCAACAGCTCTTGAGCTAGTAGTCGCAGCTGTAGCTGTGGCAATGAGGTGGTGCGGCACGGCCAGCTGAACCCCTGCAATAATTAAAATAAGAGGTGCCCCAAATCCGAGACCGGCGAGGGCAGCGAATGCAAGGGAGTTGATATCATCGCCGGGCTGAATGCTAGCCAGTCCGACAACGCCTGCAGTAAGGATTAGAAACCCTGCGATCATGGGAAATCGGATAGTCCGGAATTTGACGCTTGCATATCCATATATCACAGTGCTGACACCTGAGGCGATCCAATATGGTTGCTGGCGGGCAGACTCGAAGAATGGATCGGTTTCAAAGAGATGTGCTGTTCTGCAAAGCGGTGTCAGGTTTCTTACGTCCTAGCTTTCTTGGGGGACGTATGTACTCACAGGACTGGATAAAAAATGACATAGGCGAAGAGACAAACACCCTCGATAAAGATAAGAGCAACGCAGATCCCAAGAGTACGGCCACTGTGGTTTGGGCCCCGAAAAAGATTATGATGAAGAATGCCGGTCGTGGTAAATCTCCACTCGTAAATACTAAAAGTAATCAAGGAGAGGATGCCGATGATCAAGGTCGCCAACACCGGGGCACTGGCCCATGAGTACAGATTGCCGCCGAGGTTAAGACCAGTCAATAGCAATGTCAGTCCTGCTGTAAGTAAGAAAAACCCAGGAAGATCCAGCCTGCCAAGTTTCTTCCAGAGCGAAAGGTGATCTAGAAGAGTGTGTCGCTTGGGCGGCCTGTAGCCAATAAACAGGCAGACTGCGGTCACTCCCCAGAGAGCCATCTGAATCCACTGAACAAGCTGTCAGACAATTGAAACGCAGCAGAATAGATATAGTCTCACGTAAAAGTAACGCCAGCCGGTGTGCGCGTTCTTCTTGGTCAACGCCCCGATGATCAAGGGCCCCGCGCAAGCGCCTAGAGAAGCCGCAATATTCATAACAGCCTGGACCACTGTATCTGCATTAACGTTTTGCTCAAAACGCGTCTCTTCACCTTGTAGACCTACTCGGTCGCCACTTTCGTGGTACGATCTCACTGGGAATACAGTATGCCAAGGGTACCGTAGCAAACCCGAAACCTATCAGGATTTGCGCTGCGATCACACGATATATGCTGCTTGAGCCAGGTGCAATTGCACAGCCAATGAATGATACAATAGACGGGCCAACAAGGAGGGCTTTGCGGGCCTGGAAAGTATCCGACGCAGAGGAGATCAAGGGGGCGAGCACGGCTTGCACAAGTGATAACGCGTTCGGCACCCATGTACCGGTGAGTGTATTGTTGAGGTCATTCTCGATATAGGACAGCTTTGGAAAGGGTCAGAATCTCAGTAATATTTCAAGGTCAAGGGATTGTCATACACCCGTCGGGGGCCCCAGAAGGCCAAAGACTTGGACGAGGTTGAGGAAGAACATGGCAGCCAACGCAAAGTATGTCTGGGCATGAAGCTCAGGCTCCTCATCCTCTTCATACACGAGATTTCCATCGGGGGAGTCTTCTGGTCTCGCAACATGCTCGAACGATTCCAACCCCTTCACCTGGCCCAAGGGCTCAGGGTCATCACCCACCGTGGAAGACATCTGAATCAGACAAAATAGAAAAAGGACGATAAACTTATACTGTCCAATTAGATTTAAAGAGGGAAGTTCCGGCTTTATACCCGAATTTAGAACGGGCCAAGAGCTAAAACCACGGGGCCCCGCGTTAGAATTACTGTCCCGCAAACTGTACGTGGCAACTATGTAATAAGATAAGAGCTCCTCACGTGGGGAATCTTGGTGTTCAAGGAGCCACCTGCAGGCAAAAAGGGGTATTATTAGAAAAGAAAAAGCAAGTAACCCGGGATAACACCAAGCAGCAAAATGTCGAACCCAATTCCCCCACACCAGACTCATTCAATACTGGTTGTTGCGCGTACATTTCTCATGCCATCACGAAGAGCCGGTCTGTTCAGGATCGGTTAATAAAACCATAAGAGGCATATTGCTGTGAGCGCCACCACCGGCCGTAGCAGGTAACCCCTCCTGATACGGATGCGGCCCCTCCTAGTCTCTACTTGCTTCTCGGGAAGGGGGGGGGCACATGTGCCAGGTGACTCCCGTGGTGTGCAAGACTTGCAGGAGCCCTTGATGATGCAAGTGAATATGGACATCAATTATCGGGAATGAGAATATAGCACTGCAATCGCTTGGAAGGGACTAAATTCCCATGTCAGATGGTCCAGAATATCGTAGATCGATCAAAATCAATGGTATGACTATTCTAGGCATCACCACACAAGAGCCGTGTTGACGTGCTTGTCAGCGTTGCTGTGCCCGCAGTGCAAATGTGGGGAGATCTGGACTGGTCCCGCAAACCAACCTTATTGACCAAACCTTCCCCCGCTTTCTATCCATCAAGCTGGGATCACCCGAAAACCAACTGCTGGATTTCCTTCAACGAGATAGGTGGTGCCGCGTCGCGCTACTAAGAGTGCCGTTCGTCTGACATGGAGATCGCTCATTGCGCACAAGGACCGTATTCCCCGTGTCTACACTATCTAGTCAAAAGTATTTTCCCAGATCAGTTTCCGAGCCTACCCCATCAATTAGATATGCAAGGTTCACTTAACAGTTCACCATAACACCATATCTTACTGAAATTCTATATAATTACTCATTGTAACTAATACCCATCTAACGCACAGAACTATCTCTTCATATTCTATGAAAATATACCCTAAGATTTTTAATCACTAGTAATTATCCCGTTGCCCTTTATACTAACACATTCATTTTTACGTACAGTATTACTCACCATAATTCTGGCACATACCCCTGAAGGTACTATTAAATAATGTTATATCTTCCACTATAGATAAGCTTTATATACGATTTAAGAAGTCCTTATCTAATAACATGTAGATCATGTTGAAGGGGTTTAAAAGCTCAGCGAATGCCTCGGCAGGTCCTCCATATTTACACATAAACTTTCAAACTGCTCAATCGTCACTAAAGCTAAATGGATCTCCGAACTATCTCCTCTAAATACTTTCCTATGGCCATGGATTAGAATAAGACTTTTGAGAAGCGAGCCTATTAACACTGAGCGGTATATGCCTTCCCAAAGTTGGTTGTTGGGTTGACCCTACCGGACCCGCACTTGGGGATATACTTAATATGATATTATATAATTAGTTTTTATTGTGGTTAACTTCTTTCTTAAACTACAGAAATCTGTTTAAACCATTTGACTAATCATCCGAGGCCTGAATATCCCATATCCTTGGCTCTTGCCATCTATTAATATACCACGGACCTGTCCGCATTGACTGGCGTAAGATGCACATGGAGTGGACCTTTCTGCCAGAACAGATAAATATGTTGTCTCTCCATCCATCCCTTGCTATCCTCCGCGATCTTCATATCGAAATTGAATATCACTCGCGCCAGAATCATTCGCATTTCGGCATATGCCAGACTACAATACTGAAGTTAGCAAGAAAGCCACCGCCCGAGGCAAGCCAACGTACTTTCTGCCCAGGCAATTTCGTGGCCCGACATTGAATGGTTGAAGGATATCAAAATCGTCATTCTTATATTGAGGGTCTCCTAAGAAGCGTTCTGGACGATAGGAGTTCGGGTCGGTAAAATGCTTTTCATTATGATACAATGCCCAATGATGCAGTGCAACGATTGTCTGTAATGAGGTAGGTCAGTAACTTGTGATTAAAAAAATGTTGATCTGCAGCACTTACACCTTGAGGCACAAACCGGCCGAGAATAGTACGTCCTCCTGCAGGAGTAACACGAGGTAAACCGGCCGGCACTGGTGGATAGACTCGTAAAGCTTCATTCAAACAGGCCAGCATGTAGGCCAAATGATTGACCGAGGTCATGGTGATTTCTTGTTCACTCTCAAATGTGGACCGAACCTCCGCAGTGAGTCTCTCAAGAGCTGCGGGATTTGACAGTAGAAGGTAGGTCACTCCCGCGAGAAGGGTGGCAGTGGTCTCAGAGCCCCCGATGATCAAAATGTTGCCATTCGACTGGAGATTCTCGAGACTGAGGTTCTAATGGCCGTCAACTACAGGAGCACCCGAGATCCATCGAGCGTTACACTAACCAACTCATCCTTCTTTCGGAGCAGTCCCTCGATCAGATCAGATCTCTCATTGCCAGGCTCCATCCTTCTCTGTAGCTTTGCCATTGACATCTTAGTTTGTCGCGCAAATCGCGATAGTGCAGATTTCGGAACCACCGCCCAGAACAGCTTGCTGATTAGTGGGTAAAACCTAATGGTTTGCCATATAGCTCCCCCGCGAGCAGATGCAAAGATCAGGTGGACGTAGGGGTGATATTCTGAATTCTGAAGACACCCAAAGGGTTCCCCGAAGGCGAGATCTCCAATGATATCAAAGGTTGTCCAATTGTACCACGCAGTAAGATCAATTGCCTTTGCCCCTGCAGCACAGTTCTCATGGAGCCGCCGGATGAGCAGATCAATATAGACCCGAATCAGGGGTTCCTGTTCTCGCATGGACTTCTCGGAAAAGCCATATGCAAGCTGGCGCCTCAAGACACTGTGTTCCTCGCGCTCAGCGTTGACGATATTTATCGGCGAGGTCTTCACAGGCCGATAGAAATTTTCAAATTTCGCAAATTCTTCGACATCTGGATGATGACCCATGATATCTTTCCATACGGTGGCGCTGGAATATGCTAATTCGTCTGGCCCGATACGTACCACATCGCCATACTTCTCGTGGAGACGGAGCACATCATATGGCAAGGTACCCCGTAACAGCTTCCAGCAGTAGGGTACACGGGACATGCCATGCAGAATTGGTCCAGGAAAGGCCCGAAGGGGGTGAAGAAATACATTGAATATTGCTCTACTCACAGCATGGATGAGGACCTGGAGTGGCATGGTTAGAGTTTTAAGGGTTTATGAGATAGGGCTGTCGTAACTCACGATGGCAAATAAAGTGGCTACTACCCAACCGGGGTTGTGAAGCAGAGCTTGGAGAAAGCTCATCGAAGCCATGCTGATAGAACGAGATGGACGAGGCAAGTTTGTATAGATTGTTTCATGGGCCACCACCTCGGCCTTAGGCAGGAAAAGACGTGACTTGAGAATATACAGACAAACACTCTATCTGCGGACTCAATATCCCGCGGTGTCGTAGTTTCTTCGACGTTTAGTGGTCATTGGCTCATGAGATCTGCAAATGCGTGGCGTTTTTTTTTTCTCGCATTCGTATCGGAGATCCAATAAGGGGATATCATTTTAGGGGATCAATCTGTTCATCGAGCACTAGTAGTACAGTTAGAGTCAAATTTTGAGAGCGAAAGCGAAAGCGAAAGCGACCCCAGCGCCAAATGGATATAGTATTTCCAGGGCCAGGAATAAGAATGCTGGAACCCTCACGTCATAAGTGGAGAATCGACGGGATAAAGGTATCCATGGCAGATCTGTGGAGTATAAAGCAATCCCGGATTCCAAGCTGGACAATTATGTTCATTTCTGAAAAGTCACAAAGTAGAATTATCTTGAGCGCAATCTAGATCTCTCATGCAAGAAGCGAATTCAAGTCAGTCAATCTGAGTGGATTTGTAGAAATTGCAATGATTAAATAATCAAAGTCCACGTGAACAGCTCACGGGCCCTCTTCTCTTTGGTGACATAATGTGTGCGATTGCAACCTTCTCCTCAATACTCTGTCTTAAATCCAAATAGACAGTATGTTCGAGGTAGGCTTTGATTATGTCCCAATTTTATTACTGCTCTTCCTAACTCCTAATAGCGTCGAGCTGCAGACCGATACCATCTTCGAATGCACCGTGCCCGCTCGGCTGTGCTGACTTCAGATGAAATTGTTGAGGTGCGCGCAGCTCAGCGAACCTTTGAAGGCGCCTATGTCCGAACTGCTCTTTCTCAGTTCTCCTTTGCACTTGTCGTGCTTAAGATTTTCACTGCGGAATTTTACAGTATCGGCGCGCTATTCGCCATTTATGGTACCGGGGTCCTGATCATTGGACTGTTTCGCCGCTCCCAGGGAAACCGCCAGTTCTTTTCGGAGATCGGGGAAGATGGTGTCCATCGTCACAAATTTCGGACCAGTGGAAACGCCGTGGTGGTCTTGACCGCACTGAGTATTGCAGCATATGTGTGCTTGATCGGTCTGACACTTACTCTGCAAAACTGATAACGGACCCATACGAGGGATGTGGAACCGTCCACTTCCGCCCCAAAATATTCCAGCTATCTTACATCCGTGGGCAATGTGTGTTACCCCCTGCGTGGCCGCCAAGCGCTAAGGATTTTGTGTCACCGCTGAGATGACTTATCACCTGTCGGGGGAGCCGGGGACCGGCAGCGGGACGATCACCGTGAAGCAGCCGGAGCATGCGGTTGGTCGGAAAGCAATCTGCAGTAATGAGGCCCGGGATTTGCCAAGAAAGCCGAGTATGCTCTACGGAAAGGGAGGACTCGCCCGAGCGGAGACGCGCATGTTGCACAAAGCCGCCCCAAGACCTTGCTGACCATCCACCGGACACATCGGGTTTGAAATCGATGTTGACCTACTTATTTCAGATCCCAACTAAACAGCCCTATTTCTCGGATTTAAGGCTGATATCAGCTTCTCATTCCTGAGAGGGAAGGGTCACTAATTGCTTAAATGGTGGAACCTGGTTGGCGGATTCTTGAGTTAATCCGACTAGTCATACTTCAACACAGGGATGGTGCCATGGTGATTGCTCCACCATAATGATTTGGCCTGGGGATGTCTCGAGCCAAGCATTCTAGATAGATAAAGAGCTTGTATGGATCATGTTGTCGGCCTTGTACCTGTCTGGGCGTATATAGAGAGGCTCATATTCCAACCTTCTCTTATGCCGTATGATCTACCTTGCATACTACCTTTTTTTCATCTTTACGCCCCTGACATCATTTCCTTGAACCTGAAGCCCCATTGATCCCCACCTAGAGTGGACTCGATGATCATCTTAAGCTGCGCTGTGATTTCATTCATCTGATTGTGGCTGATTTAGCCCTCTTTGTCCCCTTAATACCTTTTATTATTACCTCTGTACTAAAGAAGAGCTCCTGGCCTATTGAAGGACCACGGTGGTATAGGTTCGTGCCTTGTTCAGACTACAAGGAATTCAAGATCATCGCCTCTCATCGTTTCTCATCTCCACCGCACACAAGGAGAAAGGTCAAAATCGGCCAAAATTAATCCCAACCTCAACCCCTCACATGGAAACTCTTGTGCGAAGCTTCCCAGTTGATCGTTAGCATACAACAAGAAAGTGACGTTTGGCCCGGAGTTGAGTCATCCGCATCTCCCGCCTTATTTTTCTCCCCTCCCGCTTTGTCTTTCGAAGGGCTTTCATCAAATCCTGTCCATCAAAGCGAGTCCTGTTACCTTAAAGGACTACGTCAGACATCAAAAGCTTGCTTCTCCGGAAAGGCTTCCTTAAGACTCCTTACCGGGGATGGCACAACATTCCGACATTGCACGGTCGGCGATCATGTCGTCCGCCACTTCAGATCCTGCAGCCCCGGGGGATCAGAGGAATATGAACCACCGACCCAACGGCATCAGCTCAAAGGAAGCTGGGCTTGGCTCGGGTAAAGAAGGAGCAACTCTGATGCCACCTCCGAAAACTGTGGTCGGAAGAGCGCTAGGGAGTGACTTGCATTCCGATGCCCACAAAGCCTCACAGGCGCCCAAGGGCGGAGTCGGAACCGCCCTGGCTGACACTCCGATTTCTACCGCACCCCCGTCCCCACAGATGTAAGTCTTCCCTGCCTCTGAGTCGTCGAGTACCTAGGACCCTAGAACCTTGTGTTTGTGCATTTGCATTCCTGGCCTATGAGCGAGGACTGCGGCTTGATCGACACTGCAATGTGTGCCGGGTCAAGTCTGTCCCGCTATGTGAGAGAAGCAACTCTCCGGATGCACAAGCTGGCTCGTGTGTCCCGACCCTCCCCACCATGTGGCTGAGCCGTATCCGCTTGTCGTGTGATCGTTTGTTTTTTAAGTAGGCTTTTATTTTGGTCTAACGCTTTTTTTGCCTGCAGATCAGGTCGTACACAACCCGGCACCCCGAGTAGCAGCAGCAGAGTCCGAGCCACCACCCTTGATATTCCGGGCCTGACCAAGTCCAAGGTCTCCCCCGATGGCCGAATTGCTCAGCGCGATGTCGGTGCAAAACTGGTCATTGTTATGGTCGGCCTCCCTGCCCGGGGCAAGAGTTACATCACTAAGAAGCTTGCCCGTTATCTGAACTGGCTTCAACATGACACTCACATATTCAACGTCGGTGCGCGTCGTCGTGTCGCTGCTGGCAGATCTCCCACACCGGCAACTCCTCGAGAACATGAAACGGCCCCAAAGAATGTTCACAAAGACCTCATCGACTCCGTGCGTCGCCTGAGCGTGAGCGTCGGAACCCAAAACCAAGGCGAATCCTCGCCGCCGGAGGAAGCGTCTCTTCCACCTCCAGCTGTTCCAGATAAGATATGTGTAAACGGTAAGGAGACTGAGCCCTCTCCTTCACAGAACGGAGACACGATGATACCACCAATGGATGCGGGCTCTGGCCCGAGAATAATTCCAGACGAGGCCATTAAAGACTCTCCTCTGGAACCCATGGATCAGACTGCGAATTTCTTCGACCCCCAGAATCAAGATGCTGTCAAGCTTCGAGAGCGGGTCGCCCTCGACACTCTTGATGAGTTGCTTGATTATATCCTGGATGAAGGTGGCAGCGTTGGTATTCTTGACGCAACCAACAGTACTATGGAGCGTCGAAAGGCTATCGTTGACCATATCCGCAAACGTGCCGGCCCCGAGCTGAACATTCTGTTCCTTGAAAGCAGCTGTGTCGACCCAACTCTGCTGGAGGCCAATATGCGCTTGAAGCTTTCTGGACCTGACTACAAGGGTCAAGACCCGGAAAAGGCCCTCGAGGATTTCAAGAAGCGTGTAGCTCTTTATGAGAAGTCGTACATTCCCTTGGGTGAATACGAGGAGAAAATGGGCATGGCATTTATCCAAATGATTGATGTTGGTCGCAAGGTTGTCGCTCATCGAACCCATGGCTTCCTCTCGTCGCAGGTTGTCTACTATCTGCTCAACTTCAACCTCTCTCCACGCCAAATTTGGATCACGCGACATGGAGAGAGCGTGGACGACCAGGCCGGTCGTATCGGTGGAGATTCTGACCTCAGCGAGAATGGCCGGCGGTACGCCAAGGCCTTGGCTAGATTCGTGAATTCCCAGCGGGAGAAGTGGGAGCTATACCAGCGCCAGAAGGACTTGCTGAAGCACTTCCCTCCCCGTCCGGGTGACAGCACCCCCCAAACCCGTCCTACATCCCCCACGATACACCACGCAACTTCTGTGTGTGGTCATCGATGATGGCTCGAGCTGTCCAAACCGTCGATTATTTCAATGAAGAAGATTATGACGTCAAGCAAATGCGTATGCTGGACGAACTTCACTCAGGAAGGATGGAAGGCATGACCTATAAGGAGATTCAGGAGCAGTTCCCCGAGGAGTATGCTCACCGCAAGAAAGACAAGCTCTTTTACCGATACCCCGGACCTGGTGGAGAAGGGTACCTGGACATTATCAACCGTACTCGGGCCGTCATCGTCGAGGTGGAGCGTACCACTGATCATGTCCTACTGGTTAGCCATCGGTCCACTGCCCGCGTTCTCCTTGCCTACTTCCAGGGCCTTCAGCGTGATCAGGTCGCAAACCTTGATGTTGAGATGGGGGTACTCTACATGTTGGAGCCCAAGCCATACGGGGTTGACTTTAGAGCCTACCGATACAATCCTGACACCGATTGGTTCGACTTCGTTCCTGATTACGAATTGAAGCAAGTGAGTGGGCCTCCCACCACCAACCAAGCATGATAACCTAAAGCCCTTGCTGGGGGCAAATGGTTGGAGATCTACTCCCTATGATCATGATTTGCTATGAACTATGACGACAACTTCCCCATTCAACATCAAATTGGCCCCGACTCGGATGACGAGCTCTCTGTCCATATCAATTATTGATTCATGCTACATATGGGGGGGTTTATTTCTTTTTCTTGCCCCCATTCTTCGGCGGCAGCTTTGTATTCTTTCCTCGCTCCATTGCGTTGTATTACGTTTTGAATCTGCAGTCTTTTTACCTGTTGCTTTTTGTTTTATGAGAAATGATACAGGCGTTACTTGCATGCAGGAGCTTAGTGGTCTGTGTTGCCCATGTTGCTCGTTGTCTTTGCATAGATTTGGCGTTAAGCGGAAGCGATGACTCTATGAGCTTACTATGGCTTAACCAAACGAGCTTCCCTCGTCAGATACCCCTTGCATATTGACAGAGTTGACTGGGAATTTTGTCTTCTTCCGTGATAGTTTTTGCTTGTCTTGGATGTACTGGAGATTTCTCAATAAACCGTTAATCCAGATTTGCGACATATGCACTAGGACTGTTATCCAATTTAATTACCTAGTACATCTTTACTCATCCAACTTGACCCGCTCAAAAACCTCTAAGAATGTCTCTGGCTCATCAGCTCCTTCAACCAAATACTTCCCTTGTACTGTAAAATGCGGAACCCCAGAGACCAACCTCCTCGACGCCGTAAATGCCTCCGCATCAACCTGCTCCGCCCCGACCCCAGATTCAAGCAACTTAGTCACTTCCCCACCATCCAACCCAGCCTGGACCGCCGCCTCAACCAAAACCTTCGAATCCGTAATATTCTTCTCCTCCTCGAAATACGCCCGGAATAGATTCTCCACAACCCGAGTCTGCAATCCCCCGACACCCGTCCCGGCAGCTGTGACAGTACCTTTAGCCTCCTCTTCACCTGCATACCAAATAACCCGATGCGAATCCCGAGTCGAGCCCGTATTTCCACCAAACTTGAACGCAATCCCATCAACCTCGCCCGCAGCAGATAGCCGGGCAAACATAGCCTTGCTCCGCTCGACTCCGAATTTCTCGGCGTACATCTCTTCCTTGTTTATGCCGGGGAATGTGGGTGATTTTGGGTTGAGATAGAAGGCGCGCCAGGTTAGCGTAAATGTGTCCAAGGGATTGCTGGCTTTGTGGGTGTTGATTGCGCGTGAGAGGCGTCGGTAGCCAACATAGCACCACTTTGTGAGGTTAATATAAGTCTGATTTAGAGATTCGGGGAGGCGTTGCGTACGGGACAGACGCTGTCGGAGATGATTTGGATCTTGATGTGTGTCATTTTGTTTGTTGGTTTGGTGATACTAGAATGAGGGGAATGAAAGAATCGATGTCACTGTATCCGTACTCTATGAAGGTTGCGGGTCTCAAACCGTCCATTTGTCAGCGAGATCCACAGGGATTTTATATCTGGTTCGAGTGGACTTGTACTTTTGCGCTTGACCTGTTCTATTCTGCTTGCTTCCCCTCTTTTCTCGTATTCATGACTTCCCGTGGTCCTAGTGTATGAACCTTATTGCATTTATGGTAGTGGAGATGGCGTATTGTACCTGGAAAGGTCCAAAAAAACCGAAAAACAATGCTTTTGATGCAAGCTATCCATGACAAAATACAGCAAGATCCATGAATGCGCTAAAGGAAATCATCCCAACAAAATGTCGTGTCATGACCAAACTTCAAATACAAGGGTATACTGGTCTGACAACCATCCTAAAACCATCCCGAAAGGACCGGCTCATGATACACATCTACTTAGAGAATCTGCTGAGCCTGGTTGTTTGTGCTCCACGAGATTTGCCCAGCGAACAGAGCGGATGAGTTGTTGTTAATAGGGACTCCATGGGAGGGGTCGTTGTTATGGGCCTGCTCAAGAACAGATTTGTACTGTTGAGATTGTCAGTAAAATGATTATCCAATCAGGACGAAGGGTCTTACCTTGAACGCAAAGTTGAGAACAAGAGCAGCAGCAAGGCCAAGGCATACGACAAGAGGGCCGAACAAGTTGTCCAGATCCTTGCCACTGCGTTGGCGGATCAGCCGGGAGCGCTTCTCATACATGTACCAGCCCCAGGCAGCGGAAAACAGGGCAAAAAATGTGTACACAATGGCCAGGGCTTGAGCAATTTTGTTGTGCTTGCCAGCAGCATTGTACAGACCCAGTGACAAACTCGACAACAGAATGCTGATGTGCAACCACTTGATGAAGGTTCGCTGGTTAGCCAACCACACCTTACTTTCCACACGGACGGGACCAGTGTCTTTGATCCAGACGCCAGGGTCTCGCACACCAGGAGGCAAGGGAACGGCCTCCTGTCTAGCCCAGCTTGGCTTGGAGACGCCCAATGACTTCAAGATGGAGGTGAATCGAGACGGTTCTTCCTCATCCTCCTCAGGCTCTTGAGTCGCTTCGACGGGAGCTGGAGGTTGCACCTGCCGGCGCTGAGGCTCAATGTGAGAAAGACGGCGATTTGCCGGCACTTCGCTGAAGCCAGAGGGCCTACGCAGAACGGTGTGAGATCTAGACTCGGACCACCGACTGAAAGAAGATCCTGCCCACGCATTGCCACTTGGGCTACCTGCGCCACCAAGGAAACTGCCAACCGCAATGTCATCCTCGTTGCGCCTCGCTAGCCGTTCTTGCTCTTCATGGAATGCAGTCTCGGGGTCACGGCGGATATCATTCTCAAGTTCTCCCAGCCAGAACGGGAAGTTGTTGACATAATCCTCAAACAATTGAGCAGCACCGTGGACGAACTTGGAGAAGCGGGGGGCATCTTTAACCAGATGGGAGGCCATGAGGTCGTTCACCCACTCCGCCTGGTGGGCCTTTCCGCGCAGCTTTATTTCGAGCAACGCGTGCGGGAAACGGACAATTTCGCCAGTTCGGATGTTACTGAACGGGTATGACATCTCGCCATCGTCAAGGTCGGTACGGTGCCATGAGGAGGGGTCTCGGCAGGGACGCTCGGGGTCAAGAGAGTCTTCCCGAATCATGGCAAGGTTGGTGTCCATAGAAATGCGGACGCGGTCATCGCCAGGGATTTGGAAGGCTGTACGGGTGTAGTTGGCCCGAACCATGGGTTGCAGGTTGTTCTCCTTGATAAAGGACTGCAATTCTTCCACGTCCTTCTTGAGATTTTCCGCTTCCGCAGATTCTCCGTTGTTCATATCCTCCATACGATGGACCTTTTTGTCCAAGTGGTACTCTCCATCCAGGAACTCCTTGATGTGCTTTTCTTTAAGCTGTACCTTGACTTCCCGACTGCTGTCCAATTCGCTCACAGTCTTCTTCTCCAGGTAAATGGAGGGCTTGTCCTTCAGCTGTCCCGTCCAGCGCAGCCGCAGGGATCCAGCTTCGGGAGCACGAGCAACCTTCTGGTTGTAGAGGTCAAATTGAGGGTTATCAAAGTAGAGGGAGGTGATGGTCGGGTCGTCGAGGGTATCCGCATTCTTTGAGGTACCCGGGTTGTAGATCAGGACAGGGAGGCGACGGAGAATGTATGTCTTCACCTCGAGAACGTTGTCTGAGTGAACCCAGAACTTATAAGAAGAATAGACATCGCGGCCGAAGCCACGCTCAGGCTCCCTCGGCGGTTGCACAATGTCCTCGGTCAGGGTTTCGCGGACAAAGGAGTACATCACCGACAGACGGTGGACCAAAGGCGAATAGTCCTCTGAGTTGAATGGAAGTTGCGACAGGCGAACCTGCAGCAATGGCTTGACGCGGTACCGAGCTCCACGCTTGCGGTCATGCTTCTTGGCCGCCTTGAGGAAGCCGGTGAAGTTGATGCGACTGTACTTCTCCAGCTCGCTAACCTCTTTGGTGATGCCATCGAGCTCCTGCAGGATCTCGGTCGCCATTTTGCGCTTTTCCTGTTCGTCAAGCACGACAGCCTCCTGCTCTCCGGCCGGAGCCAATGGGCGCAGCTTGGCTTCGCAGGCTGACGTGCGCTCGCGGAGCTGCTGGGAGGTCTCCGATTGGAAGGCATTGACCTTGTCCAGCTGCACGTTCAGCAGTTCCTGCACAAACGCCTCCTCATCCTGTTCAGTCCAAAGACTGTCGTCGGAATCGCTGGCGTCGCCCGTGACATCATTCTCACGCAGCAGTGCCTTAAGCTTGTTGTAGTCGATGTATTTGCCCTTCCATGGCGGGTACACCGTGTTTTTGAGAGTCTTTCCGAACCGCATAGTGCCTCAGACGGAGCTCACTCGGTCGAAATGTGTTTCGAGGTTATCAAGTGGCGGGGAGAGATAAAGAGAAGCCAGAGGGGAGAGAACACAAGGGACAGCACCACGTGGAAGCCAGGAAGACTAATGTTGCATTGACTTTTCTCTCTGTCTGTGCTTACTGTAGGTAAACTTTTTTTTTTTTTCAAGAGTACCTGGAAGAAAAGAATCAGTTAAGCGATGGCATGTCGATAGCTTTAGCACGCACGTGCTCATCTGTCTGGCTCTCATGGCTTGCCGCATTCAGATGAAGTGGCCAATCACAGTACAGGGCAGATCGTCCCGTCTGAGGATCAATTATGGTCCGACGGTAGCGCAGTTACAGTAATTTTACGTAATTTCAATCCACTCTTACCGGTGTCACGCTAAGCTACATTGGAGCTAGTGCCATTGGTAATTGCGACCGAGGCTCCTATGTTGGTTGCTTCGTCCCGGTTGGTATATACTCAGTAGTGCACCGATATATATTGGACCAATGGACGCCTCTTCTCCACAGCCAGGGCTGTCTCATCCCCTGCACAACATCTTGTTAGAGCTTCACCAACGCCCTTATCCACATGTCCCCAATCCACAAGGTTGCAAAAAACGTGCTTCTGTCGCCCTAATTATCCATGTCCGCCCAACCTATGATCACTGGCCGACCTCACCTTCAATCAATGACCCGTCCTTGTCGGTGGAAGATCAGCTAGATGATTTTTTTGCCCAGCCATGGGTCCAACACGGTGACCCGGAGGTGCTCTTTATCAAGCGCGCGACGCGAGTCGGCGACCGGTGGACGGGTCATGTCGCCTTGCCCGGTGGAAAACGAGACCCGGAAGATGAAGATGATTGCGCAGCAGCCATCAGAGAAGCATCAGAGGAAATTGGGCTGGATCTGACCACAGATGACTGCATCCATGTGGGGAATCTTCCGGAACGGGTGGTGACGACTAGTTGGGGATCGCAACCGTATGTGCCATGGGGGTTGCTGTCGCGGTCGATGTGGAATTGAGCTTCTTAACTGACATTCATACTTCTAGACTAATGGTTCTATGTCCCTTTGTCTTTCTCACCACTCGAAGTGATTCCCCGACCCTCAAATTACAACCCACCGAGGTGGCATCGACACATTGGATTCCCCTGAAAGCACTCCTATCATCATCCCTCCGCACCGTGGAATATGTGGACATGTCGCAACGGTTTGCGCGACAGGGCGGGTTCTTGACCCGGATGGCTGTTCGATCTCTGATGGGATTTATGCAGTTCTCCGCTGTTCGACTGCTTCCATCAGAAACCCAGCGGTGTACCTCGGTTCCTGGGTTTGTCCCTGACGAGAACATGCAGCCTTCCTTGATGCAAAAAGTAAAATCATGGTGTCTCAGCAACCAAGCTGACTCGGGTGAGGCGGATCGTCCGCTTCTGCTCTGGGGTCTTACCCTCGGCATCTTGGCCGATTTTCTGGATATGCTTCCTCCCAATACGGCCGTGCAGATGTGGAAGTATCCGACTTTCACGGTGCCCGATCTCCGGCTAATTGTTAGTATTCTGACCTACAATCTGCGGAAGCGCAATAAGCAAATGGTCAAATTGGGTGCCCGCCCCAGCAACACTGCATCGGATGGTGAAACCGCGGCCTTGCCAGTTACCCCAGAAGCTACCTCCCATGATCATAATGAAGTCGGCATCGGGGGATTAGGAGTAGGGCGCTATTATGGGCCTACTGACCGGGCTGTCGATGGAACCTCCTATGCAGTAGGCATCATGTTACAAGGTTATTATGACCGATTACGGGTGGCGATCTATGTATTTCTTGCCTGGCGGATGACCCTGGGATCAGCAGCTGCTTTCACTGCATGGCGATTCCTTCGCCGCCGTTGATTATATACGGATAACCTTGTAGAGATAATGAGCATATAACATATAAATCTACGTATATACATAATGAAAAGTGAGAAGTCAAATTTGCCTGAAAAGAGAAGCTAATATGCGGTTCCACATCGAGCGATTTGTGTAGATAAAGCAGCTCATAGAAAGCCTTAGAATCAATTGAATTTTTGATCTACCAGTAAGGAATGGCAGATCTCTCCATGTTTCACCGATGCGGCTCTGCATGTGACTGCACATGAACTTGAGATAAGAAACGTATTCTCTTACACCCAATAGTACTATCTAAAATGACGAACCCATACGAAACGGGCCCAGAGAAAGTTGCTTCAACGTTCTGGTATGCAGATGTGCCGAATTATGGTCGATACTGTCCAAAAGCTGATGACTTTCGCGTTGATCCTCAGCACGCCAACTCCCGGACTGAAGACTCATAAGATATTTGGCCTCAATTGTGGGCCTCTGCACGAAAGACAATCAAATTTACTCACCTTGCCAATAAAGGCGACCAACATGTCTTTGCTCTTGGTACCGTGATCGTGAAGCCCAGCCACATTCACGCACGCAAGGGTGAATCTATTACGATAGGCTACTTTTATGCCGATGCAAATGAGATCCAGGAAACTGATCTGACTAAGGCCGATTTGAAGAATGTCAAATTTCCAGATGTATGATTTTCTGGCAAGGTATGCATGGCATCAATTTCTCGATTCATGCAAGAGCTCAACGGCTCACATCTTGTTAGATCAATGGTCGCCAAGTTCTAGTCTAAGAAAAGCTTCCAGGCGTTGGACTACCAATCGCATCACCACATCTATTATCCACCAGAGAAATTTCTTCAAACAACAAGCCAGGAAAATTCTTTTGGTTAACTTCGCATTACCAAGCCCATTAAGGAACTGGAGGTTCGCTCTCACGTGGTGCCAGATCCCAACATACTCAATAACAGTCGAATCAATCCATTAGAAGCGGACATTGTTATCTCAAGCACCACCATTGATCCAGGTATGAGCTTCATACAAAACGATCTTACCGAGTCTAACTGTATTATGGATAATGGCATAATTGTTGGGCTTAATGGGAAAATGGCAGACAGCTGGAGAGATCCACCGTCAGATCAAGAGCCCACATCGGGAGCATTCCGTGAATGCCGATTTGACGGAGGGCCAAGTCCGTATTTCGTTTCTAGAAGGACCTCTATGATATACCAGAGAATCAGAGGTCAAAGAATAACATTGTGTTGCCAAGACGTGGATATAGTTAGATAAGGTTACATAATCCACGGATCCACCATCAACAGTGCCCGCGTTCCTTCTCTCGTCATCACGTCTTCAAATGCGCCATGGCTGCCACTCAGAAGCTCTACCCCCGCGGAACCGTCAAGCGCATTGTCAAGGCTCATTCCAATAGAAGCGTGAGCAAAAATGCCGATATCCTGGTACGTTCCAATTCAGCTCAACCATGTCCCACATGCGACTAGGACGTCACTAATGCCTGAACTGGTTGACAGATCTTTCTAGACTACATGCTGTTTATGCAAGAGTACGACTTAACCCTACTTTGAGCTTGCTTTCCATATCGCAACCCATACCACCCTCGAGTCGTGTTGAGAGATTGGCGCTAATCATCCCCGCAGATTGATGCGCGAAGCCTCCATCCGATCTCGCAAGTCCGGCGAAAAGAATATCTCAGCAAACTCCATTCGCAAGGTTACCGAGGTAAGCTTTCAGTTCTGTTTGAAGTGATATAATGTGTAGTAGTGGCGATGGTTATGTTCCAAATACTAATCAGCATGGTCGCGTGCAGAAATCCCTACGCAAATTCCAAGGATAATTGAACTTGAAATGGGGTCTGTTCAACCTTCATTCCAGATTGACAGATGAGCTTCACCACAGACTCACTGGGATGAGGCTAAACTTGTGTGGTTTACTCGTGCTGCGTTTGGCTTGCGCTTGCTTGTGCATGCGCTGAGCTTGTTAGAATGGCGTATAGGCGTTAAGGATGATGATACCCAGACATCTGAGAGCTCTGTTTAAATTGAATTTGAATCTTCACATGATCCCAGGTAAATAGTCTATACCGTGTAGGAAGAGTAGCAAGCGTATAGAGAACGCGATGTGGGCTGTACCGATCAGGAAAGGCTTCGGGGGACTTCCACCGGTGGAAGTTCCACCCGCATCCATTCTTCTCCGTACAACTCTCCCATAACTCTGCACTTGCGCTTTTTCTTTCTTCCCGCGTATTGCAACGCACTGTTTCTTCCAATTTCCTCTTTCCACTTGCTGTGCTACCCACATTCCATCATGGCTCCCGCTCCCCACAAACCCAACGCCAAGAGCAAGAAGCACAATGCTCAAGCTTCGAGCATCTCTCAGACTGAGCCCGAGAGCCCCACAGAGGTGAATGACTCGGAGCCTGCTTACATTAAGGAGCTTCAGAAGTATGTGCTCAATTGCATCCTCTTCTCCTCAGAGCTGACAAAGTGCTTCTAGGAGTCTGCGCAATGCGGTGAAGAAGCTGGTACGTGAACGTCGATTGTCTTCTAAGATTTGGAGGGGCTGTATCTAAAATATTGGACCGCCATCGCTAACTCTGTGGTGTCTCAATAGAACGCTACCGCCAAAATCGATGCTATCCTGGCCGAGCACCCTGGAAAGTCCCTCGATGACCTTGTGGAGGAGAAGACCATCAACGCCGACCAGAAAGCTCAAGCGCTGAAGAAGCCTTCGCTCCAAGCTGCAGTTGCACAGATCGAGGAGCAGCTTGGTCACTACAAGCAGTTTGCTGCCCAATACGAAGAGAAGATTGCGAACCAGAAGGCGGCTTTGGACGAGCAGAAGGCGGCTCTGGATAAGATCCACCAAGAGGAGTTGGCCGCGGTGCGCGCCAATGCCCTGGCTGATGCTACCGAGTCTACTTCACGCGTGCTGCGTGAGAACTTGCTTGATGTAGCTAAGTTCCTATGCGCGGCGGCCAATTTGCGACGCGCTGGAGATGAGACCCCCGAGGGCGTTGCCTTTGAGGCTGTCCTTTACCAGGTGTACGCCGGTAACCAAGATGCGGTCACATCGATGGTCAAGCTCATTGAAGGTGCGGAAGAGCCAATTCAGGGTCTTGAAGGGGAAACCTTGGACTTTACCTGTAAGTGGTCCTTCCAAATTTGTACGTTGTTTTGCTTGCTAATGATTTTTTACGCAGACGGAAATGTGAAGCAGGCATCGGCCCGACACGCGCCCAGCGAGTCACCCGAACAACACACTACCGCTAGCGAAAACCCCCCTACCTCAGACCCGACAATGGCCAATGCTGGTTTGACTGAGCTCCAGGATACTTCCGTGAGCGCCGAGGTGGCTGCCCAAGAGACCGTGACTTCTAAGCCCGACCAGATCGCTCCCCCAACCCAGACATCGACTACTGGCGGAGCTAATCCGGCTGCCGACTCGGCGTCCCTGACAGCCGCATCTGCTGGCATGAATGATAGCTGGGTTGAGGTTCCCCGTGACCCTGCAGAGACCGAGACTGGGCTCCAAGCTACCCCTGCCAACACCGAGACGAATACTGCTACTGACACCGGTGCCAAGGGCAACTCCGGCCGAGGCCGTGGCCGTCATGGACGCGGTCGTGGGGATGGATCCCGCCGAGGCCGTGGCGGAGGCGAACACCGTGGTGGTGACCGGCCTCGCGGTCGACGTGGTGGAAAACGCGGCGGTGCCAACGGGGCACCCGCAGAGGGTCAGTGATCAAGTAGTGCATATGGACTGTTCGCCTTTTCCACCGAGCTCGGTGTGATGTATGACGAACGCAACGAATTTTCTTTTCTGGAGAGCAAGAAGCTCCCCCCATATTATTATTTTGATTTCGAGCGTGCATATTTCTCTAGGGGAATTGGCGGATCAGATAAAACCGAATACTACTAGTAGTAACCTTGTCCGATTCAAGGGCTCCACGTACTCCACTCTTCCGTCACCTCATTCCAAGCTTCTTCACACCTTCAACGTTGTCCTTTCATTTCTTCCCTTGATGTGCCAGCTACTGCAAACATTCAATCATGGCTATTGCTGGCGCCCAACGTAAACAGGTCCTCAAGGTGTTGATGATCTCGCTGCTGCTAGATCTGGTACGTGTTTCGTGTTCCGTGTTTACTTCTCGTCATCCCACTTCCAATGCTGAGTGAGACCAGATTTCCTTTACATTCATTCTACCACTTTTCCCGTCGTTATTATCCTTCTATCGTGCCCAGGATCCATCACCAGATTCCCTTCTCAATCGCATTTTCCATTACTTGAATGCCTACAAGAACTCCTTCGCCCGCCCCATCGACTCGCGCTATGATATCGTTCTCCTCGGCGGAGCTCTCGGCTCGCTCTTTTCCCTGCTCCAGGCCCTTGTCGCCCCGGTCATCGGTCACCTGTCTGATAAATATGGCCGTCGTCGTACCTTGCTTTGGGCAATGATTGGAAACCTGCTCAGCGTTCAACTATGGGTCTCTGCAACGGATTTCCGTACCTTCCTCGCAAGTCGTGTCGTTGGAGGCCTTAGCGAAGCAAATGTGCAATTGGCCAATGCTATCGTGGCGGATGTCACTGATGAAGCGCAGCGTGGCGCATCCATGGCTCTAGTTGGCGCCTGCTTCAGTATTGCTTTTACCTTTGGGCCGTTGCTGGGTGCTGGTTTGAGCTCAATTGAGATCGTTGCGGCGAACCCATTCATTACTGCGGCCCTGATGTCGCTCGTGCTGATTCTTTTGGAGACCGTGTACATCTGGGCTTGTCTCCCTGAGACGCATCCGCGACTTACTACCCTCAAGCAGGAGACTGAGAATGAGAATGAACAGTCGGCTCAGGCGAAGAACCCTGCAAAGAAGGATTCTCTTGCTCAAAAACCACACACTAATAACCCGGCCATCCTCAATGCTATTCATTTCCTCTTCCTGTTGCCTTTCTCGGGCCTGGAGTTCTCTCTTCCCTTCTTGACCGCTACGCTCTACGCTGGAACCACGACTGCCAGCCCTGCAGCTCTGAACGGCCGTCTTCTCTCCATGATGGGTCTTATTGCCTCTCTTCTCCAGGGAACCCTTGTCCGCCGCTTGCCTCCGCTGGTCACCGTTCGCGCTGGTGTGGTAGCTTGCGCTTTGTCCTTTTTCTGTCTTGCTCGCATCTCCTCCGTATCGGGCCTCTATGCGGCGGGTGCTCTGCTAGCCATTACCACCGCCACTGTCGTGACGGGCCTTAACAGCCTGGGTAGCTTTGAGGCAAGGGACGCAAACCGTGGTGCTGTTATGGGCCGTCTTCGTGGCTGGGGTCAGGCGGGACGGGCTACGGGTCCTATCCTTTTCTGCACATTGTTCTGGTGGGCCGGTCGTGAGGCTGCATACACTGTTGGTGGTATTGCGATGTGCATTGTGGCAGTTGGGGTCTTTGGTTTCTTGAAGTCGCCCGTTGTTCATTCGAAGACGGAGTGATGAATGTCTTTTTTTTTTCCCTTGCGAGGTGTTGTTGTACGATGGATGAGAGAACATATCTGCTCTGCTCGCTGGTCGTGTGCGGCATGATATTTGACTTGTATGGTTATGTACGTGCATCGTGTAGTGTTTGGGGGGCGTTAAGCACCGTTCAATCTATTGGGTGCCTTGATTTCAAAATTATCTATCGAGATGATCTGTATCTGATATAATGAGTGGTGTGATGCATATTTGACAAGGGTATATAGTACACATATAGAAGCAATAAGAGTGGTGATTTCAGTACGTGATCTCAAGGGCCAGCCAGAGAAAGCATGAAAGTTCCAATTTAATGGGCTTGTTCCTTATGAAGCTATCAGCGCCGAGTATACCGAGTGTCACTTGGTAGCCCATAATCCTCACAAGACTCCATAGCTAGCCCAGGATTAAGTGTTGGATCCAGCGACCCGCGCGCTTTGCCAATCAGCCAGTCAGTCAAGGTCACAAACTTAGCTGTTCGATCCCATCCATCCGCCTCATCAGCGTGTTCAATCGTATGAGTTAGGATGCGTCCCTCCTCGTCAAAAGAGAAAATAAACAACCCGGTGAATTGCTCTTCCTTCGAGAGTTTGAAAATCGGCTCCTCGCCGCCAAGCAGTACGCTCAGTCCCTTATTCGTACCGTTCTTCGATGATGACGACGATACACCACTCTGGATTTGTGGTTGTTGAGACGTTCTTGTGCCTGCCTCGGATGCTTGCGATACGTTCGCATTGTTTTGTTGCCTCTCCGGAGAATTGCGCTGTGACTCGTGGAATGGCCGGCTATCTGTTCGCGCCTCGGTCTTCCAGCGTACAACTAATCGCTCGTCGCCACAGTCATGATTCTCTGCGTGCTCGGGGTCAAGGACTGTGCCTGCGCGTACGATGCGCTCACTTAGGATTTGGAGCTTGACATTCCCTACTAGTGGTACACTGCTCCATGCTACCGGAACAGTCCATAGCGCAGCACGGTAAAGGGTGCGACCTTTGACGGTGGGGAGGTGTGGGTGTGTCGAAGGAAAGAGGTGGAGGTTGACGCTCGGACTGAGGATTTCTGCAGGAAGGGTGTTGTACAAGAGGGTAGGGAGGAGGGGAGAAAGGGTTCGTAGAGCTATAGTCAAGTCAGAACCAGAGCTTGCAGCTGGAATGGAATGGAACTCACTCTTTCCGAGCTTTAATACCCGCTCATCGGGCGGTTTGTGATCACCTTGCTGTGTTCCTAATCCATCGATTCCCCTACGCACTCGCACTGGGGAGAAATATGTTGTTGGGAGAGGCGAGGTTGACTGCGGTAGCCAGGGTTCGTTTAAGATGCCATGCCGAGCTTGAGCGAGTCGGCACCGCGGTGAAGATGCAAAGCTACGGCCCGTTGAATTTAGCGCCTGGAAGCGCAGAGAGGGCGCCAGCTTTGGCATTTTGCGTGTGGATTGTCATGTCATGAAGTTGGAAAGTTGGATTGCGGAGTTGAAGTTCCGCTTTCTGCTTGAAAGTTGCGAGCCAATCGGAGTGCGCCAGTATACAATGTGCATTACAATACAATCATTCAATCATAACAGCCATATCATAAGCAATATCGAGTTCCATACAAGCATTCTTTCTGGTCTGGAGAGGTTTAGGCCAATTCATCGTCATCATCCATACCCATCACTCGTCGCTCAGCTATCTCTCGGATCTTATCCTCCAATACACCACGCTCATAGCGTTGCGCCACCTTAGCTGCCGCCTCAAGCATCTTCCCATTACGATCATTCAGCATGGTCACAAGTTCAAGCGCCTTCATACCACGCTCCTCACCCTCTCTGCATTCGATGGCCAGCATCTGTAGCAAGGTCTTGTCAATCTCCACTTCCTTCCGTGCCATTTCGGTACGTTGGCTGGCCGTCGCATTGGTCGATTCCAAGAGGTCCCGGAAGAGCGACAGAAGAACATTGCCACGCACGAAGGCCTCTTCAAACTTGATGCTGGCGTTCCGTTCTGACTCTTCTGCTTCATTGGAATCCCGGACCGCATGACTGGAAATGGGTACCTGGAAATCAAACTCGCTGAGCAGCGGTCGTGGGAAGTATGGGTTCTTGTCACCACCCTTGAGAATGATGCAGTGAAACTTGTCTTCTGCCACGGCAACTGGCCAATAGGTCTCTTCCTTGCGGCCTCCGGCCAATCGGGCGAGTTGCTTCGTGTCTAGGAGAGGTACCCATCGGGCCTGACCAGGAGTGCGCCAGTGCTGCAATACTAGTAAAACACCTGTGGTATCATAAATGCATGGGTCCTGTAAGAGAGTCAGTTTTGTCTTCGACATTTAGGGATATAGGGTTGAAGAACGTACTCCACGATCGGAAAAGAATACGCTCTGCAGCCTGACTTCGGATGGAAGAGCGACGACGTCTTCATTCTGGCAGATTTCATCGCGCTTAACGTTCTCAATGGTGTATCGCAGGGATGTCTGTCGCCCATCAGGTCCTACCGGGCCATTACCGATTGTCATAATGTAGTCCCGCCATGCAGCGCATGTGACGGCCTGGCTCTTCTGTCGATATACCCGGTAGGGAGTTCCAAAGAGAGTGTACACCCGCACGTAATCTTTTGTTGTGACAGCAACAATATAAGATGCACTCAGTGCCAAAGCTAAGAGTGGTTAGCAGTGAGAATAACGCGATTTTTCCCATCACACGTACCTCGTACTCCCTCTCCTTCGGGTAATTGAGTTCGCCAATCGGCTCTGGTCGTCCATGTCTCATGAGGACGGTAAAAGATTGTAGCAGGGCCATCTTCTGGGCTGTTTGAGAAGAGGGTTCCGTTCTCGTCTGTGGGTTTTGGTTAGTGCAAGTCTTAACGACTACTGTTGTAAACTCACTCAGGCACGCTTTGTCATATTGGTAGGGGTCTGTGAAGTGGAAATCTCGGTGAAGTTCTCGGTCATAAAACTCCACGGTCACGGTGTGATGTGTCTCTTGATCCACGGTCCAGACGGCACCGGTCAAATTCAGGCCTGAGATGATGAGTGAAATGCTCCTTAAAGATGTGGAGTCTTGACTCACAAAGGTATCGCCTGCTTCCAGCCCACGGTGTACTACCGGGCTGAATAGGAGGATGGGCTTTTGGTTGCACGCCGCCCGAGAAGATGCGCTTGTTGTCAGAGCCATCTAGGTCATCTAGATGACCATTGGGCCGTTTTCCATACTCATTCAAATCCTCCACATATCCTGCTCCATCGTCATCTTCAACGAAATTATCCTCCATCTCCATATCGTCGCCGAGAATATCATCCAACTCGTCCGGAGACCCTCGGCGAGCGGCCTGCTTGATGGCGTCTCTGGATCGGTCTGCCAATGTCTGCTGGACATTGCTGGAGATGTCACTCAATGGACCGGGATAAATAGGGGCAGCCTGGAGCGACTTCTGTAGCTGGGCCTCGTGATCCTTGGGGACGAATTTATCGTAAATGAACAACTCTCCATCGGAAGTAGTGAACGAAAGCGAGTTATTGATTGGGTGCCAGGCAAGGTTGATGACGTTTCCAAAGTCGAACCGATGCAGAATGCTTTGCGTGCGGGTCTCCCAAAGCACAATTTGGCCGTCAGCTCCAGCCGAGGCCAGCAGCGTACCATTGGGTGCCCAGCTTAGTGCCGTGATATCACCCGTATGTCCCCCAGTAAAGCGTTTCTCTTTCTTCCAATTGGCGATGGAATAGACTGCAATGTCTCGAGTAGCTTCCGCGACTGCAAATGCAGTACCGTCCGGGTGCCACACGGCTCTGGAAGTTGCCTCTGCGTCGGGCTCGAGTTTGCGAATGACCCCATCGAGTTTTTTGACCAGCTCCGGTTCCTCTTCTGTGAGTGAGTACACGGAGAGAATGCCATCTATGGCCGATACGGTCACAAAGCGGCCCTTGGGATCAAATGTGACGTGTTTCGCGCTTGTTAGCTGATCGCGGAGGTATCTCGTTTCAGTTTGGTCGTCAATTTTGACGAGTTTCACGGTGAGCTCACTGATCGCAATGATTAGCCTCCATGCTATCAGCAATGATCTCTAGTTTTCACTCACTCGCTTGCTACTGCAAGCCATTGGCCATCTCGGGAAACTGCCACATCTCTCACAGGCAACGCGCATCGCACCAGTTGAGTCCCAATTTTGCCCGACAAGGTATCAAACTGCCAGACCTGGCCATATTCGGTACCCACAATGAAGGAGTCATTCTGTTGTTCTTTGTCAATTTCTGTATCGGTAGCTCGAATGCCCAGGGCGCATACCGTGGCACCGATTCCAACATATCCGTCTAAAAGACCCTCATCCACGGTCTTGGGCTCGCCATCTTGGTCAACGGTGTAGATTCGAATCGCCGAGTTCGATCCAGCAGTGATTACTCGTTTTCCGTCCGGTGTGTAGGCGAGGGTCGTCGTCCCTGGAGTATCTAAAGGATTGTATGTTAGCCAGGGTATTTCTCAAAGGATCAGTCTGTGACTTACGGGCTGGCCGACCCCGAGGGCGTATAACGTCGGAGCTCATGGAGAATATCGCGCTGAAAAGTGCAAGTTTCCAGTGACGACGATCAGATAGTTGAAGGCATCGCTCCTTCAAAGTGATCGGCGATAACGGGGACGCGTCCCGCGTCGCGCGCCAGATTTAGCCCGATTAGGAAGCATAGGGCTTAGGGTAATCCTTGATCTATACTTCATCTTCAACTTCAAGTTCAATTTCATTGTTTATTGTCTATTATTGTAGTAAGCAGTTTATACTTATTTGGTCGGTCTAATCAGCTCTGCTCAGATGCACCATCAGCAGTGAGGAAATCAAAATCAGTTCCTTCGTGCGCTTGGTTCACAGATCGCTCATACAACCCACGATATCCTCGTCGCTGCTTTCTCGCCTGAACTGGTCCCATCTCGGCCTCGAGCTTCTGCTTTCGTTTTAATATACGAGCCTGCAATTCTTCATCGGATATATTAACATGAAGTCTGCGGCCTTCAAGATTACAAACAATCAAATCACCATTTTCAACCACCCCAAATGGCGAGCTTGGAATGGCTGCCTCGGGTGAGATATGGAGAACAATGGTTCCCCCAGCTGTCCCAGACATACGACCATCAGATAATCGCAGCATATCTTTCACGCCAGCGGCTGCCAACTTTTGGGGGATAGGAATCAATCCTGCTTCTGGCATGCCGGGATTACCTATTGGGCCAATGCCCTTAAGGACTAGCACGCTGTCCTTGGTGACAAATAAATCTGGGTCATCGATGCGTTGGGCTAGGTCAATAGAGTTCTCAAATACCACAGCGGGTCCAGCATGAGAAAGCAGAGATCGATCTTTCGAGGCAGATGCTTTGATCACGGCACCATTGGGTGCAAGATTGCCCTGCAGAACCGCAAGAGATGATGCGGGATAAAGAGAATCAGAGAGTGGTCGGATAATCTGCTGCGGAAAGGAGACTCGCTTGGACTGAGCGGCATCAAGGACTTCTCCTAAAGTTTGTCCGGTGATAGTCATAGCTGACAGGTGAAGCAATGGTCGTAGTACTTGTAACAGTGCGGGCATGCCTCCAGCATTGTGGAAGTCATTCATGTAATTGTCACCACTCGGCTTCAGATCGATGAGAAGAGGAGTCTTTTGTCCTATTTCTTCGATTGTCTGTAATGTAATCATGCCCTGAAGCTGGGGGTGTCGATTGGCGATTGCCAGCAAATGGACTACAGCATTGGTCGATCCTCCAATGGCCTGGAGAACGATGATGGCATTCAGGAAGGATTCCTTTGTCAGAATGTCTTGGGGCTTTCGTGCTGATTTAGCGACTGCCACTGCATTTGCACCGGTCTCTTCGGCAATTCGTAGTCGTGCAGATGATACAGCTGGAGCAGAGGCTCCGCGAAGTGGCATCATTCCCAATGCAGCCGTAACGCAGGCCATTGTGCTCGCAGTTCCCATGACGCCACAAGTCCCGATCTTTTAATGGATTTAGCCGGGTGATGAATTCCATTCGGGAGACAGGAACATACCGTTGGAGCTAGCTCTTCATTGATCGCTGAGATCTCCTCCACATCTATCTCACCTGCTCGGAATGCTGCCCAGTTATTGCGACAGTCCGTACAAGCGCCGATTCTCTGACCACGATGGCTACCCGGTAGCATAGGGCCGGTGATCAGGGGAAGGATTGGCTTGTTGGCGGAAATTCCCCCCATCAATTGAGCAGGAACAGTCTTGTCACAGCCTGTGAAATGTGAGCAGAAGTAAATGGAAATTGTAAGGATTGATGACATAGATACCTCCTATCATGATACATGCGTCCAATGGCTGAGCCCGGATCATCTCCTCGGTGTCCATGCTCATCAAATTCCGTAAAAACATACTCGTAGGGTGCGAGAATGATTCATGGACACTGATCGTGGGAAATTCCACGGCCAACCCTCCATTGAGATGAATACCACGCTTGGCGGCCTCTATGAGCTGCGGAACATTTGCATGACAGGGATTGAACCCTGAAAATGTATTGATAATGCCCACTATAGGTCGGGAAAGAGCATCCTCGGAGTACCCAAGGGCCTTGATGAACACCTTGCGGAGGAAGAGAGAGAAATGTGCATCTCCATAGGATGTTAGACCCTGGCGTAGGCCGGAGGTAGATGTGATTGGTGTGTTGAGGTCATAGTCCTGGGGTTCTTCTCTGGCATCCTGCATCCTGTAGACTAAATATACATGTTCTAAGTCAATCTTGGAAGTAGTTGCAGTTGCATTGATTATATATCCCCATTTTCTGAGTGGATGGTGTCATCGGGTCAACTCCGAGCGGATATTATTCCGGCCCCCGCGCTCTGCTATTTTTTATAGTCTGTGCCAAATGGCCCTCGGCTCCTGCATCCTCAGTATGTATTTGCAGATTGCTGACGCGATCCTGTAGGCCTTGAAGACAGGATTCACTTAAAGATGGTCAAAGCAGGAATGGAGCCTCTGAACAGGTAAACGAATGTTGTGAACTATAAAGAGTATACTCGACCGTCCTGTCTTAGTCGCTGTGTTATAGCCAAGGAATAGGAGATTAGTGGCAGGGAGAAACAGAGAGGAAAGGAGAAAATGATATATCCTGGCTTAAATACAATATTATCTTATATGAATTGAATGTGGCGTCATTCAAGTGCTAATGAGTAAATGTTTTCACAAGCACAAAACATATCTTACTTCTCACCCTGCAGTATCTTTCGCAAAATGGCACTCTCCTTTTCATACTGGAGAATCTTGGATTGTGAGCCATGCACCTTGCTTAACAGCCACTCAATTCGCGACGTCAATTCCCACGGGTATTTCGGGAGTGAGCCGAGCAGTGCAAGCTCTTCTTCGTACTTGGCGATACTCTTGTTTTCACTACTAATTAGCTCGCTGAGAATGAGAAGATCTAGCCGGCCTTCCAAGGTTTTGTTCCCGATCAACTGTTGGAATGCAGCCTTGTACACGGGCTTTCCGGGTTTGATCCAGCGAGGGAACCCCTTGACAGATCCAACAGAGATCAGTTCGGCTTGCTCGAGGGCCCGCAGGGTTGCTTCACCATTGCCTTTGAACAGGTCATTGAACAAGACTTTATTGTAAAGAATTTGTCCATCTTTAGCGTGCCCAAGAGCTTTGATGATGTGCCATGCTTGCTCAGTGGTCCATTGCGGCGAGACAGAGTCGGTACCCAGAATAAAGATCTTCATGATCTCAGAAGCAGATTGTTCGATGATTCGGTTGACCGCAGCTCGAGGCGTCTCCCCCGCTTCAATCCGATGTGCCATGAACTCAAGATCGGTAACCCGACCTCCCAGGATCTGAATACAGTCATCTAGGCCTTGTAGCTTCTCCTTGAATTTTTCCTCGCTAGCTGTTGATTCCAAGTGGTTCAACACAAAGCGACGACCCACCTCCAGGGAGCAGTCACCCAAACCAATTGTCCGGAAGACCTGGTTCGGAAGGGCCTTACTGAGAGGCTTGGAAAAAGAGGTGTCGGTGGTGAGGAAGATGACGTGCGCAATATTGGCAGACGTCAACCCAGCCGCCCATTCGGTAAGTTTGTCGAGTACGACACTATTATCGGCATCGTACATGAAATTGTCAATGACCACAACTGGCCGTTTCTCAGGGTGAACCTCGAGATACTCATCGTCCTTTAGATTGGAATCCTTGTCATCTTTCCGACGACCTTCGAGCGCAACTCGTTTCATGGCTACCGCTGTGCTTTGCCAAATTTTGCTAAGCTGGGCATCTAGGGTCTCAGAGAATCCAGCCTTGGTACCAATCATTCCCTGCGCAGCTAAATCGATCAAACTGCTGATGCTGTTCATCCAGGAGAAGATTGGTCGGTAACCGACCTGCGCGGCTGCCCGAGCAATCTTGGCAGAATCACCTCGAGCATCTTGGATCTGCTTGCAGTCAATAATCACTTTGTAGTGATGATCTTTTAGCGCCTGCTCAAGAACCAGTTCCCGCTTGCCCGAGCCCCTCGGACCATGGATGACAATAAATGTCTCCGCAGTCTCTGTGAGCCATGCTTGGAGCTGCGAGATATCGCCTTGTCGATCTTCCCAAATGGCTGTCAAGCCCCGAGGATCCGCCTTGTGCTGTCCAAAGTAAATTTTATTGGCTTTGCTGGCCTGCTTCCGAATCCACAGCATAACAGCATTGTCTTCAATGTGAAGTGTCGCCTTAATTTTGAGTTTGATGAAGAATGTTCGAATAGGGTCGAAGATGATAACGGTGATGGCGGCTACGAGTGCCGCGATGACGGGAAACATAATTCGTGGGTGGCTCAGAATCCAATCCTTAATCATAGACAGTCGGATCTTGCGCTCATAGCTGATCTTGAACCTGGTACCGGATTTCCCCCCTCCATCTTCCTCAAATGCCTCATACCCGTGCATGCAATTTCTTGCCAGGACGGAGAATCGAGGGCGTTCGAAGCGCACAATGGCGTACCGAGGCACAACCTTTGAGTCTGATGGCTGCTGCTGAATGTCCAGAATCTTCCCAAAGGGACGAAAAAGAGAATAGATGGCCTCCTGGGTCAACTCTGTTGGTGGACCTTCAGTAGAGGCAGGCAGAAATTCAACTTTCAGACTTTGGCTTGGGATCCGATATAGATCTTCAATCCATGGTCTTCCACGAACTATATCGGCGTCTGCTGTTTGAAATGGATTGAACCACGGCCTGATGGGGTTTTTGGCGAGATGCTCCTTGATCGCGTTACTGATATTCTCATCAGTGGCGCCGAGCTTGCGTTCGAATTTAACGAATGCACCGCCTTCTTTGTATCGGGAGACCACCTCTTTGATTTCGAGATTCAAGCTCTGAGGCAAGGCGCGCTGGGCAATATGAAGAGGATCAGATGCAGCCAGGTCGGGTTTGCCGACTCTCTTCAAGAGCCCCTCGAGAGGCTGTACATGACTGAGAGGACCCCGCAGCAGCCATTGAAGCCGATGTGGGAAAATATCTAGTTATTTCAGCATGATTCCAGGTCTCTGCATTGATTTTGGGCGCTCACTATTGATGAATATGATCCCTTCATTCTCACTAACGTTGATGTGCCCTGATTTAATCGTGGATATAAATCGTGCATGAGCTACAGAGCGTAGTGGAGCGGGTCTCCAAGCTAGCTGCGAATGAGAGATGCAGACAGAGGGCACGCTCCGGGCCCTCACAGCGGAAGGTATTTGTGCATGTGCAGGTCTCATATTCGTAGCATCGTAAACAGAACAGAAAGTGTGCGACAGGGGAAAGTCAAGGATGATCAGGATGCGATCGAACAATGATGTCAGTCAGCTTATCACTATATCACTATATCAGGTTATCTAATCAACACGTGACAATCCCGAACATCGTACGAAAACCGCGTTGGCGCATATCAATTTCAGTGATTTTGTCAGAAGCCAATTCTTCCGACACTCCCCGCAACAATGGGATGGTTTTGGAGCTCTAGTCCTCAAAAGGACAATACCGATACAAAGACCCCGGTGGCACCGCAACCCGCTATTCAAAATGCACCACCTAAACAGTTGACACCAGACGAACAAGCCGATATGGAATTCAACCAGCTTCTGGCCGACCTCCGAAAAGCAGACAGTGAATTGAATGATTCATCATCTTCGTCACCAGGATCTCAATCCGACAAACCTATCTCACCCATCGCCCCCGAATCCCTCTATCCAGACACTATGTCTTGTCGGTCAGCCTTCGACTACGCCTTCTTCTGCCAGTCCTTTGGTGGTCAATTCGTGAATGTTTATCGATATGGAGAACTGCGGTCCTGCAGCGAACACTGGGATAACTTTTGGTTGTGCATGAAGACCCGGGGCTGGTCAGATGAATTGCGCAAAAAGACCATTCGAGATCACAATCGGAAAAAGGCTATCAAGTACAAGACTGGCCCTAGCAGTGAGGACGTATGGGATGTGAGACTTGATCCTGCGAAGGGGGCCTTCCAGGGTGATTTTGCTGCTCTGGAGCGGGAGATGAAGGCTGAGGAGGAGGCTCAACAGCAAGCGGCAGCATGATACCCCCAAGCTTGATCTCTTCGGTTTGGGCTTTGCATTTGTACTATAAAGTGTAGATATCTATCCTGTATCTGGCGCAATCTCTACTATAATTTACGACGTCAGGCCATTTTGCTTCTCTCTAGCAACCTTTAAAGGGGAACGCTTTCGCCTGACTCTTCCCAATCCTGGAGCTCTCATCTCCTGCGCAGGAGCGGATTTATTAGGGAAAGAAACCAAGACAGGACAGGCCCTAAAGGTGATAATGAAGTGCTCATATTAATAAGAGACACGAAGACAGGGTACTATGTACAACCAAAAAAAAGCACCGCATGACAGACGCTCTAAACACCTTGCATAGAGGAACGCTGCCATTAGACAAAACAAAGCAAAAGAAACCAAGACACATGTGTGCAAATAAGATAACCGAAAGAAACGCAAATTAAACAGAGAACCTCCCCATCGAAGATCAGATGGATATCCTCTAGAACTTAATCAAATCCCACTTTTGGAAACTTTTCCACACCACATGCAGCATTCATTGACCGTTATTCTCATAAACAGATTCCGGTGGTGTCAGCCATGTACTTAGGCGACAACCAGGGTCTCCGCCGGCTGTGGAACAGAGTCAATGGCAGGCCGACGAACAATACCTCCGGTGACAGGGAGGTGGGAGCTGACTCCACTCAGGAAAGCGTCAACTTCACGAGCACACTGGCGACCCTCATTGATACCCCTAGAAATTCGGATCAGTAAAATGTTTAATGTAAGACTAAAGAATTGAAACTTACCAGACAATCAAGGACTGTCCACGGCGGCAGTCACCAGCGGCGTAGACACCCGCAATATTGGTCGAGTAGTGACCAGGGGGAGTCTTGACGTTCTTGCGCGGGTCACGGGCGATCTCGTCACCGAGGAGGCGGTCTTCGGGTCCCAGGAAGCCCATAGAGAGAAGAACCAGGTCAGCGGGGAAGAATTGCTCGCTTCCCTCCACAGTCTTCATGTCCCAACCGCCAGTGGCGCTCTTAGTCCACTCCACACGCACGGTATTGATACCCCGTACACGACCACTGCCATCGTCGACGAACTCTGTGGACATGACACAGTACTCGCGAGGATCCTTGCCCATGTGGGTCTTGACCTCCGAGTGACCGTAATCGATACGGTAGATACGGGGCCACTGAGGCCAGGGGTTATCATTGGCACGCTCTGGCGGAGGCTGAGGCAAAAGCTCAAAGTTGGTGACCGACTTGGCACCGTGACGAACCGAAGTACCAATGCAGTCGTTACCAGTATCACCACCACCAATGACAACGACGTGCTTATCCTTGGCAGAGATGTATTCTCCGTCAGAGAGGCCAGAGTCCAGAAGGGACTTGGTGTTTTTGTGCAGGAATTGCATGGCAAAGTGCACACCCTCCAGCTCACGCCCCGGGACTTTGAGGTCACGGGCAACTGTAGCACCGGTCGCGATGATCACAGCGTCGCTAGAGGCACGGAGGGACTGAAGAGTAATCTCGCAGTCAGGGCCAACAGCCGCACCGGCCACGAATTTGACTCCCTCGGCAGCCATGAGATCCACACGGCGCTGGACAACCTTCTTGTCAAGCTTCATGTTGGGGATACCGTACATGAGAAGACCACCCATGCGGTCAGCCCGCTCATAAACGGTAACGGAGTGGCCAGCGCGGTTCAGCTGATCAGCAGCAGCTAGACCAGCAGGGCCAGATCCGATGATGGAAATAGTCTTACCAGTACGGGTTTTGGGTGGTTGAGGAACCATCCAACCCATCTCGAAACCACGGTCAATGATAGCACACTCAATCGACTTGATGCCGACAGGGTCTTCGTTAATACCCAAAACACAGGCACCCTCGCAAGGAGCGGGGCAAACACGACCAGTGAACTCGGGGAAGTTGTTGGTCATGAGCAAGCGGTTAAGAGCGTCTTGCCATTGGTTCTGAAAATTTTTCATGAATTAGTATCTCGACTTCATTTTCTCAGACTCCCGGTGGAAAGAAGAAACTTACCTGGAAGACCAACTCGTTCCACTTGGGAATGATGTTGGAAATTGGGCAACCAGTATCTGACTGACAGAACGGAACACCACAGTCCATACAACGAGCTGACTGGTACTTGAGCTCATCCTCGCTGAGGCGGTTGGAGATCTCGGCCCAGTCTCGAGTACGAGTCGTAGGGTTACGGTACTTCTCGCTACGGCGACTGTACTTCATGAAGCCACGGGTCTTGTCCAAAATCAATGCCGAACGTTTCTTCTCGACCTTGGAGTCGCCGATGCTGTCCTCAATGTCGAGCATATCGGCCTTTTTCTCGTCAGTCTTGGCCTTGGCCTTCTCAGCACCATGCACGGGAGTGCTTGGGAGTTGAGGAAGGGAGAACTCGGCCTTCTTCGCGGCTGCGGCCTTAGCAGCTTCTTCCATCATGACTCGCTTGTAATCGATGGGAAGCACCTTGACCAAGTGAGGAAGAGCACGAGTGAAATCAAGGAGAATACGAGCTGCAAGCTCAGATCCAGTGTAGTGGTGGTGGTCCTCAATGAGACCACGAACAAAGGCGATCTCGGAGGGTTCTTCGATACCAGAAATCTCAACCATCTCCATATTGACCTTGGAGTGGAAGTCCTGGTTCACGTCCAGAACGTAAGCAATACCGCCAGACATACCAGCGGCAAAGTTACGACCAGTGGAACCCAAAATCAGGACACGACCACCAGTCATGTACTCACAACCGTGGTCACCGACACCCTCGACAATAGCGGTGGCACCCGAGTTGCGGACGGCAAAACGCTCAGCAGCAACACCACGGAAGTAACAAGTACCTCCAGTGGCGCCGTATAGACAAGTGTTACCAACAATAACATTCTCCTCGGCCTTGAAAGCAGCGCCGCGAGGAGGGTACACAATGAGACGGCCACCAGATAGACCCTTTCCGACATAGTCGTTGGCATCACCTTCAAGCTCCAGAGTGACACCAGGGGCAAGGTAAGCACCGAAAGACTGACCAGCAGAGCCCTTGATGTTGGCATGGATAGTGTCTTGAGGAAGACCAGCCTCGCCATACCGACGACTGATCTGGTACGACAAGGTGGAACCAAGAGAGCGATCAGTGTTGACAACGTCGCACTCAATTCGGCAAGGAAGACCCTTCTCCAAAGCAAGCTCAGATTCAGCAATCAGCTTGTTGTCGAGACGAGTGTGGAGGCGATGGTCCTGCTTTCGGACATTGTATGTGGCAACACCAGGGCGAAGCGAGTGGGCAGGCGTCAGGATAAGCGAAAGATCCACACGCTCCTGCTTCTGGTTACGAATGTCATCCCGAACCTTAAGCAGCTCGGCACGGCCAACCATCTCGTTGATAGTACGAACACCAAGCTTTGCCATGATGGCACGCATCTCGTTGGCAACGTAGAAGAAGAAGTTGATGACGTTTTCGGGTGTACCCTTGAACTTCTTCCGCAGCTCAGGGTCCTGAGTGGCAATACCGACGGGGCAAGTGTTAAGGTGGCACTTTCTCATGAAAACGCAGCCCATGGCGATCAATGGAGTGGTTGCAAAGCCATATTCCTCAGCACCAAGCAGACAAGCAATGGCGAGATCACGTCCAGTCCGGATTTGACCGTCAGTTTGGACGACAACACGGCCACGAAGGTCATTAAGGACGAGAGTCTGGTGAGTTTCGGCGAGACCCAGCTCCCAAGGAAGACCGGCATACTTGATACCAGTCCAGCGCGAGGCACCAGTGCCACCGTCATGACCAGAGATCAGGATGTGGTCAGCTTTGGCCTTGGCGACACCAGAGGCGACAATACCAACACCGACTTCAGACACAAGCTTCACGGAAATACGAGCGCGAGGGTTAGAGCACTTCAGATCGTAGATCAGTTGCTTCAGATCCTCGATAGAGTAGATGTCGTGGTGGGGAGGAGGGGAAATCAGGCCGACTCCGGGTGTCGAGTGACGAGTACGAGCGATGGGACCAAGGACCTTGTGACCAGGCAACTCACCACCCTCACCGGGCTTAGCGCCTTGGGCCATCTTGATCTGAAGTTCATCGGCATCGGCAAGGTAGTTTGAGGTTACACCAAATCGGCCGGAGGCAATCTGTTTGATAGCAGACCGCATGGTGTCACCGTTCTCCATACGATCGCTACGTTCGGCATCTTCACCACCTTCACCGGTGTTGGACTTGCCTCCCAGGCGGTTCATGGCAATAGCAAGAGTGGAGTGAGCTTCCATGGAAATGGATCCGTAAGACATGGCGCCAGTTACGAAGCGGCGAACAATCTCAGTCCAAGGTTCAACCTGATCAATGGGAATAGGGGTTCTTTGGTCGAAGTCAAAGTCGAGCATACCACGCAGAGTGCAATTCTTGATCTGCTCATGCTCTGCCTTGGCATACGCCTCGTAGGATTTGTCGTTCTTAGTGCGAACAGCATCCTGCATGTTAGCAATGCTGACAGGGTCGTTGACGTGGGCCTCGCCGCCATCACGCCAGTGGTATTCACCAGACTCGGGGAGACCGGGAATCTCGACGATGTCACGCGAGGGGTAACCACGCTCGTGGAAAGCAAAAGCGTCCTGGGCGATCAAGTCGAAGGTGATACCGCGAATACGGCTGGCGGTACCAGCAAAGCAGCGGTCGATAACGCTATCATCGATACCAAGAGCCTCAAAAATCTGAGCACCCTTGTAGGACTGGAGAGTGGAGATACCCATCTTGCTCATGACCTTGAGGATACCACCATCACAGGAGGCTTTGTAATTTTCGATGACTTTCTCATCAGGAAGGTCCTTGCGAATAAGGTTCTCACGGTTCATCTTGAGAAGACACTCCATGGCAAGGTACGGGTTGATGGCATCGGCACCGTATCCAAGAAGGACACAGTGGTGGTGAACTTCACGGGCCTCGGCAGTCTCAACAGCCAAAGCAGCCAGGGAACGCCACTTGTTGCGAACCAGGTGGTGGTGAACCAGACCGGTAGCCAACAAAGCAGAGACAGG